GAACAAATTCAGCCTCTTCCAAGCAAGCTTCATCGTGAGCAAAGCCGAAGACATTGTTCGTTGACTGCTTGAGAAAGCCCTCATTCTTCAGCACAGTATATGCCTTGACTTGAACAGCAAGGGCCAAGTCCGCGTGTAGAACGACCCAATCGTCGGAAGGAGCAAGTATCCCTGATGTTGCGCTTGAAGTCCACATCGCCCGTCCTCCTCTCCTATAGCCATATATCATCGATTATGGCTATCTTTCGAGACAGAGCGTTCCGGCTATGCAGTATCTTTCAGGTCTTTGTTGCGAACGAGCAAATGAATACAGTAATATGGATATCCCGCTTCGAAATGGCAATGTTCGAGGCTGACAAGGCCGCGGACGATTGGTGAAATGAGGCATCTCGCTCCTCAGGCGATGTCGTTGGAGTCCAAGATCGTTGGCACTGTTGCTAACGTCGTTAGCACGGAATATAGATGTTGTTGATTATTATTCATGTCTAACATAAAGAAAGGAGAACATGGGTAGGAATTCGGAGCACCCTCCTTGTCCAGGAGCATTGTGTGCTTGCGTTGACCAGTTTTTACACAAGTCCACAAACCATCAAACATCGCTGTGTCCTACGTTCCTCGGAACCAACGCCCTATAGGGCCGTCCATCGTGCTTCTGCATAGTGACTTGGCGAGATGTGGTGGCATCATGGATCGCTGTCCGCGGAGCCCACATATGAAGCCAAGGCGACGTTGGATGAAATACCAAGCCCGTCTGCACACCACGGCTTCCACGCGTTGCCCCAAAGCGCAGTAAATGGATGGCAGTAATGACTTTGCCGAATCGCATACCACCATCACCGAGAGACATTCGGTGCAGTCGCTTACAGCCTCCGGATCTGGGACCCGCGTGACAGAACATCTGTCAAGAATCCCGCGACAGAAATCCCTGTCGCATCGCACGAACATGCGAAGATGGGATTTTCGCACTCTTTCGTACACGATGCCCCATTCAGCGAAACGCCAAGATCAGACCAGAGTTGGAACATGGCTCACACGCCGAGAAACCGAGTGAAAGCGCAAGTACGGCACAAAAGGCAATACACAAAATCCGGCCCGACGAGGTTCCGTGCAACTGCGCGCATTGTGTTTGGCGATCGTCGACTTTTTCGCAAGAATTTCTTGCACAGGTTCACTAATAAAAAGTGGATGCACGCTGCTTCGCTTCGAACGACGTTCCTGGTATTTGCTGCGGTTGGCGTCCTCCTATTTCTAATCCTTTGATCGATACGCTTGGCAGATTCTGGATGTGTAGGGCATTTTTCGCTCCTTGCAGTAGTGGTGAGGTTTTCTCTCGGAGCTGTGCAAAATCCGCCGCCGAGCCGTCGGTCGGTCTGCGAACGACGCTGTCATGTTCCCATTAGGCTTGTGGTGTTAGTAGCGGACACTGTTCTGCTTCCGTTCCTTTCGTCTGCAGGACAGAGGCACTGGTAGCCTGCGCGGTTTGTTTCGTCTGGAGGTTGCCGTGTGAGGAGTTGGTCATGAGTCTGGCCGTATGCGACTTGGATGCCCGTAGGCCTCGCGTTGCCCTGTCACGCGACGGTGTGCGACTATGCATTGAGCGGCTGGGCGGCATTCTGCGTGAGGGGTCGGTGCGAATAGATTGAGATGTCGCATTGTGCGTGTGGAAGTTTGCAAGTCCGAAGGTACTCGTCTCTCAAGAGGGTCTGTTTCGTGCGAGAAGGTCGACAACCATCAGACGCCCGAAAACCCGCGTTACGGATGATAATTAACGCGCTAAGATGAGATGATATCGTCGCCGATATGTTACCCCTTTCGGCTATTACCGCTTCAGACCGGCTACGCTCTTGCTTCGTTCGCCATCTGCGATATCCAACACACCTTGATCCACTGCCTGCCGTCTTCGTGCAGCGCATCTATGGCGGACTCATCAAGGCATCGCAATTGCGATATCGCCTCGCCTCAACTTGCCGTCGCCCATGATCTCCAGCAAGGATTGGGAGAGTCGTCCGGCTCGCGGATTCGGGACGGCACAGATCGAGCTCTCGCCGGGCACGTGTCTGATGCGATGGAGCCTCCGCGCGATCTGCAAACTCTGCCGGGTGCCGGGAGGAAAATGCTTGTCTACTCGCTATCAAAGAGCCGCAACACATGCCGTTGTTGTGCCCACCGCCCTGCTGCTATCCAATCTGAACGGTACATCACAAGACGAATATGCCTCAACTGCAGAACGACACGTCTCGCTGTTTGTCGGTTTCGCTGGCAGTCCAAGGAGCGAGGCCGAAGACCGGTATTGTGAACACTCTGCGTCATCGCACGACTGCCCTACGAGTTCTAGACCGCAGGGCGCATAGACAACGTTGAAACGATCGAGATATGGTCACGCACTTGAGCGAATCATTTACCCAATCCCATACCACCGACGAATCGGCGAACCATGCGTGAAAGGCCGCGTACAAGACGCGTTTCATATCAGAGAAATTCGGCAGCGCAAAGCATCTTTCTGCTGCAGGAAGCCAACCAACAGCTGTAAAGGGTCCGCGGAAAGAGGTGCATTCGAACTGTACGTCATGGTTACCATAGTGGCAGGACGGCCGCTAATGCAGTGCGCTCGCTATTCGATAAGGCACATGCACAGAAGCGGGTAAGGACATGCCATGGAAGACGCCGTGCGAAAACACGCAGCCACGTTCCGTCTGCGGAATGTGTGCAACGAGGTACGGAGACGAAAGTCGGCATCAGCGAGCAGTCAAGCGAACTACAGACGAAAGGCAGGATTTCTGAACCAAGATGATGTGAGACCAGCGAGGAGACAAAACACCAATTCGCTTCGCTAATGCACCGAATGTTCTCTCGCGACGGCAGCTAAAGCCCGAACAGTCACGAACGCTAAGCATTTGCTTCGCTTTCCCACTGGCCTGGTTCGTCAGATTCTGAAGGATTCCCCGTGTGAGTGAGAGCTGAGGATTGAAAGGAAAATGTTCCTTTCGGAGAAGGCCCGGCGAACTAAAAGTCAGCTCAAGACCAGCACATGCCTTGTTGGTCTGATGGCGACGCGAACACCTTCGCTCAATAGGCAATAATGAGCTGAAGCAGAGATGACTCAGGCGAGCACACTGAGCCTTTGACCGAGTCCTACTACACGTGTCTTGCTTTGTAACTCCGAACAGGATCGACACAGTAGACACTTCGGAGAGTTTATCTAGCAAAAAGGCCTTGCAGAGGCCTGTGATAGGGCAATACCACTCGATGAGGGCCTTAACAAGGCAATACTCGCAATCATTTCGAGCTTGGTTACCGATCCTCGTTCACATGCAACCGCTGCTGTATCATGGACGTCGTCAGCTATTGAGACGGGAGGCCTCACATCCCTCCTTTCGATAGTCCCAACTTCCCTATCGAAGTCAGTCCTTCCTCGCCGCGTCAGTCAATCTGCTCGCGATGTGATGTGATGCGGATATAGGCCCACAGAATCTTCTCTCGCGAGGTGCATGATGCGGATATAGACCCACAGAGCTTGACAGCCTCCTGATCTCTGTCATGAGATGATCGAGCGGAAAACCGTCTCTCTCCTTCTCGAACACATGGAGTGTGGCCTTGACGAGACTATCATGTAACAAACACCCACATTTCATAGACCGGCCTCGCAACTCAACATCGCCACCGAAATTCCGCAACACTTCCCTCTCATCGCCGCACCCTCTCCGCTAGTCTGCCCCAGGCCAATGGACCTCGTGGCGCGGAAAACACTGCAATCTTTCATCATCCCGTCGAATTGAAGCTCCACAGACTGAAGTTAACTCAACAACCGGCTCCCACTCACGGGTAACATCCTTTCAATTGTTGCCACCACGCACGTGGCAGATGGCCACAAAGTACCATTACCGCGGGATTCGATCGACTATTACCCATTCCGGCCATAGCAGAAATACTTGTTGGGGACGCACGAAAAAACGCCACAGAGGAAAATGTGGAAAGTGGAAAAAAAAGGGTTGTCCGTTGTTGCTCTGATCGCGGTTTCTCGGCCGTGATGGGAAACAGGGAGCAAATATCAAATAGCACCGTTTAGTTGGTGATGTTGACAAACGAAATAATACGCAAAAGGCGTCCGCGTATTCCACCATCGCCCTGGCCTAGTCTTCCTTACAAATGTCTGACGAAAGCGTGTGGTGAGTGCGCGGTACCTGATCGTCGGCGAAAAGCTCCTTCTCGGCGAACGCAGAGTACTGTAGGGAACAACAAAGCCCTCAGACATACCTCCTCAACCAGGGGGACTAGGTTGCACAGTCAGTCAGTCACAAGCAGGCAGGCAGGTGCGCAAGCGCGGGGCCATCATTAATGTCTTCCCATCGCATACATGCAGATGCAGCTGGCGAGGATGACAAGTCCATCCTGCTGTGCTGTCAGCAGGAAGTCATCAAGCTGTCGAAAGCGTGAAGAAAACGTTCTGGGTGTCCTCGGCCGTGGATTGCCCGACTCGGATAGCAGCACGAGGAGAAGGAGAGAGCTTTCCACTCATCTTTGCTGGGCCTTGATTACGCTTTTCGTGTCTTGCTTAAGCGAACGGTGTCAGAAGTTGTGTTCGGACGATTGTAGCCGGAAGATCGGACTTTCGGGCCCGGTTTGGAATGGTCAGGTACTGTTTGTGTGATACATGCGGACTAGATTTTGGGGAAGGGAGAAATTGCTGGGTACGATTACGGCCGCGAAAGAGTGAGGGAACGAGACACGTGTCGGTGTGCGTTTGCGGTTTGCTCATCATGATCACTCAGGTCCTTGTCATGGATGATACGTACTTACTGTCAAGTCAAGAAGCTCCGAATGCGATGTTCGCATTTGGCAGTAAGAACGAATTGTGAGAAGGATCGCAGTTCGTTTCTGAAACAGGGCTGAGGTTGGATGACTTGATGCTTATGGCTGCTAACGTCAGAGTATTTGATGGATAGAATAAACAGGCACGCGGCGATTTTCAGAGGTCGACACGCCAGCACGGCTAGTAGTGATTACTCCTCATCCACCCAGGCCCTGTAGATCGTTCGGCTGCCCCAGGTCTGCCCTTTCTTCAGCACGACTTGCTGTCTCCACGCTTCGTTGTTGATCGCATTCACATAGCGACTCGCTTCGATGCAGAGACCGCTTCGAGGGCCACGCGCTGGCACGCCGTCCACCGCGGGCACATTGATGAAGCGACCAGCGTAGAATTGGAAGGCGGGCTCGGTGCTGAGAGCTTCGAAATGGATCTTGGTGTTAGGGTGGTACAGCTCTATAAGCTTCTTGATTGGCTCCTTGCGAGAGTCGAGAGGAATGCTGGAAGGATCCGAATTTACAACAAAGCAGTGGTCTGGATCTGGTTCTTTAGGCCCCAGGACGAACTCCTCGTTTGCAGGAATTCCTGGGAAAGGCTTGATCTCGCCAGTAGGGATGCTGTTTTCGTCGGTCACGAGGTGCAAGTTGCTGGGGACCTTTGCTCGCGTTCCTTCAATCGTCGGCCCGCCTGAGATGTTGAAGTAGCTGGGTGTTCACACAGTCAGCGCCAGGGAATCCTTGATGAGAATTGAAGAACGCCGCATCTCATACATACCTGTGGTTGGTGACGCTGACGGCAGTCTCCTCGACCTCGTCGCCCACCAGCTCCACCTCATATTCGATATCCAACGTGGTCTTATCCTTCCCGTCATCCTTCTCCACGAAAGGCGTGTACCAAAGCTTCAACTCGACCGTGCCAGGAAATCCTTCTTCTCCATCCTTGCTGACGTACTTGAACAAGACGCTTTCGCGACCATCGCGATTGACTGGTGTGGGACCTTCGAAGGCCTTCTTACCCCAGCCCTCGGCGCCGCCGTGCAGCGTGTTGGGTCCATTGTTGGCTACCAAATCATAGCTCTTGCCGTTCAGATCGTTGATCTTGGCCGCTGAGATTCTGTTCGCATAGCGGCCGATATTCTCTCCAAAGAACGGACTCGTCTTGCCCTTATAGGTTGCCGCTGACGGGAAGCCGAGTACGATGTTCTGCCCGCCGATCCTGAATTCCTGTATGATGCCGCCTTGCGGCAGGAAGGTGAAAGCGTCTGAGTACTTGGATTCTGCCATGGTGGTGGAAAGTGCTGCAATGACAGTGATGCAATTGAGATGAGCTTCTCCTTACCGTGAAGTGAGTGATTGAGGAAGAAGTGCTAAGCTGGACATGCGTGGTGTTTGCTTGCGAGCTTTCACAAGACGTAGTGGAGCCGGCATCTGCATTTAGCCTATTGCCAACGCGCAGCTCGTCTTCAATCTTGTCGTTTCAGAGCTCGTCGTGATATTTCTCCGTGAAGCAGACTCCATTCACGCGACGGACGTTTGGCGATGGAAGTGATGCCTGAGGTGATGCACGAGAAAGAGAAGGTTGGAGAGTTCAAAACTTGAGTTTGGCGCTCGGGCCTGATGCCCGCGGACTTCACCTGGGACTTCGACATGGTGTCACGATATGGCAAGGCAATCGCAAGAGGCTGGTCCAATAGATGATCCCGCCGCCGAGATATGGAGGTCACGGTAAAGTCACCAAGACAGAATATACCGCGCATTGATTAATGATTGCGTTGCTACTCATCATGCGAAATAGCCTCCGAGGAAATTGTGGTGCGCGGGGTTCGACCGAGTGCTGTTTCAGACGCATCCATTGGTGCCAGCGAAATCATCTGCACAGTTCTGGGATGTGGTTCGCTGGGCTGCGACAGGATTGTGAAGAGGCGGTCGAAGTGCGACGTGTGACTTGCCTTTGTGCAGAAGGATCGTGATGGGTGATGTCTAGACAGAGACCGTTGAAACCGTGAGAAAGAATGGGAACAGAGCGGAGATCAAGGTGTGGAAGTGACAACTTCGGACGCCGAAGTGCGATTGCTCGAGTTCAACGTTTGGTGTGTTAACAATACAGACTGCCTGCCCAATTCCCTTTTGCCTGTCGGCAAGTATCCCTGAGGCCGTTCCCATCTATAGTTTTCCTCAGCTCCAACCCAGTAGGTATCCCAAACCATCGCTCAGAACGCAGCAGTCAAAGAAGAAACCCGTCCCGTCTCATTAAAATGTTCGTAACCATTAAGTCCCGGCATAAAGCCAAAAGGAGTGTGCCGCGGGGCACGATCGCTTGTTTGGTACGATGTGGGTCGCCGCAACATCACCTCATCGAAGATTGTGCGAATCCAGGATGTCCACACCCGATCAGGACATGACCTGGATGAATGAGTTGAAGTCTCGATTAAAGTCGACATCCATATGCTCGATCGACGACGGATCCATGGTCAAGCCGGGTGCGCTTCCATCGTGAAGTCTTGGCATGCCACCGAATGCGTTTGAAAGCTGCTGAGGGTATGACGTGAAACCAGCCATGTCGTATTGCGAAGGATCCCACTGGCCGAACGAGTTGGAGATGTCGTCCATGTTGCCCAGATTATGCTCAAGTTCGGGTGATTTCATGGCGTAGTTGGACCGCATGAAGTTGTCGCCGCTGGATTGAGGGTAAGCCCACTCGGCTTGGTAGAATTGAGGGTCGCTGGCGAGAGGAGAGCTCTGCTGAAGTGGCGACGGTTGCGCTGGTGGGAAGGATTGTCGATGGCGAGGCGCTGGCATTGGGCTTGGATCAGCAGGCGGCGAAGGCGGGGCGCTGAAGTTGAAGTTGTCCTTGAACACGGCAGGCTTCGAGAGGACTGGAGTGCCATGCGAGACTGATCGTGCATGGCCATGCTGGCTGTGTTCCGAATCTGAGCTGAACGATCCCCGTCGTTGGGTGAAGCCCGCGCCCTCAGCGATGAGCTTGGATTGGAGCTTGGCGCAGTCTTCTTCAAACGTCTCCATCTCACCGCTGCCATCCTGCTTGGACTCCAACAGATCCAACGCGGCGAGGATGTCGTGGGTGAGAGGATGGCCGTTGGTCTCGGAGAGAGCTGCCCCGGTCCATGCATTGGCTGCCACTAAACGCTTGTACATCTCTTGGAGGCCGGACACCAGTTGCTGCTGTTGTTGTTCGAGCATCTCAACGTAACCCTTGGGGTAGACTTTGTCGTGGGACTTCTTGCGTTCACTGTAGATCGATCAGCATGTGTTGGTATCGTCGAGCAAGGCAACACCAACCCAAACACGCAAATGGCGTTGTCTGCTTTACACCGCGAGCACGGATGCGAACCATCACACTTGCTCTTCTTCAACCGGCAACGATCGCAGGCCTTGCAGACGCGTTTCCTGATGCCGTCGGTGGCAGAGTCGGTGGACGCAGTCCGTTGTGGAGGGGCCATCTTGTTGACGGGCGAGTGACTCGAGGTCGGGGTCATGGTGTGCGAGTGGTAGGAGACAGCGCGGTCGTTGAGGCACTGGAGCTGTCCGCGGTGCGACATGGGGGTGGATGTTGGTATATGTGGTATGGTGGTGGAGCTCTACTGGGGCAAGGCTAGGGCATCAGAGGGCCAGAACCGATGGAGCCAAGCGATATGGAGACAGGTGCTGAGTGATTGCGAAATGGTCATGCAAAAACATTGGGTGCGGTGGCGGAGGGAGTGGGCAATGATATAGACGGAGCAAGAGCTACCACCTGGCCGCATTACGAGCGCGATCAGACCGCGGAGAGTCAGACCGTAAACCCCAGTTGGTAATACGCTGATGGGGCCATCCTCGCACGCAGCAGGCGCAGGCAGGCCCAGGACTTGTGCACGCCGCTCATCAGCAGACGGATAGCCTCTGTAATCGCAGCCGGCAGCGACGACCCAAGTGGCATGTGTGGCAGGGGTGCTGCGCTGCTGCTCCTGCCCGGTCGCGGCTCTTGGGTCCGCGCGCGGCAGCAGGCCCTCCCTCGACCCAACGGCGACTAGTGACGCATGGGCAACCCTACCAGCCCGTGCAGGCGCCCGGCAAACTCTGATCTGCTGTGCCAAACCTTCGCTGTGACGCGCTGACCAAGGCCCGCCTGCAACCCGAACCGAGCCCGCTGTGGATTTCACCTCCACGGCGGCCTTTCGTGCGATATCCGGCTTCCGTCGCTGCACACACCTCACGGCCGAAACAGCGCTCCGGCCGTCGCGTGCGATATCGAAATCGTCAGTTATCGTCGCCCTGCAGACCGACGGGACGACGTCTCGCTGGTGGATGGGGACGATGAGGTCGGTGGCTTGCAGCGACGAGTCTGCCTCTTCAGGCTCATCTCGCGCGTTTCGACCGTCGCCCGTCCATCTTCAACACCACGACGCTGCGCCCTCAGCGCGAGACGGCGAAGGAGGAGCCATCATCATGCCAATCCCATCCTCTCGCGTGCGCGCTGCCTCATCCTCTGCTCAGCGCCAGCGAATATCCAGCCCTTGGTGCGAGCGAGGACGCCAATCGCACAGAGCGACGCTTTGAGAAAGCGCGTCCGAGTCCGAGCCCAGCAGAGATGAGGAGGAGCCCCAGCCCTGAAATCGCTCGAGGTACTCTTCTTCAGCACCTCACCATCCAAGCCTGGGCGCCATGTGCTTGCACGAGCTGCTGACGAGGCGCGAGGCGCAGATCCTGCCTGCCTGACTGGCCTGTAGAACAGCTGCCTGGCTCCGTCTGCAGTCCAATAATGCCTTTGTCACCGCGCTATTCAGCAGCAGTGACAGATACATTCCTACTCGCTGCGAATGCGAATGCCCGCCCAATTTCAACCGCTTTTCGCGAACGCAAACGACAGTTTCACCGCCCAGCACTCCCTGCACTGCCAACTATCCCGCCCAGACATCATGCTGTTCGGCAGGTGCCCGAATCCTCGTTCAATCCGAACTGTACTAAAAATGCGCTACAACAACTCTCATCATCGCAGGCGATGGATGAGCACTTCAATTTCCTACCTGGACGACTACCCGGTCGAGCAGTGGCCTTCAGCCCTAGGTCGGAAGGGCAAAGGCCCAACTGCCGCACCAGCACTCGCAAACGCACCATTAGTGTGCAATGATGCTGACTGGAATACTTGATGACAGATACAGTGTAGGTAAGGCTACCTCCACTTGCCTCGGAGACCAACACCACATCACCGTATCGTACTGCAAAGTACGTGTCTTGGAACCTGGCGATCGTCTGGGGCTCCTCCCGTCAGACCCTGCATCTCGCACACTCGCCGAATGCGCTCATGCATCTCACGGCATTTTCGCCGGGAATCGTACACGTCATTTGCTCTTCATCAATGTACGAAGATTGACCAGGCTTGCGACGAAGATGTCTGTGTTCGCACGTATCCTCGTCCACGAACCGAGTTGGGCTTCGGCGCCGGTGATATCGAGAACACCGACGACCAGGTGAACTGGGGCGCACATCCTTTGCGGTTCTGTTCACGGTCGGCCGCTATCAATTTCTCGTCTACTGTTTGAAACCCTTCCCACTGTCACGACTGCTCGTTTAATTCTGAACCGGCCAGCGTCGAATCAACACCGCAACTCATATGGGAGGTAAGCCACAAGCGTTAGGCGGGTTGCCAGATAAGGAGTCAGAACGTGCTTACACACATACCACCAGCTGCGAGCAGCGACAGTCAGCATCTTTTTTGCGTAACTCAGGCAAGTCTTTGTAGCTGCATCCTAGACGCAGCGCTTGTGGGATTGTGGAGAACACAGCTACTCACTGTGGATTTGTCACAAGAAACACACCAAAGACAGAGTAACAAGCTTCATGCCCGAAGCTGCATCTCAACACAAAGTCTCACCCTTTCCAGAAAACCATCAATCTTGACAATCAACAGGCGGAACGTATCATGTATCATGGCGCCATCTGATGACTTCACTAGCGTTTGGAACACCGCACACTCATCATTACAATGACAAAGTTGCGGCAGATCATTCAATGGCAACGTTACAAAACGCAGGTCGATCAATGCACCCGTACCAGCCAAGGCTACGGCCGACGCTTCTCAATCCGGTCAGCTAACCAAGTGGATAATCTTGGTCAGAAAGCTGGAAGCCACACGGTACTGATTATCGAACATTGGACAGGGCTGGATTCAGCCAAATCAGCCAGCGTACCTGATGAGCTCTGGGGTCCTCAAACACGTTGAAACCGGTGACAATCAGTCCAGCGTCCCGTTCCATTCGCACTCGAAGCGATGTCCCGGCTCACATCATACATGGAGCTCGCCAAGTATCGAGAACAGTTCTTGAACGTTTGAGAAGGGTCCTTCAAATCTCAGAAAGCGGTCACAGACTGAACAACCTCAGCCATCGGCGTCACATCCCCGAGCGACGATTCGCATTTGCTATCCTGAATTCGAGGCCCCCAGCCATCATTGGACTCTGCACGCTGACTGGGGTCTTGGAAGTTTCCACTGTCGCAGAACATGCACGGAAGGAGCTTCGTTGCGTCAGGATCTGCTGTCAGTGGGCTTGCTTCCTCGTTTGCATACCACACGTCCAAGCACTTACCCATTCTGCATGACATGACTTCAGCAGCTTGCATATTACAAGCTTGCACGAGTGCAGGACAGCAATGCTTCGGGGTTGTTGTCTTGCCATTGTCAAAGGACATTGCAGGTATCATGCACCATGACGGACAAGTGATCGACGATATCTGGCACAATGTACGTCCAGCCATTGTCGACAACAGTTGACGAAAGAACTGTCAAGGAAGACGATTCCACACGAGACAGCATTTGACCCCGTGAGGATTCGCGAGGCAACGACAACCGCATCGACTGCCACATTGGGCGCAACCACCACTCTTCGGACCGCAAATCGATGATCGGATTGCTCCGGAAAACTTTCATCTGTTGTGCCAATAGCCCATGCATCAACTCATGTGTCTACGATGCTGCCGCCACCAGGGCCACGCATCGACGTTCGTTCGCAAATAGCGATGCCTCGAAAAAGGCTCTAGCTGTGAGTTTGGAAGCCTTGCCAAATCGAAAGTCGCCTTGTTTCACGATCTTCCAGAAACGTCACGGAATCTGTCCAAGCCCACTGAATCAGGCAGACGGGAAGCTTCTTGACGGGAAATGACTTCTTCGAACGTGAAGCAGCAGGTCTGCGGCAGATGTTGGATGTTTCGCATCGGTCGATCAAACACATCTGCCTGACAGAAGGCCCAACGTCATTTCCCGCAAAAGCATTTGCCTGTTCGGACGTTCATGTCCACCGCTTGTTCATCGGTGCATCTAGTTATGAACGGATGGCTAACAGGTAGGGTACAACAGGTGAGAGCAGAGCTGTCTAGGAGTTGTTCAGCTTGCATAGTGAGCCACGTTGAGAAATTGATTCGCTCTTGGATCTGAGTCCTGATCAACGACAGGGTGTCAACCATCGACTGTCATGTGATGATATGCTAAAAGCGTGGATCTAGGGCAAAGGGCGAGAGTCTTGATACCGACCGTGCTACGTTGTCGCTTGATTATAACCGCCCAGAGCTCAATCCAGGCGTTGTTATTGACCACTTCGGAGCATTCACCTGACGTGCCAGCATCATGTTGGCATTCGACCACAGCGTGTCCAGAGGCATCATGGGTCTCTGGAACAAGCCGAACAGAGGTTGTCATGCGTTTGAGGTACACAGCGATGGCTGTGAGCCTGATCCTGGTCCTCAGATGAGATCTTGGCCACGTTGACGCCAGGTACAACCAGGCCGCATCCCTCTGATTGTCACTATTGTTGAATCCTTCGCCGGGTTGCTTCCGATCGATCGAAGTCCGTGTCCCTTCATGGCCTGGTTTCATCCCCCTCGAAGCTCGACGACTGTGCGGGATCCCTTTGACTGATGCCACGCTTCTGCCCAACCCATCTGCTTGACTCTGCACCGACCACATAGAGGCGGCGGCGGCGACTGGAGCCTCGAGATGACATGCCTGCGGAAGTTTGCTTTGAAAGGTTGGGTCGAGCAGAGCCTCAGTGTGCACGAGACTCTTGAGGGCCGTTGTTGCAGAACAACTCTGTGCTGATTTCTATTCGAGGGTGCGAGAGAAGAAAACGACAGGCCTCATCCACGACCAAGAACCTCTTCAGTCGCCACTTGCTCATCTGCCTTGCATGGTACGCTCGACAAACAACTTGCTCTAACACTTAACTCTCGGATCGCAAACATACGACGGAGGGCCACGTGCAGCAAGAATGATGGCCACGTTATGCAAGGCTACAGAGCCGGGAGGTCCTCATCATCGACCCTTAATGGCTTTGCTCTCCCGCTAGCCGTCCTCCAGGCGCAGTCGTCTTGTCCACTTGGCCCTGGCTACATCCCAACCAGGTACTTGTCTACACCTGGATGAAGTGGCACTTCGGACTCACCCGTGGCCAAACCACAACCAGCACCCATGTCGCTTTGCCATACCGCCCACAGCTCTGTGGCCTCTGCCCGGCTGGCGGTTAGTACCGACCCGGTCGTGCAAGCTCTGCCTGACACTCTTTACGCACGTAACATCCCCCATGTTCATCTTCCTGGCTCCCCTGTCCTCCGCTGGGATAGCATGTATTGATGAGGAGAAGCCCCTCCGGAATATCAACAAAACCCAGAGCTGTCCCCTTCAAACTCTCCATGCCATTGGTATCGAATGAGATTTTCCCCGACCAAGACCAACGCACGCATGGCCCTTCACCAGCGATTATTCATCTCTCAGGCAATGCTATATTCGAACGCGAAACAACCGAGGTTCCGAGACGCAGATTGTTGTTGTTGCGCTGGCTCTCATTGAAGTGCTGGGACATGCTTGCCGTGCCCCATATTCTGGAGTCCGTCGGCGAGCCTTGATTGATTTGCTCGTTCCAGGGCTGCAGGGCTGTATGCGCCAAGCAAGTGTCGCAAAGAGGACGATGTTGTTGGCATCGTTCCCATAGAGTATGCTCAGCGCTCTGGGCAGTACAGACTGCACGAACCAACAAACCAAATGGCAGGGCGTGTGTTTTGGATGATGTTGGAGACTTGTCTCGAAGAAGTCTGAGCTCTTGGCGCCCAACACCATCGTCAATCAATGAGCACGTTTGTCATGAAGTCGAAGCAAGGTTCTAACATGTACTCTGCCTTGGCATTCCAACACAATGGGCATTTTTTCTGGCGCCAAGCATGCTCCAACAGGCTCATACACCGCCACCGAAGGCCAAGAGAACAAGTTTAATACGCCGACTCAGTGTTCGACTTGGTGGACTCGAGCCACGTCAAGACTCACCTTCAACTCTGCTCGGGCATCGATGTTTCCGTGTTCACGCGGTTTGCGTGGTCTCCGTCTATGATGGGCGATGGAGTGAACACCGAGAGATGAAGCACGCTGACGGATGTGCAGTAGTCCACCGCGAGTACGTCGGCGACACCGTTGGCGACCTGGATGTTGGTGCTGGAATAGCAACCCAGCAGGTCGAGGCGAAAGTCTATATTGCGTGGGAAGGGTCCTCGACCGGATACTCGCCTCCATCCGACCAACACCTCTTCTTCCGTGCCAGGACTAGTTGTGCAGTTTTCTTTGGAAAAGACCAGCAGCAGAGTGCACAGGATTGTCCAGACTAGAGCTGTTTGAGTCAATGGTCTCTGTCTCTGCCTGTCCAACAAATGTCGAGGTAGGGAGTATCAGAACAGGTCCCTAGTGTTCAGTAATGGCTGTCTATCATCAGAAGAAGACGGCTATTCTTCTCTCCGGACGACTGATCATGAACCACGTTGTCGCTTTGTCATTCACTCCTCGTATCGCTCGTACACGGATCCGCCGAGTTCAAGAGATCCGGTACGGACGCTGCACGCACCACAGTATCGCTAGGCCGCAACCACACGCCCACTCGTACTCTCGCACTCTCGCAAACCAACATCATTCTTTCCAATCCACTATCATGTCAATATCTTGGCCACGCCCAGTCCCAAAATCCAACCCCTGACCCCCCTACCGGACAGCCTTGGCAGCACGAGACCACCACCCCAACCCCTGCCCAAGCCAAGAGCCTACTACGTCGTCAATCCCCCGAATCTGATCGGCGGGGTCGTGATGAGATATCGCACATCACTCCAAGACCGACCAGGCCTTGGCGTCGGTCTTGGTACGTTAGAGCGTTTGCTGCTTGTTCTGACCGCGGCCAAGACTGGCTGTGCAGCGTGAAGAAAAAGGCCACGCTTGCGCTGGGCCTTGGCGGAGTTTTCTTTATCGCATACGATGATACGATACTTTGTCGGCGAGCGGAATGTTGGGCTTGGCAGTACGGTGGGGAGGGGAGGGTAGGGAAGGGGCGCTTGTCTTGGATGGAGAGGAGATTGTTGTTGAGTGCGCTGGCGTTGGCGGTGGGCTTGGTATGTCTATGATTACACAGGGAACTTCACCTACCAAGAGTTCCACTCCACGAGCCTCGACATGTTGGCAGAGAGCTGCTTGGTATGACCATGGAGGCTATCGCATGCCAAGATTTATGCCATACAGTCTTGTGCGTCACTTCGACTATAATCCCCACACGACTAAGAGGAGAGGAGCGTGGCTCAGACACGAGCCAAGGTCGCTGGAGACATACCATATGCGTCCAGTTCGAATCTCAAGAACTTCGTACCTCTCCCAAGACCGCAACATCGTGCGGAGGCGCAAGAGATGGGGGATGCCTAGCTTGGCGATGACTACGTCTATTGGGCCAAGACCTCCCTCGGAGGGTTCTGCATGTCGTCGTAACGCCCAGAGGATACCCTTCGTAGGAAGAAATGATATCGGGGCGGAGGCGACTTTCATCCAGCTCGCGATCTCGTAACTTTGGTATAATGATCTAATGTCAACCGATGCCGAAGAGTCATCTTGACTTGAGTTTCCGAGCCCTACAGTCATTCCATTGATGAGAACCTGCTCCGTTGTCACAGCCTGACAGCTCTCTGTAAGTCTGGGCGTGTGGAGTTGGAAGCAGAAAAGGGGTGAAGAGAACACGAGCATTCTACCCATCGGCATCAAAAGCACTCAAGCCCTCAACACAACGGATGTCGAGGTTACGGCGCAAAAGTTCCTCGTCCATGATCGCCGCAGACGTCGAGATGTGAGGCCATCTATGCCTTCTGAGGGAGAGCTTTCCGCCTCCTGAACGAGGGCTGCCGTCTGTATCTTTTTCCACTGCCAGATGCCTCAGTACTTGATAGGAAGAATCGAATCACCTCACTTCACTCATCGCCGCTCTTAAGCGTGATACGAAGGGTTTCCTTGTGCAGACACCAACGTGTGTACCTTTCCCAAACTTGACTCACTTTCAACAAAGTCCCGGAGCACATGTTCACGCTCAAAACTCGACATCCACTGCACATTCACCAGTGTGCACAATGCCGCCCCAGCTCTCACCATTTTTGCCCATCTACCACAAGAGCAGAAACTAAGCCTGATTGAATATTCCCCCTTTTGCCCCCAACCGAATACATAAACCCTCTGCTCTGATCTCGATGATCGATACACAGCAACCATCGCTCTTCTCTCGACAGAGCCGGTGATTCAACCATGCACGATGAAAAGCGACAACACAACATTTCCAGGCCTGGACTGAGACACCCAAGGCTCAGCAATCGGACCTACTCATCATGACCCGTGTTCTGTCCCGCGATATCCCCTCGGAACGGCTCGGTCTGTGCAGTCAGTCCTTACTCACAACTCCGTACTACCTATCAAGCCACGACTTCTCCACTACCATCAGCGGCTGTATAGCGGGCGTTGAGAGTGCCTGAGGATGGCATCCGCTCGATAGGAGATACAATCTCGCTTCTCGGAGGCAGATAGGAGCTCTTGGACCGATTAGGAAGGGCAAAAAATGTTTCCGGTGGCAGGTAAGTACTAGCGAAAGAGAGCGCGAAGCCGAGGCGAAAGCGAGTGTGTTTTGCGTGTGAATTTTGCTGTGGGCACGATCAGAAGAATGATTCCATGAGTGTCACGTCATGTGCACGATTGGTTTCCGCGGCAGTTTGACGCTTGATGAGCCGCTCGCGGAATGCGAGCCCATGTTGATGACGGACTTTTCATAACACCCGAAGCTGCGTTTGGAACTTCGAACCCCTTGCTATGAGATGTGACTGGCAGGTGTCAAGATCGAGCCTTCTTTCAAATCTTGTGCTTGAGACGATTCGACTTCGCTTCCGCAACAAAACTGTTGAGACATGCCGGCTCGGAATGCCCATGCCCCGACTCACTCCCCAGGCATGCCGCTCCGCAAGTTGTCGTACTTGCTCTGTGGATACTCCAAACAATTCTCTGCCTTCTCCATGTGCTTGCCCTCAAAGCCACCAAGTCCTTGCACGGTGATGTTGATCAGGCTCTCGGGTTGTTGCGAAGGATAGTCGCCGCTGCTTTCCCACCACATCGCACCTCCTAGCCCAACGTGTTTGATGTATTGAACCTTCTGCGTGGCGACTTGGGGACTGTCGTACGATACCATGGTTCGGCTTGATGGGTCGAAGCACCACGATGCCACGGCTTGGTCGTCGTGGTGGACTTGAGCCCCTGGTCGTGGGAGTGCCTGTACAAGAATTAGATCTGCACGTTGATGCGAGCTCTGGTGATTGCGAGGTAGGGTCGTGAATATCAGATTAGATCAAGTTATTCAACGCTTCGTAAAACGTTGTGCCCATCACATGTAGTGACTGCAGGAACCATCACGAAGAGGCTTCTGGCAGACATGCTAGGCGTGCGCTCTTTGAGTCATCATGCTGGGAGGTGACGCATGCTATATGGCCTGTGAAGACCAATGTATGCGGGTGATAACTCACTTTCTGATCCCAACAGCCGTTCTCCCAGCTCCCTTCACCAACCCCGTTGAAGCCATGTCCAGGTCCGTGAGTGTTCTGAAAAGCACGACCGTACAAGGGCATACCGAGAACGATCTTGCTTGGATGGACGCCATTGTCCATGTAGTATCGCACCGCGAAGTCTATACTGAACGGTGTGCTGTTCGGATTTGATTTCGACGGGTAGATGTTTGCCTGATGGCCAGCGTTCGAATCCCAGGAGCCGGCGAAGTCGTAAGCCATCATGTTCCAGAAATCGAGATAGCGGTCCATCTCTCTGAGCTTCAGCCATCTGCAATTGGATGGTCCAGCCGGCGACGCAATGGTAAGCAGGAAGTGCGGCTTGTGCTGAAGACTGTTCGAGTATTGCTCAAGTTCATGTCGAGTAGCATGGAGGAGCTTCACGAAGTCATTGGCTTCTGCATCAGACTTGGGGTACTCCCAGTCAATGTCCAACCCGTCTAGACCGAGGTCCTTGAGCAAAGACACAGCACTGGTGGCGAAGGTGCGGCGTCCTTGTTCTGTTGATGCTGGTTGAGCGAAGTTGCTACTGTAGGTCCAGCCACCAATGCTCAGCAATATCTTGAGATTCCGGTTGCGCTTCTTGAGGAGATAGAGCTGCTTAATGCAGCCGTACACGTTGTTTCCGGTATCGTTCCAGGAGTCTGAAGGGTAGTGCTTGTCGGTGTCAGACCAGCCATCGGTGAGGTAGACTTCTCCTGTCTCGGGTCGAACATTGGCGAAGGCGTATAGCACATGCGTGAGCTTCTCGGCCGGGATATCCTGTGGCTGATGGTTCCTGCCGTAGATTGCCCAATTGACAAAGTATGCGACGCTTCGGTATCCTGGCTGGTAGGACATGTTTGCTGTTGGGTCGAGTTGAAAGTCTGGCAGAGTCAATGGGTGCTGGAGAGGTGATGTTAAAGGGAGTTGTAGGGTAGACGTGACTGAGCCACAAAGTAGGCTGATTACGACGCAAGAAAGAGGGCAGTGCAAAATTGGTCTGACCACAGCGTCAGCTCTTGAAGTCCTGGTCGAGTGTGGCGCAAGAGGTGAATTCAGCGCTTGGATGAGATTGAGTGCTGCTGGTGAAGGAATCGAGACAGTTCGATTGAGCGCGACTGTTTCCTGCTGATGAAAAGTGCGAGCAGTTGGTAGGCTGGAGTGTTGCCTTACTGTGTGCGTATGCAGCGGCGGTACATCACCAGACCACGCCACGTGATGTATTTCAATATTTGTGAGAGATGCCCACTCAGATGAAGCCTGACATGTGATAGCAGCTATCGTGCAGGTGAAGTGAATGGAAGATTGTGCATGTGAAGTCGACCGAAGGCTCTTTCCATCCCGCGCCTCTTCCCCATTCCGAAGTTCCGAGATTCAGGCTCGTCCCATCGCGACTGAGCTTCAGGTCACTTCACTTCGACGCGCGAATCACGATTCACCACGTCACCGCTCTGCACCGCTGTCGCCCGGGAGACACCTCTCGCGCTGCCTATTTCTCCTTCCAAAAACCATGAATAAGGCTAAAAGCTGGGACAATAGCGCGAGATTGAAACGCGTGGGAAAACCGCCGTGAGCGCGTACGCGACGTTGGGCGGCAAAGGACAATCGCAAAATATCTCATTGTCAGGCATTGACAGCCCCTACACGCGCCAAACACGTTCGGAAGAAAATTCCATACCACATGGGAACATCAGACGCGTTTCCAGCGATGTCTTCTCGCGTAGCGCCATCCACGGCAGCGTCCAACGCAGAGCCACCACGAAAGCGACGTCGTCTCTCAGGAGAGGCGTACGGATCGATATCTGAGCGCAAATCAGGAGACCTCGAGACATCTCGTGAAGTCGACCACATGATCCTGGACTTCCTCGCATACCAAGCCATCAATACTTGCTTTGCCAGCCGGCAATCACCACCTGGCCCCGATGACACCTCCGTTGAGGAAGCTCTCTCGCAAGTCGACGAGTCCCTTGCTCTCTTCAAGCATCGATATCCTAGCTTTCGTTTCGATGCTGAGATGCGATTTCGTCAACAGCTCTTGCAACTCGCCGTACTGTTCACTCAGCGATTGACACGAAACTCGGTGACGCCTCCCACGTCGTCACTGCAAGGTTTACGGAGAAACAACCAAGCCCGCGCTCGTCGTTGGATTGGCTCCGCTGACCGCGTGCCAACCGCCGGTTACCCAGTCGATCCATACGACCGAGATCTACCTCTCTCGAATACGAAATTTGAAGACAATCGAGCACGTGCGTTGCTAAGTCTCGGCATGCCGGTGGAAGACGATGCCTACGTAGACAACTTCTATGGGACCAGCGAATGCTTGAGTCTACTTGACTTGACTCCACTCTTCATCAAGGTTACTGCAACCTTGCGAGACTTCCTCGGCATCAATGTCGGCGACAATTGGCTGCGGCTTGCTGGAGAATGGATGCTGCAGGCGTGTTTGGAGCAATATCTGGTATATGGTGCAAGTGGAACAGACGCGATCGATGAGGCTTTCGCATGGGGCCATAAGGAGGAAAGTGCCGAAGACGATCAACAGGAAGAGGACAAGGAAACGAATGGCATTTTCTACAACGACGAGAAGGACTCTGAGTCGAGTGGTTGGGAGAAATTGAAAGAGGAAATGCTCGAGGAGCTGTTTCTGGCTGCGGACGGCACCAAGGACCTTGTAAGCGGGTTGATGGAGCTACAGGCTGCGCACCCCATCGAGACTCTCGAGAAGACCGTTCTGGTCTATCTAGAAAACCTTTTGGAGAGCGTCCCTGAGCCTGTTCTCGTGCAACTGGAGAAGGGAAAGCTCAAGGACATGTCCGAAGAGGAGACGAAAGACTTCATGAATGCTTGCGGGGTCGCCACATCGGACCTCTTTTGAAAGGCTTGAAAATGAGGGGATCAGAGCTTGTACGATATACAAGCTGACGTGCACATGACGAGGGACTGCTTGAGAGTAAGGAAACCTGTTTGCAATGAATGATACCCAACGCTGGCATGCGTACGACTGATGACGAAGCAAAAGCTCATTCTATCTCACCTCCTTTCACGGCAAGTTTGAAACTCCTCTCCCTCTCAACACCCTTCGCCTTCTCCACAAATGCGGCACGATGAATGCAGTATTGCTCGGTGTCCGGACACCAAGAATCGAAGTCGTCCAAAGTGCCAGCAGCGACCGAGACGATCTCGTCCCAGAGTGGAGTGAAGGCGAACAACTTGGTCCCACACTCCGTACAGAAAACGCGCTTGAGATTCGTCCCAGAGTCGGTGTTTGTATCCCAGTAGTCTTTTTGGTACTCTGCACCCTTGGTTACGCTGAAGCCCTGCGGAGACAGATTGTCAATCCAAAGGTTCACAGCATGTTGCAGCTCACATGCATCATGTTGCGGCACGTGGAGGGCTGGCTGGGTGCTTCAAGAACAAATTGTGGGCTCGCGTACTTCTCTGGGGCAAATCGACGCAGTGTAGAATGCTGTGCCGCTGACTCTACGACAATTCAGGCAATGACAGACTGCAGTGGAATCAGGACATCTGCATTGTGATGTGAAGGGGTATGCATATGCTACCTGTGTTGTACAAAGGCGTAGCCGAAGGGCCCTTGAGCTCATATTCGATCTTGCCACAGAGGCAACGTCCGGTCTTGCCCGACGACGTAGACATATTCCGATAAAGTGTACTATTCTTGTATAGACAAAGCAGCCATCAAGGTGTCGAATCAACAGCACGAGCAGGATGACAACCACAGCATGCACTTGACAGCTCCACTCTCTTCATCATCAGGCCCTCGGCAATCAAAGGCATTGGCCGCCTCCTCAATCTGCAACTCGGTCCAGAAGTGGCAATTCCCTCACGCTTCTCACATCAGTCCAGGCCAACAGCGAGGTTTGGCGACGAATAGGACACATATCCTGTGGAGGACAACAGCTCAGACGATGATGTGTGATGGTGGATGACATGGCACCTTTCGGCGCTTCCTCTGTTCAATCTTTCGACCACGACACCGCAATTCCGTGAGCCGACCGTTTCACGCCAGGGAGTCGCGCTTGGCGACGGACCAGCAACACCAACATCACCTCACTCCTCCGCCATCTCTCATACACGCGTCCGGCGGTTCAACCGCCTGGAAATGTCCCGACAGATCTCGTGTACACGCGCCAAACCATTGTCTCTGCCGCGCCGCATTGTCTCGTTGCAGCAGACAAACACCTCCAACCACAGCCCCACAAACTCCCCATCTGCACGCACCCTGGCGAGAATAGAGCCGCTTCATGCATGAGTCGAGCCGTGCCGACCAGTAAAGGCTCTTCCGCGCTCTAGCTGCAGCGGCGACATGGACGTGGCAGTCGCTGTATGCGTGCCTGACTTGGATCGTCAGCGCCGCTGGCCAGTAGGCACTTTTGGCTGACTGCGCTAGGTCACGCTCCCTCTCACGGCGATGGAATAGCTGAGGCGTGCTATAACACCACTGGATTCAACCACGCCCAGCGGTGGCTCCACCGCCGCGAGCGAAGACGGGAAGGGAAGGCAGCCTTGCCTGGCGTGGAGGTTTGCTTGCTTGCTTGCTCACCTCACCGCACTCCTGCCAATGGGCCTATACGGTGCTGGAGGCAGCATACAGCGCCTGCTTGGCTGCCTGTACGTATGCACGTCTGTTCCTCATCTTTCAGTCTCCTTCTCCCGTTCAACTTTTCTGGGGCACGCCTATCTCGTCTCAGCCTCTGCAGCAGCGAAGATCTCTTGCCCTTTGTACTCTTAAATCGTTCTTCTACTGACGAGGTTGCCTTGTCTTGTATCCCTAAACCACCGACAGATCCTCCGGGTTGTCTCTACTTCTTCTTCAACAACCACGCCTTTCCCGCCTTCGACTTTTCTCGTTCCACTGCACGCTTCGTTCTCCACTATCGTTTAAGCTTGCATTTGCTCTGACCGCTGTGGCACGATGCCTATGTCACATTTTGGTCTCACGGTTTCGCACATTCCCTCGGCCACGTCATTTTACCTCTCTGCACTGCAGCCGCTCGGATACCGCTTCATTGGGCACCAAGGCGATTCTATAGGTCTTGGGATCGATTCGGCCGACTTCTTCCTCACACAGGCACCTATTGGGTACGTACACCGCCAATATTTGCCTTTGTATAAGACTAACAGATATAGCACCCGACCCTCGCCAAACCACATTGCATTTCTGGCCGAGAGCCGCCTAATAGTACGAGACTGCTACACTGCAGCACTAAACTCAGGTGCCCTTCCCAGTGGCGCTCCAAATTACCGCAACGAAGACTGCTCCTGCTTCAACGCTGCCGTGGAAGACTTGGACGGCAACACGGTCGAGTTTATTTTCCGACAACCTCATGGCGAAGGTGACAGATGTGACACCATTGCTCCGCCAGAGGACCAACGTGTCTTGACCTGGCAGAAAGATGTAGCCAGTAGTGCTGCGCAGGATGACGCCCAGTCTGTTGCTCAGTCAATGGTCTCGAGAGGATCGTTGGCTTCGAAAACTTCCCGTGCTAAATCGAGGATGCAAACAGCTCTTGATCTCGCATCGTCGGCGTCCAAGTCGGTGAAGTCAGAAGCTCCTAGTCAAGGCATTTCACGCAGCAGTACAACGCCTGCAAAGTCAGACTTTCCTTCGAAGACCTTGATCGGCACCGCTCTCGGTGCTGCAGCAGGCGCTGCAATCATGTTCGCCATGAGCAAGGCAGAGTCAGACAATGCCAGAGATGAAGCCGAACATCTGGCATACATGTCGAAATCAAGACCTCGCCGACGTTCTCTTAGCGATGCCAGACCACCGCCACCACGAGCCGAAACTATCAAGGAGTCAATGCCGCCGACAGCACCACCAAAACCAGACAGTAGAAGATTCCATCGGAACTACAGTACGACAGAATCGCAGTTCTCGAGACGACCACCGCCACCGCCGACAAAGGCGATGCGTATGATCGAAGCCACTGGTCACAATACAGAAGACGAGGACATCCAGGAAGCTTTGAGTCGATACTCGGGAATGAAGGCGATGCCGACACGGAGTCGAACGATCGATGACTACGAGTACGCCCCGAAATCAAGAGCTGGTGGTCGAAGTGAAGCACCTTCGGGCCACAGTATGAAGCGCGCAACCACACTCCCAGTCGAAGCGATTGAAGATCGTCCAAACTACTACCTCGAAGCACCACCGCCAAAGAGCTACGTCTCCAGACACAGTAGCCGTCACGACACCCCACGAAGCCACGTCTCCGGCTCCCGCCACAGCAGTCACGCCCACCGCCGCAGCAGCCACGACGACGCCAACCTCAAACGCCACGACAGCGGCATCAGCATGCACTCCTCACGCTCCCGCCGCGACCGCGACAGCGACGCCGGCCGCAGATCCTCCGGCAGCAAAGCCAGCACGACCAAACCCCCTCGTCGAGACGCCTACGACCAAGCCGCAGCCGTAGCAGCCGCAGTGCCCCAAGCCCCAGGCTCCAAAGCCCCCTCATCCTGCTTCTTCCCCGCCGCCATCTCCCTCCCACCCTCTCACGCCTCCAGCAAAGCCTCCCGCTCGCACGCCCCGTCAACCTACGTCTCCGCCCCGCAAGAACCCCTTGAGCCCACCGCCTCGAAACAGAGCTGGGAAGACTTCGTCATCGGCGAGGAATCGGATGGACTGGGCGATATCAAGACTGTTCTGCCCGAGGATAGTATCTCGTGCGTGGATCTGTCGAAGCCGAAGACGAGGAGGGAGAGTCATAGTAGTAGTCGGCATTCGAGGCCTAAGGAGAGGAGGAGGGATGGGGGGAGTGGGGGGAGTCGGCATACTGTTATGACTGCGTTGCCGTATCGGGGGAGTGGGAAGGAGAGGGATGGGAAGAGGAGTATTTTGGGGTTTGCTTGAGGGATGAGTGATACAGGTTTGGTCAGGGTGAGAGGTTTAGGGTCGTGTTCCGTGGTGGTCTTTTGAGAGTTGTCTGAACGAGGCGCTGCGATTTCGGATTTTGGTCATTCGGACTCTTGACTCATTCTGGGCAAGGCAGCAAAGCATTTCATCGGGTCAGACAGTAGCTCTTCCAGGCATTTTCGGTTTGCATTCTGAGATTTGTGCACTTGAGTCCGTATTGTTACGGTAATGAATCATTTCCAACAATATATGCGCCCCTGTTCACCTCTGATTCCTCACTTCTTCAAGCACCGAAGATCACGAACATCACTCGCCAACCTGCCAGGAAATATCCACATCATACTGCCTCACTTCCCTCTCCACCAAGCAATTCTCCACCGTCCTCCCAAACTCTCCCCTTCCTCCCGAATTGTCTCCACCATATCCACCCCAAATCGCTCCACAGCTTCGCCATTATCCCCAAGGGGTCGGCCTGGGAACAGGCCCGTCCTCACACTCGGCCTCCACCTCCATCCCACAAAACCCCTGGTAACTTCGCCATTCCCGCGACCCAGGAGGCGGGGGATCAACCCCGGTCTTGACGCTCGTCTTGTTCACTTGTTCCGCTTAGTGTTGTATCGCAGAGGAGCGCCTGCCCAAGTCACCCCTGACCCGCAGAGGGCGGTGCGAGTGTATCCAAGGCTGTCAGACACGAAAGTCGGGAACGAGATCCATGATGAACCGAATCACAGAAATGCGTTTCCTATAATCGATCGTTCAAAGACAGCTTTTGGGGGGAAAGCAAAAAGGATGCCTCAGTTCATGCCTCAATTCACGCCTCAATCCATGCGTCAATCCAACCAGATCCCGCAGCTAGATCGAGACTTTCATCGGGACAGACAGCCGCCAAGCAAATCAGCTCATGAGGGTATGACAAGGTCTCTATTGGCAATGGTAGCTCAAGCCAAGTCATGAGCATGGAGGTTGGGCAGCGCCGTTGCTCCTGATGCCCTATTGTCGATGACTGTGTGCCAAAACTTCCTCTATCTCATGCGCTCTTCCCTCAGGAACCGCATAGCGCAGTGCTTGTGTTGTGCTTGTCCACTCCATCGGCGGCAATTCTTCGATTAGATCCTGATACTTGTAGATGTCCTTCTTTGCGACAGTCCGTCGATATTCGGCAATGGAGATCGGGCACCGCTCGGGCACTTTGGCCCCCTGATCGATGAGCAACTTGACCACCGACCAGACGGCCTCGTCTTGATCGTGATTGGCGCTCATGAAGAGCCAGTTGCGTATGAACCTTGCCAAAGGCATCGTACTGGAGCCGATATCGCTGCAGCTGCCGAACGCTATGAGCAATTCGTCCGGGTCCGCGCCTTTAGCTATGAGCAATACAACCAACTTCACATCCAGCAAATCTAGTTTTATAGCCTCCTTCTCCTCAAATTCATATGTCCCTTTCCCAAAAGCATAGCGAATGATCTCGCCCTGTGATTCGCACGCCCGGATATTTGTGCTGGATTGAGAAGCTTGGAAGGCGTCAAGCCTTTGCGCAAACGTTCGCGTGATGGCCTGGTAGTATCCGCGGGTACACATCGTTCTATGCCTGTTCAAGTTATTGTCGGAAGGCGCTTTAGCGTGGATCGTGCAGTTTGCTGTGCAGTAGTTATCCATGTACTGCACTTCAAGAGAGTCAAGCTCTTCAAGAACTTGATCACTAGGCTTTCCTGAACATATCCAACCCGCCATCTCGTCTATGTGCTCACAAGGATCGTTCGGCTCGCCAACGGGAGCGAATTTCGCTCTGGCCAGTGTCACCTTGGCTGCTATCGAGGGTCGTGCCAGGTGAGCAGGATAGAGTCTCTGAAGGATGCGGCGAATGTCTTCCAGATTTAAGAAGTCGTAGACAGTTCTGTGTATGAATTCGACTTGCGCATTCGGCATAAGGTCTACACTCGACAGTGGTCCGTCTTCTCTAAATTCTGGTTGATTGACATGCAGAAAATCGCGACAGCTCGAGCGAACGAGACGTGCTGTTTCACTTGCCATCTGTTGCAGCTCGTCAAAGGAGTAAGCCACCAGGCTTCGCTCATAGGCGAAGTTTGAATTCGCGTAGTGGTTCGGCTTATCTACGATGGGCCAGAGATCCAAGAAGGATACATACACAAATTGGGGAAAGTCATTGCGGCGAGGAATTCCGGCGATCGTGAGTGCAGTCGCGGTAATCCTCTGATAGACCTTGTCCATGCGGCTTAGGATCAACTTGAAGTATGGTATTAGCTCGCCAGGGAGTTGCTCAAGGCGGTCCTGCATAATCTCAATGCTGTCGCCTTCCTCAAAGCCAGAAATGAGCGACCGGACCACCAGGAAAACCCAGAAAAAGACGCCATTTGCCTTTGATACAACAGCTTGGATCAGCTTCTCGGCCTGTGGCTCACGACGGCGAAATCGATGCGTCCGGTTTGTCTGTGACTTTTCGGCTCTTTCGAGATGGTCGCGCACGTAATGTTCGATGTCATTACGGGTGAGATGCTCCAAGTGTATGGCAAATTCTGTGTCACCCATTGCATTGATGAAGACGTTCCACGGTCTGCACGAGACACACACTTTGATCCTACCTCCTGCTGCTAGGCCTTGCAGTACGGAGATAAGATCGGCGTGGTCACCGTCAAATTCATCCAGCCCATCGATGAAGAACACCAAGCGCACGTCGAATTCTTCCTGTCCATTGCCACGCTCGAAGCGGCTTCGACAGTCGGTGCGTGCGATCGCATAGGCGGCGTCCAGAAGCTCCTGTTGAGTCCACGCCTGCCGTCGATGGGCCGCAGAGCTGAAACGCCCAGGACACGCGACAGGAACAAGCTCTGGACACTCTGACAGAATCTTGTACAGTATGCCTTGCAAGAGGCCAAACGTGGACTTTTGCTTGGAAGTGCCAAGGTACCAGAAAAAGAAGTCCGCAAGCACCCAACGCTGGCCGGTTGACACCCAAGAGTTTAACAATGAGGTTGTTTCCGGACTATGAAGCAGAAACTTCATCAAGGTCGACTTTCCCGATCCTGGTTTCCCACACACCCAAAACAGGCCGTTTCCTTCAGAAAGCCACGCCCTCAATTTGCTGTCCGTAGCCTTCACTGCCCATCGGTAGGTGTCATCGTACGCATCAACCACTGTGTCGCGCCTGGAGTTTAGTTCCTTGAAGTGCAAGCTGTCAATGATTTCCTCTTTTGCTGGGAGTGCCCTTGCTTCAAACTCCTGGAGATACTTATGGGTATCGGCCTGCGTTTGAGCGATGTCATGCAGTATAGCGATTTCGTCGCTTTGCTTCGATGCGACGTTGAGCAACAGGGCAACTTCCAGCTGTTTGGTCAGGTTGTGCAGTTCTTGTTGCTTCCTTTCAATCTTGCTTCTCTTTGAAACAGCCCGGGCGGCCTGCCTAGTGCTTTGAAGGGCCCTCTTGACGCTCTTGCGGCCCTCTGTCACTTTCAAGTCGTCAAGTAGCTTCAAGAGTTCCCCAGCTTTCTGACCGATCTCTTTCGCCCTCTGGATGAGGGGTGCAACTTGAGCTGGTGGACCTTGGTTCCAGGCCTCAGATTCCGCCACTTCTTGGATGAGTAGTTCGTGCTGTCGAGTTAGCCTCTCGATTTCAATATTCTCTCGAAGAGCATCATCTGAAGCCGTCAATTTCGCTGCATTGTACAAAACCTTTCCAGAGAAGTCGATGATCTGAAGCACGCTCGACGCAGCACCCACAGCTGCCAAAGCAGAGATTGGATCCGCCATCGAATCGTAAATTGCCGTACAAGTCGAGAAGTCTTGGACAGGTGTGCAACTTGAGCTTGAAATCCGAGCTCTGAAGCAGCGCATACACCCAGGAAATACAATGAACAGACAGGCTGTGTTGAGGTGCGTTCGTGGCTGTGCGGCTAGCTCTTGTCACACTGCAGGCTCGACGGCTTGCACGTGAGCCAGCCACGCCGCATGGGCGCATCCACGGGCCGCGCGCCCCAAAGGCTGAAAGGCGGTGATGTTAGTTTCCCGTTCTGTAGCAACTACGCCAACCTCATGGCCAACACTGATACACAGATTTTCAGCGCTCTGCCTTTCAAAGTCAGATTTTCATGAGGCCTTTGTCTTGAAAGGCTGGCACATCGGCATTCCTGGTGGAGCCGCTCCCCGTATGGATATGATTGTAAGAAAGCATCAAAATCACCTCCCCAAAGGCCCAACAACACTTCCCACCATAACCGCCGCCTCCCTCTCCCAATTCCCCTGCTTCTTAGCCCCTCGGTACCCCCTATCCACACACTCGCGAACAGAGTCCCTCACACGATCTCGATTCGATCTCAACGTCCTCGCACTCACACCACCCTTCTGCAAGATCTCTTGCACGCGAGCTGTCATCTGCCCGGCCATACTGCGCCAGAAGTACGAAGGCAGTGAGCTGGTGTCGAGGTGTCGTAGTAGAGGTTGGAGGAAGTTGTCGTCTGTCGTAGTGGAGGAGTCGCTGGGTGGGAGCAGGGGATGTGCAGGCGGCTTGATAGTTTCGAGGAGGTTTTCCAGGGCGGTGATGTTCTGACACCTCGCGGAAATCTCCAGCAAAGTCCTCTCCAGCGTCGGTAGTGTCGCCAACGCCCGACTCAGCGCCGCAAGGGAAGATGTCAACGCAGTCTGCAGATAACTCTGCAATGCTTGGACGAGTAGTGTCGGCTCAAACGCCTCCAACGTAGCGTCCCTCTTAACCGGACTCAACAAATAAAGCGTCTGCATCGCACTCGCGGCCCTCGCCTTCGTCTCCTCCGCCTGCGCAAACGTCTTCTCCCCACTCGCCCCTCCACCACCAACCCCACTCAGACTAAACTCCCTCACAACCCCCTGCGCCCGACTAACCAAGCCCCTCTCACTCGGCGTAACCAAATCCTGCCGCACCACAACCGCCGCCTGACACCTCCCCAACTCCGCACTCCCCTCCGCAAAACACCCCCTCAGCTCCAACAACGTCCGGCTAGCAGGCACCATCGCCCGCGCCCCGCTCCCCTGCCTTGCGGAGGGAGGACTGCTCACCTCCTCCATCTGCCCCTCCAACTGCCGCCCCAACTGCACAACCCTCTGCACCTGCCGTCCCAGCCTCAGCGTCCTCACCATCCGCTCCGCCACGAGTCGGACTTGCTCTGCGGCCTCGTAGCGCTCCCCGACTTCCCGTTCCAAGCGTTCATAACTCTCGTTTAGAACTTTCACCTGCTCTTCCACGACCTCCAACACGCGCTTCCCACTCTCAGTTTCGTTTTGCGCGTGGCTGATTATGCGGGGCGCGTTCTGGGTTGTGAGGGTGTCGATTTTGGTGTCGACTTCTTGGACGTCGAAGAGGACGCGGGAGAGGGGCGTGGAGAGGTCCAGGGGCGTATCGGAGGCGTTGTTGGTTTGGAGGATGAGGCTGTTGGCGTAAATGGAGGGGGAGAAGGTGGGGGAGAGGAAGGTTTTGGTGTCGAGGTAGGAGGAGGTGCTCGTGTCGGCCATTGTGAGGGTGTCTGGGTGGTGTTGTGAGTGGGAGAGGTGTTGGGGTGGATGAGGTGAGGTTGGAGTGTTGAGCAAATTGAGTTGAAGCTGTTTTGGTTAGGCTTGATGGGGGTTAGTCAAATTCTGGGCGACTGTTGTATCAAATGCGTATTCAATCCAGAAATCGAGTTGTGCGTAGTTCAACTACACCGCTGTAGTGGAAGTATTGCAACGCATAGAATCTCTTGCTAATGACGTTGATCTCCATGCATGCTGCAACTTTCAAAAGACGTTGAAAATAGAGCCAGGCGAAACCGCACAGACACTCTAATCACATGCGAGTCGCTGGAACTCACCTCCCATTTAAAGCCCAGATATTCGCAGCTTCATAAAGTCTCGAGGGACCACATACGGCTGATGTTGTTTGGGATCGAAGTGAGGCACAGCTAGTTGCTTCCAAGAGATTGCAATAGATGTTCGGGTATCGCGCTACAAGGCACTCTCTGTCTTCTTCGCCATCCACAATCCAGAGATGGTCAAAGGGTCTGGTACTCAGCCCATAGAACCCCCGAAACTGATCATCTCCTGGACGTGGATTTCATCGTTACAATTATCTTTATCCAGCAAACCTCCTCCTCTCCCCACACTCCAAAGCAACCACCTGCGTGCCCACGGCTTTCCCCGATCCCATTCCTTCTCTTTGCCTCAGCATCTTCGTGGTGTCCTCAGTAGTATATCTCGTCTTCGAAATCCACGCCACGGCCAACCCGCTGCTGTCCTTGATTTCATCGTGCGCCGAGATCCAATACTTGACATCCACCTCTTCGAGCAGCTTTATGCCGCCTGGTGCGCCTCCACTGATCAGCCCGCCCATGAACCAAGGATTCGACTCCATGTTGAGGCTGTGTATAAGGGCAGTCACGGGTAATGCGCCTCGCAATGGAGCAAGGTGATTGTAGACGTACGGTCTGAGTGTAGCTGGTGGAACCCCATGAGGTGTGTAGATCACGCTCAGCACGTGCTCGAAGTTATCTTGCCTCTTGCTCACTGTACGTGACATTGGCGGTCGAGACCCACTGGTACTAGGTCTACCTTGAGGAGAACCGGTTCGACCTCTGGAAACGGGAGGCTTCGTGGCATCGTAGTCGTCATCGCCGGAAGGCGGTCGTCGTGTAGAAGGTCGTATAAAGTCGACCCCGTCCAAAGAACTTCGTATGTATCGCTGTTTCATTGGCGACTTGGGAGACGACGGAGAGTTGGGACTGTCAGCAGCTGTTCCTGGTCGCGAAGGAGACATCATTGGCATGTCTGAAAGCTTCACAGTGCTGCCATCGGGAGAGGTGAGCAGTGTGCCAGGCGGGCAATAAGTTATCCCGATGGCGTTGTGCAAGCCAGTGATGTCTCGTTTCTGAACGACATCGTTGATTGTTACCTCGCCTTCTGCGCTTGCAGAGGAATAAGGCTCGACCGGTATCCTCATTACTGTATCGGGTTTTTTCGCATCGAATGGCTCAAGAACGTGTAAGACGTCGTTCTTGAAGTGCTGCCATCGTCGTATCTCTTTCGCTGCCTTTGGTGTTGCTACGATTGGCACCCTACTATCTCTTGACAACGAACATAACGACTCTTTATGGAGGTGATCAGATTTGTCTTGACTGATGATTATGAGGTCCACATCCTCGTCCAGCTCAGCCAAGGAACTGATAGCTGCGGGCTTGCTATGCTTGTTGGTTGCGAACTTGGGATGGCCGACAATGGAAGCGCCGTTCAGCCAGGGATCCAGGAGGATAGTGAAGGTACCGGGAAACCTGTACTTGTGCTTGGGAGGAGCGAACGGCGGTGTGAAGGTTAGGAGAAAGGTGGAGTCTGCGTTCAACTGCCGCACAGTCAGGGACATGGCGGTCGATTAAGAGCTATCACCAGTTCCAGTCCAAGGAGTGGAAGTAGTCCCCAAAGTGTTCACTCGTCGTACTTGGCATCTTGGGATGAGATAAAGCGGTAGGTTGGGAGGTTGATAGTGGATCGGTGCTGGTGTTGCTGCAGCTATCCGAGCTGCTGGTTCAAATCATGGATCTGGGATGTGAATGGCACAACGTCGTCACGAGTGAGGCATTGTGAGATGGCGAAGCGTGTGACGGGCGAATTGGTCTCTTTGTAATGAAGATAGTACGTCGATGTGCATTCTGGCACGCGCGTGTGGTTGCCGTGCACGCGCAGGAGGGTGCGGTCGCACCGAGATGGACGCAGGTGGAAGCGATGGGCGCATGCCGGGTGGATCCGCAGTACGAGATACCAAGACTCGTGGATGACAGGTCATGTCGTCGCTTTAATTTCCTCTGGATGTGGCACCGTTCGACCTCAAATCTTCGTCGCTCCTCCTCCTGTTTCCTTCCCTCCTCGTCGTGCTGATGGTGCCGCTGAGTCGATGTCTCTTCACATGCTGACGGCTGCTGAGGTGGACGGTGATCCGCGCTGGCTCAGACACGCGGGTGCGGCCGGCACCCTTGGCGACGTCGCAGCGGCCCAGGCCCTCTGTGACTGTGTCTCGACGCAGCCGAGGAGAAGAGACGGCGCTGCTGCTGCTGCTGAAGCTGGCCGAGCACGGCAAGGCAAGGCAAGGCTAGCAGTGCGCGAACGAGTGCGCGAGATGCGTTGAGAGGGTGAGTTGCGGCGCCGTCTCACCATCTCATCCATTGTCGTTGTCGTCGTTGTCGTTGTGTTGCGCTCTCTCACGCTGCTGCGGTCGGGCCGTCGTCTCTTATCTAATCGTGGTCGGCGGTGCTGATTGGCGTGTGTCTCTGCACGGCTTTTCCACCCAGAGAGAAAGAGCGGGGTTCATTCCAAACCAAACCAAACCAGCGGCGGGGGATTCTCTTCGTCGCAATACCAGCGATAGCAGCCCAACCCTCCTCTCCCACGGTCGACGCCCGCCACCGCTGCTCCAGTGACCTCGCCCACATTACTACTCCTCCGCCGCCAGCACGAGCAGGGACCAGGCACAGAGCACCAGCTCGCCAGCTCTCTCGCCAGCGCCGCAGCCCGCCCGCAATCCACTCTCGCTGCTGCTGCTGGCTTGTTGCTCGCCGCACAGCACCTCACACAGCTTCAGCTTCAGCAGCTACAAGCTCGCACCCCAAGCTCTCGAGAGCTGGCAGCAGACCAGCTGTCGCCCACTCCCGCCACCACTCTATCGAATCGCAGTCTAGCTCGCAGCTCCGACAGGCAGGGTCGGCTCCAGTCAGTGCAAACCGCGCACTCGTCAGCACCCACGAGCAACAAGAGCTGTGCTGCACAGCTGCCTGGGCTCCGACAACATGCCTCCGCGTACCGGCCAGACGTTGACCTCGTCCTTCTCCGTCACCGACGTCAACAACGAGGTGCGATGTGCCATTGCCGCTGCTGAAAGGTCTGTCCGCTAACCGCCTCGCAGGTCGTCTGTCCGCTGCAGAACCAGGATGGCTCCCAGTGCAGAAAACGATGCCTTGGCGTGAGTCTCTCCCCTCTACCCATATCGCAGCCTTGCCCGCCCTTACTTCGAGATGCTAACCATGTCTCGTCCCGCAGGAGAAGCGATACCGCTCCATGCAGGAGCACATTCGCCGCGCCCACCCCGAATACTACATCCCCAAGCTGCCGGCCACCAAAGAATCCTTTGAGCTGATGATTACATCGCCGCCCCATGAACGCCCTGCCCAAGACCCCAACCATGCCAACCACGTACACCACATACAACAGCACTCTGATCCGTCAGGTCTGTCACCCGCCTTCCACCTAGATCCGGGCCTGAGCTCATCCTTTGAAGGATACCACACTCTGGGTCAACATGATGGCGGCTACTACACGGCTGGTGACGCAGAGGCGGCCGCCATATATAGCAGCATGCAGGCGCAGCAGCGCTCGTCTGATGAGTATCGGCGAGGCTCGCTCATCCCGGCTGCCTCTGCTGCCGCCGCTCTCGCCCAGTTGCACTACCACAGGCCAGACTCAGAATGGGGAGGGGACAACATCCAGCAGGTGATATACCCTTCCCTTGAGCTGTCACCTACAGTCACTGAAGCCGATCTCCTTCAGACTTTTTACTCCAACCACGACGACATGAAGAACCACGTCTACGTCGATCCTCAGCTCGAGGAGACGACCTTCATGCAAGATCAGTCAGGCTTCCCAGCGTCTTCAGGTCAAGAAGCACCTGGCTTACTTCAACATAGCTTAGCCAGATCGCCGCAAGATCGATCGGCAGCACTGCAACGCAGTGTCTCCAGAGGGGGCCACGCTAATCGTCCCAGAAAGTCGAGCCTGTCACAGCAAGCGAGACTCGCCAAGCACGAGCGCAAGCGATCAAAAGAGCTGAAGCATAGCAGTGGCGGCGACAGAAAGGCGTTTTCAGCTGAGCCGGCCAACCCGGCCTTTCACTACGGCAAGCGCTGGGAAGATTTGATAGACGCGGCTGCCAGCGCTACAGAAGAGGAGGGCTCGCGAGATCTGACACCGGTGAGGCCGCCTTACTACATCCGTATGTAATTCATGGCAGCTCACACAATGCACAGATACCCGCATCGCCGTATCAGTCGCCTCCCGTCAACTCGCGGACAAGCCTGCCGCCTTTTGCTATGGGCTCTCAGTTCCAATCCTTTCAAGCATCGCCACTCAATCGAGCATTGACACCACCATCGGCCGACCACACTGGCTTGGACTTGCAACACTTCCCGTCGGTGGACAGCAGCCTGAGCAGCGTGTCCCACCATCAGCATCACAATTCGGCTGATTCAGGTTCACAGTTTCAGATCATGAATCCTTCATCGATCGACTCGACGTCCTCACCCATGTTTACACCCGCTGGCGGGGGCAACGGTAACATGGCTGGCGCTGGTGACATGGTTCAGATCTACTGTGCTGGTTGTAGGAGAACCAGCCTTTTGAAGGAGTCTTACGCCTGCACGTCTTGTATCAGCGGCTTGTGCGGCAGCTGCACCGACGCCATCATCCAGGAGCAGAGCCGTGGTCGAATGACTAGCTGTCCGCGCTGCCATGCCATGGACTCGAACTTCAAACAATTCCAGCTGGAGCTGCGATAGAATCCAACTTCGTGTTTGAGCTGGTTTTTGGGGCCTGCGAGGTGACACAGCAGGGAAGCAAGATATGTTGATGTCCCCTTTATGATGATAAAGACGGGGTTCTTGTCTCTCAAAATGAACAACGACGGGATAGAAGGTTGGCATATGATATGAAGCATTACTAGGCATGGAGGCACGACAGACGAACGACTACCATGGGAAAACGGTGGGCGAGCCTATCCATTCGGACTGGAAGGAAGGATGGCCTGATCTGATTTCACGAAGTCATGAAGAATTTGGGTTGGGACAATTGAACTTCAACGTGGCTGTTGTGTGTTTTTTTGTTGATGACGACACGGGTTTCGTTCATGGGGCATTGCGAGGCGCTGGAGGGAAATCTGAAAAAATCGTCTTTTTCTTCCCCTTCTTCTTCTTCTTTGCAGCGAGCACACATAGCACGCAGAAAACGAGATGACCTGTTGACAATTCTCCGCATTCTTGATTTCTCCGTCTGAATTGTTTGGAACGAGGTCTACCGAGAATCCCCTCGGCCAGCTACGGCTCAAAGGCACAACCACCCACCTTGCCTTGCCAGCCATGATTATTTCCGAGTAGTGGACCCTGCTGTCCAGCCTCGCTTGCTTGCTCGCCCTTGTGTAACGTAAAGCTATGTGTACATAGCGTTGAATGAAGAGGGCGATTGCTATGAGCGATATCGCAGTGGAGTGGTGGGGGCTGGAACGCGCGGGAGGAAGAACTCTTTGATTGATTGAGAGGGATTGGGATTGAGGGGTTTAGTTTGTTGATGAGACGGCCTAGTCGTACTACCGTTGTTGTTTATTGGGGAAAGGTGGAGAAGAGAAGGGTGGTACTGTACATGGGTACTTTTGTCTGGTTGATTGATTGTTTTGCGGGTGGCTGGGCATTGAGTTTTGTGCGATGTCGTTTTGTGTTGGGACGATGTCGGAGGTTGTTGTAGTTTGTGTTCACTTTCCTATAGTGGATTACCGGGCTCCGAGTTGCGCTATTTCTCCATGTGGAGTGCCGTAGAAGATGTAGGCTAGAGGTTGGTAATCACTAGGCTGGAGGTTGGTAATGACGATGTGGTTGAATCTGTTCAACTTTGAACGACTAGACGACAGAGTTTCGATTGGATGATCCCACGGCATGGAGTTCTGCTCGCGAGATATTCCGTCAATCTGCATGGCACGAACGAGTCGTGTCGTAGCTGGGCGCAGTGTAATGAGCGAGCAAACGAGCGGGAGTGGGTCGCTGCATGCATGGCAAGCATTGGCTTCGGACCTTGCAGCTAGAGTGCGACATTTGCACCGTGTCATTGGTGTTTCGAGCCCTGCGAGCAATTTATAGGCTTGCGTCAGTGGACTCGTGATCAGACAGAAAAGCAGAACTTCCAATAGGGTGTTAGTTTGATTGTTGGATGCTTTTTTCTCCGTCTCGTGGGTTGAGGATGAGGTGCTGTTCTCTAGCCTCGAAGCTTAACGGACTTGCTCCGCAGTGGAAAGGCCAGTCGTGATTGTTGTGCAAATGGCATGGTCTTTGAGACGATGGGTGTCTCGTGCATGCGGTCTCCGTATGCTGGGTCTGAATGGGTGTTATAGGATTGTAAGAAGTGTGAGCATGCGAAGGCTGATAGTCGGTCCCCGAGGGAACGGGCGCTGGAACGTGTGGTCGTACGGCATCGTCGCTGAAAAGAGCTTTCCCTCGGGCATGTGAAAGGTAACTGTCGGGTAATCCATTTGTGCGAGGGCTTTGGGATGCATGCTGGGGGAATGTAGCAGAGCGCTAGGCGATCCTGTCGCCGCGGTGGCCACCAGTGATGGAGTCGCTTTCGCTACAGGTGCTAGGGACGACGGCTCGGGACAGGTCCAGTGAGAGTGTACCCGCAGAGAGTCAGCGGCGAAGGAGGACGTATGGATGTATTGCAGCAGGATCGGCGTGGTTTGTTGGAGGCTGCATGGTTGAGATCGGCCTGTGATGCAGTTGTTGGCTGTGGGAAGGGAGAAGGTGACGTCCGCCTCCGCCGTCGCCCACACGCCCGCACAGCAGCGCGCAAGCAAGCAAGCCAGTGGTGAGGCAGGCGAAAACTCTTCACGCAGCTCCAACCAGCTTGTCCTAGCTCCCTGGCGGCGATGCCTGGCAGAGCGTGGGTGTGGGCTGGTGAGGTTCAAAAAGTAGCCGGTCCGCCGCCATCTGACCTTCCTTTCATCAAAATAGCTGCGACAAACTCTCCACAGCCGCTCCGACTCGACTGTGCCATCCGTATAATAGACCGACTGCCAGCCCAACGCACCACCATCTTGACCCGCATCGTCAGCACTGCTCTTTGGCGTGAAAGTGTTCGGCAGCCCAGAAGCAACAAACAACACCACCACCACCATCCATCCATCCTCCAGAGGACCGCGGACTCCGTTTGGTTTGGCCGCCGCTACCAGAGCACCTACCACCGACCATAATTATTACCACCTGCCTCTTGCCCAGCGCACCAACCCTTGACTCCATCAGCCGTCTTCCTCCTCCAGTCTTCCACCATGGCCCCGGACATCTCGCGACTGGGCTCTTCCTCGCCCGAGGCTGAGAAGCTTGAGCAGTCTCTGCTGGACGCATCGGCCACGACCGACTACATTGGCAGACGGCCGTCGACGTCGGGGAGAGACACGAAGCGTACAAGTATGTCCCCTCATGATTTGCAGCAGCTCTGAACGATCACCCTCCGACCCCTCCCTCTGCTTTGAATGCCCCTCTGTCGGATCCGCTATCTGGCATTATCATCTCAGCCGAGCTGCTGCACTGCGCTTCTGGCGGTTGTTGTGAGGTGTACCTGCAGCAGCTCGTCGTTGCTCGGCCGGCTTTTGGCTCGATAGCCATTTCAACCTGCCCCGATTTGGCGGTCAGGCAAGAAAGCTCCAGATGAGAGATAAAAACTGCTCGCCCGCATCGGCACCCCCTCCACACCTCGACCTCCCCTCCCTTTCCCCATCGCAACTTAACATCAACATCACAACACTTGATGAACACCTTTGCTGCTGTTGCACAACCTTCCAGCACAACTTCATCAACACCCTTGCGCCCTCATCGCCTCTTGCATCGTCGCCTTTCAACAAGGACCTTGCAGTATGGCTAACATACCTCCTTCTGCTCCAGGGACGCAAACTCAATCGCTACCGCCGCCCAGTCTGCCGCAACTGGTGTCTGAACAGGCCGTGCCTATCCCATCGGCAGACAAGGATACCAAGCGGCTCATTGTCGTGCTGTCCAACGCCAGCCTTGAGACATACAAGGCGGCACACGGCGGCCGTAATGGCATGAAGGATGACAAGTACTCGCTGCTCAACAGCGACGAGCACATTGGCGTCATGCGCAAGATGAACCGCGATATCAGCGATGCGCGTCCAGATATCACCCACCAGGTAAGAGCCGCTCTCAACAGCGCATCTCTTCGTCAATACTCACCCATATTGCCAGTGTCTCCTCACATTGCTTGACTCGCCCCTCAACAAGTCCGGCAAGCTACAGATTTACATCCACACTGCCAAGGGTGTATTGATTGAAGTCTCGCCCACCGTCCGCATTCCACGTACCTTCAAGCGCTTCGCCGGTCTCATGGTCCAGCTGCTCCACAAACTTTCGATCCGCTCCACTACGTCGCAAGAGAAGCTCCTCAAAGTCATCAAGAACCCAATCACCGACCACCTCCCACCAAACTGCCGCAAAGTCACTTTATCTTTCGACGCGCCCGTCGTCAGAGTACGCGACTACATTCAAGATTTGGGATCGAAAGAAAGCATATGTGTCTTCGTCGGCGCCATGGCCAAGGGCACGGATAACTTCGCAGACCAGTTCAAGGATGACGCTATCAGTATCAGCAACTACTCGCTGTCCGCTAGTGTTGCCTGCAGCAAGTTCTGTCACGCTGCCGAGGACGTGTGGGACATCATATAAACGATACACATTCTGGATACCCAGGCATCCTGGCCGGCCACGGACGAAGACATGCGAGATGACGATTGTGAAAGGACGTTCAAAAAAGCAAGGCAAGAAAAGAGAAAAACATTGTTCCAAGGCAAGTGCAAGCTCAGCGACCGCTTGGCTTTTGATCACAACATCATGGCTATGAGCGTTTGACTGGGCGAGATGACATGACTGCTTACTGTTGTTGGCTTGTTCTGCGTTTGGATCACAACATCATGCAAGAACTTGGCATTCAACATTACACGCATGGACTATTCGATATGTCCAGACAAGATAGAGACATGGCAGGCACTTCAACTGGCACTGCCGGCTAACGACGCATGGGACGGTACGGAAAAAGTAACTTGTTGCCAGCGCATGTTTGATGGTTGGATGATTGGCATGGTGAGACATTGTACTACAGACGTTTGACTGCTCGATTCTACGAGGCAGACGAACACAATCAAAAAGCATTTTTACCGCGAATCGCCTTCATTCCAAGCTACTTTCTATGCGGCAAATACGAAACGAGGATTCTCGTCGCCCAGTGCGAGGACCTCGTCTTCTGATCGCCCTTCCATGATATGATCCCTCCGCCCGCTCGCTCGCTTCTTGTTCTCGAGCTTGAAGTAGAAGTACATACCACCGTACAGCACAGCACCCAAAGCAACCATGGACATGGAAACCGCATGTCCCTTGACATATCTCGGTCCTTCTGCCGTCGGATACAGCTACACAAGTCGTTAGCTTCCATCTCCACCATAAGTTCGTCAAAACTTACAAACGGCGCCATGACCCCGGAAACATTCCCAATCGTCAACTGCAAACCCGTCGCCGTAGTCCTCTTTCCGTACCTCGGATTATTACTCGGCAACCACGCCAGCGGGATCCCCACCGCGACATACAGACCCATCGCGACGAGAAAGCAGCCTGCGAAGTGCACGCCTGAGCTGGAGTCTGAGACGAGTAATGCGTATCCGACTATAGCGACCGCGGCGAAGAGAACCGTGACGGGACCGCGAGATTGTCTCCAGTCGGAGTACCGCGAGGCGAGCATATACGTGATCGCGCCGAGGGCGTAGCAGGGGATCGTCAGGACCTGGACGATGGCTGTCGAGGACTCCGGACGGATGCCCTTGATGATCGTCGGGAGGAAAGTCGAGTACCCATACAACATCGTGTCGACGCCGAACTGCCCCACGCAAAAGACCCAGATCTTCCAATCTTTCAGCCCTTTCCGCACGTCGGCCCATTCGAAGGTATCCGTCTGGCCGGTCTGCGTCGCGCGGCGGGCGAGGAGGAGGGATTTCTCTTCGGGGGTGAGGTAGTAGGCCGTTTCGGGCCCGTCGGCGAGGAGCCAGAGGCAGGAAATGCCTAGAATGATGGTGGGCAGGCCTTCGAGGATGAGGATCCAGCGCCAGCCGCTTTGGCCCGCGACGCCGTCCATGAAGCCGATGCCGTACGCCAGGAGTCCGCCACACGCCCCGGCCAAAGCGGCGCTCACGAAGAGATACCCGATCCGTAATGCGAGTTCGTGTTTCGTGTACCAGAAGGTGAGGTAGATCGCTGCGCCGGGGAAGAGGCCGCCCTCTACGAGGCCGAGGAGGAGACGGCAGACGATGAGGCCCGAGTAGGATTGTACGATTCCCGTGAGGGTGGCGATGATGCCCCAGGCGGTGGTGATGAGGGCGATCCAGCGGGAGGGGGTGATGTAGTGTTTGAGGATGAGGTTGGAGGGGAGTTCGGAGAGGATGTAGGTTACGAAGAGGAGGGAGACGGCGGTTTGGTATTGGGAGCCGGTGAGGTTGAGGCTGCGTTTGGAAGAAAGTTGTTAGCTCTTGCATGTGGTTTGGGGATGGTGAGTTTTTGGGTGTTCGCACTCTTCTTCGAGGCCGTAGAGGCGGGCGTTGCCGATGTTGACTCTAAAGTGGATGTTAGTCAAGAAGTTCTTCTATCCGAGATTACATTTGGACGTACCTGTCGAGGAAAGAAAGCAGGTAGAGGAGCATCACCATTGGCACGATGTGCAGATCCAGCTTCCGGACAAGTCTACGCTCCTTCACCGGATCGATGTCGACGACGCCTTCTTCAGAAGCATTGCTCTCCAGCACAGTCTTCTCATCGCCAGCATTGACTTTGTCGTCCATCTTGAGTTCAAGGTCTTTTTCTCGGGTCCTCATTTAGCACAATCAATGCCTGCGAACCGCGTGCGGAAATGAGAGGGGATATACATCAACGAACGAGCTTGCCCAAGTCACCTACTCTTCATTATCATCTCTCGCTTAGCGACGTCGATGATAGTATAGGCCTGTCTTTATGCAAGCCAAGTGATAGCAGAGTCACAAAGATGGGGGAGCTTCTTTTGAGAGCGACGGCGTGACGTTCGCCTAGAGAATTTGTGTGGCGGGTACGTCTCGGTCGATTGACAGTTGAGATTACGAGACCGGGCCGGTAGCAGCAAACATGCCGATCGTTCCCTGTGCACAGCAACGCAGAGACTTGAAATAATGCCGGTACGTTGTTGTTCTTGTAGAAGAGATAGAGGGCAGGCTCAAGGTCGTCGCCCCTGGCTCCACCACAGCTCCACGGTTCCCAGCCCTCTCTTCCTGCCGCCCCCGAACCAGGACACAGCTCAACCATTGGCGCTTACATTGTAGGTACATATTGTTAACGAGGATACCGTGACAGAAAATACACACTGCTGAGGTGTCGGAGTGGTTAACGAGTCAGACTTGAACACCTCGTGGTTCTGGATATCTGATGCCTTCGGGTACAGTTCTACACCATTGTTGCACTTCTGAGCCAGTTATTAACGCATTAAGCAGGCGCGCAGGTTCGAATCCTGTCCTCAGCGTATTCTTTTTGCCTATAGAGTGGACTCGAGGTGGTGTTTAATAACTGGTATGGTGGGAGGAAGGCCGATCAATATCACGGTGAAATTGATCTGTGCTTCAGCTAGACGTCTGGGTTCTACAAACGCATGCAGATTGCTCTTTTATCTTCTACGACGGTAATGGGGAGAGTATACGCAGTCATATGATGGAAAACACCTTGTGTTTGTGGATCGATATCGCCAGTTCAGCAGCCTCGCCGCACGGGCCCAGTTGGCCTTGTTTGCAGCCTCAGGCACCGGTTCTTTTCCTCGACCGAATTGTGAGTGCAATAACGATCCAGGACTTCGAGTGCATTCTGCTCTATTCGGGAGGTCAATAGATATGTGGCGCCAAACGCATGAGTCGATACTGTAAGTGCTCACGATGCAGGATGGTGCCTCCCTCGGCTGAAGCGGCGAAGTTGCTGGGACGCTTCCGCCTCGCCGCCAACACTACCACACCATCTTCTTTTGCTTGATGTTGCACGAGCTTTACAATAAATCGCGCTCTTGTCGCATGCACATGATAGCTGTTAGAGTCCCGGGAACGGAGCGAGGATCATCCAGGTGAGAGAGCTCGACGGCACGACGAGAGGTATGAAGTGAGGTTACACCCCACGCTTTCCTGCTTCATCTTTGCAATCTGCTTTTCCTCTGCACCTCCCTTCATCTATACGTGAGAACCTACCTACAGGATCGCTTTAGGATATACTGGCATGAATGGACGGTAGTCCCGCACCAACTCCGCCTACACGGACCACGAGCTTCCTGGAAATCCAACGCCGAACGACTGAGCCTATCGAAGACGAGGAGTCCAACGCACCAAACGAAGACGACCGACCTGCCAGCTCCAATGGCTCCGCGCACATTCGGATGGAGTCGCCGGTGCGACCGCGGCTACCGAAACGAAATACAAATCGAGGTGCGAGCTCCAAGAGCATAAGCGAAGCATTGCGGATGGCACGGTCAAGAGAAGAGCAAGAGACATTGCTGGGTGAACATGAAGAGGCGGACGATGATGGATGCTATCCTCCTAGGAAGAATGCGGACCCGACTGTTCCTAATCCGCATGCCGACCTGCCGGTTTACACAACGATACACAAGATCAGACGGCTGGTCATTGCGAGTATAGGTACGCGTTGGAGATATTGCTGCGTTGATGAATGATGGCTGACAAATTGTACATAGATGATCCATACAGCAATGAACAGCTCAAGAGCCCTCGTATGAACGTTGCTATCGTCAGGCCTCTGATCGATCATCTGTACGACCCAGACGATGTCTCCGTTGTGTTTTGTTTGCTTGTCAATCGAGCACAGTTCCTGCGAGAGCAATCATACCAAGCCCATCATCAGACTGTAAACATTACAAGAGCTTCGCTGTGTGAAATTGTGGCAGGGAGAATATTACGACGATTCGATGAAGACCACGAGGGACGCAGTGGACTCCTCATGCTGGCACATGTGCTTGTCGCTGGGTTCGAACCCTTTCAGAATGGACCAGAGGATATCGTACGGCAGAATCGGACAGAGCCTCATTGGACGGTACGGTGGAAGCTGGCAAGATCAGAGTACCAACGAATGCTCACCGCGCTTGAAGTGGCTATCGTGACGGAAGCAAAAGGATTTCTCGCGACCTCTGCATGCCAGAAGATTGTTGAGAATGTGTATCGTGGCAGGATCATCTACACGCCGACATCGTTCATCGACATATTACCGGACCATTACAAGAATCGAGGCATCACGCTGTACGACCCTAGGAGGGCACCGATCTTGAACCAATATCGATTGATCGTCCCTCGCACAAGGAGTATCATCGAGACGTGCCAGTTCGTCATTCTCCTGGTCTTGTACGTCCTCACGATGACGATGAAAGCCCGACACACAGGCCCCGATCATCTGAAGTTTAGAGTGCTTGAGCTCGTCTTCGTGGTATACGCAATAGGATGGAACTTGGACGAAATAGCCTCGATTACTGAGCATGGATGGACCGTACACACCGAAAACCTGTGGTCATTCCTCGACATTGCCTTCGTGGTAATCTTCTGGACATATTTCGGCGTCCGCGTCCACGGCCTTACCCACCACGACACAGAGTACTCTGTCCTCGCCGACCAAATCCTGGCCATGGGCGCTCCCGTCCTCCTCCCTCGCCTCGCCTTCTGCCTCATGTCCGACAACATGCTCTTCATCTCGCTCCGCGCCATGATGGCCGACTTCACCTTCCTCACGGTCCTCGCCTGCTGGTGCTTCGGCGGCTTCATCCTCGCCATGGCCTGGCTCAGCGAAGGCCAAGAAGGCTTCCTCAAACACACCGTCATCACAATCTCCAAATGGATGCTCTGGATCTGGTTCGGACTCGACGGCACAGGGATCCAACGCTCCGTGGAAATGCACTGGTTCCTCGGCCCCCTCCTCATGATCATGTTCGCCTTTCTCGGCAACACCCTCTTCCTCACCATCCTCGTCGCCATGCTCTCCAACACCTACAACAACCTCTCCCGCAACGCCACCGCCGAAATCGAATTCCGCCGCGCAGTCCTCACCTTCGAAGGCGTCAAATCCGACGCCATCTTCGCCTACCGTCCCCCCTTCAACGTCCTCGCCCTCGTCTTCCTCCTCCCCCTCAAGTTCCTCTTAACCCCCCGCTGGTTCCACAAAGTCAACATCACCGCCGTCCGCATCCTCAACGCCCCCATCCTCCTTATCATCTCCTGGTACGAACGCGCATACCTCTGGAAGCGCACCGCCCGCAACAACCTCTCCCCCTCCCCGCGAAACCGCACCTGGCTCTCCGTCTGGGAGCGTTTCGGCGCGCACGGCGACTTGCAAGCAGTATTCGACGCGGACCCCCCACAGGAGGTGCTGGACGAGATGGATGATATCGACGACGTGTTGACGAACGATTGGAGCGACGGGAGGGACTACCTGAGTGTTTTGCGGGCGAGGAGGGGTAGTCGGAGTGTCAGTGAGGCGAGTGGGGTTTTCAGTGGGTTTAGCAGGAGTCGGAGCCGCATGAATGGGTTTAGGAGACGCGGGACGAGGGATTTGCCGGAGCCTGATGGCACGGATGGGAATGCGGCGGGGAGTGAGGATGTATAGTGCACATGGTGATTTCATTGATGCTAGGATCAAAATGTGAAGAATTGTGTGTCATGTCGTGAGGAAGCTCGTAGTACAGTTTCTCCTTCTTGTGACGACGGTGTGATGCGCAAGTGCTGTGCTTCTCTTACGGACATCTTCATCGGCATCTAACTTCAAGTCTCTACTGGTGTGGGAGATCTCTCGCCTGCTCGCTGAGTTCGGTCTCATCGGACGTGTCATCTTGAGTTAAAGATGGCGTCGTCGATGTTGGGTGCTTGGGCAACTGTCGTGTGTGAGCTTGGGCAAGAAGAAGAGCGAATCGAACGTTCAACATGTGATGAAAAGACGAGGTGCTAGTAGTATAGTACAGTATTCTCATGCGGCGACGCTGTGATTTTACAAATGTCCTGCTTCTGTTAGGTCCACCCATCATTCGAGCCTGACATCTGTTCATAGAATTCGAATCAATCGAGCGCTGGAATTGGCTCTTTGAATCGATTCCCGCGGGACGGGTATATCGTTCTTCCTCCTTCCTCCTCTTGACCTGCTTCTTACATACAATCATGGAAAGTCGTCATGTTTCTGAAGAGAATGCCAGCCTAGCTCGTCTGCGATCAACGCCGGCTGCTGCTGTAATGTTCGTATTTTGGTGTGGTCACATCAGACAGCTACACTCTGGCTCTCGGTCTTTCGATGTGAGAAGAAGCGTCTGATGCTCAGCGTCCGCGAAGCCTTGGAAGAGTGCGTCTTGGGTGAGTTGTCCGTCGACGTCTCCCAGCCTTTCGAGTTGGGCGTGTTGTCCTTGCTGCGAAAGCTAGCTTGGGAGGGTGTCAACGGTCCAGTATCTTTGGGAAATAGGCCTAGTCGAGAACCAGGCGGAGTGCCGTGACCTGCAGCGGTGTCATCCTTTTCTGGCTCGGGGGGAAGATCTTTGTCCGTGTCGGTGGTGAAGTAGGTGGGTGATGATGTGCTTCGTTTTCGGTCCTTTTCGGGTGTTGAGGAGTATGCTGAGTCGATGGGACGAGAGATGGTTTCGGGTTTCGGCGTATGTCTGATAGGTGTTGGTAGGTTCCGTATTTTTCTGGAGAGGCGGCGAGAGAAGCCGTTACTACGAAGTGTCAGTTTTGTCCACTATACGAACATGGTAATACATACGTGATTGATGGAACTTCTGTCTTCTGCGTGCCTGCCTGAGGCACGAGTTTGATTTGGGTCTGAGGGCTGCCAGAGCCGACAGGCTTTCGTGGTATACTTTTGGTCGGCTCCTTGGCGATGGCAATATTCCCCTGACTTCTCGATCGTCTGACCTCTTGAGAACCTCTTGGTGCGCTGACTTTCATCATCTCACTGGCACTCTGGCTCTGAGACCGACCTGGCTTCTTGTTAGAAACGACTTCTGGTGGGTTACTTCGTAGTGGTCCAGAATGTCGCAAGAAATCTGCAAGTTCTCGGATATTATCCTTCGATGATCCTCTGGCATTCCTAGGTCCAGCAGACTGGACGGCAGTCCTTGGTCGAGATCGTGGTGGAGATCGATTCGTGTTTGAAGAGCTTCGAGAACGAGGCACAGGCGCAGTACGACGAGGTTGCTCATATCTGGTGTCAAACGGCACTGGATGTGGCTTCGACATGGTCACGTTGACAGCTCCTCCATTCGTATCGGGCTCTTGAGGTAGAGGCTTGTCCAACCATGGCCCAGGCTTTCGGTAGGCGATAGTTTCCTTTGCGAACTTGGACCTCACCCCGGGGGAGCAGCCTCCGGATTGTTGGGTCGCCGGCGAGTCATTTCTACTCTGCGGCTTGTTTCTCCTACTCGCTGCTCCAGCAAGTTTATTGATCTCTCCGATAACGTTTCCCAAGGTCACAAGATCGTTGTTGAGGTTCTTGCTCTTAGTCAACAGATCGTTGAGATACTTCAGCCATCCCTGTTCGTTCCCACGCATTGCCCCGAAGACGTCGGCGATTTCGATGTTGTTCAACGGCCATGTGTTTTCAACGTTGGTCAAATAGACCCCCAGCTCCTTCGTCGACTCAATGCCACTCGTAATGTCAAACACAGCATCATTCATTGCTTTTGCTGTCCTGCCAATGATCTTCTCAATCTTTTCGTTTCCATTGAGCAAGTCGTTGCGAAACTTCTTGTCGTCCAGCATGACGGCAAACACTTCCATATGCTGCATGGGCAACTTCAAATATCGAATGCGTTCTTCGATATCTTTAATCGCCAAATCGAAGTCCTCGGACGTTCGCTCCAGAAATGAGTCGACCTCATTTACATGATTCTGCAGTATCCGTACGACTTCCTCATTGGACTTGGCCTGTTCTTGTTGTAGCAGGTGCATCCCAAACACAATTTGAGCCATCAATTTGAGGAAAGGATGATGCTTGGCGTCGGGCTTCTGTCTCCAGCGGGTCTTGCGGAAGTCCTCGTAACGTTGTGCTTCGAGCAATTTACGACGTCTCATCTCTGCGTCCTGTGGAAGGGAAGGGTTGGAAGATGGGTCGTCGTCTGTCGACTCGACTATGGACTCTTCAAATGCCCCTTGGAAAGAGGGAATGGGGTGGATAGGCGGGGCCATGGCTGGGTCGCTGTCCTCGTCGATATCGGCGTCGGTATCGTCGTCGCCATGGTCCGAAGGGTGCAGCGACAGCGAGTGGAAGTCATCATCCCCGTCGCTCTCGCTCGCATAACGGGCGGCCATACCCTGGGCGAGAGTGCCGCCGCCGGTCGAGGCTGGCAGCGGTCGAGGGTGAAACGACGCAGGCCGTGACTCGGGATGGTGGGATGTGCAGCAGGTACCGCATATGGCGTGAAGCTGCAGGCGGCTCAGCGCGTTATTGGCTGCAGGGCGGACGACGCTCGCGATGGCGCATAACGGACAGGCATAGGAGGGAGAGAGGGACAGGCGGAGGGCCGGGCGGTGGTGTCGGAGAGATGGACAGTGGCAGTGGCAGTGGCAGCAGCAGCGTCGGCCATCAGCTCTGCCATGTCAGTGCGAGCAACGACGGGCGTGGCAATGTGGCACAACGGCGGTGGTGCTGCTGCTGCTGAGGAGGGGAGTGAAACACGACAGAACCCACCGCCAACCGCTCCGAGCCAAGACTGCCTTCCGGTCCACCTCATTGGCGCGCATCCGCAGGCATGGCCTCTGCTGTCAAACGTGAACTGCTGCCGCAAGGACCTCCCATATCGTCGCCATAGTACGGAATTCCTCTATATTCTCTTCGTCGAACTGCTCTCACACCACCGCAACCATCTCATGATCACACACTGGCCGTCTCACGCCTGATACTCCGGAGCTGACTGCAGCAGCCCCCAACTCTCTTCCTGGCCCAGTGCGCGCCACCGACAATCCCATCGAGCTGGTGTTTCAGATCGCAATCCCACCTGCACCGCTGCTGCACCATCCGCAAAGTCACGAGACTTATTCGCGATATCACACGCATTGGCGATACTAAGATCAACTCACCGCATGCGCTCAAAACACCACGTCCAGCGCCGAGAAGGAGAACCTGCAGACCAGGAGAGCTTTACGAGTAGCGCGTCACGATCCATGCGTCTCAGCCTATCCGATTTTGCCCATGGGAATTGAACATCACTTCAACGGCGACAGCTCATTACTCAATGAGACCGCCATAGAACGCAACGATGTCAGGAAGGCTCTCTCTGTCCTGCACAAGTCGCTGCAGCGCATCGAATCAGTGCCCACTCAGATCACTGCCGAGATCAGGTTGAATGTCTCTGGCCCAAACCCCAAGGAACACATCTACACCGTTGCCATTACCGATTCGCAATTCGACTCTGACTTGTTCGCCCGGACCAAGACCCCTGCAAAGGTCTCCAAGCGCACCGTCGCTCCTGCCAGCTCGCCGCCTGCCTCTATCTATGGCCAAGGTGATAGACGAGCATCTCTGTCGCGTGGAGTGCCTGAGGGCGATGACGATGTCACAGAGGTACGGCCTTTCAAACGGGCACGGGTTGAAACTGAAGAGCCTGTCTCGGATGATCCAGTCCAGCAGAAACTCCATGACATCTTATCGTTTGTAAAGAAATGGCATGACGAATGGAAACACCAAGGAGGCTGGCTCTTCGACAATCTCAGCGGCGCCAATAAGATCGCCACTGAACGAAGTCGCGATACTGACAAGAAACTCGAAACTCTACAAGACATTCTCGGACAGAGCATCAACTCCGCAAGTGCAACAACCATGTCGGAACTTTCCAATATAACCAAACTATTGCCATGGCTAGAGCACTGTCGGAAAACGCACGCTGACAAGGTCCAGGCGAGGGAGGAGAAGTGGCGATCAAGCAGTGCGACGTTTCATGATCAATCGAGGCGAGACAGAGAATCCGCCGAGAAGCGACTGGAGGAGAAGTTGGAGGCTCAGAAAAGGCTTCTGGTCAAGATTGCAGAGTCGAATGGCATTGATGTGGACGAAATTACGGACAATCGGAGTAGAGAGTCCAGTCTTGGAGCGCAACTCACCGCAGAGCTGAACATGGAAGCAACACGGGCAGATGAGGGCGGGAGCAGAGCGAACAAAGGAGGCGGTCGTTCTGGACAACCGATCAATATCGACGATTGAACGCAACTCCACGCCAAGTTTTACTTTTCTACAACATCTCCTCACCAACCTCGCCATCGTACCCAGACATCGTCGATGCGTTCAGGGTCAGGTTTGTCCGAATCCACCACCAGATACCAGCCAAAGTTCGCGCTGGCTATACATGCGTGATTCGGCCACACAAGAAGTTTGTCGCCAACTTGCAGCTCGCGATAGTTGTCTTTTGGACCCTCCCACGTCAGGTTACCGTGTTCCTGGGCAATCCGCGCTATTATCCAGCCAGTCTTGGACGTTTCAGGATCGTATACCTGCCCTTCTGACGCTGGCCAAGGCGTAACGACTCCCCAGCCAGGATAGCTCTTGCATGGCTCGCGACCGAAAACGATTCCCCCAGAGGCTACGAGAACCTCCTCGCGCTCTGGGTACACGCTGGCAACTTCTGTGAGAATCCGCATGCCGAGATCCTGGAAAGAGAGGAGACTCTGCTGTGGGTTTGCAACCGCATGTTGTGGTCGCGCTCTCGTGGCGAGTTGCTGCATGTCCATCACCGGGTAGACGCCTGCATGAAACTCGACCTCGAAAGACTTCTGGCAATTTTCAATCACCGCACGGTACTGCTTGAACTCGTCGCCGCCTTCCAAGAGGTTCTGGATTGCTGTCGCCGTGGGTGATGCTCCTAGAGAAAGGACAACCTTGGGAGCATTCGGGTCGCTGCTGATGTCTGCGCCAGTACATTTCAGGAATTCAATCGCGCCTTGCTCCAACCCCTGCAGCTCGCCGGCCATGGCCTTTAGTGCCTCTTCTGGGCTGGACACTCCATAGCTGGATCCAAAGTGCGTGTAAACGCCTGCGAGAGTCGCGCGTTTTGATGCCTTCATGGCATACGCTACATCTGCAAGCTGCTTTGAGTCTGGTGCAACGCCTTCTCTGTGATATCCAACGTCGACATTGAAGAACACTGGAATCTTGCCGGGCCATGTCTTTTCGTCCACTTGATCCAGAACTTTGACGTGAGTCGGATGGTCTGCGAAGATACCGACCGTCCCTTCCCCGAGCACCCTCGCTATCGCAGCCAGGCGTGATACCGCAGATAATGACAAAGGCAGCCCATAAAAGACACTGACCTCCTTGCCTCGTGACTTGCATTCGTACAACCAGGGTGCTAGGTGTTCGATCTCGGAGAGTGTCGAAGCAACCAATCTAACAGACTTTGAGTCCTTTCCCACTTGCAATTCGGACAACTCCTTGGTCTTGTGAGTTTTCACGTGGGCGCGGAAAGTACACCCAAGCTTCTCAGCCGTGTCGAGCATCAGTTTGCAGTTCCTCCTGACCACCGCTGCGTCAATGATTGCTGCTGGTGCCTGCACATCTTTGATTTGCTTTCCCAGGAACTGTAGCTTTAGTGATGCTTCGGATGGGCTTGGGTACAGCGTAGACGCTGTGTATGGCTGGCCGGGGGTCATTTTGCTGATTAAATACTGCTGAGGGAGATATGTGGTCAAGATTGAAAGCCAATAATATGGTGGAAGATGAAGACACGATTCTTGCCCGGCGTTGGCCGCTCGGCACGGAGGAAATCTGGCTTTCAACGAATAATGCTAAGATGTGGTCTTGGAGGTTGCTAACAATATATGAGCTTGTGACTCAGAACGAAGTGAAGAGAACGTGAAGACTGGTCCTCGCCGATGTCGTGGTTGAATTCATCCGTCGAAAGGATTACCCTCTTCTTGGCAGCTGGCAGCATTGAAGCTTGAGGTCGCTCGAGTCAAGCCCCACTTCGCACCTCTCTTCACGCCCTGCAACACTCGCACACGTGAACCACTTCGGCGACGCACTCGGCATCTCCACGATCGACCACGGAATCTTTCCATCGGCCGTCGCGAAATGGAGCAGGGCACGAAACGAAAGGCGGACGACGCACCAGCCAATGCCGAAAAGCGGTCCAAGGTCAGTCTCTGCAGAATCTGCCCCGAAATTCGAGGGCTGCCAATCGTCACGTGTGGCGCACGAGCAGGCTGTGCTAATATACATCTCGCAGACCAAGAAGCAATGGCGCGTGCCACGGCGCGGCGATCCCCCCAAGACGATTGAGCCTGGCGACAGTGGCGTCTGGGTGACATGTAGCAAGGGCAAGGAAGGCAAGTGCATTGGCGAGATCCTGGACCTCTTCACAGAGTACGCCGAGCGTCTGTACCCTCAAGCTGGCCAGGAACAGGACGGTGCAGAAGCCGACGAGGACGAGGAAGACATCGAGAAAGCGATCAAGGCGGAAGTCGACGATATCCGCAAGCCGGGAGCTGCTCGGTTGTTCACGCCAGTGAAGATCAACGTCCAATGTGGTAGGTGCTGTCATATGTCAAACGCCTTCAGATGCTGTCATATGTCAAACGCCTTCAGACCATACACCTCTGACAAACACTGCAGTCATATTCATCAAGACCATCGCGCCGGTTGACCCCGTGGCCTTGGTCAAGACAATCTGCGAAGAAGCGATGGAGAATCGCGCACGTAAGCGTACTCGATTCGCCCAGCGACTGTCCCCAATGACTCTCATGGGCCGAGCATCAACGGAAGGCCTTGAGCATGTGGCTCAGGAAGTTCTCGCACCACAGTTTCATCAAGAACCTTTTCAGAAGCGAACGGTACGGTTTCCATTCCAATTGCTGCCCAATCGACTGCCGACCAAGCGTGAGATATTCGCGCATTCGTACTCGCATGCTAACACTGTTCGGGCAGTTTGCTATTCGGCCGACTCTCCGTAACCACAACACCTTAACCCGCGACAGCGTGATTAAACAGGTGGCGTCAATTGTCGGGCCAGGCCATCAGGTTGATTTGAAAAATTACGAGCTACTGGTCGTCGTGGAAGTCTATCAGGTAAGTGGCTTGCATTGAGTTTGGCATTGCTCGTTGCCACGTGCATCCTACCTCGTTACCAACGCTGACTGAGTGAAAGCATATCTGCGGTGTCAGCGTGGTTAACGACAGCTTCGAGCGGCTAAAGCGGTACAATATTTCGGAGATTTTCGACCCTACCCCGAAGGACGAGGCGAAGTGAACGGCACCAGTTCAACGGCATGATCAGCCTTATACGTCTGCCATCGACGACATACCCCCGCAGTCACTCGGTCATAACTATTTGAGCACATTTCCTCGTATTGCTGATGGTGGGGGCCACATATGCCATCGAGTTCGGTGGCATCCACATCGGTCGAGTAGAGGCGACATGTCAGGCGAGGAGGATCTTCGGCTTCTCCATTCCGCGCAACGGGCTACTGGATCCTCACAACCGCTCGCTTAATGGAACGAGGCGCATTCCTGCCGAAAACTCTATGGGGCATTTTGGCTGAAAGGTGACCTCAGTGTCGCGGACGAAGCTGCCTGGTGGATTGGGATGGCTTTGGTCGACAGAAGGAATGAAATCATACGCTGCAATGGAACCACCTTCACCATGGATATTGCTGCAAGCCATGCTGCAGCATCCCAGCATCACGCCGGCCACTACCAAGATGCGAGCCATCTCACGATCGGAGACGAGGCCATGTCAATCAATCTTTGTGTCGCCAGCCATGCGTCTGCAACGTGCGCACTACGTGGACACCCGGGTTGCTAACCGATCCAGCCAGACCTCAGCTCACCATACGATGGTGTATAGCACAGCATGGATCGCCTTGCGCGTGGCACCTGTCTACTGCCAAATCCGACCCATCGCATGTAACAGTTCTCGTCCGGCGCGGTCACACCAGATCTCGGGACACCGAAAGTCTCACGTTGATATACGGGGCAGCAGGGCCGTCTTTTCTGTGAGATCTGTAATATGGATATTCTTCTCGTCTTGCCCCAGTCACCTCTAGCAAAGCCGGCCCCACACTTCGCCTTTCCAAACTCTCTCGGTTTCATTGGCCGATTCTGATCGCCGCTAACTCTTCTCCGGCGCAGATAGACGAGCGCTGACGACTTGCTCGCCTGTCTCCGAGTCTATTCGACCGCCCGCGGCGCCGTTCGTTCTTCTAGACGACCAAGAGCATGGCCGGACGCGAGGGTTTCTGTGATCTCCTTCCTATATGGGATCCTCGGCGTTCAAACTGTCGCCTGCGACATTTTTTTTATTGGCACGCCCCATGGATCAATCCTTGGACCCGCCTGTTGTTGGTTGTTGTCCGGTCTTCCTCCCGTCAGTGCGTTTCCTTGGGGCATATCCCGTGTCCCATATGCCCACTGACATCTTCTACATTTGTCGCTGGCCACACACGTTGCGGGTTAAGCGGTATGGTGTACAGTGGAAGGAGCCTGCACTTCATGTGGCGGTCGTGATTAGAACGCAGCGCCAATTGCAGCATCGACGAATCCGGTCTTATTCGGTATGTCTGCGTCAGTCGTCTGACGTCTACACGAGATCCATGTACGCCTCCATCCACACCATCTTCACCTGCCTCATTTGCGTCTGCATCTACTCGGTCTGGGAGGTGTCCGGGGGAGACCAACATACCGCCCACACGTTTCAGACAGGGCGTATCTCTCCTCCGCTGTCTCTCGGCCCTTCTTGATGTTGGCAGGCAGATACAGATATACAAAATGACGGCCGTCCTCGAGCCGGTCTCCCCACCGGTGTTTAGGTTCAAGAAGATGGCATCGAGTTCGAGATCACCTGATCGAGGCTCTGTCCAGCAGGTTGCTATCAAGGCTCTACAGACGAGGAATGTCAAGGTCGAAAGACTGGACAGGAGTGTCTTTAGGGCCTTTCGTCTCCAGCCCCTGTCAGACTTCTTCTACGTTCTACGATGTCGACCATCATCTCACGCCCGGCTGCTTCGACATGAAGAGGAGAGACTCCAGACTGAGGCTATCGTCTTGCAGACCCTACGAGGACGAACGGATCTCCTGGTCCCAAGACTGATCGAATATAACAAAACCATCATGCCCCTCGGCAGCCAATACCTCATCAACGGCCCCTTCAAAGGCTCCATCCTTTCCGAAGTCGAACCCGACCTCTCCACCCAAGCCCTCGCCAGCATCGACAAAAGCCTTGGACGGTACGTCCGCCAATTAGCCCAAGTCACAGGCCCAGCCTTCGGCGCCGTCCGTCCATTGAACGGATCATCCTCAACTACAACCACCTGGTCCCGCTGCTTCGCCAGCCTTCTCGAAAGTGCTCTCCGCGACGGCGAAGACGCACTTATAAGCCTCCCTTATGACTTCATTCGGGACCAATCCCGTCGTCACCGTGCTGTGCTCGACCAGATTACGCAGCCAAGCCTCGTCATCTTGGAGATGTCTGCAGATAAGAACATCGTCGTCGATACGAACAACAATACTGTCTCGGGCATTCTGGATTTCTCAACGGCGATCTGGGGCGATCCGTTTATGTCAGATTGCTTTTATCAGCCGAGTGCTAGTTTTCCGGAGGGGTTTGGAAGGCTGCCGATCAGGGACACGAGTGAGAGGACAAGGCAGTATTTGTGAGTCTTTCCTCACCTCGTGTGTACTAGTGAATGCGATTGAAGCTGATTTTGATGATTGCATCAGGTATGTGTTATATCATTCACTGCTTGCGGTTGTCAGACAGTGTTATCGACCCAGTGAGGATGGGGATGAGTTGGCGGCGAGGAGGAAATTGACGGCTGCGTTGACGCAGTTGGGGAATATCTCCAGGGGGTGATCGATAATCGATGGCATGGATGAGGATACATGGTTTGCAAGACGACACTCTACGTACACCAGGACATAAGGAGACTTTCCGGTACTCGAACATCAGGCACATACAGACCACCTGGTTGTGGTCGTACACGATTTTTCCGGCTTGGTCGAACTACAAAGACTTGGGAGGGACTTGGGAATGGCACTGCAGGCTGGCGAGGAGGATTAATGACCGAACAATACATGGTGTGGCGAACGAGATCGAAGAGGAGCGGGCCTGGCAGGTAACCTCTGGAAAGATCGTGCCGCCATGTGGTCAAGATTGAAGGATGAGGATTGTTGATATTGGGCTGGCACAACTGATCAATGATCACTGTCGCCGTCGCAATTCGCAAATCGAATAGATCTCGGAGAAGCCACTTGGTCAATACCAAGGCATACAAATTACGCATATGAACTCTTTACTATCACAGAGACACATCTGCCAGACAATCTCATCGATATCTTTCTGCAATCTCGCCCTTCCACTCCCCACGTGCTCAGCTATGCTCGTGATTGTTGGCGGTTGTGAACATCGACGACCATGATCGAGACTCGACACATGTGTGAATATACTTCTCCAAGAGCACAACGTGTCTGGTAGATTAGGCTTTTGTGGCGGTGGAGGCCAGAGCCCGTTGGTCGTTAAGTGTGGCTGATCCTCAGGCGCGTGGGATTTGTCGATGGGTGAATAATCAACATCTGATGCGTGAAAGATCCATTTTCTCAGAAGGACAGGTGTGAGGAATTGCTGAAAATTGACGAGGAATGGTAATCAGATGTCAGCTTTGTGGAAGGGATTCCGCATGCATTTCTTACCGGGGAATTGTGTTGGCGTGTGTGAGAGAGTCAGAGAGCAAAAAGTATGGGCGAGGGTGAGCTAAAGTTGGAGGCGGAGGGTGGAAGAGACCAGCTGGCGAGAGCTGTACCGGAGAGCCGCAAGGGTCCAAATGCACACCTTACCCGGCCCTTCAAGTAGCTCTTCTAATCTTCCAATCCACCTTTTGATCTCTCTCCCTTTTACTACCCCCTTCGACAACTAACTCACCACCGTCCAACTCGATTCGATCTTGCTTCTGAGGATCTGCTGGATTGATCTCGACTTTCGGTTTCTCGCGTCCGTCACACACACGATGCGCTACTCGTACAGCTTGCTGGGCCTCAGCGCCCTGGCGATGGCCAGCGATGTCGTCGATCTCGGAAAGGACAGCTTCGAGCCGTTCGTCAAGGAGCACGAGCTTGTGCTCGCGGAGTGTATGTATCCTCAAACTCCTACTAATCTTCAAATCACATGCTGATCGACCGATTCCTTAGTCTTCGCTCCCTGGTGCGGACACTGCAAGGCCCTCGCCCCCGAGTACGAAGAAGCCGCCACGACGCTCAAAGAGAAGGACATCGCGCTCGCCAAGATCGACTGCACCGCCGAGTCAGAACTCTGCCAGAGCTACGGCGTCGAGGGCTACCCCACCCTCAAGGTCTTCCGCGGCACCGAGAACATCTCCCCTTACTCGGGCGCGCGGAAAGCAGACGCCATTGTCTCGTACATGACCAAGCAGTCCATGCCCTCCGTCTCCCTCCTCACCACCTCCTCCGCCCTCGACGAGTTCAAGACCGCAGACAAGGTGGTTCTCGTGGCTTTCTTCGCCGCGGATGACAAGACTTCGAACGCTACGTATCAAGAGGTGGCCGACGCTCAGAGGGATAACTACCTCTTCGCTGCTACCAACGATGCCGACTTGGCCAAGGCCGAGGCTGTCAAGCAGCCGGCCGTTGTTCTGTACAAGTCTTTCGATGAGGGCAAGAACGAGTTCAACGAGAAGTTCGACAAGGACGCTATCGTTGAGTTCGCAAAGACCGCCGCTACTCCTCTGATTGGCGAGGTTGGCCCTGAGACCTACGCTGGCTACATGGCCGTAAGTTGGACAACTGCACGGTTTAAAGGTGATATCTGAATGCTGATAAATTCACACAGGCTGGTATCCCTCTCGCATACATCTTCTCCGAGTCCGCCGAGGAGCGTGAGCAACTCAGCAAGGACCTCAAGCCAATCGCCGAAAAGTACAAGGGCAAGGTCAACTTTGCCACCATCGACGCCAGCTCTTTCGGCCAACACGCCGGCAACCTCAACCTCGAAGTTGGCAAGTGGCCAGCTTTCGCTATCCAGGACACCTCCAAGAACCAGAAGTTCCCCTACGCCGAGGCCGGTGATGTCAAGTCGCTCACTGAGAAGAAGATTGGCAAATTCGTCGGAGACTTCGTTGACGGCAAGGTCGAGCCAAGCATCAAGAGCGAGCCAATTCCAGAGAAGCAAGAGGGCCCAGTCACCGTCGTTGTGGCTAAGAACTACCAGGATGTCGTGATCGACAACGAGAAGGACGTTCTCCTCGAATTCTACGCTCCATGGTGCGGACACTGCAAGGCCCTCGCTCCCAAGTACGACGAGCTCGCCGGTCTCTACAAGGATCACGCCGACAAGGTCGTTGTCGCCAAGGTTGATGCCACCGCCAACGACGTCCCAGATGAGATCCAGGGCTTCCCCACCATCAAGCTGTTCCGCGCTGGCGAGAAGGGCGAGCCAGTCGAGTACTCTGGCGGCCGCACCGTCGAGGACCTCGCCAACTTCATCCGTGACAACGGCTCGCACCACATCGACGCTTACACCGAGGCCGCCGAAAGCTCCGAGGGTGTCGACACCAGCGGCATGCCCGAGCAAGCCGCCGCCGCGACCGAGGGCGTCAAGGAGAAGATCAAGAACGCCGCCGAGGCGGTCAAGGAGGCCGTCACTGGTGATGAGGATGACTACGCCGGTGTCCACGATGAACTCTAGATGATGTGATACCTTGTGTGTGCTTTTTTATTATGATATGAGATCGAACAACAACGAAAAAGGCTTTTAAAAAGCAAAAGAACGTGGCTCTCTGTCTTATTATGATGTGATCTGGCTGCTGGATTTGGCTGGGTTGGGGGCATGAATTGAGGCTTGCTGATGCTGATGCCTTTTTTTTTTACCGACGTACGCTGGGGTCTGGTTGACTCGATCGACCTCGGGGAAGGCGTTTGGGGGGGTTTATGTAGTCTGATGTATTATGGCTCTGCAATTTGTCTACCTCTTCTCAAATTGTCTGCTTCGATATGGTGGGGTAAAGTAAGTGGAGCTGGACATTCACGCGGAAGGAGCTAACGCACGGACTTCGTGCTGCAGCGTTTGCATGTGACAGCACGCAAGAATGACGGCCAAGGTGATGAGATGTACCATGCATCAAAAGCGCACCACAGCTGTTCTATGCCAGATGAGGAGAATGCCATGCAAGTAAGCCCGGTGCCGATTGTTTGCCCTTGCTTTGGACGGGCCTTCCCCGCCGTACTTCGTGCAAACAGGCTCATCTACAAGGAGGCCATGCCAGTGTTCTACAGCAATCTGGAAGTCCGATCTCGTCTGCCTGACGAAAATGAAGGCCACCAAGCGTCAGAAGTCTTGAACTTTGTGTGCTATCGGTTGCCATATTCTGGCCTGAAGTACGTCTCAAAAATTCTCTTCTGCCAGGTGGCTTCACGCATGGGGATGACAATCGATCGCCTCGACAAGCCTGGTCTGGGCAATTTTGCACCAATATGGCACAGGATGCGCCGTGAGACACCCGGCATCAAACACGTTCGTATACAGCTCGAAGTAGATTGGGAAGTCGACATGGACTGCTTCGAGTTTCACCACTTTGCCGGCGTGGCTCGCCTCCCGAATGTTCGAACCATTCAGCTGCAGCTGCTCTATTTTGGAAACGAAGACGTTCTTCTGGAGGATATCGTTACTGGCGGCGGGAAAGCGGAGGACTTCGAGAAGAAGTTGGTGTCCACCATTGAGGAGGAGGCGGAGAAAGAGGGGAAGCGGGTGGATGTGAGTGTGAGCGGAGTGGAAATGCTGTGGAATCATGGTTGGCCTGATTCTAACGCGATTGATTGAGAGGACAATAGTGTTGTGTCGGATGGCGCACAGCGAACGCCCATTTTCAGGCAGCGCAGAGGGATCGCCTAGACACATGGACTGGTACAATACAGCGTTCGAATGGAACGCTACGTGGCTTTCAGTAACGAGGGGTCTTGAGTTCTTGCACTTTCATCCAAAAAGAAAAAAAAAACCTCTCTTACTCCTAACTGAATGCCGGAAGTGCACTGAATGACTGTTCATGAGAAATGAGCAAGTGCACGGACCACGCCTAAGAGTGCCTTGCATGTGATCAGCTCGCTTAAATCCTCGCCAAACTTCTTGCGACGCGGACTTTCCTTCCACCACCCACCTCGAGACATCTTCTCGTCGCACCTTCATCCATAATGGCAACGACTGCTGATACGAGCGCGACCACGCCGCCGGCGAAGATGAAGAGTCCGCAAGCGTGCCTGACGGGCTTGCCTCCTGAATTGAGAGTGCGAATTTATGGGTTCGTCTTCTCTGGACTCTGGACAAAGGAGGAGGAGGAGTCAGTCGAGGCTCGGTATCCACTCGCAAAGAGCCAAGAACTCACTGTTCCCAAGAGCAAGAGCAAGGACGAGCTCAAGGAAGTTGGTGAAGACGAGAATCAAGACATGGACAAGGGTCAGGAGGAGAGCAACCCATACCGAAGTCCCGACGTACAAAGCAACAGCGAGATCGAGGTTGGAAATGACGAGGAAGCGGTAGAGGCCGGGACCGAACTACAAGAGACTCCACCTCGACAGCACTGCTGCTCTCGCCACGAGGACTCTCCAGACATCCCTGGAGCAGATCCACGACCAATTACCTGCACCTGCTGTTTCGGCCGCCTCAACCTTAGCATCCTATCCACCAACAGACTCATCTACAGCGAAGCGCTACCAGTCTTCTACGGCTCGGTCGAGCCTCGTGTCGGCCTTCCTACAGTCTTTTGGTCTAGCGACCCGGCGAAAGACCTGCGCGAGGTACTCGATCGGCTCCCTCAAAGCCGGCTCACAATGGTCTCACATGTGGTTTTGTTTCGGACCACCAGTGCCATAGCAGTCGGTCATGACTGCTGTATGTTACCCGCCTACGATCGCTTGTGGGAGGCTCTCGCAAGCGACTTGCCGAATCTCAAGCATGTCCGCATCCATCTCGATCTCAACGTGGTTTTCCACGTCCGCGAATTCCCGTTTCGTTACTTCGCGGGAGTCACGCGGTTGTCTAAGTTGCAGACGGTTGGGATTGAGCTTTCCTGTACGCAGTTTCGAGAATTGTCAAAAGACATCAACGAGGATGGCGAGACGATTGCAGACCTGCAGGTGGCATTCGCAGGAAGTATCAAGGGCAAGGCGGAGGGCTTGGGAAAGCGGATTGAGGTCACAGTTTCTTGAGATGTCGTTGCCCTTGAGTTCGGGCACTTCGAAGAGGACAGAGGTGTGGCACTGTGTGCGTTGTAGTGCGAATGTGCATGGACGGCGAGGAGAGGGTGGCCTCATATTCATGGGGTTTGCGGTTGCGTCCTCGAAGGCAGCAACTTGATACTCGCCTAGGGTAGTCAAGATATTGCACTGCAGATACATCGAGACTGAATGAAGGTGTGTCAAATTCCTCCGCCTCTGATTCCTCGAGTTCCTCGTGTGTGTAGTTATGATAGTATGGTGAATATCGACATAGTTTTTGTGGCTCTGACCAGATCTGTTTAGTATACAGAACTCCATGGTTGGGACCGTGAGGCTCATGAAGTGGAAGTGCGCAAGATATTTCGTGATCAACAGGGCTTGCGACGCAAGACGCTGAGAGTGAGCAAACGAAGTGGTCGGCGAGAGTCCAGAAGCTGCACAAGTTCATCTCCTGATGAAGTCAACGGCATCGTCGAATGCCCGTGGAAGTAGACACAGGGCCTGGCAAATGTAGACCGAGTCCATTGTCTTGCCTCCGTACGAGTAACACACCTCTTGGGCGACAACCACGTATGCGACGCCAACGTCAACATGCGACAGCAGCATCATGCGGCGGCAGAAACATGCGCCGGCACAGCTTCGGCCAAAAGCGTTCTAACTTACATATATCCCCTCGCGCGCACTACATTCGTTCAAAGCAAACACTAAAGTGTTTCTCTGTTTAGTGCTTAGATGGCTTAGCGGTAATCGTAGGATCCCGAATCACACCGGTGATTCAAAGGCCTACGTAGCAAGCCTAGTACGCAGTTCTTTTGCTCGGCGAGCAAAGTATGTGGTCGCTGGCGCCTTTTCCTTTTTGCATTCGAAGGGGCCCGGGTTCGAGTCGGGAACTGGCAGGTGAACTTTTGCAGATTTTTCGATCTTTGCCTGGGGTTTTGCGACGGTGGGTTGATTTATTGATCGACCGATAGTATCTGTTTACTGCCAGTACTTTTGCTACGGTGGATGAGTTATATTGAGCCGAGACCTAGTACTATGTTTTACGTTAGCAGTGACTTTCACGTGCCTTCCTAATCGGGAAGGTACGGAAGGAGGACAAACACGGTTTTCGATCTTGCGATCGCGTAAATTGTGTTAGTGTGCCCAACTCGTATCTTGTAGGTATTTATTATGGAAGTGAATGCAGGACGGTGGTTCTTTGGAGAACGGTGTTTGCGTTTCTGTCTTCTCTAGAATGGTAAAGGCCACGGTGGGCAGAATTTCGGGTGTGAGGCTTGCGTTCGAGCGATCCTTCCCGCGAGAACGTCTCGGCTGTTTCGAAACCAGGTTTTCGATGCTGGAGATCGCTTGAGCCCGTCTGTCAATGAGGTTCAATGCTCGCCGTCAGTCGACGGCTTCCGTGGGAGATAGCAACCCTAGGCGTTATTGCAAAAGAATGGAAGCGACTGAACATAGAACAATTTTGGCTTTTTGGTCTTACATGATGGTGCCATAAATGCACTTCGTTTGTCCCATTGACCCAATGCGCCTTGCTACCCTATCGAGAGGGCGCAACATCACAGTAGCAACTCCTTGGCTCCTGTCCCAATTGAACTCCTAGACGCCTTCGCCAATGCTTCATGTACAGCGTACTAGTATCCCCTGCCTCTGCCTCTTGGTGTGCCTCGTGAACCGCCTCTGCTGAAGCCACCGCTACCTCCAAAGCCACCTCCGCGGCCACCGCCGAATCCACCCCTCGATCCGCCACGACCTGGTGGCCCTCCACGTCCTCTTGGTGCGCCTCGTCCTCCTCTTGGCGCACCTCGACCGCCTCTGCCTCCTGCGGCACCAGCACCTCTTGGCTTCTTCACCTTTGGAGCGCCTGGCGGAGGCTTGGGCTTGGGGAGGAACTTCTCGAGAGGCAGGAGCTTGTCGCCGCCGATGTAGAATTTATCGCCGTTCTTGAAGGAAGTGGCTTGAATGCCCTCTTGCGGTTTGATGGTGAAGAAGACTTGGTTGAGCGGGCCGAGAATCTCGTCGACTTTGCCGATGGGCGTCTTGTTCTCGAGATAGATGGGAGCGTTGAAGTAGGGAATTTTGGTGTTGATCGATTCGCAGACCATCTCGCCTTCGGTTGCGTGCATGAAGCTGCCCATCTCTGTTCGTGCGTTAGCATCTGCCTTCCGTAGCTCATTCTCCTGTCTGCCATACCATAGACCTGGTCTGGTGGACCATACGATTGCTGGAAACCACCGCGACCGCCTCTCGCACCGCCTCTGAATCCACCGCCACGGCCACCGCGATCAAATCCACCTCGTCCTCCACCACGGAACGACATCTTGACTTCTCTTTTCAACTATGCTGTATATTGCGCGGATCGGCGTCTTCCTGGTGAGATCGATCGCAAAGGCCCAGAGTCGCAGCAGTCTCCGGGCACCGGCGGTAAGGAATGTGATGTGAGTTGTGGTGAGTGATAGGCGACTTGTAGAGGGAGCTGTAGCTTTGCGACTTGGATTTTCTCGAATGAATCCGCGAAGCTAAAGTTTAAAGCGGCCTTGGCGTGGTGCCTCAGGCATCAACTTCCGACTACACCTCGCTAACGAATTGTACCACATTCTAAGAACTCATACACTTCCAAAGATTTTCCAGAGACAGTGCGGGCTCCATGGGGTCTGGTTAGCGATTGGACGGACCTGACAAATTTGCAGTCTCTCAACATCAATTCTGCGCCCAACACAACGATACAAAGACTTCTGCCAAAATGACCAAAACTCATCGAAACGGCGCCAAGTCTGCGGACGATGCTTTCAATCGACACTACGCAGCAATATGGGGCGAGGAAAGATGGAACGAATCATTGTACCCGGCACTACTGCAGCCAACACGATACGCGTGTCTCCTGAATCGATATTCGCCTATGGACAACGCCGAAAAGTTGTTAGAGCACCCAGAAGTGGAGAGCAAACCCCTTGAGCTTCCTCGCAGGACCCTCAATTCTTCGGACGATGGGCTCAGGCCCAATTGCTTTGTTCGATACACCAAAGACGGAGAGCCAGCAGACGCACCTTTCCCTCCACCAGACACTTCTACGAGAATCTTGTCACACTGGAATCTCGATGGAGCTTCGGTTCTTGTGGCAAGTCTGCTTAATGTACAACCTCAGGACAACGTTCTCGATCTCTGCGCAGCACCTGGAGGAAAATCGATCGTCTTGGCGCAACGACTCTGGCCGCATTTGCACGCCGATTCATCGAATCTCAAACAGAGAGTCTTGACTGAGAAGATCCGCGCAGGAAATCTTCATTCAAACGAAGCTGACGGAGCTCGGCAACGTCGTCTGGCGGAGAACTTGAAGGCGTATCTATCGAAGGCTCTCTTTGATTCAGACCAAGTGAAGACATTACGAGTTGATGGCTCAAAGCCAAATGCAGAATATGAGCTACGAGTGAAGACGCCGACAGGAACGACAGGGTACGACAAAGTCCTTGTCGATGCACCATGCTCTTCAGAAAGACACATCATTCATGCTCATGCAAGAGCGGCGGCTGGCGGTCGAGTGGCGGACGAGATGGCGAGTTGGCGACCTGGATCATCGAAGCGGTTGGCGAAGACGCAGATTGATCTGCTCATGACCGGTGTGAAAGCCGCGAATGTTGGGGCAACGATTGTATATGCGACGTGCTCCATTGAGCCGACGGAGAATGATGGGGTGGTTGAGAAGGTACTAGCACAGGTTCAGAAAGACAAGAAGAAGGGTATCAAATGGTGTGTGAAGGTCGGCTTCAATGGAGGCGAAGGTGATGCTGAGCTGGAGGGTAAATTGGAGAAGAAATGGGCGGAAAAGACGAAGTATGGTTGGATCGTGCTGCCTGATCATCCGAGTGGTGGGAGATGGGGACCGCTTTTCTTCGCTGTGTTGACCAAGACCGCAATTTGAAGGAAGTGTGCCAACGGGTCTTTCAGACATCTACTTCGAAGCGTGAACGCTAGAAAAAGCCGACCATGGTGCCCAATCCGTCCACAGAGAGGAGTCTCACCATGGAGCACTTCTCAAATACGTCATGGGACCTCGCCCATGGCAGTCACAATATGCCCTTCGCCGTAAAGCGCCATACCCGCGAGGAACCAGTCAACGTCCATTCAAGCCTCGTATCAAATCACCGCCTCAGCCCTCTTCGCAGCATGGTCCAGATTCCACCACGGTTCCTCAACGCCAGAAGGTAGAAGGTGGCACCAAACACCGCACCACCCAAATGCGCCGAATGTCCAACCTTGCTGTCTGAGTTGAGATAGTATGCATCCACACCGAAGTAAAGAGCCGTGATAGCCCAGAGAGGGATCGAAATGGGAATAAACATGAGGTTCATCGGCGCACTTGGCCTTAGGCAGGTCGCTGCAGCTCCTAGGCCCATCACCATGCCACTGGCTCCAAGACCGACGTAGATGTGCCGTGCGATCTGGCCACCGCCGAAGCTCGAAAACACTCCTTTCGACTTTTGTATCGTCGATTGAGGCCGTTTGCTCGTTCGGAGATGATACAACCACGCCACAGATCCAGCAGCCGCACTGCCTACAGCTAAAGCTATAACATGCGCGGCTCTAACTCCGGACACGGTAGCCAGAACGGTACCAAAAGCGTGAAAGGAGACCATGTTGAACAGGAAGTGTCCGGGTTCGCGGTGTGAGAAGGCAGATGTGATGAGTGTATGATTCCGGCCGGCTTGGAGGTTCGCTTCCATCAGTGTCGCATTCTCGTACAGTTGACGGTCGAGCGCTCGATCGTTCTTAGCCTTCGCGTATTGCCAGGCTCCAAAGACGGCCGCATTGAGGCTGATAATGGTCCACACCGCACGCATCACTCCTCGATTAGGCCCGCCGAAGTAGGCCTGGCTGTAAGCGCGGCGAGAGATGCGGTCGACGAGGCTGGGATGGATTTGCCCTGGTCGAAGTTTTTGAATGACGGATTTCGTGAACTGTGACTCTGAGTCCATCTTGGCGGAGGTCTTGAATGCGCGAGCGGGTCTACACGCTTTATATGCTTGTAATCGTCCTCTCAGCCGAGAAAGTATGCCCTGCGCGGTTCGAGAGTGCATCTGATATGTGTGGTCAGATGTGGAATATGATGAATGTGATGAGGAAGGAAGATGGCAATGGATTTCGTTGATGAACTGCCGATATGGGCACTGTTACAGAGGGCGATAACTTGGTATCAGGAGTTGCGGCCGAGACCAGGCGCGTCGGAGAACATGTTGCAAGCGAAAGACAACATACGATTGGTGTGTGGCGACGATTTCGAGAGCATAGGCGCCTCTCTTTCGGCCAGTCTGAATGAATGAAAGCGCACGCGCAACAGCTGTCGTCGGGGGAGGACGTGAAGCTCTTGGTTTGAGTATGGCGCCGCTGCTGCGTGAGTGCCTCAGGCACACAAAATCCAAACATCCCCCTGTCCTTCGTATCACGCCCATCCGAGACATATTCCATACATACGGATAGCAACTTTCCCAACAAATGCTGTGGCCAGGTTTCATGCAATCTTCAACTTCTTGTCTCCAGCCGGACCACAGTCGCTGGAGTATTGTGGCCAACAATGTCTTTCATCGTTCCCAAGCGGCTACTTCGAGTTGCACGATGCACCATCGCAGATGTACCGACTGAGCAAGCCGCCAGTGATTTGTTGTTGCACTGCTGAGTTCTCCACAGTGTTGTAACAGTTGATGGACGAGTTGCTACCGCAGTGCGTTTGCTATAAGAAGCAATGGCAAGCTGCAACCGATTTCGAAGATTATAACATCACGAGCAAGTACTTGGGTCGAACACCACACCTGCGCTTTCTCGTTACGAACATCGAAGCATCATACCTCCAACAAGCTCACTTCACGCCTTGAACACTCAACATGAAGATTTGCCTCGTCAACTCTTCCTACCAGGGTACCAACTCTCCCTTCGAAAAGGTCTGACAACTCAAACTGTTCCCGTCTTGTCGATGTTCCACTTTTATCCTGACGAGGTTGGTTGTAGTATGACAAACTGCCGGATCACAGTCGATACATTCCCAAGTCCAGACATGAGTTCGTCACTCGCTGGGTGACCAAGACCAATGCTAAGGCCGAAATCGACGAGATCTGCAAAGAGCCCTTTGACATGTTCTTGAACTACATGGTAAGTATGCTGTCTAACACCAGTCTTGTCTCATTGAGGATCATGGCTAGCTAAACAAGTTTTGTAGTGGGGGATCGAATCTGATGTTGTAGCTGGTGTCGAAGCGACGAAGTATTTGGAGTCAAAAGGCGTTCCAGTCCTGATGAACCCGTCATGGTTCCTTGTCAAAGACAAGCTCGACCTACAGCACGCTGCGATGAAGGTGGGATTTAGCATCCCGCGCGATACTCCAGGCCGCTATCCCAAAATCGTGAAATATGCGGACGGTTGTGGCTCGCTGAAGCTCGACTACAACTCCATCTGCCACACTCAGGACGAGGTCCAGAAGCGCATTGCTTATCTGAAGGGGGACAACAAGACCTTCGATGTTATGGTGCAGGACTACATCATTGGTACTGAGTGCTCGGCTATGGTCATCGAAATGGGTGATACCGTGGCAGGGCTCAACCCCTTGCGCTACGTGTTTCCCACCGATATGTCCCCGGAAAAAGAATTTCTGACCTGGCATAACAAATTCGAGGCTTGCGAAAATGGCACGATCCAATACGCACTCGTCGAAGGCGAAGATGCTGAAAACCTTAAGAATGGTGCTATCGACGCTTTCAAGGCCCTTGGTCTGATTCGTGGAGGCTGCTGGGCTCGCGTGGACATGCGCCTCGAGAGAGACACGGGTGACGTGTATGTTATCGAGGTCAACAGTCTTCCGGTCGTCTTCTACCCTGTAGGCAACAAACTGAGCGATGATCTCGTGATTGAACACACATTCCCCGGTGGCCACGGCGCTCTCATGGACGTGATGCTCGCCACCAAAGTCTTGCAGCAGCGCAAGAATCAGGCGCAATGCCAGAGAGCTACTGCTCTTTTCGATAGAATGGCGCCCGGATACAACGATGTGTGGCAAAAGACTGGTCTGCGGGAGTTCCAGATCTTATTCGCCGCCCACTATGATTTTTCTGGCTCAGTTCTCGACCTGGGTTGTGGCACCGGGGCCTTCGGCAAAATTCTCGATGAGCAGGGTATTCGTCCCAAGATACACGGCATCGACATTTCCCCAGGCATGCTAAAGCAGCCGTGGGTGAAGCAATACTACCAACAGCCAGTGCGAATTGGGCCGCTGGAGGAGCTCGTCAAGGTATGTTAATCGGAACCGCATTATCATTATATACTGACCTGAAGCCCCAGACTGCCGATGAAGTCGATCACATCGTCTGCTTCGGCGTTCTCAACTTCCTCGACCCGATCTTCTTCAAAGCCGTCTTCGCGAAAATGTTCATGCTCGCTCGCCGTTCGATCACAGTCAACATCGATGACCTGACACCCGATTTTGTTCGACTGAATGCGGCTAAGCATGGCAAGCTCTTGAGCGTGAACCACGTTAGGACGGTGCAAGACTTCGGCGTGCCTAATGGCTGGAGGCTCGTGTACAAGAAGTGTGGGAAGATGTTCACGTCTCCTTCCATGGGGCCGGATGTATATGGGTATGGGATGCGGTTTGAGCGGGTGTAGAGGTGGCCAACTTCCATCAGATTTGATCCCTGAAGACCGGGAAAAGTTGTCATCTGCTGGTATGTCTTTAAAAAACGACTTTAGGTAGTTAGCCATTATGTGTCGTTATTTGATGAAAAGCGAGCTGGTGTAGACCGCTTCTACTAAAACTTAGGCTCATCAGCTGTTGGCCGTGAGGAAGAAGACGTGAAGCTTAAGGTTTGACTTTGGCACTGCTGCGTGAATGCCTCAGGCTTCCATGGACGGGCTCAGCATTGGCTTTGCGTCTTTCAAACAGCCCACCAGCAACACACGCACATGCTTCTTTGCGCAACACCACGCACCACAACAATTCCACCACCACCCACCTAGGACTCATCATACTTGTCCGCCGATCCAGAGCTGGCAAAACAATACCGCCTTCCACTCCGCCGCCAGCGACATTCTGTAACGCTGGACTGGATCTGAAAACAGGCCAAGAACTGGACTGATCTTGTGCCTCCAGGCCTTTCTTCACTTACAGGCTCCGCGCACACGCCTCGTGTTGCCACAAACAAGCTGCACCTTACACCACACACTTGCGCTTTGGCAGACTTGCTGCCGGAAGGATACGAAATCCTCGCCATTACTGTTTCTACAGCTTTCCACAGCTGACCACTCATAACACCCTCTTTGTGGCTCGGCGACCGCACCATACGAGAGCACAGCAGTGCTTCAACCCCTTCTCGATCCACTACACACACGCATAATGGCGTCCGAGCTGGCCAACAAGCTCGAGGCGACCACCCTCGACGATGCATCAGCTTCAGGTGATTGGAAGTCGGCATTGAAAGCGCCGCCAAAAGACGGAAGACAACAGACGGAGGATGTCACTGCAACCAAGGGCCTAGAGTTTGAAGAGTTCTATCTGAAGCGCGAGCTATTGATGGGCATCTACGAAGCTGGGTTCGAGAAGCCCTCGCCCATTCAAGAAGAGACGATTCCTGTTGCGCTCTCTGGCCGCGACGTACTGGCACGTGCCAAGAACGGCACTGGAAAGACGGCTGCCTTTGTCATACCCACACTCGAGCGCATAAACCCCAAAGTCGATAAGATCCAGGCTCTGCTTCTTGTGCCAACGAGAGAGTTGGCCCTTCAAACCTCGCAAGTATGCAAGACTCTTGGCAAACACCTTGGAATCAACGTCATGGTCACCACGGGAGGCACGGGCCTCCGAGAAGACATCATCCGACTCAGCGATCCTGTGCACATTGTTGTCGGCACACCTGGCCGTATTCTCGATTTGGCGGGCAAGGGCGTCGCTGATCTCTCAGAGGTCAAGACATTCGTCATGGACGAAGCCGACAAGCTCCTATCCCCGGAGTTCACAGTCACCATTGAGCAGCTGCTCAAGTTCCATCCCAAAGATAGACAGGTCATGCTGTTCTCCGCAACCTTCCCTGTGGTGGTGAAGGACTTCAAGGACAAGCATATGAGTGACCCACACGAAATCAACCTCATGGACGAACTTACCCTTCGAGGTATCACGCAATACTACGCTTTCGTTGAGGAGAAGCAGAAGGTCCACTGCCTCAACACTCTCTTCAGTCGACTTCAAATCAACCAGTCCATCATTTTCTGCAACAGCACCACTCGTGTAGAGCTGCTTGCAAAGAAGATTACCGAACTCGGCTACTCATGTTTCTACTCGCACGCCAAGATGCTGCAACATCACCGCAATCGCGTTTTCCACGACTTCCGCAATGGTGCCATGCGCAACCTCGTTTGCTCAGACTTGTTGACTCGCGGTATCGACATCCAAGCCGTCAACGTTGTCATCAACTTCGATTTCCCAAAGAACGCAGAGACGTATCTCCACCGTATCGGTCGTTCTGGTCGTTTTGGACATCTTGGTCTTGCAATCAACCTTATCAACTGGGAAGACAGGTTCAATCTGTACCGCATCGAGCAGGAGCTCGGTACTGAGATCAAACCTATCCCACCGTCCATCGATAAGAAACTTTATGTTTACGACACTCCCGAAAACATTCCAAGACCTATCAGCTCGGCCCCAGCACAGAGGCAGCAACAGGGACAACAGGGCAGACAGCAGGGCAATGGACAGGACTTGCAGAACCCTGCGAATCGCACGACCGGTGGCTACCGCGGAGGTAGAGGTGGTGGGTTCGGCGCAGGCAGAGGTCGTGGAGGACCTCGCAACGACCAAAACGGATTCCAGGGACAGCAGAGGCAGGGTGGCTACCAACAGCGGCCCAACCAACAACAGATGGCGCCGGCTGGTCCGCCTGCAGCTCAGGCCTAGGAGGCTTGAGCTACTGAATGACCAATCTAGCGCGATCTGTAGGAGTATGACAGGCGTTTTTGGGTGGAGTTTCAACAGAAAGGCAGATTGCTGGCCGGCGAGCCAGCTGGAGTTTTCGAGGGCAGCATGATTGATGATACCCGGTCCTTATGTTCCGGCGTGTTTTTACGTTTCGAACGAGATGCGATCTACGGCCTGACGACCCCCGGCTGGTAGACGACTGCATCGCTATTCCTCTACGACTTTCCTCTCGACACACACCTCTCGACACACACCTCTCGACACACACCTCTACCGATTCTCGGCCTTTCGGCTCTACAGGACGCGGATACTCGAATACTCTATCACATCACTCAAACCACACGAAGAAGTATAACATATTCAGCTACAATTTACCAGATCTCGCCGACCCACGAGATCATCTACTTACGACAACCGCGACAACGACTTCTACCTTTGGACGAAGCTGCACCTGTCTGCATTGCGTGAGAGTTACTACTGAGAGGCTCACACCGACCACGTTGATCACATCTTCTTCACTCATTCAGAAGGTGCCGGATCAGTCCAGATTTTGAACCTCTTGGAGCTCCAACATCTTTGCTTGAAGCACTGCTACGGTATTTCGACTTGGCAAGGGAACTCGAAAGAATGTTCTTGCAAACGTTGTTGTAGCGAAGGGAGGACTGTCTGGTAGAAAGAGAAAACAAACATAAAAACCTTTTTGGGAGGACCAAGTTGAGCTGTGGATACTATTTGGCACGGTGTTGCTGGAGGAATCTCTGGATTTCGCTGGCTGTTGCCATGTACGCTGCTCAATGGCAAACAAATCTCTACTTCCACTCACCTTTCACTTTTCACTGCCTTTTCCATAATTAGGCGTGGACATACACCTTGGGTGCATGTGATGCTAGCCCGCGAATGTCGTCGCGTCGACGTGTGATCAGTCCGATTGCTTAACGCTGCTGGTCGCAGTTTCATTCCTCGTAAGACGCACTCCTTTCACACGGACGGTGTCTCTCGTGAACGTCCAGAGGTAGGTGCATAGGAAAGATTAATTTCATACATTCGATCGAAGTAGTAGTATGAGCAAGGAAAAGCAAGACCAGAAGTGCGAGGCATATCGCGACGAGTGGCACCACCTGCTGCGCTGTTGCGGCGCTACCGCTTATGATGAGAGGAAACACTGAAAGTCTAAATCGCTCACCTTGGTGGCAGGCAATACGCCCTGAAAGCGAAGCAGCAGAACAGATTGGCTACGGTACTGCAGGTCACGAGCGTATTGAATGCAGCAGACACGTGCAACGGACTGGAGAGGCAGTAGTTGAGGCGGAGCATGAGGGACGAGACCGCGTGACCAGCAGAGGAAACGTTATAGCGAGATGGTGGCTAGGACAGCGTTGACGAGAACACAACCAAGCACCTGCAGCACAACATGAAGCAGCAGAGAAGAACGTTCGCCAAGAGAAGGGGGATGAGAGAGATCGAGGACAGCATGCAGCAGCCAGCAGCAGCAGCAGCAGGGGAGCTTCGCAGAAAAGTGAACAATGTTTTGCTGGTCCCTCATTGGGCCTAGCCTGTCTAGCCCGCGACTGCCTCGCGCGTGATTGTGGGAGTCGCAGCGGCAGGTGCCCTACTATAAAAGCAAGACCCCACCCGCACCCGCGCAGCGAAGCTGCCGTTTCCCTCCCACTCCCCGTCCAACACAACAACAACGCGTCGACAAACCCGCTCGCATTTTTACGCCGTCCGATTCTCCAGCTTACCCGCTATCACATCCATCGATCAGATCAATCGCCATGCCTCCCAAGAAGACTGCAACCGGCGCCTCCAAGAAGGCTGCCACCGCCAACCACCCATCCTACCTTGGTACGTCTTCGCCGTCGTCTCCTGATCGCAGCCTTTGTCGCGGCGACTTGAGATAGCTTTCATCGTATTCGCCAGTTACTGACGCGTATATACTGCAGACATGATCAAGGAGGCCATCATCAGCGTAAGTCGACCCATCCCGGCGCAAAAAGACAGGACGTCCTCGCGAGGGTCAGATTGCGACGTGCACCACGTCCGATCGCATTCTGAGCCCCACGAACGATTCTGTGTTTTGAAACTTTGACTGACGTGTCTTCTGATGCAGCTCAAGGAGCGCAACGGTTCTTCGTAAGTCGATACCACCACCTCGCCGTCGCCGGCGGTACCCAGTTTGGCAAGAGCTTGGCTTGGGCAGGACTCGACCATTTGCTAACATGACACGTCTACAACAGTCGCCAGGCCTTGAAGAAGTATGTCCTGGCCAACAACAACCTTGCCGGTGTTAGCGACGCCGTCTTCACCGCCCAATTCAACAAGGCGCTTCAGCGAGGGTCTGACAGCGGCGTTTTCGCGCGCCCGAAGGGTACGTCAAACCGAACGATCATCACAACTCCCTATTGCTCCCTCGATTCCACCGTTGATGTTCTGAGAATCTCCGTGTCATCAACATCAAGAACCCAACACAATTTACCCGAATTCTTCACGCATCATCATCACCCTGCTGACGCTGCTGTCGCCCACAGGTACCTCCGGTCCAGTCAAGCTTGCTGCACCAGGCAAGACCACCACCGAGAAGCCTGCCGCGAAGACGACCACCACCAAGGCACCAGCTGCGAAGAAGACCAAGACTGCTACCGCTAAGAAGGCACCTGCAAAGAAGACTGCTGCCGCGAAGACCAACAAGGCCAAGACCACAACGAAGAAAGCTCCAGCTGCCAAGAAGACTGCTACTAAGAGCAAGGCTAACACTGGCAAGGCACGCAAGACTCCGTCTGCTGTATGTCATGCTGCCACCCTCGATCACTTTCAAATGCTAACGTCGTCGCAGGCCCCGGCCGTTGAAGAGAAGGCACCTGTTGTCCTTGGCAAGACCAAGTCTGGCCGCGTCACCAAGTCGAGCGCTCCACAACCAGTCGCCAAGGCCATTGCACCCAAGAAGAAGGCCGCCGCCAAGAAGGCAACAACGAAGAAGTCTGCCACGCCCAAGAAGGCGTAAGCAGTCTTTCTTCAGTTGTTGTTTACTGTCAACATATGTATGACGACCTCGGAGTGTACGTTGACGCCGATGTCATCTCTTTCCGGCTGGTGTACATGCTACATGGCTTGCGAGGGAAGTGACTTGAACGATATGGCGTAAGGGCGTCGAGCGAGTGTCAATGGATGTGATACCAAGCGTGTATGGACTTTCTTCTGGGGCTGCTGGGATGGGTTTGGGTGTGTTTAATGGCGTGCCACAGTGTGATGGAAGGCGTTATGGCTGTCATGATGAGAGATGTCACTATGGGACCGCGTACATAGCTTGACATGATTTTCCACGTTTTCGACTGCTTCGAGTTCATCTCACCGCTGCTCTGTCGTTGCTTGGCTTTTGCTGTCTATCTCACCAGAACTTGCATTCGAATTGCAAACATTGCATGCACGTGTTCTGATATGTTATATGCAGTATTTGAACGAATATATATTTTATACGACTCCATTCGCAGATATATGAATAGGCGAGGGATGATTCCATCCGGCTCTCACACGTGTACCAGTGGATTGTTGACGTGCGGTCGGTAGGAGCTTTTCATTGGGCAGCGTACGGAGACTTGCGTTGCTCGCCCTTCCGTTCTCTTGGAAATCAACCCGACTGCAAACATCCGAGTTGGCAGCACCACACTTCCCACTTCTCACACGTCCACACCCGCACCACGATCTGACTGCCTCCTTTCTTCTTCTGCGGATATCCACTTGCAGCATACATTGCAGCGCCCTGCCGCCGGACCAGCCAGGACAGCGCTGCAAAGCCTCAGGCCGACAGGGAGCTATTCTTGGACGTCCAACGACCGCCAGATTCACGCACTCTGGCGACCGCGACCGCCCACCGACCCCAGGACGGGGACAGCGATGTGGCAGGAAGTGCTGCGACGGCGCTGAGGAAGAGTTCCGAGCTGGACCTCCATGCCGGCCACATTTTCATGGTGCGCCAGTCCAGAGACATGCCGGCCGCCGTGGCCCATGGCAACAGCATCAGCGGAGGTGGCTCGGCTCCCTTCATGACCACCACGACCACTACGACCACGACGCATACCCTTACGAATAACAACCGACGGACGTCGAATGAGCTGGGACGGAGATCTTTGGACCAGGCGTCGCCGCCGGTGGATCACTTGCCGGGCGGGTGGCCGCATACTCCTGGGTTGAATGGGGGCCTGAATGGGAGTGTGAAAGAGGGGATCGGGGGGAAGGATGGGAGTATACTGAGTGTGCCGAGTAATGCGAATGGCAGCGAAAGGGCACCCAGTGCGAAGAGTATAGCGTTGAGCATGAAGTCGCGGCGCAGCGCAAGCAATCTCAATGCTGTGGATGGTGAGAGGAGGTCTGGTGAGGCCGTCAAGGAGAACACAAGCAGACTGGGGGCAGCGGAAGAGGGCTACTTCTCTGGCATTCTTAATGGGAAGCCTGCTGGCCCGCCTAGGAGTCCGCTCAGCAAACCTGTGGCCATGACGAATGGCGATGTTCCTACCACACCCGGACGAACCGTGAGCCATGGAGCTGGCATGGTCCCCATGACATCCAACACCACACTCCCACCCCTCGAGGAGACTTCGCCGCGAAGCGGGCATGTCGACGGAATGCTCAAGCCTCCCACACACAGCCACCATCACCACCGCGCGTCATCACCTCCCGCCTTCAATCCCGACGCGAGTTCTACCGCCCTTCAGCCGAGACCTGATCGACTTACTCACAGACATACCTTGGAAGTGCCAAAGGTGAACACCCGAACGTCGAAAGATGGAGGAGACCCCACTGCCATGGGCTTGGATGGACAGGCGCTGTCCGCTACCGGACGTTTCTCGCCAAACACACCCACCCGAAGACGAGCGTCGTTACAATTAACACGACGGGCGACAAGGTCTGTTCATTCTGATATGCACCTGGACGATATACCGCAAGATGAGGATGCTGCGAGATGGGCAGAACACATCAAGGCCAAAAGAGCGTCCAAGAAGCACAGAGCAGATACTGATGATGAGCGGGTGGTTGTTGGCACCAAGGTCGATGAGAACCACGTTAACTACGAGACGGCATACAACATGCTCACAGGTATCCGCTTCACCGTTTCCAGGACGAACGCCAAGCTGGACCGTGAGCTCACCGAAGCCGACTTTGTCGCCAAGCACAAGATGAGCTTCGATATTACGGGTAACGAACTGACACCGAGCGCGAAATACGACTTCAAATTCAAAGACTACGCGCCTTGGGTTTTTCGTCATTTGCGGGCCATCTTCAAAATCGACCCGGCCGAGTATCTCATGTCCTTGACTTCTAAGTACATTCTTTCGGAACTGGGATCGCCGGGCAAGAGTGGCTCATTCTTCTACTTCTCACGAGATTACAAGTACATCATCAAGACGATCCATCACGGCGAACACAAGTTTTTGCGGAAGATCCTGAAGGATTACTATCGACATGTCACCGAAAACCCGAACACGCTGCTCTCGCAATTCTACGGCCTGCACCGTGTGAAGATTCCTTATGGTCGCAAAATCCACTTCGTGGTCATGAACAACCTTTTCCCGCCACATCGGGACATTCACAGGACGTTTGATCTGAAGGGAAGCACAATAGGACGTGATTTCCGGGAAGAAGACTTGGAGAAGAATCCTCGAGCGACGTTGAAGGATCTGAACTGGCTGCGACGGAACCTGCACCTGGAGTTTGGACCGACGAAGAAGGAGGCCTTTGTCAAGCAGATGCAGAGGGATGTGGCGTTACTGCAGAGGCTGAAGATTATGGATTACTCGCTTCTTGTGGGCATTCATGATCTGGAGCGGGGCAATGAGGAGAATTTGCGTGACAAGACATTGCAGGTTTTCCAGCCGGGTGGAGAGGAGAAAGATGAGCCTTCTGGAGGCAATTCTCGACAACTAGCGAGGACGCCGAGCAAGTTGGAGACGGCGAAGAGGGCGAAGGAGCTGCGAGAGATGGTCAAGAAAGAGAGGCCGAAACCGATGGATCAGACGCTGGATAGGATGCCTGAAGAGTCGCACAAGAGTTCGTTCTTCTTCTACGCGGATGATGGTGGTTTCAGGGCGACGCATGAGGACGATACGCCCGGAGAGGAGATCTACTACCTTGGCATTATCGACTGCCTGACAAGGGTGAGCATAGACGGAACGTTGGTGAAAATGTGAGCTGACGCAATACAGTACAACTACGTGAAAAAGGCAGAGCACTTTTGGAAAGGCATGGGCGGTCATGAATCGCAGATCTCCCCTATACCACCTGACCGATATGGCGATCGCTTCGTGCGATTCATTTCTGGCATTACGATGTCGCGGGAACGAGCCGAGAAGCAGCGATTATCAGCAGCACTCGAAGCCGCTGGCGCTAACATCCAGATTCCTGACGGCATCGAAGGGACTGTCAACGATCCCGCACTGGGCGGCATCAACCTCCATCGAGATCCTCTTGATCCACCTGGTACGGAGAAAGTTATGAGTAAGGCAGAACATATCGCGGAGAAGAGTCGAAGACGTGGTTCACGAGAGGAAGATGTACCTGAACGCTCGCTAGGAACTACAAAGGGCGATGACAACGCTACACTACCAGTCATCGGCGAGGCAGCCGAAAGTGCCAGCAACAATAGCCGGACACCTTCGCGACATGTCACACCTGAACCTAGGCGAGAGGACGTCCAATCTCACCGACCCGTTGTTGGCAATGCGGAAATGCCACCCGAGGCCATCGGCGAAGTCCCACCACCCACACCGCCCAAGATAGACGGCAGTGTCGACCGCCGCAGTCTCGAAGAGCGCCGAAGCTGGGGCGGCAAACCACCACCCACACCGCCCAAAGACGACCGCAAAAGCCGACCCTTGGACAAAGATCTCCCCTTACCGCCTCTCATGCCCCAAGCAAGCACCCAACTCTCAGCGAGTCCCTCCAGGATCGGCGAGAGCGATTTCGGACTTTCGGTGAAGAGAAGCTAGGGACTTCTCAAGAGAGCCGTCGTTACCAGGACGCCGAGTTTGAGGAAGCCATCTCCTGCAGCTGTACCGACTCCCACGCCGGGCGAAGATCACGACGACGAAGAAGATCTTGGATTCGAATGCCTCCATCGACGAGACTCGCAATGTTTCATTTGTGTGAAGAAGGAATGATGGAAAGAGCGAAGAAGGCCGCTATTGATTTTGTCTTCCTTCCTTCTTTTCCTGCAAGGGGTGTTTTTGGATTAGCGGGTCAATGAGGTAGCATCTTCCTCTTCTCTTTAGTGGGCTGGCTATGCATGCCGGAGTTTTTTCTTTCCAGGTGTTATTGCTACTGCTTTTGTGTGGTATGCTGTGTGTGCATTCAGAAGAGAGGAAAGGAAGAAGGGAAGAGAGGAAGAAGAAGATCTCCTTGCGTCTGTGCTGTGTTTATTGCTAGCGAGCACTATGATACCATACCATGGATGCGTCCTTTTTTGTTGTTTTGCTCTGTCTACTTGCGAAGGGTCTATGAGGAGACGATTTTGCGGGTTTTTCTTCTTGGTTGGGTTTGGAAGGGAGGAGAGAGTAGAGATGGGAGGATGATGCGGAAGTGGGAGGGATGGTGAGGGAAAGAGAAGGGGAAACGGGAAAGGGGAAAGGGAGAATGTACATTTAGATTAGATGCTGTAGGATTGTTGAAGATTCTTTCTTCGATGCTTGGTCGTTTTGTTTTTCTTGTTCCGTTTTGTGTGGTCTGTGTTTGGGGTTCTGACGGTTGTAAAAGGGGATGAAAGGGAGAAAGGCTTCCTTCCTGTTGATCGGGAGTCGAGGAGAAGATTCTGAGGTGGTGTCGATGTGCACATAATTGAGATTATAAGTTTGAGAATAAAAGGGCGAATGATGAGGAATTGATAGAGTATCAGTGTGGAACTTGTGATGTTGCTCAAAATTCTGTATATCTCAACCTCAACCATCATCAAAATCCTACGCAATACAGATACCAACCCGCAGCTCGCAATGCAGAAACCACAAACATCAAACCTCCCCCCTCCTAGCACCACCCACGCATCGCCTCACCCATTGATCCCTCCTCCATGCCCCTCCCCATCAAACACACCCCTCCCCCTCCCGATGCTCATGATACCTAACACACATCCCCCTCCCCATCCACGGCTTACACCCACTCGTATCACTCCCCAAACAACTCCAGCCCTCGCCCTGATGCCTCCTCAAACACTCCCCACAAAACGCCTTCTCACACACACAACACTTATCCCCACTAACCCCAGGCTTCAAAACCTCCTTACACCCCTCGCACGCCTTACTCGTGCTCCAGCTCCGCGGCCGCCACGCCACGAGACTATGCCGCTCCAGAGCCTCCGGCCCGGGACGTTTCAGCTTCACGACAAGGTCCCGCAGGAAGCGCGGGTGCCAGTCGTCCTTGTGGGTTTCGAGGAGCTTGTCGGTTTTTTTGTACGCGAAGAGGTCCAGGATGAGCGTGCGGAGGGGGGAGGTGCTGGGAATGGTGTCGTAGAGGATCCAGGTGTCGGAGGGGGTGGGGACGGAGTTTGTGGATTCGGAGAGCCGCGCGATGGTTGTGAGGATGTGGTTGGAGAGGGGCGTGGTGAGGAGGCGGTCAGAGAGGGCGTACAGATCGAGGAGGAGGAAGTATTTGGGGGAGCCCGCGGTGTTGCGGAGGTCGCCGTCGAGGGCGATGTCGTGGAGGGTTGGGTGGGCGTGCGCATGCGCGTGGGGGTGATGGGGGAGGGGGGGGGGGGTGGAGGCGCGGTGGGGGGGGGGGGTGGCGAGGGGGTCGCTGGTTGTGGGTTGCGTGGTGAGAGTGCCGGTGTAGAGCCATTGGAGGAACCATTCGAAGGATTCGGGTTTTTCTTCGGGGAGGCGCACGGTTTGGTCGAGGCCTTCGGCGAAGGTGCTGTTGAGGGCTGCGGCGAAGAAGGGCGAGGCGGCGGTCAGGAGTTCTTTGTGGATGAGGTATTGGGTCTGAGGGCGAGCGCGGTCGTTGGGTTTGCCTACGACGACCGTGGCGACGCCGGAGAAGTTGCGGAAGGCTGTACGGAGGAGTGGTCGTGCTGGTGATCGGCCGGGTCTTGGTGAGCGGCGCGGTGGCTCTGCGACGCCTTGTTGGGTGGACGAAGAAGCGTCTGAGGGTGCTGGCGAAGGTACCTCGACAGCAGGAACGCCATGAGGATGCATCGTCGTAGCCATGCTACGCGGCCGTCCGGAGCCTGGTACTGGCGTCGTAGGATTGGGAGGCAGATGGCGGAACCAAACAGGAGTCTCGATGCGATCCAGCTTTGCTGATTGTCGTTGATCACTTTATCAAGAAAGCGGCAAGATCTCGTGAAGAGCGTGGTTCTTTGTCTCCGAACCGGTCGTACCAAGATGGGCGGAGGAACAGGGGAAGAGTGCGAATGATCGTGTGATCTTCTTCAGAAAAGTGGGCGAGCGAGCAAAGTCATAGGAGATCCCAAACGCAAGCAGAACACATGAGCCGCATCGTGTTGCTGATGTATGTCTTTGTCGCGAACAGCAAATGCAGTGTCGCAACCGGAAGCGGTCATCCAACACATTCATATCGACGGCGCAAACAGACAATGAGACATGCGGGAAAATGTACTTACCTGTCGAACACCGTTTCGGCGAAAAGAAAAGACATGCGCGCGCAGGTGAGATCTTGCTTGTCTGATGAGTGCAACTGAGAAAAGTCCAGCCGTTGAAAGTCAATGTGTTTGCTCGTCGTTGCAGCTACGCAAGCTTTGCTGTGGAATGCGTCCTCACGTGGCAAAGCACCACCACAAGTCCAAATCGAAGCTTTTCGACCCATTCCTCGCACCAAAAACGCCCATTCCGCTCCATTCCATGCTGGTCGTAGAGAAAGAATCGTCGTCGACTCATTACTGCGCAGTACACTTGAAACGGATGCGACCTTGAAGAAGCTTTCCTAATAGCCCTTTCCATAGCCATAGCCAGATGTTGAGAATCCCTTGTCGTGCTGGCTTCCCTCCTTCTTGACACTCTCTAAAATTCCATTAGTTAATCAAGTGCCTCGTTTGTGATTCGACCGTAATCAGCGTAATAACAGGTGTGCTGCAGTACTCGTACAAGGGAACATCGCCGCCGCGCCGCCGCGCCGCCGCTTCGAACTATCGTGGCATGATGGAGTTCGAATTCTTACTAGACTCACCCAAACGAGAGTACAACATGTACAGGGCCATTTGATTGCACTCCTGGGTACCGGTGATGGTGACGAGTCGCTCGTTGTTGTTGTCCTGGGGTTCGTTGATCTTGATGACGCTGCCGCTGAGCTGGCGGATTTCGTTGATCTTCGCTCCTCCCTTGCCGATGATGGCGCCGACCATGTCGTTGGGGATGAAGATCTGCTGCGTGATGGGCTGGCCTGGGACCATGCCCTGCATTGGCTGCTGCGGTGGACCGGCGTGGGCGCCTGGCTGAGGTGCGACATGGCCGTATGGCTGAGCCGGCTGTGGTCCTGCGCCCACATAGGGAGTACGTGGTGAAGCCGCGCCGTAGGGACCAGGCATCTGTGGCTGCTGCGGTTGAGGTTGGCCGTGCATGTACTGGGGCGTGGCGTACGGGTTGGCGGGAGTGCGCGGAGGCTGCTGGTGTTGCTTGTTGCGGAAGCTGTCAGGATGACCCATCTGTCCGCCAGCGTGCTGTGGCACATATGGTACGACCTGCATGCCGCCAGGCACAACACCCTGCGGGCCACCATGACGGCCGGCGTAGTTGGATGCTGCTGGGCCGCCGAAGCGGTCGATCAACTGCTCCTCCAAAGTGAGCGCAACATAGTACGTAGCGATGTGAACAGCATCTGCCACGCCCAAGACGACGAGGGAGCGCTCCGTGGAAAGTGGAAGGCAGGACTCAGATGCGTTGAGGCGAGCGCCCGACTCTCCCTGGATCTCGCGAATGCGAACGCCCTGCTTGCCGATGATAGAGCCGATGAGGATGTGAGGGATCAGGAGGCGGAGTGGGTACGTCTTGGACTGGGGGTTGGAGGGCTCTTCGAGGGGCTCTTGGTTGAGGGTGCGGATGATGAGACCAAAAGCTTTGGCAACGAAGTCGGGCTTACCGCTGACCGTCAAGATACGCTCCACGGCGCCGCGGTTGTACTCGCTGACAGTGCACTTGGCACCAGACATGCGACGGATCTGGCTGACGTTCTCCCCGCCCTTACCAATGACAGTCGCTGCCTCAGCGCTGGAGATGATAGCGCGGACATGAAGGAATTTGGACTCGTCCACATGTTGGAATCCGCCTGGTGGTGGCTGAGCCGTGGTCAAACCGTTCGCGCTCGCAGGAGGGAGAGTGGGCTGATCCGGATTGATAGCACCGTCGACGATCGCGCCGTTGGCTGGAGCATCGGGGACCACAGTGTCGCCTTGCCTATCCGTGGCATCATCTTCGTCTTTGACTTCAGCAGGCTCGCCATCCTCAGTCTTGACACCAGCAGCATCATCAGCCGCTTCTTGCTTTGAGATGGTGTCGTTGACAGATTCGAGCGCATCGGAAGAGAGCTGCTGCTCCGCGACGCCCTCCTCCTTGAGAATCTTGTCGAGGGCGGGACGCTTGGCGTCGGGCTGGTCGGTAGGTCCAGATGGAGACGATGGCTCCTCGAGTGGGCGCTTCTGGGTCGCGACGGGAGTGTCTGGCGTAGTCTCGGCCATGGTGGGTGTTTTTCTTGGGTGTTCGTACAGGTATGAAGAGAGCTTTGGCCAATGAGAAGACTCGCTACTCAGAGCAGTGGTAACGTGTAGATTTTCTGTCTGCGCTTACGTACACTGGGTGTAGGTGTCGTGCTGGAGGAGGGGCGGGCAGACGTGTGTGTGGAGCAGGGCGTTGTGGTGGTGTGCTGGAGTGTGGAGGCGGTCAAGGGGCGTGAAAGCCGCAGGTGGTAAGTGGTGGTGGTAGAAGGAGATGCCGCCTAGCGCTGAGTGCACTCGGATGGGGTCAAACGACAGTGAGGTGGTGGTGAAGCAAGTGAGGTGGGAGCTGTCGCGTGAAGAGTCGGTGGTGGTGACGGTGGGTGGTGGTGCTGGATGAGGACAGCGCGCAGGAGTGGTGGTGGTGGTGGTGTTGGGCTGAGGAGGTGGTGTGGTGAGGCAGAAGTCGCTCAAAGAGAAAACCCGGCTCTTGTTTTCCTCCGATTCAAACTTGCCGTGATGCGCGCCTGGCCGGTCTCGATCGAAGCAGGGGGCGTGGTCGAGTCGTGTCCCAGGTGCAGGCGTGTGCGAGGAGGAAGGAGGAAGAGAAAGGTACGTCGTCCCTGTTTCGAATCGCTAGCGCCTTGGCTTCGACGCCCGAGCTTGCAGCTGGTCACGTGTGGGGAAACAACTTCACCTCACGTCACGTCGTGTGCTCTTCAGTCCCACGAGCACTTTCACGCACAAAGATTGCCTTGTCATTCGAACTACTGCACTGATAGCCAATGAAAGAAGTCCGTAAACTTGAGTCGCTCTTTCTGGATTGTGATAAATCGGCGGACCCGCATGTCGCGCCTGCCTCGTGACTTGTGACTTCCAAGATGCTCTTTCCTCATTTCACAAGCTCACCCTTTCGTCCCACATGCAACCACCCATCCATCGCTAACCTTCCACCTGCGATGTCAATCTGCTAGAGGTCAACCAACACACAGCTTTTCTGCCATACCTTGCCTTGCTTGAAGAGACGCACTCGCACATTATGTCCGAACCTCCCCCATGCCGCTTCCTCGGCCTGAGCGCAGAGTGTAAGTTAAGAGTGATGTGCTGGCCAAAATACAGGTGATTCTGACACCGCCTGACAGTACGCAACGAGGTGTACGAGCTCGTCCTGAAGCATCCAGGACCCCTGGAACTCTCAAAAGGAATCGACCTCACCACGGGCAGGTTCGGTCAGCTTGTTCGCAACGAACGCGTATACGTCGTGGGAGGATTCCAGGGGGATGAGGACTCTCGCCAGAACCTGGCTCTTCTCAGAACGACTCGTCAGATCCATGCCGAGGCGACGCCCATTCTCTATAGCAAGAACGAGTTCGTCGCCGTCGACAAGGACCCGTAGGTGCCCGGCAATTGCTCTTGCTCTATGGTGTACTGACATCTTTGCGACCAAAAGCCTCTGCTACTTTCTCAGACAGATTGGGCCATCTGTCCAATTGCTACGCCATGTGACCATTGGCCACTGTACCAAGACATCGCTTCGTTCCATGCTGGTGTCGCTCAAGGGCGCAACTCACCTTGATCGGCTCGAGTTCGCTTACTCTACTCGGATTATGGTTGGCGATGCAGCACGGATGGTAAAAGTCAGTTGAGATACATCCCCGCCCGGTCGGTCGTGTCATGTTGACATCGCAATCGCAGGAGCTAGGCCCATGGGCTCGTGCATTCCACAGAATGCGCAAAGCTAGCACGATCCAAGGAGAACGCAACGTACTGGATGTGCTAGAGTTTTCCGCGAATGATTGGCTCTCTGACGCTGACAAGGCCCGCGATGCTGCAGCCGTGGTTGCCTTCAGCGCTCAGGTCAAGGCGGAGCTGCAGAAGACTCTGAAAGACTAGACGTGGGTGTGCGAGTGATGCTGAAGCTAGGTCATGGCAGCTTGGCGGTCAGGTCTGGAGACGGGAGCGACATGGTTGTGGAAGTATTTGAGTAGGCACATCAACTCGCTCGAGCAATCACTGCTCTGCCACCACGGTTTGCTTCCCCGTATTGTTAGCTAGAAAAATGATCGCGACGAATAGCATTGACGTCACGTGGACTGCGGCTTCACCTAGGCAACCCATCCTCCTCAACTTCAGCACCTCACATCGCAACTACAAACCACCCTAACGCAAACATGGGACGCACTTTCACGGACCTGCCGCCTGAGATCCGCAACGGGATATACGAATTGGCACTCCAGCACCACCGCCCACTTCATGTCATTCGAGTCTGGATCAAACGCCAGTCCGGCTACGCCCTCAAATTGGAGCGCTCGTCCTGCATGCCGGCCCTTCTCGCCACCTGCCGTACCATCAACAAAGAAGCGACACCAGTCCTCTACGGCAGCAACAACATCCTCATCGGCGGCGCCAGCGTCCCAGATTTCGTCGCCCAGATTGGCACCTCCGTCAAACACCTCCGCCACATCGAGGTCGGCTTCCACGGCACCATCACAACTCTCCGCAGTGCTATGAGAGCTCTGCAACCAGCAGGTGAGTTGGAGATTCTGAGAATCGGCATCTATATGTTTGGCGATGCGAAGAATGCGTGGGAAATGGCTCGTGGATTGGAGCCGTGGGTCAAGGCGCAATGCGGACGGGGACGCAGCGGCAGCAGCAGCAGGGGTTCGGAGAAGAAAGATGTGGGGGATGTGGTGAAGGTGTTGAAGTTTGCTGGGAGGGAGTTTGCGGCAGAAGGGATGGGTGTCGTCAAGGTTCGCGAGAAGTACGAAGAAGAGGTTAGGGAAAAGCTGGTGGAGCTGATGAAGTGATGGAATGGGTAGTGATGGAGTTTGGGTCGCTTAAGACAGGGATGGAGCATCTCAGAGGTCTTTCCAAATGGCGAGGTCACTCGAGCGAGTCACAGATTGCGCCTATTGAGTGATTGAGTATTCACCTCGAGATCACATGCACTGACACTTTCCTCTCTTCTCTTCGTCACCACGCACTTTTCTCGCAAGCTGGCACAACATCCGTCAATACATGCACTTGAGCAATCATCACGAACTGGACTTTTGCATCGACTTGGCGTCAACTCGACGATGTGAGTATCTCGATACAAGTCTCTACAGTTCATCTCCTAACACACACACAGCGCAGATGTCCGAGAAAAAGCAAAAACGTGGCTTCCTTGATCTACCACCAGAAATTCGGTTGATTGTGTATTATATCTTGCTTGAAGGCAAGGGAACTGTTGACATACGACGAAGTACACCTAAACAAGAATCTCACGGAAGAGCACACGCCATCGTCACGACATGCCAACCCAAGATCCGAGCTTCTATTGTATTTGTCAACAAAGTCATCTACAAGGAGGGTAAGTAACTCGCCAATCGATTCACGACCTTGTGATTAACATCCTTTCAGCCCTCCCGATCCTGTACAAGAAGCATACATTTTACGCCCGAGACCCAGCACTCATGACGACCTTCATTCAGCGCCTCGGTTTCTCCATCCAACACCTAACCCACATCAGCATCGACTACAACTCCATCCTCGACTTCAGAGCCAACTTCAAAGCTATGATAAGCGCTTTAACGAGAGCCAAGGATTTGAGAACCCTCGAGCTGGCGCAGTCACTCTATCATCCGGGAGAAAGTTGGTCGCCCCTGTTCGCCTCTGCGGCAGGAGTCTTGGATAGACTCATGCCCTTGCTGGAGGCTTTGCATCGTGCTCGGCCGAATGAGAGAGGCGAGGCCAGATCGGCTTCGGACCTTCTTTCGGTCCGTATAATGCGCATTGATCACGAGCATTGGAGGATGCGGTATGCTGAAGCTGAGGAGCTGGAGACGGGTGTGAAGAAGTTGATGGACGAGACTATGTTTGTGTGAAGAGGAGCACAGGGAATGGAAGACATGGGAGAAGCAGGATGTGAGGAGAGAATAGCATTGATGCGCCTTGAAGATTGCAATGTACTTCTTCCTACCATTCGTTGAAGTAGAGCACAATCGTCGTCTGTCGCACCTTCCCAACTACGAAGCATGTGACGAGAGCTAAGTTCCACGCTAAAAACATCCCTGCGGATCGGCGCGACTTCCTTCCAGACACCGCACTTCTCGTTCCAACTTCATCTTTCCACAACTCGTCAATTCACATTCGCGGTCATCAACACCATCAACATGTCAGTGTTTTCTACCCTCCCTGTAATGTGGCTGGTGACTGTGCTGACGACATTCCTGCAGGGCAAGGATGACGAAGGAGAAGACGGAGAAAGAGAAAGAGCCCGTCTTCCGATTCATGGACCTGCCGGTCGAAATACGCTGCGTCATCTACCAGTATTTGCTGCAAGGCACATGCACCGTCGAAACCATTTCGGGCTATCCGAAGGCAAACTCTCGCGCTCGAGCCATGATCCACGACAAATGCCAGCCACACATCTCGGCGGGGATCATCTTGGTGAGCAGACAAGTCTTCAACGAATGTTTGTGCTGTGCACCCAGTAAACTACTCAGGAGCATCCGATCGCTGATACATCATAGCCGTCTCGATCCTGTACAGCGCCAATACCTTTGTGACCCATTACGTGAAGGAGGCCCTTTTCTTCGCAAAGAGCATCGGCAGCCAAATCCGCTACGTACGCCGTATCGGATTTGCGAGTACAGGCCCCAGGTTCAAGATCTGCTTCACGGACTTCATTCAAGTCTTGGAATCAGCCAAACGACTCGAAGTTCTGGAACTGCCCTATAACATCCTTGCCCCCACGAAGTGCAGTTGGTACTACACTCCTGACCAGCTCGTCGGATGGCTTGCCCCTCTTTTCCGAATCTTGCACGATGCCAAACAAGACTACAAACCCAAGAAGAACAAGGTTACCTCACACATTCTGGTGATCAAGGGTACGCAAACCTGGTGCTGGAGCGATCCCCAGGGAGTTAGTGCTAGAGATCTCCGGCAGGAGGTCAGAAAGCTACTTGCACAGGCTCTGGGTGAAGACAGCGCAGAGGAAGCATGAGGGCATAAGGGCTGAGGTGGACTTGGATATCTCGAGGCTGCAGCTACCGAGGGTTGTGTTTCACGGGGAAGTGGCTTAGATGCATTCGTTGCCAGTGGCCCCATAGTGGCCCTTATGCAACATGACGATGACGAAGGGCTTGTAATAAGAATCCCAATAGTGTGTGACAATTTCCACTTGACCCCAGCGTTTTCTGCACGAGACAGAAATGTCGAACACTCTTCGACGTCTCGCTCCTCAAGTATCGGGATAGGGGACAAATGGTACACCACTGCACTCCGTTTCAAGATCAGCAACCACCGTGCCACCTATGACGAACAAGGAGAACAAGACGAGGAAATTATACGGAGAAGAGCTTGTAAGCCTACTCGCGCGACACTGAACGAGAGCCTCGGCACAAAGATGCTGAGGGTACCGGGAATTAGTTGAGGAGACTTAAGACAAAGAAATCTCTTATACGGATGGTGGGCGAAGGTAGCACGAAAAAAGCATATTAGATTCAGCTGAACTTGTAAATCTGGCCGCCTAACATTTATCCGATCGGCCTCATAGTTTGTTTTACCCCAGCGTTCGCACGGAGACCGCATGTGACAAACCTTAAATTCGGCGCTAGCGTTGTCCGTGCGACTTGGCTTTGCCGAAGGCCGCTTCAACTCTGCCACCTTCTTGATCTTGCGACAAGTCACTGCAAATGTTTCCAGCACATCGTCGCGAGCCTGCAACAGCTCGAACCTCGACCACACCACACGTACAGTCGCCCCGACCTGCTGCAGACCACGCCGACATGGCAGGTTTCCTCGACTTGCCGGTTGAGCTTAGATGCGTCATCTACAATCAACTCGGCCTCAAGAGCGACTGCATAATTGAAGTTCGCAAGATGACGCCCTCCCATGGCAGCCCTGATCGCCTCATTCTGAACCAACACTGCATGCCGAATCTCTCGACGGCTATCATCTTCGTCAATAAAGAGATCAACGCCGAAGGTGAGCCCTCTCGCAATGGTAACAGCACTCTCCAAGATCTAATCGCTGACTTCTGAAGCCTCATCGATCCTCTACGCCGTCAACAAGTTCTCCTTCACCCACATCGGAGTATTGAACATATTCCTCCAGCGCCTCGGACCACTCGCCCAACATGTCCGCCACGCCGGCTACCAGGAGCTCGGCAGCAAGCAAGAACTCAAGACCCTCATCTCTCTCCTCAAGCCAGCCAAATACCTCACGAAGCTCGCCATCTCAAACGAAGTCACGGACTCGACGGGATGGTTCCGAACCTACAACGCGAAGCAGTTCTTCAAGCCATTGGAGCCTCTCTTCGAGGCGCTGAGTGAGGCGAGGAACAATCAGTTCGATGAGAGGAAGAAGGCTATCTCTGATATTGTGTCCATCCATCCTACCTATTACCTGGCGGATATTAGTGTGAAGATGAGCAGGGCTTGGGCCAACGCTGCCAGAGATGCGGAAGCTGTTGAGGCGGAGATGAAGGTTCTGGTTGCGGAGCATTATGGATAGGATGCTGGTCGTTGTTATTGGTGCTTGGCTGGGCTTCAGGGCTCGCATGACAGGAGCTGCTGGATCGTAAGTGTTCGGATGGACTAGATGTGCTTTGCAAGATGTTGGACAAGGCGAACAAAGCAGAGCTGGTAAAACAAAGAACCAATGAATTATGACGAGGACGTATCAATAGACAAAATCATCGAACATTAAATGAGTATGAAGTGTTCACACTTGTCTGATATGAGCCTCAAGTTCAAGTCGAGTGACTGCAGGTGTTGAGCTAGCATGTGACAAACCTTATTTCGGCGCTAGTCTTGTTGGCGCTATCATCACTTGCTCTGCATATAAGCTTCCACCGACTTCATCTTCCTTCGATACAAAAACAACCACCGAAAACACAACAACGTTAGTGCCATCTGCAATTCGACAGTATGGCCACTGTGGCTAACCTCAACAGTGGAGATATAGCAAAAAAGACCTTCACCGACTTGCCAGCGGAGCTCCGTCGTGCTATCTACGATCACCTTCTACATGCCGACTGCGTTCTCGAGGTATACATACCAACCCTCAGTACCGGAAAACCTTACCAGCCCCCCAAGCTTCGAGCAAACAGCAGGCAGAAGATCTCCACGTCCATCCTACGTGTCAACAAGACGATCTACAACGAAGGTGAAGCGAAAACTGCACGAACATCAAAGCCAGAAACTGACAGATTGAAGCCATCCCCATCCTCTACAGCAGCAATTCCTTCCGCATGCAATCCGCAAGCAGCCTCACCAACTTCGCAAACGTCATCGGCACTTCCGCGCAGCACCTGCGCCATGTCGGTTTCGAGGGCCACGACTTCAAAAAGGGTCTCAAAGCCCTGCTATAAGCACTGAAGCCGGCGAAGCAGCTTTACACACTGAGCTTGTCCCATAATATGGTCAAGAAAAACGGCAAGAGAGCAATCTACAATCTCGATACTCTCGCGGCTCAGCTTGGTGCCTTCGTGAGGGGGCTCAAGCGCCACCAGCTCAAAGACACGGAGAGGAAGGAGCGGCCGCTTGAGGGGGTCGTGTGCATCTTGCCGCAAAAGTACCCAGCTACCAAGCCGAAGCAGCGCATTGTTCGACAGGGTCACGCCAAAAGGTTCGAGGCGGAGTTGAGAGGTCGACTTGTGGAGAAGCTGAAGAAATTGTGAGGACTGGAACGGCCTGCTTGCAGTTCTTGGATTGCCATGCTATAGCATTCGAGACGTTTGAGGAAAGTCAGGGGGTTGGAATAGCTGCCATGATGCTCTCACTTTCATACTTTGCGGAATGGGTATCTCTATAATCAAAAGTCTGTGGTTCTGTCAGAGCGATCAAGTCCTGTGTTTCCATGTCGCGTCAAATCATGCATCATTCTCATCTCAACACCTCTGGGCGAGTAATCCCGATTGGCCTCCCATCGGGACCTCCGGTAGGCGCAGACGCCATCTTCGGCTTCTGAGCTCCACAAAGCCCACACCGGCCAACGTCTCCTGCGTTGAGGTACTGACTGCCCTTGCACGTCTCGCTCTTGCAGCGCCAGCAGTCGGCAACGAGATTCGAACGCAGCACATGTGAACACACCATGCACAGAAGTGCGTCGGCCTCATTTTCCACAGAGCAGACAGGGCATGCCACATGACCTGGTACAGCCGATGCGACGTTCTCAGGTGCCGAGGTTGGGGCTGGAGCAGGCAGTGTGGCAGTCTCGCTTGCTTGAGAGGACGTGCCTCCACCGTCGACTTCACGCAGAAGATCTGCTTGGGAGGCTGAGAGACCTTCATCTGTTTGCTCGATCGCAGGATCTGGATCTATCGGTGGCTTGTCGTCCGACTCGCTCTCAGTCTCCGAGTCAACGCGGTCACGAGGCGCTCGGTGTACTGCTTTCGCTTTACCACTAGGAGCTGGGACAGTCGACGACCGAGGTTCTTCTGCCTCGCTTTCAGTCTCTGAGTCTTTATGTCCTTGCTCACCTCGTGCCGGGGAATTGCTCTTTCTGACACGGACCAGCTTCCGCTTGGGCGCTGCGCTCAGCATACGAAGTTCGTCCATCTCCTTGTTCGCATCCTCCTCATCGTCTTGATCATCGCCACAAACCTTGACCAAGTCTCGTCCGCGACCGTCCTTAACAGTCACGGCATTTCGGTCGACTTCGTCGTCTCCCTCTGACTCGGTCTCACTGTCCATGTCGTCCTCCGGCTCCGGAGTCTGCTCTTCCTTCTTCGCCTGTCCAAATCGAGCAAGAGCAGCAGCAGCTCTCAGCTCACGACCACGTTTGCTGTTCGCTACACGAGGTTTGCCCTGTCCCCTCTTGCCTCCGTTCATCGTCTCCAGGGCTCCCCTCAGCAGCTCATCATCACCAAGGGATGATCCATCGCCATGCTTGCCGAATTTTCGGGCGATCCGCCGCTGTTGTCTCTCTGCATAGCTCAAATTCTCTTGCTCGTCCCTCCCATTCTGTCCACGCTTCCTCTTGCGTCCTTTCCTCCTATACGACCCACCACACAGATGCTCAGGGATCTGAGTATTGTCTGGCGGTGCCGCATTGATGAACGCTCCATTCTCCAATCCTCTACCTCTTCCCCACATGCCTTCTCCCGTGTATTCCTCTCGCCACAGACCCTCCATTTGTTGTGCATATTCATTTCGTACATTCCAGAAAAAGCGGCTGTGGTTCATCTGCTTGCAATGCGCCAGCTCATGCATCATCACCATCTGCACGAACTTCATCGAGAGCCATCGTCCTTGTTTGTCCTTCAGCACCAACTGAATCACCTCGCCGGCGTTGAAGTTGCGGCCTAGGAACTCTGGATTTGGCTCATACTCCTCCAAAGCCATCACCGAGATATGGTGCTTCTTCATGACCGGAAGGCATTGTGCGGCGATTCGGGAGAGGAACTCTTCGGCAACGGCTTTGTCGGGTCCTTCTAGAGGCTTGATGAAGTTGATGTTGGGGTTGGGGCGTTGCTGGCGCTCGTTGAGGCGCTCGAACCCGAGAGGCATCTTGTCGGTCTGGGCGTCATGCCAGCTCGGGTCCAGGCGATGTGGTAGATTCTATGGGAGTGTCGGCGATGATGAGGTGAAGTCACAGGCTTAGCTAATGATGGGTTGTTGTGGTCTAAACCATAAACACGTGTTAAACGCGCCCCACGCTAAACCAATATTAATCAGACATCAGTCCGCGACAATATCTCTTCAACCGCTTTCTGCCCCTTTCCGCTTTCTGCTTTCTGCTTTCTGCTTTCTGCTTTCAAGATTTCTTTCTTCTTCAGATATACACATCAATTCAATGGCGAAAAAATAGAAATGGAATTCTAATACAGCCGCTGATCAAAAGCACTCACAATCTGTCCTTACTTTTGGCTGTTGGGGCTGGGCGCTTCTAGGGTCTCCACATCTGTCGGGACCTTTACCGCCTGATACGCTGTCTTTGCTGTGTTCTTCCGGCGGCAATGCCTACAAATATGGCATGAACATGCCGGGGAAGAGTCTTTCCATTACACTTTCAACCTCGTCCAGACATTCTTGCTTCTGATAGTGTTCCATGTCGACGGGCCATCCGTGCTTGCGGAAGATGTCCTGTACCATTGCTCGAGCACCAGGCGTCTCTGGATCGTTATCCTCCCAGGCTTCCTCTACGAACTGTCTGCTCACAGGGACATACTGCAGTTCTCGGAAGAGCCACTTCATCACCTCGAAGAACTCCCTGACCCCCCACGCAGCGCCCCATCCTCTCCATTCCGCCTCGTCAGGTAGCGCATATTCGTAAGGGTCGTCTTCGATCGGCTTATAGGGAAGGTTCGGATCGAACCTGATTGCGTGCGGGCACTCAACGAAATAAACCACCCCAAGTTGCGTGTCGAGAAAAATCTTGTTGCCCCAGTCGGTGAGGCCGATGACATGAGGAGGTACGGGCTCAAATGGATCCTCTGTCCTGCCTTTTACAGCTTCGACTCCCGTTTCACTCACGGTCTTCGCATAGCGTGTCCAGTCAGCAAATTGGATGCGTCCTAGTGCTAGCAGACAAGTCAGCTAAACGCCACCGTGTCCGTGCCCGCAAGCAACCATACATACTGTGCGTCTTCTCCCCGTCTAAAGAAGTCTTTACATAAGGAAGCCGCTTCAGCAACTCTGCAACCTCATCTGTTTTCCCCAGCATTTGCATGCTCTCCACGGTGACTTCGCGCCAGCCGTCCTCAGGGGGAGTCAGAAGCCGGCTTTCGTCGAGGTACATGTCCTGCAAAAAGTTGTAGTAGTCTCGAAATGCGGCAATTGTGTTCTCGCGCGAGTAGCTGGTGCGAGAAAGATCTTTCGTCTCGGAGATCCGTAAAAGCCCAGTGTCAGGGTCACGTCCAGAATCGTCCTCATCATCCTCTTCTTCAAACGGGTAGGACATGTTCACGGGGCGTGTTTGGACAAAGGCGAGGTGAAGCGGCACAGCACGATGAAGAATGGATGGTCCATGTTTGGTCGCCAATTAAGCTGCCCAGCCAGTTTACACAGAACTCTCGAAGAAAGAGTAGACTTGGAAACACACCAGGGTGTTGTCACCTATTGGAGATAGGGCAGATGTCATTAGATAGTCTTTATTTCATTACCGGCCCGCTCAAAAATCAATGCATCCATCTTACCTCATTCTTATTCTAGATAGTCTCTCATACTGTGGCTAGAGTATTTTACTACACTAAGGTATAATTCAGACCGTCTTGTACCTAGTAGCAGAAAACATTGGTAGGTACCTATTTTAGTAAAGTCAATACAGACCATTAATGTCGATACAAGCTCCAGTAATAATAAAATGTGCCTCTGCAGCTGACGCGAAGAGCACGCGCCGCCAATGACGTCGAGCAAGTACGAGCCTCAGGCCACTTGCTTGTCCAACTTTCCAAGTTCTTTTCGAGTGAATGTTCCGGCATTGTCCTTCTCCCATGCATCGTTTCAGCCCATAGCACATGCAAAATGTCTGCTTTCAACACTCCCTGGTTCAACAGCCAAGACCGATCGTTTTTCAACGTCTTGAACAAGAGCAAAATCGCCCATGTGATACTTGCCGCCGAAACGGACGACTTTGACGAAGAAACGACGCAGAAATGGCAAGACGAAGGTTTTCATGCGGTGTATGTGCCGATGTTGAAAGGTGGCAACGATTTCATCAAGCGATTACATACGGTCGGTGATAACTTTGGCGTCTCGGAGCAGTATGCGATAGTAGGTAATGCAGAGCTTTAACATGGCATCAACGGATTGAACATTTGCTGATTAGATCTCTAGCATATGGCGATGCAGCACACTTAGCTCTGGAAGCACATACAAAACCAAACCACCCAAAGCTGGTAGCCATCGTTGCATACTATCCATCGGCCATCCCATCGGTTCACACAAAGTACCCAGCTTCTGTGCAAGTACTCGTACACCTGGCTGGCAACGAAATTGGTGTTCACAAGCATCCCGAAGTCCTTGGTATCCAAGGAAAGCAGAAGACTGTCCGAAAACGAATCGATCCGGGAGTGGGCTTCGGCGAGTGTCTCAAGCTGGGCTTCCGAGCCTACACCTACTCAGGCGTCAAATCAGGATTTGCTGAGCAAGACCTGGAGGAGTACGATCCTGTTGCCGATGGAGTTGCTTTCACTCGTAGCATAGCGTGCGTACGCAAAGGCTTTCGCGTGGAGAACGATGTCGAAATGATGAGAGATCACCACGTCAGATACCTACACTCAGGACAACAGGACAAAGCCGTCAAGCAAACAAGACCTTACGCACACGTCATCCATACGCCGACACTGACTGGCGGTGTTGGACTAGAAGATATCACCGACTTTTACGAGAACTTCTTCACACCCATCCCGCGGCAGACGAACGTGCAGATTCGCCTTTTGAGTCGGACGGTTGGAACTGATCGAGTGGTCGACGAGTTGTATGTTGCGTTGACACATACAATTGAGATCCCCTGGCTCTTACCTGGAGTACCGCCGACGAACAAGAGGATCGAGGTTGCGATTGTGTCGGTATTCCATGTCCGTGGGGAGAAACTGGAAAGCGAACATGTCTACTGGGATCAGGCGAGCGTACTCGTGCAAACTGGCATGCTCGATCCGAAGGTTGTGCCAGACGCACTGAAGAAGAAAGGCGTGAAGCAATTGCCGGTGGTGGGAGCAGAAGGCGCCAGAGCAATCAAGAGAGGGAGTAGCCAGAAGATGAACGATCTAATTCCAGATTGGTGAGGTCTTGACTAACGGGTGAGGTAGTGGTCCATTTTATGATTGTACATATTCTTGATCATGTTCCGGAATAAGCAGTCGCGTAACACGCTGAAGCTAAGTTTGCGCTAGCGTGATTGGCGTGATTGCTGAACTTCACTGCCATCTGCACCTTCTCTTGCACCTTCGATGGCACTTTCACTCGAGAACAGCGACAGGTACAATCGATGTGCGATGCGGCTGCCATAGGAAGTCAACGATAAAAATCGCGACACCGAGTGAGGCCAGGCACGACAAAGTCGGGGTCTCCTCTCTCCTTTCACACCCCAACAACTACAAACATTCTTCACTCCCATCGCTTTCTGGACAATCGATTCGCTATCTATCCAATCGCATTTCATCTCATCACGAAGAGACTTCAACTGACTGAACCTCTGTTGCTTTTCTTTCAAGGCTCTCGCTTCTCGACCATCGCACACTCGCATTTCTTGAAGCGCTCTGCATCATCACCGTCGTCATCCGCAACTGCCAAGAACTTCGAAATATCCCCGATATCATGGCTAGCGCCATGCCACTCGCAGAAGACAACACGTCGCAGACGACCCTACCCATCGCGGGACAGACTGGCCGTCCACAGAAGCTAGATCCCAAGAAGACGGGGTTCTTTGACTTGCCAGCCGAGCTCAGGAACGAGATCTACGCAATCACCCTCATCAGACCACGAAAGCTATGTATCCGAGCAATTGGCGTTGATCGCACACCCAAAGTGCGCCTTGTCAATACCCGCATCTACACTTCGGTACTCCGGACCTGCAAGACCATCTACGAGGAAGCCACGCCTGTCCTCTACGGCGCCAATACCTTTCTCACAAGCTGCGATGATACGTCGTGGCATTTTCTCAACATGATCGATCGCTCCCTCGAGCATGTTCGCCTCTTCGAGAGCACTGACACCGTTCAGCTTGAAATCTGGAAGCGAATATTGGCTGTGAAAAGGCATCTGATGTTGGACCCGGACGACGAAAATATCGGGTGGAGATTAGGGAGGGCCGTCCACGACTTGGATCAGAGCCGAATGCTAGGCGAGAATGGTCACAATGCGCCGGCGAGCCAAATGGACATCATCGCGATCGCATCGTCCGTCAAGGAGGTGCGGCCTGGGATTGCGCGCCGTTGTCGTACCTCAGAAGGTAAACGTAAAGCTCTCAAGCCTTTGAAATGCGATGTGGAAAGATCAGAATCTCCACCATACCCCCAGAGACTGTGGAGGAGAGTATGCATGCGGGCACTTCGTCTTTTTCGATTTGTCCGAGGGAGAGGTAGATGAATATGTACCGAGAAGTTGACGAGGCTTCGAGTAGGATAGAACGTATTATATGGCGACAAGTAGGTGGAGATATGAAGGCCATAGAAAGGTGTTGGGTCCAGGTGTTCACTCGTATTATGCAGAATTCATTCAATGGTGTTTGAAGCACGCGTGCATGTGATTGCCAAGAAATTCCGCCTAGAGAACTCCATTCGCGAAATCCTTCCACGACATGCATCTTGCATCTCGCATACACTCTTCTAGACAAAGCCCACATAGAGCTTATCAAGACTGTCGAGCAGGTTCAATGCCTTACGACAACATCGCCATCCTCTGGCTACTCGCCACGCACGCCGGCCTTCTCATAGCCCTCACCACCACCCTCGCCCTCCCGACCCTGAATCCCCTCAAAGCCAACGAGTATCGAGTGGGATTCTTCGACCTACCCGCAGAGATCCGCAACAGGATCTACGAGCTCGCGCTCACGAGGCCGCGGACACTCAGCCTGTGTACGACCTTTCAACACGGCAGACTTGTCCTGCGCCTGAACACCACACGGATTTTCCCCTCCATCCTCCTCGCTTGCGCCACGACTCATCGTGAAGCTACTCCCATACTCTACGGCGCGAACAAGTTCTCTGTTCGATGTCATGACACGGCGTTCTTGTTCCTGATCCGTATCGGACACTCGGTGAAGTTCGTCAAGGCTCTCAAGATCGAATGGGATGCCTGCTCGGTTGGCATGGCGGCGTTGAAGTTTGCTGTATCTCTCGGGGGATTTGACGAACCGGGGCATCGCGAGGCTCAATGGCAGATTGCTGTTGTCTTTCAAGAGCTATACGATGGGGGACAGCGCAACTTCGGCAAGCCGCAGATTTTGGATCGGTTTGAGTCTGCAACAGCATTCGTGCACTCGAACACCACGCTATCGAGTTGCGCATAATTCGAGAGCTGCTGGCATAGATCGAGCCATTTGGGCATTCAGGAGGAGCATCGAAGGATATGAGTCGGCTCACGCAAGACGGACGGCTTGCGATGATCAGACATCAGAAGGAACGGGTCCCCGATGGAGTTCACACTCCACACCCAGGGACATATCAGGCGCTGTTCAAGGGTGAACTCAAGACCAGCGAGATCATGAATGGGCTGCAGGGGAAGTTGAGCATGCGCCCAAAGCGTGCGAGCATGGAGAGTAAAGCAGAGTACATGTAACGAACATCCTCCAAAGCAGTCGTCGTCCACTCGGAGTGGATCACAAGACTTCATCATCTCCCCGATATTTGTAAAACCAGCCTGCTCTTTGTTGTACTCCAGATTGCTTAGACCGCCAGCGAGTGATGGGGATCAACGTTCCAGTTTGAGATGTCCCAATTTGGGGTAGACCAGGAGAGAGTATGATCGGCTTTGCAAAGGGTGCTGACGTCCTTTCCCCAGCTTACTTAGATCTTTATGAGAGGATGGTCTATTATGAGACGGTGACCAAAATTCTTGCCCTTTGAGGCTATCTGCATTATGACTACTTTGAAGTCGTTCCCCAATCCGAGTCATCATTCAACAACTCACAGAATCGCTGCGATATCCATCACGATTCTACAGAACCCAAGCAATAACCCCAAAGAACATCGCCGCAAACCCACTCATGATGCTCGACATCGGCGCCGCGCCCTCATACGGCACAATGCTGCTCGTCGGCGCGCTCGTTCCATTCGGCAAGAAGCCTGTCCCAGTCGGTTCAGCAGTCATCGAAGCATTCGCGGAAGGAGAGATGAATCCATTGCAAAGGCCGTTGTTGCAAGTGTTGTAAGCACACTGTGCATTGCTCTTGCATGCTGCGTTGAAGTTGCCGCAACGACGGATGAGTCCTGCATTGCTAGCCCAGCACTGAACGCCGGGTCTGCATTGCTTGTCGTCTGAGCATGTGGCGCCGAGATCGAGGGAGCCTTCTGGGGCGTTGACGGGTGGTTGGCCGGAGGGCTGGCTTCCTGGTGTGCCGGTGACGATGTTCGTTGGGGAGGTTACACCTGTAGGGCCGTACGGTTGCGGAGGTGTCGTGTATGAACTGGCGGATGGTGGTGAGGTTGCGGCGCCGGAGGTTGCGGATGCGCAGTAGTCTCGGATACGGGCACTGTCTTCGCCCGAGCATGTCGCTAGGTCACATTGGCAGGATACCTCACTGCCTCCAGATGATCTGCAGTGGTCGTACGTAGTTTGGCAGTCGTCACCGCCAGTGACTGCAGCTGTGACGGCTGATGCAAGTGCAAGGAGTATGAACTTCATCGTCGTGGGCGGAGGTGGTCTTGGTTTGGATAGTGCTAGATGTAGGTATGGACACGAAAATGTGGATGTGCAACGATTTGATATCAACGACAGCGAACGACAGTGATGTAATTGAAAGCTCGATTTTCTCGTGAGGTCACGAAAAATTGGAAACACAACCCACTTCTTATACCTGTTTCGCGATGCATGAGAATTCGTGATATGACTTCAGGCTGGGTTTACGGCCAAGCCCATCCCGGCGCTGGCGTTCGTATCCATGGGTACCAGCCTCGTGATCCGAGACTATCCGCCACACGACCGTGCTGAGGTCCATATTTTCAGAGGCTTGGCCGTTAGAAATAGCCGTTGACTTCGCCTCGAATAGTAGCAGAAGTCGTTCATCGTGCCTGCAGCTGTTTGGTGGGGAAACGTTGTGGTCATGAACATGTTCGCCACCGGATTGCATCGCAGACGGACTTTCCAGCTTCATACCTTGGAGTGCTTCCGACAAAAACGAGAGAGATACTTGCAAGAAAGCCGCGGATTTACGTTATTCAGCCATGGCATGACATTCTCTTCTGAAAGCCGAGTAAAGTACGGTGCTCATCTTGCAAAAAGCTGGCTGGGGCAACAGGGCTTGAATTCCACAGTCGTATGGCCTACGACCCTGTGTTTCGATGGTTGCTGGGCGGGATGAGGATCGCGAGCGGTCAATTGACCTTCTCGTCAAGGCCGTGTCGCATATTTTGTTCCATATTAGCAAGGATGCCGCTGGAGTGTAGGTGGAAGGGTCTTGTAGTACGTCAGGTACGAGACTTTGGCAGCGAGGCGAAGCAGATCGAGAAGGGTCCAGAGTGCTGTGATCTGACAATAGAGAAGTCTTGTCAATATTTGCAGAAGGTGAGGTGAAGTCGTTCGCGGCGATAAGATGGTGATCCTTCGACCGATAGAGAATTGAATTCGTATGGTACGCCGTAGAGATCGGTAAATCCTGCCGAAATCTCAGGGCAGATCGCTCGCGCATGTGAACGTCGGCATCATAGACTACTCTTCTTCCTCTTCCCAACCACAACAAAATGGCAGACGATACGCGACAACAGTCTCAAGCTCCTAAAACCACCCCCGAGGATCTCTCACGCGAGGCGTTGACTGTCAATCCCGAGAATAAGGCCTTCACTGGCACCCAATGGCAAGGCGGAAAGCAGATACCGTATAAGCCAAACGAGAATGCGAATCTCATGGCGGGAGGAACGCAGCATACTGCGGGTGGAAAAGAGCCGGAGGTCACATTCATGAACGCGTTACAAGTTGGGCAGCCCATTACAGAGCTACACAAGCGGCCTTGCGTACGAGATGCGCTTTTGACTGGGATGGGTGCTGGCTTTGCGTTAGGAGGTGGACGGTTGATATTTGGAGGTTCGTCAAGTAGGACTGAAGAATATATCGGTGGCTAACGCGTCACAGCGACGATTATGAAGGCCTGTAATCTGGCTGTGGGATCATTTTGTGTCGGCGCGGCTGTCAATTACCAATACTGCCTGTACAAGAGGCAGGCAGAGAAAGAGGGGATGATACGTGCCGTAGAAATTTTGAACAAAAAAGATATGGAGAAGAAGGCGAGAGAGCAGCGGAAAGAGAGTCAGCGACAGGAGCTGCGAGAGGCGAAGGAGAAAGAGCAGGATGCTCAGTATGCAGCTCTCAAGGAGAAGGACAGCGGAGGGAAGTCTTGGTGGAAAGTGTGGTGATGGGGATGGAAATACTCGACTCGACTGTAAGATACGGACACGATGCATTGTACATGAAACGGCCCACCTATTCAATCTTCGAGAGAATGTGGAGTCTCGGAGCGAGTGGACGCCGTACGAATTCCGCGGATTCATGTATTGGCGAACACGTAAGATCCAAAGCAGGAATCATCCTATGGCTATTGGAAACTGCATGATTGGTTTGCATGTGATGTATTACGGATTTCAGCTGCTGTGGCTGGCCAATGGTCTGCAGAATTTTCCAAGTCACAGGATGAGCTTTCCAGTTTTTCATGATTCTTTCTGGTCGTCTCCCACCTCGATACCAGACAATAGAAGATCACTCCCGTTCTATTCTATTCAATTTTAGAACGGTCTCGCCGAAGATTGACCAGGCTGCTCGTTAAGGTTAACGTTGACCCGTGCCGGTTGGCACTAGCGACGGACCGGGCTGCACCTGACTTGGCAGTGTGTGGCTGACGTGTGGCCGTGAACGACAGCATTTCTCGAACTTCGCTTCTGCGCACTGCTTCTTCTCTCTCTTCTCCCCCAAGGCACTCACTCGCCTCTCGCCCTGCGCTCTCAGCTGACTGCTCGTGTCAAGCCTTCACTGAGGTGGATTTAACTATTCAACTCAGTCACCAGCGATCAGCCATCTGCCTGGCTCCCATCCCGATCCAGTCTCCAACCAGCGCAACAAAGAGCAAGCAAAGCCGACGACACGTCCGACGTCGACTCCTGTACCTGACACACCGCACCATTCTTCCTCGAAAGGGTTTCCTTGCATCTTCTGCCCAGCACTGTCGTCCTTCTGGCAGACATGGCGCAGCCTACGCAAGTCGCATGTGAGTAACACCTTGTACGACAATAATAGCAAGCCCGTTGGCTAACGGCATTCAGACCGCACCTCGAAGCACATTGGTATTCTCGATGCTGCGCCCGTTTACGAGCAGCTTCCGGGCTTCCAGCGGCCTGAAGGCAACCTGCGTTGCTGCGTGTACTCCTCCGATGGTCGCTTCTTCGCATGGGCCTCGCCCGAGAACGTGACTGTGGTCGATGCCTCTGTCGGCCACGTGGTCACGACATTGCCAGCTGAAAATGTGTACGAGCTGGGTTTCTCGCCTGCGGGAACGTTCATCATAACATGGCAGCGGCCATCCAAAGATGAGGAGGGCAATGCCACCAAGAACCTCAAGGTCTGGCGCACCATCGACGACAACGCCGGCGAGGACGGTGAGAGAGCTGTGGTTGGAAAGTTCGTGCAGAAGAGCCAGACTGGCTGGAATCTGCAATACACCACAGACGAGCAGTACTGTGCTCGCTGTGTCACCAACGAAGTCCAGTTCTACGAAAGCAAGGATCTGGGCACAGTCTGGAACAAGCTCCGTGTTGAGGGTGTGACCGACTTTGCACTTTCTCGAGGCAAGACACATTCAGTTGCTGTTTTTGTGCCAGAGCGCAAAGGTCAACCTGCCGCTGTCAAGGTGTTTAAGGTGCCCCAATTCGACTCGGCAGTCTCTCAAAAGACTTTTTTCAAGGGCGACAAGGTGCAGCTCAAGTGGAACGAAGAAGGCACAAGCGTGATTGTTCTGGCACAGACCGAAGTCGACAAGAGCAACAAGAGCTATTACGGCGAGACTAACATGTACATCTTGAGTGCCAACGGTGGCTTCGATTCTCGCATCCAGCTGGACAAAGAGGGTCCCATTCACGACGTGACTTGGTCGCCCAACTCGAAGGAGTTTGGTGTCGTGTACGGCTACATGCCTGCGAAGACGACGATCTTCAACCAAAGAGCTATCGCCCAGCACAGCTTCAGCCTGGGCCCGAGGAATACCATTTTGTTCTCCCCACATGGTCGTTTTGTCTTGGTGGCTGGCTTTGGAAACTTGGCAGGCCAGATGGACATCTACGATTTGGAGAAGAACTACGAAAAGGTGTGCACGATCGAGGCAAGCAATGCATCGATCTGCGAGTGGAGCCCCGACGGCAAGCATATTCTTACCGCTACTACAAGCCCTCGCTTGCGTGTGGACAACGGTATTCGTATCTGGCATGTTGGAGGAGGGTTGATGTACAACGAGGAGATGCACGAGTTGTATCATGTCATCTGGCGGCCTCAGTCGGCCACGCAACACCCCGTGGAGGATCCCTTGCACCCTGTGCCAACGCCGCACGCCTCTGCTTTGGATTATCTCAGCAAACGCAAGACTCCCTCGAAGCCTGCAGGCGCCTACCGACCACCTGGCGCACGTGGTGCTGCCACACCACTCTCGTTCAAGCGCGAAGATGAGGGAGGCGCTGCCTTTGTGAGAGAGCTGATGTCCGGCAAGGAACCCGAGACTAACGGTTTCGCTCATCGTCCCAAGCGACGTGAAGTCCCTGGCGCTGAAGCTGTCGACCCAAAGCTGCCGCCAGGTGCTGCGCCTGGCGGAGGTGTTAGTCTCACTGCTGATGGCGACGAAGGTCTTAGCAAAGCTGCGTTGAAGAACAAGAAGAAGCGTGAAGCAAAGAAGGCCAAAGATGCCGAGGCGAAGGCAGCTGGTCTGACAGCACCCAACGGCGATGCCAATCCGGAGAAGAGCCCCGAGCGCAAGGATCGACCTCGTAGCCGCTCCAACACCAACAAGGGCGGCAATCAAGGTTCACGTCCGCAGTCCAGGAGACGTGAGGGTAGTCGTCAGCGCGGTCCGCCATTGAACACGCAGCTTAAGCAGCAACCCGCGAACGGCACCCCTACCGGGCCTGCTGGAGGCGCAGCGAACCAAACCGCCCCGGACTTGACAGTCACTTCGCCAGGAGCAGGATCGCCGCATGAGAAGAAGATTAGGTCTCTCCTGAAGAAGCTGCGGGCGATTGATGACTTGAAGATGCGACAGGCTGGTGGTGAGAAGCTGGAGGGAACTCAAGTCCTTAAGATCGGCACCGAGGAGGGCGTGCGAAAGGAGCTGAACGCGCTCGGCTACACTGGCGATTGAGAAAGCCAAAGAGAATACAATGAGCGCTGTGAGATAGACCGATTGTAGCAACAATCCAAAAAGCCAAATCATCAACGACACGAGTCGCGTCTCAATTCATAGGTATGTCCAACTGATTACCATGACGTCGAAATAAAGTATGTCGATCTTGCCGTCCAGCGCCTCGATGCTCCACTTTGCTAGGAATCCACCAAGCAAAACAATCATCAGGTCCAGCCCTCTAACTACCAATTTGTCCAATATCTCCAAAATCAAAAGGGATATCACAGGTCGAATCTAATCGCAACGCTTGCCAATCCAACATCAAACGCTCGCCCAATCTTAATACCACGAGTCATCGCACCCTTCGATTCCACGTCTTTTCTCATCACTTCTTCATCACCCTCCCCCTCTTTCCTCCTCGGATATAGCTCCCTTCTCACCACCCGCCAGCTTCGTCGTCCCCATGTACGCCGTCCTCTCCAACCCGGCTTTGACCCCATCGCTGACTTTCCGGTCTGCGATTCTCCTCGAAATCCGCTCCTGCCATCGCGATCCCTCGGCGGCCGAGTACGTCGTGGACGTGGAGGAGGACGGGATCGTTTCGTTCGAGACTTTCGGAGGAGCTTCTACGGCCTCTGTGGGCTCCGCTGCGGTGGTTGGGTCGACCGTCGCCGTCCCGGAATCGTGTTTCTTCGACGATGTAGAAGCTTCCGACGTCGACGTCTCCTCCCCTCTCCCACTCGAACTCCTCGAGAGCGCATCCAACGGCGAGAGGAAGAAATCTGTTCCTGGGCCAACCGGTGGTCCGGCCGGTAGTGGTTTATCGGGGATATTATGCAGCGGATGAGCGAGTTGTCGAGCCTGCTGCTTGGATAAATGCGCCGGGTCGCTGAACCCCGTCGACGCGGTCGATATCGGAGCCCATTTGTCCAACGGCTGTGGGGTGGAGAGGCGGCTTTGTTTCCTTTTGGACACGGCGGTGGCTTTTCTGCTGGACTCGGCTGTGTCTGAAGTGGAATCGAAGTCTTCGTAGAAGAGCTGTTCGACTTTGGAGCCTAGGGGGAGGGTCAGGGCGCGGTCGCGGACGAGCTTTTTCGCGGTTTCGGAGGTGGAGGGCGTGTTGCCCATTTTCCTTCGTTTCGTGGCTAGCAAGTATATGGGCGCGTTATTACTGACTTCGACAGATATACAGCCCGTTGTTCGGATGTCCTTCAGCAACAACGACAACAACACATCCACTGGTCTCTTTACTTGGGTCATGCGCTCGAAAAAGAACACCTACCACTCAGCCCTCACCATGGCCCCCGTCCAAAACGACGACATCGCAATCACTGTGGGAGATAGAGTGTCGTTGGCGTCCCCCATGCCCCATGGCCTCACGTCGGAAATTCGGTAGTTGGGACGAGGATCATGCTAGATCACCACCTAGGCTCATACCAATCGACGGGGCAAGAGCTATTTAAAGCGCGACGACCGTGTGGAGATTTGATCGAAGCCCCAACTCCAACAAGCTGTCATCGCTTGGTTCGGCTTGCTTGTCTGTGTTGCTTGTTGCTGGTGTGTCTGGATATATCGCCCACGTGGATGACGGAGGTATCATTTCGAAGGAGAGGGTTTGCCCTGAGCATGATCAAGGGTCTCCTTGAACGAATACGTTCGTGGATGGGCGTTTACGTGAGATCGGATATGTGCTTGGTCTTCGTATCTTGTCTCTGTTCTTGCCAATGCCATTATATCTGTGGACGAGGAGCGACAGAGCTGGGAGGTCTTCGACGATCAAGATGGAAAGGTACGGTAGCTTTCAGTGCTAGTCGCTCCAGTTTCCACGAGCAAGCAGCCCAAGCCCTTGACTTTACCTCCCGAGGACCTCGCGTTCACCACTTGTCTTACTATTCTATCGGATCTTCATACTGAATCTCCTCTCCACGAACGAAGATCGAACGCCTTTGGGCAGATGGGCAAGGCTGTACAGTGCGTCTGACATGGACATGACTTCGCGTGAGGCACAGCATTTACACATTGACTGTTCCCTCGGTCCAGAGACAGTTCGACATCCTCTTGTGTACTTCCTGGGTTAGAGTCATTGCACTTGATAGTGTACTCGTCCCTGTAAAGATCCTCCTCTGGAGTAATAAGTGAAGTCGCAAACCAGATATTCATGGTCGAGCACGAGTTCCAAAGGAGACAGCATGTGCACCACTACAAGACGCAGTCCCGAGGCTTCTCCACCCGCCCGTGCCTCAGAAAGTCCTCCTCTACCCTCCGACATCAAAACAGAGCACGCAAAAGCCTACATCGAAGAACGAACCCGCCAATCCGTCGCGGCCATCAACGCCCGAGACTTCTCCCCCTCCCACCCAGGCTGGACAGCCTACACCTCGCCCTTCAGCTGCGGCTCCATCTCGCGCTACTAGCCCAACTCGCCCCTCAACCTCAGCACGCACACGCACAACACCTCCGTCGCGGCCATGCTGGACGTCGTGCGGCACTTCACCGGGGCGAATCCCGAATATCGCTTTTGGCTGCGTGGAGATGTTGACGGTGGTGGATGAGAAGGGTCGCTTTGCGGAGAGTTATGTCACCATGGAGGATGTGGGCGTGCCCGCTGGGACGGTGAAGCAGATTGTGGCGAAGAGGGTTTGGAGGTGGTTGGAGGGGGTGTGGAGGTGTGTGGATTATCGGTTGATTGCGGGTTTGGATGGGCTTGCTGGGTTGGATGGGGGTGTTGTTGAGGAGTAAGAAGGGGTGGCGTTGAGGTGCGGTGCGTTGGGGATGTCTGTTTTGAGCATTTTGGCAGTTCTTAAGGAAGAGATTGGATTCCCACGAGGGGCGGTCCACTATGTGACTCCAACATAGCATCGAAGCGAGATGTCCTGCACCAAAGTCGATATTCGAAGTCATTAATCATTTCCAAGTCATCTTTCCCGACGTGGCAACATCCTACTTCCCCCCTTTCGCGAACGCCAACGCCAACGCCATCCTCAAGAACCCACTACTAACCCACCCTCTCAACCTCCAACCCCAACCCCCTCCCAGGCAACGCATGCTCCTCCTCCACCGTCCGCCTAACCCTCTCCAACTTCCTCTCCAAACTCGGCTCCTCAAACTTCCTCTCCTTCCACATCTTCCCCTCCCCAACATCCCCCAATACATCCCTCTCCCTCTCCCTCTCCCTCACCGACCCAGCCCTCTCAAACCCCCTCCCCCTCCCCAACCTCTCAAACTCAGACCTCTGAACTCTACACTCCAACCCCCCATTCACATTCCCATCCCGATCTAGCTGGGAGTCTTCATCATCGTCGCCTTCATATCCCTCCGTCATTCCGGTTTCATTACGATTAACACTGACATGTGATGTCTGAAACGTGGCGAATGAGAATTCCTGCGCGTCCGAGTCGAAGGAGCCTTGGCGCCAGCCGGCGACGTAGCCCTGGAAGGCGGGTTCTTTGACGGCGTAGGGGTTGGTTTTGGGGGGTTTGTTGGTGGTTTCTTGGGGTGGGGATTGTTGTTGCTGGGGTTGAGTTTGGGAGTGGTGGGAGTGCAGGAGGAAAGCAGGCGTGGAGGTCGTGAGGGTGTTGCCCATGATTTCCCGTTATTTCTTGCCGTGCGTGCAGGCCCGCGTGTGATGTCGTCGTGGGTGTATTGCTAGTCAGGTTTGTGATAGATCGTCGACTAGGTGTCTCTTAGTGCAAAATGTGGAAAAGGAAAATCGGAGTAACGCGAAACGAAGAGACAATACGACTCTGATAAAAGGAAAGAAAACCCACGTTTGACTCGATGCACGCCGCAAGGTCCAAACTCGCGTACCTGCGTAATGTTTCGCCTCAGGAGGACGGGGAATGGCAAAGTTCCGACCCCACGGACATGAAGGATCATGCCGGATGTGCTGAAACGTTATACAGCTGCCTTGCTGCTCGAGATCGATCGCGGTGCGAGTGCGAGAATAGAAGCAGATAGTGGGATACGAAAAGATAAGGGGATGATGTTCAATGCGTTTGGCTTTAGCTGTGACGTACGGACTTGTGCTTTGCCGGTAGCCCTGGCGCATGCCGCACTGTAGGAGGGGACTCGCTATCATCGTTTCGAGGTACAGGGCGCTCCCACTTCGTCCAAGTCCACTCACCCGTCTCCCAAAACACTTTGTCATCAATGTACGTCTGCACTTCTTCATCGCTCGGCCACCCTCCCCACTCTTCAACGTCCTCGACAATTTCCCGAACAGCTGCAATGTCTTCTGCCTCCGCCGGGCTTCTCGCCCGCGCAAGAAGTGAAGCCGCCTCAGTTGAATGCTCAGCGTATTCAAACTGGGCGGCGTCGTTGGGGTCTGGTTCTAGCGTGGCATCACGGATCCAGCTTCGCTCCAGAAACACTCTCAATGCTACAACTGCTCTCCGCGCCATCTCTTCTCCGCGCCGATCTCGTTCTGATCGCTCCAGAAGCTCCGACCGATACTCCCTCATCCAGCGCACGGTGGCGTGCAATCCCTTGTAGTCGCCAAGCCAGCCAAGAGCACGGATGTAGGCGTGCAGAGACGCTGGATCAGGAACGGCGAGCAGCTTCGGTAGCTCCTCTGGCGAGTCTGTGTGATGGGCAGATTCCTCCTCCGCGTCCTCGACGTTAGGCGTCTGCATCTTTAAACCCTTCTCTTCTCCCGTCCAAGATGTGAATTGACATCTGAGCCATTCACGGTATGCTCTGCTCTCCCGCGCGAGGGTCTCCGCTTCGCGCAAAAGTAGTTTGAATCCGAACTTTTCGTCGAGCGGTGATTCCAAACGGGCCGCACGCTGCAACACCTTCCACGATGCTGTGACCGCGTTTTGAACGCAGCGACAGAGGGCCCAGAAGCCTTTTGTGGTGACATCGATATTTTGCTCTTCTTGAAGGTGAGCGATGTGCTGCACTAGCCGCAGAGCATTCATCGCTCCCTTGTAGCGGTCCAGGTGTTCGGGAAGAGCTTGAGATCTTTGAAGTCGGTCTGTGGAAGCCGAGGCGGGCTCGATCGCGCTGCTCAAGCCTACAAGTGTGTGTGCATTGGATGCTGTGAACTGTTGGAGGATCTCACCCCAAAGCCAGGGGTCTGTAGGAGGCCTAATGTGTAAGAGCTTGAGAGCGTTCACGACGGGATTGTCGTGGTTGAAACGATAGTCAGGAAGCACAGCAAGTTCAGTATCAGTCGTATCTGCTGATTGTTCGTGTGACTGCAACTTGGATAATGAAGACCGTGGAAACCGCGTCCAAAGTTTCACTGTCGCTGCGTAAATAGAAGACGGGACCTTGAGAACGTCTTCCGAGCGAGAAAGCGAGATGACAGAATCAAGCTCTGGATACTTCGAGCGCGCACGCCGAAGACGCTCCAATCCCTCGTCGAGCGTGGTGGCATGCTCGACGACAAAAGCCAAGCATCGATCTTGCAGGTCAATGCCAGCGTTCTGTAGCGTGCGATAGAACTCTGTGACTGTTGGCGGAGCTGTTCTTGTATATGTTTCAAGGTGCGTCGAAGGTGGAAGAGGCCGAATCTCGCGCGTGTCGCCCGGGAGCAGAGGCCAGCGGCGCATCGTCTTGGCAGACTCGTCTCTCCCGATAACTGTGCTCATCCTTTGTCGTCGCTGCTCTTCGTGCAGCTTGGAGAAGGTCGCTAGGTAGACATCTTGATCTGGTGGCAGTTTCTCATCTTCCCAAGCGAGGTAGCAGGCCCAAGCTTCTTGAATCGTTCTCGTACTCAGGATTCGGGCAGCCCACGGCTCGTGGGTCATTCTGATCTTGCTGGAAAGCATCATGCCTGGAGAAGACAACAGGGAGCGCATTTGAATGGTTGGCGTTTGGTCAATGTCCCAGCCAGTGAAGACTTCAGCGAGCTTCTCCCAATAGAAAGGCCGATATCCAGCTTCGCGCATACGTGCAAGAGTTGCACCAGCGCGGGATATGCCATGTTCAGGACCGAGTTCGCTGTCCATGGCTGTACGGTCAACCTTCCAAGGTGGCCACGATAGCGACTTGAGCTCGGCCCACTGGCGTTCTTGGGTGGTCTTCCGCTGGCGTAGCTGAATGCGGATCACGCCACGATACCCCTGCCTGTTGATATACAAAGATGGCCGGCAATCAGCCATGTACTGCAAGACCAACATGACAGCTGACTCTTGGTAGGCGACATCTTTGAACGGGTGTTCGGCCGTGGAGAGCGATATCAAATTGATCAATTTGTTCAAAAGATGTGTGATCTTGGCCAACTCTGATTTCGGAAAAGCTCCCTCTTTAAGCTGGCGTGACTGGAGGTGTTGGAGCACGATGTTGGTAATCGTGCTCATGGATTGAGGCCAGACGTCTCGAGCGTGTCGAAGTAGACGCATGACGGCGATGAAGACGACTGAGGTGAAGTCATCGGGCATGTCCTTCATCCTGTAGTCGAGTATGGTCCGGGTACATGAAACCAACAGACGCAATGCTCGCCCGCTTACATACTCTTTTCGAAGTGTGTACAGAAGCACCCAGACAGGGACTGTTTTGGGACCACAAGATTCCAACTGCGCAGATAGAATGTTGGCTGCGGCCAAAGCATCCTTCTCAGAGATGATACGTGCCCACGAAGCGACATCTTCAAGAGTATACCCGCGGTGCTGGAGGAATTGCTGCTCTTCCGCCGTCAGGGCAATGTGACCGTCCGAGAAAGCATCTCGCACCGCATTACGTCGAATGTAGGGCGCCGTCAATTGCTGTAGAGACAGCGGACATAGGCGGTTGCGCTTGGATCGTTGTGCATTGAATTGTCTTTTCCGCCTGTTGCTGTACTCGGACCAAAGACGAGAGCTTCTGGGATTGACGTAGGAGAGATTGATCTTCGAAGGGCGATGCTTTGCAGCGGCAGCTCTGTTGCCTGTGTCGTTTAAGACTTCGGTCAGGGCGTCGTTGGGGACTGCTCGGAGTCTCTTGAGCCTCCTCTGTGAATACGTTCTGGGTTGTATGCTTGGCTGGGGCGAGGGCGTCGCGTGGGGTTCATATTGTTCATTTGCCGCAGCGGCTTGCGAGTGCCGCGAAGGAGTATGGGAGAAGCTGCGTGTGCCATGGTGGATCGCGGTGCTTCGAGGCCTGAGGTCAAGATTCGGGAGATGTCGATTCGAACGTGGGACGGGCGCAGAGGACAGATTGGCGAGCACTGCACGAAGCTGCCTGCCTAGAGGCGTCAATGCTCCATGCTGCATGCATCCACCAGGTCCAGGTCGAAAGGTGGTGATGTTGGTGCAGAGATGGGACTACTGAGGCGCGTGCGAGCAGACGTGAAAGGTCAGACAGGCTAGCTGGAAGTCGAGCCGGCGGCCAGCAAGGAGTCCAACACGCAATCAACGTAGTAATCATTGTCTCAGAACTGCATTGGACTTGTTTTGCTCTGGTCGTCGCCATCTACAGTGCCGACTCTACTCATCAATAATCAATTCCCTCAGTCAATTGATTTGGTGGAAGAAGAGAGACATCGCCCAGACCTGCTGACTACACAGCGGGACCAGCCATCCTCCAATCCGCCGCCGACTGCAGCAGCAGAATCAGAGAATCACTTGTTCTCACCACCGACCACTCGCCTCCCACACCACCGCTCCGCCCTCTCTCCGTGCTGGCTGAATAGAATCGACGAGTCCTGGCTTTTGCGACGGTCACGTGTTCCCCCGACCCACGTGAGCCGTCGTGCTGGTGCCGGCGCAGACTTGGTGGTGAACTCGCGCATTGCCAACTCCTACACGTCTCCCAGCGCGCGACCCCAGCTCGCTGCTCTGCCCACCCACTATGGCCTCCACCGCCAACGACACCCCTCCCTCGCCGCACACCACCGACGCCGACAGCCCCGTCGCCGACCTCAAGCGAAAGCGCGAAGACCAGCCCGACCTGCCTGCGCCGCCGTTATCAGCATCGCGCACCACCAAGCTCCAAAAAGACATCCTCCACGTTTTGGAGAGGTATGCACATTTATACTTAGTCTATGCCACAGCTATTGACCCTTCCAGCCATGATACGCAACCCTCATTCCTCAAACACTCTTTCGCCAGCCCTACGCCCGCCGAACCCGCCACGAAAAAGCCCAAACTCTCAGGACCCAACGACAAGACGACAATCGCGTCCAAGCTGAGCAGTGCCAGTTACTCCTCCTTACGACAAATCAAGATCGACGCCCATGTTGTCGCTGACGAGATCGTATCTTCGATACGCACTAGCGCCAGCGAGCGGGAGGGTAACAGCAGTGGCCGGCCTTCAGCTGAAGAGCTTAAGCAGATCTACAGAATACAGTCTCTGGAAGATTACGTCGAGAAGCTGGCGGATGAAGAGATTGAGTATGTGGAAGCGCATGAGCGGAAACACGCAGAGGTCAAGGGAGAGAGTGGCTTGACGAATGGACATACTGAGGACGCAAAGTCGCAACCCGCCGGCAATGGCGCAGGCACTGTGCTCACCCTCTTTGGAAATGCCCCCACCCCAAAGCAGCTTTTCTCTTCCATGCAAAATGCACCGGCAGGACGCAAGGGCGCCGTCGTCAAGTCAGAACTGCCAGTAGAGGAGATGAGCCTGCCGACCGGAATCACGGCGACCAAGATCCTGCCGATGCCAGCAGATGACAGCAAGAAAGCGCCGACATTCGAAGAGACGTTCGCACCTCCATACAGTCTACCTACCCTCCAGCCTCCCAAAGCCCACAAGAGACCTTCTACTCGCGATCTCACCGTCACTTGGGAGTTCAAGGATCCTGTGCAACGGAACAACAAGCGAGGTGGCTACACTGTACAGAGTCTGACAGTCGGAAATTGGCTTGGTTATGGTCGTAAGGAAGGCGGGGATGCAGACTCGACTCGGGAAAAGCGCAAGCAGCGAGACCGTGCGTTAAGCAGCAGCGCAGGAGAGGCTGAACGTCTCGACAAGGCGTCCTTGGAGGAATCACTAGCCAAGGAGGAGGAAGCGCTATTTCGACGAGCGTACTCTAGTTATGCGCCTACCTGCGACAACTCCAACGCCATCATTCCAGAAGAGACCAAGAATGTAGTTTGGTGGCATAAGGTCGGAAGCAAGCGGTACAACGACACCTTTGCCATCGACCCTGCGCTGCTGGATCAGAACGAAATGCCCACGATACCCATGCAGACAGTCGAAGAAGTGAAACCTGAAGATGAGAATTTCGACAAGATCCTGGAGGACCTCGACGAACTTGACAACGTCGAGGTCCCTCCAGAGACCGCCAAGTCCAAGACAGAGGTCGAGCAGGTCTTGCGCCAGGTTTCCGAGCTGATCGAGACTCTTGCCTCCCACCAGCGCATCCGCAACGCCACCCTCGCATCGTCTACCCCTGTGGCCCGAACACCCATCAGTCCAGCACCTATCGCCGCCTCGAAGATCGGCAAGCCAGATGAACCATCGGAAGAGGAGGTGGCCACCTACAACAGCCTCACCCGTGAGCTTGCGTACCTCATTCTCAAACTACCACCATACGCAGTTGCCAAGCTCGATGGTGATCAGCTGGCAGACTTGGGTGTCAGCAAACTCATCACCCTTCAACCACAAAACATTAAAGGTGTTATGGAGGAAGATCATGTCACCCGACAAGCCAAGATGTCCGCAATCGCCACTGCCTCATCGATTGCAACTCTTGCCCGACCGAATTCGTCTGCTGGCCAGCACTACAACACAACTGCCCAGCGTACTCCTGCAATCGGCCAAGCGGCAAACACCCGCTATGGGCAGTCGTACGGGCCTAGGACGCCCGCCACACAGCCCGCCTTCAATCGCCAAACAAGCAATCCATCATATGGTACCCCTGCAGCCACAGCACCTCGACCTACTTACGGACAACCCAACCAATACGCCCGTCCTGGCGCAACTGCAGCAGGATACGGTCAGGCGAATGGTCAGCAGTACTACCAACGCCCTCAACAAACACCAGGTGGATATGGCAACTACAGCCAAGGCTTTCAGCAGACACCGGGCACGCAACAGCGTTTCGGCCCACAGCAGGCTCAGCAGCAGCGCGCGGCGAATGCTGTCGCGTACCAGACTAACCCAGCACAGCAACAGCTCAACCGCACGGCGTCTCCAGCAAAGGCGGCTGGCCATCCAGCCGTTTCCATGGCGCCACAGGGGCAGAGGCCATTGTACGCTGCGCAACCTCAGCAACCCGGATCAGGCCGAGCCACACCCACCAACTACCCATCCCAACCACATACGCCGATCAATGGCTACTCACGACCACCTCCACCCGGCATCGCGCCCAGGCCGGCAAGCTCGACACCGCAACCGCCGCAACCCACCCAAATGCCCGCGATGGCACAAACGAACGGAACTTCGTGAGTAATAAAAACCAATCGATCTGGACGAGCTTCGTCGAATCCGACCTACAAATACCTTGCCCAACCGACCGATCATTATTAACGCGAGATATCTCTATGACAGGCAACACGTGTTCGCCCTGGCATCGCTATATGGCGGCACGGCGGGGTTGTTTGGCGGAGGTGCAGTGCAGTCGCCGCCACGACCGAGGGAACCAGACCCGTGGAGATGCCCGTACTGCGGTGGGATGGAACAAGGAAGCGTGTCGCTCACGGCACATCACTGCAGGGACTTGACGTGCAGATTCTGCTCGAGGGCCTATACGTACGAGGCGCCGTTTAGGAAGCACGTCCACGCCTGTATGGGGCCCATCTGAGGGGTGATGAAGAGTGGAGATGCTGTCGCATTCGAAGGGATGTTGTTGGACAAGTGGTTCGCGGAGGATTGATTTGAAAAGAATAGGCTGCTGCCCACGGGGCAGCAACAGATATCAAAGATGTTTTACGTTTCTCACTGCTGCTGATGCCATTTTCCTCATTACCCCGTCACCCTGACTCGATTATAGGTGCATGGCATCATATCTGAACACTGTGCTGAGTTTCGCATGTATCCAGGACACAGCGCGCATAATCTACCTATCTATAAAAATCCTTCTTACACTACCTCTTCTGATAAGAGGCGGTCCAGTAGTGATAGAAGGCAGGCTGGCCACAGAATTCCTGAGCGCCTTAGCCTCGCCCTTATACTGGCGCGTGCCCTCCCTCGAGTCTTCGGATTTGAGTCCAGCAACCAAACCGAAACAGGCTCATACTGCGGGCCAATTGTAAAGGCGCCTCGTTGTTCATACTTGTATCATTGGAAGCAAGAGATGTTTTCTCATACATCAGACCGCGACTGTAGCAGGCTTCAGATTCCCACTGCCATTGACACGACCATTCGTCTCCCCTTCTCGATCATGCGTCTTCGACGGCGCTCTGTCGTAATGTTTCGTGAAATCATACTCGATACTGGAGATTTTCTGCAGAAGGCATCGAAAGTCAGTCAAGTCAAGGACATCAGAGACGAGGAAGGCTGGGCATACCAATAAAAACTCCTTCAACTTCTCCTTACACGGATCCTGGTTCAACTCCTTAATGATGCCGAAGAACTTGTCCGTCTCCAACACCGTCCACGGATCCGTCTGGCTGACCCGTTCGAGGTTCTTCACGCTGCGAGCATCGACGTACTTGAGGAAAATCTCCCGCCGCACATCGGCGTACGTTTGCAGGATGTCTTCGCCGGCCTGGCCCGTATGGTATCCTATCAGACAATCGGCCAGTCCACCGACGTCGAGACACGCTGTCATACAGCCGTATCCTCCCATCGGGTTGACCACGTGACTCGAATCAGCTGCCAGGAGGATTCTCCCTACCTTGAAGGAGGGCACGCAGCGGTTGTGGATGTTGTACATGTTCGTCTGCTCGATCCGGTACTCGTCCGGGTCTGGGTGGCCCGGTAACATCGCCTTGAAATGCCATGCTCTCCGGGCGAGGTACTCGTCATCCGTGAGACCAACGGCCGAATCGCCATACGTCACGCGCCAGAGCCCTCCGTGGCCGCGTCTGGCAATGAGGCCCCAGTGGTCCTTGTCGATCATGTAGTTCCCACCGTCCCAGCCGTGTTTCTCGAAGCCATCGTAAAAGACGTTCTGCACGACGAAGCGGCAGTCCCAAGTTTTGCCGGGCCATTCTTTTCCAAAGAGGCTTCGACGGACGGCGGAGCTGGCGCCGTCGCAGCCGACGACGTAGTCTGCTGATATCCTCTCCTTTCGGGCCTCTTGCCCGATCTCGACGTCTACCCAAGCCTGGTTTTCGTCCTGTCCTGTCCCTACGACTTTGTGCTCGAATCTCACTTCGATCAGGCCCTTGCCCTCTGTACCCTCCGGTCCGAAACGTTCCAGGCAATGTCGATACATGATCTGAATGATGATCCCCAATTGCAACACCGTCATGCGATCCTCTTCATCTTCTACAACGCTCATATCAATCTCGATCAACTTCTCGCCATCGGCGACCCGGCGCCAACATATTGCCGGGAACTTGGGAATTGACGCGGCACGGAAGTCCGGGAGAAGACCTGCACGGCGGAAGATTCGCGTGGCGGGTACGCCGTACTGGGTTGCGCGGAGGCGGGTGTCGAGGGTGGCCCAGGACTCGAGGACGAGGGAGGGGATGTTGTGTTGGGCTAGGAGGAGGGCGAGGAGGAGGCCTGAGGGGCCGGCGCCGACTATGAGGATCTGGTGAAAGGTTCAGAGGGTGCAGAGGTTGGGGATTCAAGGTTCTACATACCTTCTCGAATGGCGGTTTGTGCGGGGAGTTAGTCGTTGCCATGGCGTCTGAGGTAGTTGAAGGGAACAGAATGAGGGAAGAGTTGGCGGTTTGATATTGAGGACGTCAATGAAAGTAGAAATAGTTATCGATCTTACTAGAGAACCATCAATGTCTACTGAACCGTTTTGTCCTCAATGGCTTGTGGTAAGAAGTATGCGGCTGAGACCTAGGTGAGGTGAGCTGGTGTTCTCCAGCAACGAGCTGATGTCAGAAAAGGCAGTTCGGACGGCAATTGAGGGGTCTTTCACTTGAGCCGTCACGATTGTAGCTTTCGGCCCAAAGACGGGCTCGTTCGTCCGTCCGCACATCGAAAAGAGGGTGGAGCGAGAGAGGGAGAGAGGGAGTGATGTTGGAGCCGTGGCCAAGCGGGCCGACGATTGCCGAGGACAACATTCACTTCACCTCGTCCATCTCGATAGCGACATCAACATCCATCTTGGCCATAACAAAGGCCATCAAGTTCAGCCATCCGATTTGACGAGCTGGCAGTCCTTCCAAGCATGCACCGGTGACACCGAAAACAAGAGGCGACGTCTACCTCTGCCCCCGCTGATTGGCCAATCTCTTTCATCTACCACTGCGTGCCAAGCGACAAGGGTGGTTTCACGACATTCCACAAGCCTTGCCAGGACGTCCACCTCTTCCAATCTTCAACTCCAAGCTATGCAGACGTTTCTCTTGGGAGTTCTTGACTCCTGCGCCATGTGGACATGATATTCTGCAGGCCAAGCTCGCACATTTCCGCACGATGGACTTCACGTCAGCGATACGGCGACTCCTATCTCTCTATATTGCTCTGTTGCCACTGGATTCTATGGGGCTTCATTTGGCTTATGCAGTGGGAAGAGCCAATTGAGGAGACCGGCTACAGTTTTGGGTATGTCGTCTTCCTGCAAGACAAGAGCTGTGAAACGATCCGGCTGCTTTGCGTCGAATCGAGCGGTTTGGGTATGCCAATGAGGATACCAAGAGGCAAAATCCCGCCATCCGCGATATCAGCATGCCATCGACCTTAAGACGTGCCTCAGGTTTGTGAGCCTGGGTCATATATATCGCCAGCCTGGACGCCTTCGCAACAGGTTTGTACGCACAACCATCTTCCCAGTTTTCTCTACCCTTCTTGCATCAATCACACTCGCTACAGCTTTTGACAAGCATCACACTCCTTGAGATTCTACAACTTCACGTTCGTTCCCTCGAGCCGCAACTTGCACTATTCGTTATCCCCTCAAACAATCTTTCACGACCATGCCTGCATTGAGAAGCTTCCTCCCAGCAACTCTGCTGCTTCCCACCCTTGCACTCGCAGCAGCCCCACCAACAATCATCCGCACCCAGACAGCCTCCACCATCTCCGGATCCTGGATCGCCCGCCTCGACGACAGCTCCGAGTTCAACGAAATCCTCGCCTCGGTCCTGTCCTCCGCCGGCATCGAATCCAAAGCAAACTACACGATTAACCACGTGAAAGGCTTCGCATTCGACGGCGACGATGGAGTCCTCGATATCCTCGAGACTTTAACCGGAATCGTGCACGTCGAGCCAGATACCAAAGTCTACGCCAGCGTCCCTTTGCAACACCGCGAGGTTGCGCCTTTCGCGAACGGGAGCTTGGTCACACAGAATGGATCGACCTGGGGGTTGGCGAGGCTTAGCCACGAGGAAACTGGCGCGAAGGACTACGTGTACGATTCCTCCGCAGGGGAAGGCTCGTACATCTATGTGATCGACACGGGAATCTACACTTCCCACTCCGAGTTTGGCGAACGTGCGACTTTCGGGGCGAACTTCATCGATGACGAAGATGCAGATGGCCAAGGCCACGGGACGCATTGCGCTGGCACTGCCGCAGGAACGAAATATGGCGTCGTAAGTATCACCTGATCAATCTCTACTCCCCATCATCCCACGTTAACGATATTGCCGACAGGCCAAAAAAGCCTCCCTTGTAGCCGTCAAAGTCCTGGGATCCGATGGTTCTGGCTCGAACAGTGGCGTGCTGAAGGGAATCGACTGGGCGGTCAACAACGCCAAAGAACAGGGCCACATCGACCGCACCGTCCTTTCCATGTCCCTCGGCGGCCCCTTCAGCCAACTTACCAACGACGCCATCGCCGAAGCCGTCGCAGAGGGCGCTTTCGTCGCCGTAGCGGCGGGGAATGAAAGTACGTCAAAGTCAACAAACCTGCCCACCCTCGATGAGCCTGTACTAACGAATGCTACGTGACAGACGAAGACGCCTCCAACTCCTCCCCGGCCTCCACCCCACAAGCCTGCACCGTCGCCGCCTCCACCATCTCGGACCGCCGCGCCTCCTTCTCCAACTACGGCTCCGTCGTCGACATTTTCGCCCCGGGCGAAGACATCCTCTCGTCGTGGATCGGCTTCCCCTCCGCGACCAACACCATCAGCGGCACGAGCATGGCGTGTCCGCACGTGGCGGGTCTGGCGGCGTATCTGATTGGATTGGAGGGGCCCCGCGAGCCGGAGAGTCTGTGTGAGAGGATTCGGGAGTTGGCGTTGGAGGGCGTGGTGGAGGGTGTGGGGAGCGGGACGGAGAATTTGTTGGTGCAGAATGGTGTTGCTGCGTAATGCATAGGGTAGGGAGGTGTGATTTCATGGTTGGTGGATAGGATGGGGAGTTTTTTGGAGGGTAATGTTTGGGATGTATGTTACGATGTGTAGAGTTATCTCCTGGAGAGATGCATACCCACGAAGATAGAGATAATAAGCAGCCGCGACGAGCGGAGTCAAAAAGGCTTCCTCAAAACGCTCTCCAAAAAACACCCTTGCAACGCCATCTCTGTCGATAATCTAATCCCTAGCCTCCCTCAACCGCAACGTCACCGGCCTAGCCGGACAACTCGTCAACGTCAAATTACTCGTAACCGGGCCCTCCAACTCCCCAGGCGCCGCCTCAATCGCGTCAAACCGCTGCAACAACCGCACCAGCACATAACTCGCCTCGGTCAACGCAAACTGCTGCCCGATACAGATCCTCGGACCGCCGTTGAAGGGCAGAAACTCCCAGCCGGGGCGTTTGCCGAAGAAACGTTCGGGCTTGAATTCGAGTGCGTCGTCGCCCCAGATGTCTTTGCGGCGGTGCATGACGTGGATGGAGTAGTCGACCTGCTGGCCGGCGGGGAGGAAGATGGGTTTGGAGCCGTCGGGGCCGCCGCCGCGGGGGAGGGTCGTGGGGCGGTTGGATTGGCGGCCGTTGCCCGGCACGATTGTCCATAGACGCAGGACTTCGTTGAGGGTGTATTGGAGGTATTGGCAGGATTTGAGGGTGGAGAAGGTGATGTCGGTGGGGTTGTCGTAGGTTCCGAAGGTCTCGATGATGGTGCTGCGGAGTTTGGCGAACACGGACGGGTTGCGGAGGAGTTGGTGGAAGGTCCAGGAGAGGAGGGAGGAGGTCGTGTCTCGACCCGCGAGGAGGATGTTGAGGAGTTGGGCGCGGAGTTCGACGGGGTCGCGGGTTTGCTGCGCGAGGGCTTCGAGGAAGACGTATTTCTCCTTCTGGCCGTGCCCCTCTTCGATTTTCTTTTCGGAGGGCGATTTCTGCAGCGCGAGCTCGACGTAGTGCTTGACGAAGTCGTTGACGATTTTGTTGTCGATCTTGTACTCCGGTGGGTTGTGGAGCCAGTGCAGGTCGACGAGGCGGAATTTGGTCGCCATGACGAGTTGGGCGTGGTCGAAGTGCTTGGAGAAGTTGCGCTCGTTGCGTTCTTGGTCGGCGGATTTGCCGGTTGAGACATCGACGACCTCTGCTTCAGCAAGTTGGGAGTCGACGCTCTCGCCGAAGAGGAACTCCGTCGCAGCGTCGATGGTGAGTCGGAAGAAGAGCGTTTGGATGTCGGTGAACTTGGTCCAGCCGTCTTTCTGCACAGGCATGACCTTCAGAAGGCTCTGGACGTGACGCTCCTCCATATCAAGATCGCTGATCTGTTCGCGGACGAAGTTGGGTCGCAGCAGTGCACGGCTGTGCTCCCACTTCTTGCCATCTTGCACAAAGATCCCATCACCAAGCACCTCGCCCATGATGGCAAAGCGCACGGAACCGACACCGAAGTCTTGGAACTGCGTCGCAAGTAAAGCCTGGATGTTCTTCGGGTCGCTGGTGAAATAGATCTTCTGGCCCATGACATTGTATGTGAAGGTCGAGACCTCGCGGCCATGCTGTTTGCTGACTTTCTTCTGGCGGTCCTCGAGGAAGTCGGGGAACATGCGTGCCTTGTCAGCGGCTTGGATATCCTTCAGTTGCTTCAGTCCCATGAAGCCGCAGTCAGCGACCGCAGGAGGGTCTTCGCAGCCGAGTTGTCGTGATTTCGCTGGTCATTTTATCAGTGTACGGTCTCAGAAATAGATCTGCCTGACTCACAAGCATTCTGAATTCTCGTAACGACAATCGACACAATCTTGTAGACCGCCAAAGCCGTAAGGGCGAGCAATGGCAAGAGAATGAACCTCTGCATCTTGAAGAGTCCTTCTTCCAATGTGGTATGTCGAAATTGGACGTCTCACCGAGGAAGGAACCTCAGCCTCTTTAAAGCAAGAGACTGCTCGCAGATGTAAGCGGAGGATTCTTGGTCCAAACAAGCTGAACGGTAGTGCACTGCAGGCTATGAAGATCCTCCGTTCCACGAGGCCTAACCGAAGCGTGGCATACGCGCTTGGGAGTAGGCTAGGGTAGGGTAAGCTGAATCGCAAGCGTCTGTGACTGGTTGATTGAGTGGCCAAGGGATTGGTGTCGTTGGAGGCCTACATTCGCAGGAAAAGACAAGGGTGGTCTTGATAGTGGTAGCCTCCAGCTGGTTTGATCTTAGGAGATGGTGGCGGAGCCCTCTCGTTTGAAGTCGCGAGTGAGAAAGCCGGATTTCGCAATAACGCTTCAATGTCCCCAATAGGAACAGCAGTCCGCGTCTTCGCAAGTCGCGATGATCTTCAGCTGACAAGGGAAATCGAGTCTGACACACTCGATGAGCAAGGATACCGCTTTACCTGCGACGACGAGAACGGCTGTCACCTACCTATAATGCTTTACGTCCCCTCCCGCGGGGCTGGGCCCACTAGTCCTGCGTAGCATGGCTGAGGCTGGTCTGGTCCGGCCGTAGAGCTCTACCAGTTTTACGGAGCGAGTGCGAAACAGTGCACTCTTCCCATGTCGACGTTTGCCTGGGACGGCTGAAAGACAGTCGTATAGGATAGCGCTTATTCCTCCTGCGAAGGATCCAGGCCACGAGGATCTTAGCGCACTCGCATGAGGGCTGCTTTGATGCCAAAACCGCCAATGCTCTCCACTGCTGCTGCGAGAAGCGCCGAAAGGGACTGAATGGTCGTCAGCTTCGGGCTCGGCTGCTCCATACTGGCATTTGCATGATGCTGAAGTATTCTCGTGGAAAGCTCCTTCCAGATTGTTCTTCGGGTTCAAGAATTCCTCCATTAGGAACGAGGTGCAGAATACACGTTTCTTATTCGCGTTTGGGTGCGAAGATGTTCTTCAAACCCCTCCGATTTCGCGGGATTAAGATGCGAGGCGGATGAACTGTTGTAACCGCCGCTGCAAAAAGCAATACCCTGGTTCATCAGGCGCGTGGCAGCACACGAAATCGCATTCGTATTGCCATCTCATCTCACATGGTTGCATCTTCTCCCGCTTTACGAAGACGAAGGCCGAGGCGCGCTGAGAGTCGCCAAGGGCTCAGGCGTCCTCCAGCGGACAAAGGCGAAGAGGGCCATGGTTTTCTTCCATCCACTCGTTGCTCAGACGTTCGGGTCACTTGTCAGCATTTCCTAGAATAGTAGCACTGCTGACGAAGGTGATTCTTGATGATGGCTCGTGAGGTCTTGGGACGACATATGTTGTGGAACGCGACTAGAAAATGCGGCGGGCGTTGCTCCGGTGTTGAGCGAAGGTGCTGGGTGTGGTTGACTGCTGGTGATGGACGCCGAGAATGTTGATCAGAATAACGGCGAGGCTGTGGAGAGATATACGGTGTTGTTGTAATCCTGTCGAAGGTTTCGAGGCCTTCCGTGTGCGAATCCTTCTCTGCGAATCCTGGTTGGTGACTTTGTCAATATCACGCGGCTCTTCCCGATTGATCCTAGGTGTCACAGAGGCCTGAGAATAGGAGGCCAGAAGAAGGAAAAGAACAAGAGATACATAGTAAGACAGCAAACGATGTCTATTTTAACTATTCCCCCAAATATCTCGTACTTTGGCCCTTGCAGTACCGGCAGCCCTACATGAGGGTCGTCCACCGCCCTATGAAGGATTACCTATTCTTCGAACAGCGACAAATCAAAAAAGATGACGAAGATGTATGTATAGTCATCAGCGAGTTGACGGTTCCGTATGTTGAACACTCAAGGTCTTTGTAATCTTTATGCAACATGCTGTATCATTCCCCTTGTATCGAATCCAAAGCCGCTTGATCTCTCCAATGCCAATGCCAATGCCCAAAAACCACGGAGAGGTACCTATTCTCTCCAAACGCCATCGCTCTAGATGCTTTACTGTATCGTCACCCTCATGACGCTCTAATCTATGCCAGAGGCAAACAAAATGCAAGTGCAAACCGCGGCATGGGGTATCGTGCTGAAACGCTAATATCAAAAATCGCCATGAATCTCAATCGCTTTCATTCTCAAAATCAGCCCGTCGAGTCTTTATGGCCCAGATGTACGGTGCTGTCGTCGCGGACCATCGTGACCTTCGTGTCGTCGAACTTCAGCTTGGTAGTGAACATCGCGCGGACTCGACCGACTTGGCCGTAGTTGACTCGAGCGTGAAAGGCCATGTTCCACCCATCCTGGCCGTCCTCGACGATACCGATGGATCCTGGTGCTTCGAGGCCCCAGTCGCCAGTCTTGAGAAGAGTGCCCTTAGCTCGAGTGTACGGTCCTTTGATGTCTCTCGAAGTGGCGTACTTCACCACGTAGGTGTTTTCGCGCGTGCACCCTGATGAGTAGAAGAGGAAGTAGACGCCTTCTGGTGATCTGATGAGCATTGGTGCTTCGATCAGAGGTCCGTCGGAGTTGTTGTTTTGGAGGATCTGGACTGGGTCGCCGACTTTGGTGACGCCGTCGTCTTCCATCTGTTGCAGCATGATCGGGGTCGGTAAAATTGGTTGGACTGTGTTGCCGCAGGGACCTCCTGAAAAAAACATTAGCAAAAACTCGAAAGACTTGAACAACAAACGGTGTGCTTTGACTCACCATGGCCAATATTATTGCCGTCAACCTTGTAAGTAACCCAGATCTTTCCATCTGCATCTCTCATAACCTCAGGGTCGATCGCTCCACCTTCGGGTTTCGGGCAGGCGAGGTAATCGTCCAGTGCCTCGTAGGGTCCTGCGGGCGATGTACCAGTCGAAACTGCTGCTCCTACGCAGTGAGGATGTGGGTGCGGGAAGGAGATCTTGCCGTCATTTTCACGATGAGGGTACGGGTTCGCCCCCCTAGGGATGGCAGCGTAGTACATCACGAACTTGCCATCTGCGCGCTTGATCACAGCTGGAGCCCATGTACTAGATATGTGAGGCTTGTCTGTCTTGTGATGTGCACCCATCGTCCAGTTGCCAGTCGCTGGCAGTGGCTGATCAGCGAGAGAAGCCAGGTTCCAATCCGCGAAGTTGCTGGAGGTTGCCATCTGAATGTTGGCGAGTCCAAAGTCCAGCGTGTAGCGACTTGCGTTGTTGGAATCATCGGGGTAATCAAGGACGCCCGCAGCATTGGTCGTCGCGAAGGCATACCACGTGCCCTTTTCGTAGTAGAGACTCGGATCGGGGAAGTTAGACGGTATTGCGCCTCTGATCGGTGATTTGTGGTCGTCATCAGGCTCCGGCACAGGCTCTGCGTTTGCTTGGTGGCCTCGATGTCCACTGAGAATGACCGCCACCACAATCACAGCAACGAGAATGGCGACCATGACGGCCGCTGATATGAGGAAGCCGATGGAGAGAAAGGAGAACCGTCTGGTACTGCTCGACTTTTTCTCAGGATCCTTGGAGATGATGGGCCGCGTAAAATATGCTTGGAAGAATGTAAGTTTGCCGGCATGTTGGTCCGCTGAACAGGCTGTCGCCGACATGGCTTGTTGTGCATTATCGTCTCGTGATTGCGCAGGTTTGGCTTCTGACGAAAGGGATGGATTTGACACCTGATAGGAATCGTACGCGTTCGCAGGTGAGCGAACGTGAGGGTTGTTCGGGTCGATCCCCAGGTGTTGCGACGGTTGCGTGGAATGTGAAGAGTCCAGGATGCCTGACGTTGGCGGCATGCTTGCCGCGCCTTCTCGACCTTCCATGGTCCCTGCCGTCTGTGTCTAATGTCTTCTTTTTTTCTCAAGCAAGAGCGGCTGCATTCGGTGTCAAAACTCGACTCCGCAAAACCGGTACACCGAATCTTGTGCAAAGCGGAAACCTGCTGTTTTCGCGTGCAAAAGGGCAGTGGAAAGAACAGAGCACGAGGATGAAAAGCACCTGAAGTCATTGGTGTCGCATTGGCCAAGAAGTGAGTTCAGACGGTGTCCTAGACAGACTCGGGAGCTGAACGGGAGGATGGCAGTGCGTGCAATACGAGAGGGAGCTGAGGCGCCGTAGAAGGGCAGCGCTACAAAAGTAGGCGCAGCAAGAGTGAAGAAGAGGTCCAAAAACATACCTGTGACACTAGATTCATGCACTGCGCAGATTCTGGCCTCGCAGAAAGGTCCATCCAGCAGTAGTGAAGGCTGGTGGTTTGCAGCAAGACAGACGCTGGCCACGCGAATTGTGGACGGACAAACAAAGGGCGTGGGTGGTTTCGTGTGCGACCTGGCCCCGATTCGCGAGACTCGAAACACGGGTGTTCTGGCCAGCCGCTGCGAGAAAGTCAACTCTATTTGCATTTGCCGTGCTGAGTCAAAATCTCAGGTTGCCTTTTTTCACACTGGTCCATCTCCTTTCCGCGCGTCCACGTTCTCGACCGAGATGAAGATGTCCCGGGTCTGCGGGCTGTGTCGAAGCTTTCCTTCTTCTTTAACAGAACACTCTTCACAACAAACCTCTGTCTCCAACCTCCTCCTTGGTACGACGAGCGGTTGCGCAACAGGGACTCTCTCCTGGCGCGTCTGGGATCATCCTGAAACTCGCATTCTGTTCCTGTTGATATCCCTGCACAGCCGCCCTCTCTGGCGGCGGGTTGCGCGCGGTGCGGCGCGATCCCAATCCCATCCATCCATCTCGCTGGGAGAGCCTTTCCCCCTTCTCTTGCGGTGAATGGCAAGCCCGTGGAGGCCATGCATGCCACGGTGTTCGACAACCAGCACGAGATGGAGTTGACATCGGTGGAAAATATTGACTCCATTGGGCGGTTGCCAAGGCCGGTTGTCAGGACATCCTCACTGATCCTCTAGACCCCGCCGATGCTTGTCTGCACTTCATCTTCTGCGACATCCTTTCACTCCACACCGGTCCATCTCCGATGCAGGAGGGCTTTTCGAGGCATCGATTCCGGGTTGCCTCACACAGCCACGCACTCTGTCACAGGAGTGGACGCTGCCGTTCGAAGACGACGTGACGACCGTACGAGCGAGCTGCAAAGCTGACCTCGGCCAGCGACATTGAACCCAAAGGTAACGGTTTACTCCTTTCGCTGTAGATACGACCTCTCTGGACGGCGTATCTACGGATGACACCCAAGAAGCAGCATCAATTATTGGGGAATCTGCAAAGCCGTGCTATTATTTAAGCACCGCCCTTAACCCGTACGAAGGCAATTCGTCGGCACATCCATCAGGCATTAGATTCATGGCACCACCTGGCCTGGTGCGCTCTAGAAGCACGCTCGACCAACAACATATGGATGCCTATTGGAGCTGAGTATTCAGCTGAGATGGCAAAGCTGAGAATAGAACCCTGTCACATGTTCAAAGATCGGCACGAGATCTGGTAAGCGAAAACGGCAGCCACGCTGGGGGTGATCACGCAAGAGGCAAGTGCTCTCGCGACAGGCCAGTACCGAGTGGCAATATAAGACTTTCTCTTTCTCTGTTATCTCGTGACGAGCAACGATACTCCTTACAACCATTGGCATTCCTACTCGCGGCAGTGCTGGAGACACAAAATCTTACACGAGGCATCCATATACACCTACAGCTACTGGCCGCCAGCCTATACATCAACACCCGAAGCATACACTACCTCTACCCCATTCGAGGATACCTCACGCGTATCATCATCCAAGATGAGCGACACGAACAACATCCTGATCTTCAGCGCCTCGCTCGTTTTTCTTCAGGCCATCTATACTCTTGAGCGACCTGATGTCCGCTCGGCGTGGAAGGACTTTCGCGATACCTACTGGCCGGCTGTGAAGAAGCAGCCCGAGGAACTCATCGACGTCTACTACTGAGCGACATTACTCATGGGATACAGGTTCAATGAACCACAATACGCACTGAAACATCATCGACGACACCGGACCACGAATCGTCATGAATGTGCACATGCGACTCTCGAGCCACAGAAGTCCTGATCAAAGTCATGGAGAGGAGAGACTGCGGTCGCAACCGTTCGGAAGCATCTTCAATTGCCCTACCTCCTATGGATGGTCGCAGGCGTGAGAAGGAAGCCGGCCTAGAATCCTGAAGTGGATCACCTTGCACTTTATCATCCACCTGCAAGACGGATCCTCATCTGGAGCGGATTGGCCAGATTTGCGGGAAGGGATGCATGTTGGGTTGACCTACTCTCGTCGTTCCTGCTCAAAATGGAAGGATACTCGAGGATGCGCTCTCTACGCCTGGAAGCGGTCAAATCATGCTCGCAGCTGCAGTAGATCGGGCGACTCGTGAGGAATGGAGATGGGTGGTCTGCATTGAGCGAATGTCGCAAGTTGGCTGATCTGGGTGGTGGAGAGGTACGCGGCATCGGAGTGAACACCAGCACACGCTGTGTCTGTACTGTGTCTGTCGGTTACTTCGAGGCTGCATTATTACGACGCATGTCGCGTAGATACATATGAACGTCTCTGCGTTTTTAAAGGAGTGACCAAGCCATTACTGCATCGAAATGTGGTATCATCTGTGGTATCTTCGTGGGGAATCAAAAAGAAACATCAAAGCATCGAGGCAAAATCGTCCTTCCATCACAGCATCTTGAGCCTGGCGGCATCAAAAAACTGCCTAGTTGGAGACCTTATCAGGGACCTAAATGACAAGATCAGTTTGCCGCCACAAGATCTCTTCTGATATGCAGTGAAAACGCACCTTCTTGCCAGTCTTCTTCTCGAAAAAGCCGCGCAGCTTATCGGTGAACTTCTCGTTCTTTTCACGGTACTTGGCCGGGTCGACATTGTGTCCACTCGCCTGGCCGGCCTTCTTCTCGACGGCATCAACAGCTGTGAGCGGTCAGCATGCTACGTCATTCTGGCAGATGTGTAGACGTGAAGGATGCGAAGGCTCTGCGGTTCTTACCCTTGTCGAGGAAATCTTCCTTTTGTCCTGGCGCGCTCATGATATCGGTCGGTCGGTCGTTCTTGCTGTTGGATTGTTGGGAGGTTTTGTTGCGTGAAGGCCGTGTCGACTGTCTCACGACCTGGAGATAGAAGTGATTATATACCACTCTGCAGTCGTCTGACTCAAAGGTCTAGCCATTCACAGCGGTGGCCGCCGGCATGTGACGTCTGCAGCAGCCGACCACCTGCACAGCCACTTTTTTGACAGCAGGGCAACTTGAAGCACGCCTTGCCAAGAGATTCCGCGACGCCCAATGAAACTCCTCCGCCGGGCTTCGGGGCAAAATCACAGATTTGTCGTGGCTTCGAGGACCGAACTTCACGACTGATAACGGCGGCTTTGTGGGCGGTGTTGCTGTCGTTGGAGAAGAGTCATACCTCGAGGCTGTTGTTGCAAGGACTGAAGACTTGAGGCAATGGCGGAGGCGTTGGAAGAAGCAAAGGATGCGGCCAATGGCCTCAAGGTCGTCAAGGACTTGTTCTCCGGAGCCGTTGGTGGCGTTGCGCAGGTGTTGATTGGTATGTGAATCTACTACGGGGGTGTTCGAGTCGCTGCAGGAAGATAAAGAGGGCGAGATATGTGAAGACTGCACGAGCTGGGTCGAGATGATTGTACACCTGCTAACCATCTGGAAGGCCAACCATTCGGTAAGCTTTAGATCCATATGTTGACAACCCACTACACGATCTGATTGGGAAAAAGACATCGTCAAGGTGCGATTACAGACGACGACTCAATACAAGGGCGCTCTCGACTGCGCATCCCAAATCCTCAAGAATGAAGGCGCAACAGCCTTCTACAAAGGCACACTCACTCCGTTGATCGGCATTGGCGCATGTGTCTCCGTCCAGTTCGCAGGATTCAACTACGCCAAACGAGCCTTCGAAGCCCAGAATGCCGCGAAACTGCACAAGTCCGTCGACCAGCTAGACAAAGAACCCCAACCCCTAAGCTACGGCCAATACTACGCCGCCGGAGCCTTCGCAGGTCTCGCCAACACCATCCTCTCCTCCCCGATCGAGCACGTCCGCATCCGCCTCCAAACCCAACCCCACGGCGCCGCAAGACTCTACTCGGGACCCCTCGACTGCATCACCAAGCTCTCCCGCTCCCCCAGCGTCGCCCGCGGCCTCTACCGCGGCACCTCCGTCACCCTCCTCCGCGAAGCCCAGGCCTACGGCTTCTGGTTCCTCACCTTCGAATACCTCATGAACCAAGACGCCAAGCGCAACGCCTACGCCCGGAAAGACATCGCGACCTGGAAGATCGCGACGTACGGCGGGCTGGCGGGCGAGATGTTGTGGATCTCGTCGTACCCGTTCGATGTCATCAAGTCGAAGATGCAGACGGATGGCTTCGGCGAGAAGCAGCGGTATAAGTCGATGCGGGATGCTTTTGCGCAGACGTTTCGGCAGGAGGGCGCGATGGGGTTCTGGAGGGGCATTGGACCGACGCTTTTGAGGGCCATGCCGGTTAGCGCGGGGACTTTTGCCACGGTCGAGTTGACGATGAGGATGATTAGTTAGAGTCTGTTATCATATCAACTGGACTGCCTCATGGCTTCTCGGTTCAGCTAGCCAGAAATACGAGGGAATGCTTGGACGCACTCAAGTGACTCACCCCCTTCAGCCGCACCGCCAACTTATATGAGCCATTGCAAACATTGCGTCTCTCAGGGAAGTAGCTCGACCAATTGAAGCCGAGATACCTTCAGAGTAACTTCCACGCGGGCTCGAAACCAGTGGTTGCTGTTAAGGGCTCGGACACCCCCAAAACCTTCCCTTTTGCTCCCGCAAGTCCTCTGTTCGATTCCCGCGCTCGTCCTCAGAAAAATGAAGGCTGAGTAAAACTTTTTCTTTTTGTTTTCTTGTTCGATCGAATCAAACGCCAATTCTATGTTTTATGCATCGCTAATACTATATCCTCTAAAATGCTTTTCAAATCTCACGGCCTCCCCGTCCTCTCGACCAACGGATCCAACGCCCCAATCCCGACCATGAACCTCGTCCGAGGAGACATACTCCCTCCTTCACCCATCTCCTCGCCCGTCGCCGTCCCCGGAATCCTGGCCAAACTCTCATAACACCTCCTCGCCGCAAGATTCCTCCTCGCCTGCTTCCCCAACAACTCCCTCGCCTTCCCCGCCGCAATCTGGCTCTCCTCCACCGTCGGCCCATCCCTATTCGCCAACACGAACAGCATCAGCGAGCTCGCCGCGAACGCGAGGTGGTACGTGTTGAACCACTGCGCCTCGTGCAGGAAGCCGTGCCGGTCGATGGCGTCGATGAGCCAGACGACCTGCGTGCACGCCTTGATGCACGCGGAGCCGAACTCGTAGCCCTTGTAGTTGAAGTTCGGGTCGTTGCGGTCGCGCGCGACGTGGTGCAGGAAGGGGCGGTACAGCGAGACTTGCACCGAGTGGAAGCAGAAGCGCAGGAGGAGCTGGGAGCGCAGGGCGCGGTCGTCGACGACGCCCGAGGGCGACATGGCGGGGAGGTCGGCGTGCCATCTGTCGAGTTCGGCGGCGAAGCCGTTGATTTTGAGGTCTGGGATGGAGAATTTCCCCTCGTGGTTCACGGCGTATTTGGAGGGCGGGTAGTGTTCTTGCAGGATCTTGGCTTGGATTTGAAAGAGTTTGGCGTTGAGGAGGGTTTCGGAGACGGGGTCGAGGGGGTTCGCGAGGGACCAGGCACGGCCTAGGTCGTGCATTTCTTCCTCCGGGGCGGGGACGGCGGCGTCGGTGTCGGCGTCGCGGAGGATGTTGGGCATGCCGAGGATGCTGGAGATGTAGGTGTCCATCATGTTGAGGACGCCGAAGACCTGTCGTCGTTCGGTGAGCTCGGCTTGGGTGAATTTGCCGCGCATGGCGGTGCTGGAGACGTGGAGGCCCATTCTCATGGCGGCGGTGACGCCGGCGCAGATGTAGCCGTAGGCCATGGACATCATGGATGAAGAGATCAGGTAGCTCGTCATGACGATGAGCGTTCGGATGGAGTTGAGGTCGTGGACTTCGCATCTGTCGACGATCGATCTGGCCGCTCTAAAGTATGTGACGCTTGTCGAAAGTCAGCTCATTGCCCCATGTTTAAGACTCGAGAAGACATACCCTTTAAGTACCAGCATTTCCGTGCCTTGATTAAGCTCTTCGTCTTCGTCTACAGGCTCGTGCCTCCTGCCAAGAGCCATGAGAGCGTAGATCAAGCCCAGTGCACGACGGTCCTCCTGTGTATAGTCGTCCGGATCGCGGTCATAAAGGTGCGTGACTTGCTGCTTCAGCTGCTCCCGGTCAAGACATTCCTTGCAGTTCAGCACGTTGTTGAGTGCGACGCCGACGATCTTCTGCAATCTTTCTCGAGAGGGCAACAAGGCGAACGTTGCCATCCGATTCGCACTTGGGAGGTCAAGAAGGTTGGTGTCGAAAGATTCCACCAGTGCTTGCCCGGTGAATTCAAAGGGCATGTCGGTAGTTCCAGAGACCTGAGTGCAGAGGTCGCGGACTGTACGAAGGACGCTCAGCCCAGCGAGGCGGCCATGGAAGCTATTGAATGTCAGCTACATATCAATACAAAGCGAGGGAGTGGCAACTTACGAGACAGCACCATCAGCTTGTGATACAAAGATATGATCATCCTCAGGCCCAGTCAACGCATCGAGCATGTTCCCTCTGGCGGTCTCCCTAGACTCTTCAACTTCATCGCGTTGTTCGTCTGCATGAGGTAAGCCTATGTCCAGACAATAACAGGGAGCTTTCAAAACATACCACTCTCCAGCGGCGGTCGTTGCCTCAACAGGGCTTGCAATTCGGCGATCTTCTCTTCCAGATGGCGCGTGTAGGAGACGGCAGAAGTTCGTCCGGCCGAGCTGCCAAAGGTGCATGTGACACCACTCTGCACACATCTGTCGCAAGGCTGAGTCCCCGTACACTTGACTTTCCTCCGTTTGCAGGCGTCACAGGCCGAGGTGACCTTCGCTTTTGACGATTCTCCGGAAGCGATGGGTTCGGTCTGCTGAGCTGCATATCGCCTCTCACGAGACCGCGTACCCGAACTGGAATGGGAAGACTCTCCACTTGAAGATGCCATTGTTGGTGAATCGATGTAAAAGGCGTACGATGCGAATTGTACTCCCCTGCCATGAACGCAGTAGTCCGTCTCCTATATAGCTGAGAAAGTCGGAAGCAACTCTCGTGCCATGACCAGATCGCCAATGAAACATTTTCCTGACCTCTCACCTCTCCAGATCTCGCCCATCGCGACTAGCCCGGATGAAGCATCCAAGCTGCCCGCTTTGGACGAATGCCAAGCGGTCGCGAGTGATGACTGAGGTGAGCACAGGAAAGGTCGGGAAGCTCGGGGACGCCAGGGTGCTGTTCGGGACGGCTATCCGAATTGGGGAGGTTGGGAAACCGTCGCCCAGCTGTCGTCACCAGGAGCGAAGCCCGGCCAAGGTTCAACGACAACCATTCAAAAACTTTGTTGGGTTTTGCTTTAAAACGACCGTCTTGCACTCCAGACCGACTCTCCGCATTGCCCGCAAACTCGGCCACTATGCTCTGGCACCACTTGGAGACTGTTGTCGTGCTGAATGATTGCTATGGCTGACTATTTACCCGAGGGTATCTGATCATACGAAGAAGGCCGTGTTCCCATCGTTGGCGGTCAATGATGCCTCAATCTTGACTCGCATCAAGTACAGAGAGAGCAACACCACTCTTGTACATGATGAGTGAACCAGACGATTTGCTCCATATCCTTCGTCGTGTGGAAGAGAAGATGACACGACTCGAGTGAGAAGACCTGTGGAACCGCGTCACAATATGTCCCTGAAACGGATTTTTCTGCACTGTCAAAACATATGTATGTAGTTGTTCTGCCGTCGCTGACACAGCATCCTGCTTCGAAGCCAAAGGATTGCCAGCGGAAGATAGGCTCCTTCAATTCCACCGCAGGCCTATCTCCAGCACAGATGCGGAGAAGGTAGCATCTGCACGCATGTACGGCTATGCTGTGCTCGTCGAGGATGCAGCTTGCCCGCGGCGCATCTCTTCATCTCCTACAGCAAGCGATATCTCGCGCCTTGCTATTAAGGACTCAAGCCAGAAGATAACAGCGGTTGTCTGTCCTCGTATCTACCGCTGCAACGTCGCCATTCTCCTGCTCTAGTTGAACGAAGCACAAGACGAAACAATGTCTACCGCACCCGACAGCAAAGCAGCCACTGGTAATACGAAACAGCAGATCGAGGTAGATGAGGGCGAGACGACTTCCTGGAGCGCTGAAGACGAGAAACAACTCGTTCGCAAACTGGATATTCGCATTTTCCCCGTTATCATCATCCTCTTCATTCTCAACTTCATTGACAGAAACAATTTCGCCAATGCCCGGCTCAAGGTAAGTATTGACGCCGCATGAACAGGTTGCAATGTACTCAAGGCTGTTCAGGGACTCGAAGATGACCTCAACCTTTCCGATGTCGAATATCAAACCTGCATATCCATCCTGCTGGTCGGCTATGTCTCAATGCAGATTCCTTCCAACATGATCTTGAACACGGTCAAACGCCCGAGCCTCTACCTCTGCACTTGCGTCGCAGCGTGGGGCGTCGTCTCTGCGTGCACTGCAGCGACATTCAACGCACCTGGAGCCATCATGTGTCGATTCTTCCTTGGTTGTGAGTACTAGTACTCGTCTCCGGCATGACATTTCGCTGACCCTTGCGTCTGCAGGCATCGAGGCCGCATTTTTTCCAGGATGCCTACTATTTCTGTCCCGATGGTACACGAGGCAAGAGATGCAGCTTCGAGTCACCCTCATCAACGCTGGAAACTTGGCTGCTCAGGCCTTCGGTGGGCTTATTGCTGCTGGAATCCTCGGTGACATGGAGGGAGCTGCTGGCATTCGGGCATGGCGATGGCTTTTTATCGTAAAGCTCTCTTGCATATATGTATTGTTGAAGGCCAAGGCTGACATCAGTAGATTGAAGGCGTTCTCACCATTGTGATTGCGGGACTCGCCTATCCGATCCTGCCAGACTACCCAACAACGACAAAGTGGCTATCACAGGAAGAGTCCAGAATTGCACAAGCACGGCTGGTCAAAGACGTGGGTGTTGCTGACGACGACGAGCCGATGTCTGCTTTCCATGGCTTCAAGCTGGCAGTAAAGGATCCCAAGGTCTGGTTTCTGGCAGCAACCTACTTCCTCACGATCATGGGATTGTCATTCAGCTTCTTCTTCCCCACGATCACTCAGGCACTGGGGTTCAACACCACCAACACCTTGCTGTTGACAGCACCGCCATGGATCTTCGCCATCATCGTTTCGATCCCAAACGCATGGCACGCAGACAGGACCCGAGAGCGCTACTTCCACTACCTCTGGCCCGCCGTTGCCTGCCTCGTAGGCTACGTGATCTCCATCGCAACAGAAAAGATCGGACCGCGCTACTTCTCAACATTCCTCATGACCACAGGCTACGCCAGCGGTTTTGTAGTGCTTGCCTGGATCTCAAACACCATCCCACGTCCACCGGCCAAGCGAGCAGTCGCAATCGGACTCATCAACGCCTGCGGCAACATTGGAAGCATACCCGGAACGTACATCTGGCGTTCGATGTATGGACCATACTATGCCGTGCCTTTCTGGGCTTGCTTCGCTATTCTAGCTGCTGCTTGCGTGGTGGCCCTTGGATTACGGCAGTATCTCATCTTGCTCAATAAGAGGTTGGATCGCGAGGAAGATGTGGCTTTTGAGCTCAATGATCGCGCTGTGGAGCATACGGCGAAATTGGACAACGAGGACTTGGAGGAGGTGACGGCAAGGGCGAAGTCTTTCCGATACTTGTATTAGATCCAAAGAACTGAATGTTCTGCCGTCTCCCGTACCTATCAATCAATCGCACTTTTTCTTCGACGTCATTGGTGCCTCAGGCACCAACTGTGAGAGTCAAAACACGAAACGGCTGGGACGTCACCTAGCCATTCCACTTCCACAACAACAACCATCTCCTTTCAACGTCGCGTACCAATTTCTGTTTTGTGCACTCTTTCAACGTCTTTCTGCCATTACCCTTCGACATCTGGCTGGTCATCTGAGCTTAGGCCCTGGATTCATCGCCCCAGCACATTACAGCCTCTACTCTGGCAATACCGCGTTTTGTCAGTTCGCTGCACCGCGTTTTCACAAACGATGGCGGTACGTGGTGCTGGTATGTAGAGCACGGGCGAGCGGTGTATGCAAACAGAGGAGGCGCGCTCAACGGCTTGCCCAGCATTCGTTTGTGGTTGCAAGCCGCAACCGCGCTCACTGTTGGATTCGGTGTTGATTTACCAGCGTCGGCTCACGCGGACGCGAAATGGCAAGCAGTTCAAGATCGAATCCCAGCGTTCCGACAGCTGCAAGAACGCAGAATGTCAACCCTGCATACTAAGTCACATGCGACTTTGTATTGAGACAATATCGAGGAACCAAATGATCACCAGGGACATGTTGAGCAGCGCTTCGTTATCTTTTAGTCAAGTGACGAAGACTACACCGGCTACTGCTGTCACACCTCGCAGACGGAGATTTTCCTCCATCCGAACAAGCCTCGACAAGCTTATCTTGGCCATGAAACGAGCAGATTAAGCACAGGACCACCTTGTTGCTGGACGTTATCCACCTCGGCCGAGCAAGCCCCACGGCGTTTTGTGCTCTGTTCCAAGCAGGGCATCTTCAAGGTGTGCAGCAATGGGTGACCACAGAACACTGATCTGCCACTTTTGATGTTTTGTGGCTGAATGGCCTCGAGGCAGGGAACGTCTCATGTAGAAAACCGTCGTAACTTTTGCTCGTCGACTGGGCCAACCGCACGCTAGACGACCGTGGAACTCACACAACGGGCCAGCCATCCTTCAATTGGAAAGAGCTGGTATTAATCCCGGCTCAACACTACCGTGACTGCGATGCAAGACAAAATTGCCGGAAAATGGTGTGCTGCAATATATCATGTGCCGATTGCCTTGATAGCGACATTGCAAGCTTGACCACTCGACAGTGCCGCATGACCAATGTCTGCGCGAACAACATGGTCGAAAGTATGTTCAAAACGAGTCGATTGGTTTGCCGATCGGTCAAGGGTGTCATGCTAGCCTTCTGGGTGAACGAGAATACTTTACCTACCACAGCCGTTTATTACAGCCTTCTACCGAGACTTTCAGCATGGCCCGCACGATGCACGAGGTTGACGGCAACGAATGGGCACAAGATCGACACTGGTCGAGTTGCCTTTTGCAGCTGCCTACTAACCTCGTGCCCATCCTCGACCATCATGCAGCTAATGTAGATGGTAGGCAACCCCGGGTTGAACAAATGGCTTGCATCTACAGGGACGATCAATCGGGAAGGTGACCGTCGAATGCATGCTCTGCCACTATCGACCTCCTGTAATTACTGCAGAGACGCATTATGGAGTTCGCCCGCCTTCAGACAGACGACTGGAGTTCACCTCAGACGGAGGTGCCTCCCTTTAGCCTTTACTCCGACCACAGGCTGGTATGGCTATGGAGAGGTTGACCTTTTGCACAATATAAATATCAGGTGGTGGTTTCCTTTCTTCGATCCTCCCTCACTCACTCACAACTGCTTCCCTGAACCATCTCCCCAATCCCCAATCCCCACTCGCCCTCGTCAAGATGAAGGTCACCTTTGCTGCCACCAGTGCTCTCCTCCTCAGCGGTTTCGCCACTGCAGCGCCCTTCACAGAGCGACGTCGCCAGGCTATGGAACGTCGTCTTTCAAACAGAAGGTCGGCCGATCAAAGCAGGACTGGTCAACCACTCGCTGTGAACTACACCACTTTGGACGACAGAATAAAGATCGAGAAGAGCAAGAATGCTCAGTACTCCTCGAACTGGGCGGTGAGTTGTCTCGCAGGAAGATGTTACTGCTAGCGTACTGACGACACGTAGGGAGCCGTGGAGATCAGCACAAGTATAACTCAAGTCGAGGGCACCGCCAACTTTCCGGAGGTGTCAGTACCTACAGGTGGAAATAGCAACACTGAATACGGCGGATCTGCTTGGGTTGGTATCGATGGCGATACGTGCTCTACCTCAATCCTTCAAACTGGTAAGAATGAACTGCTTTCGATCTGGATGTCACACATACTGATTTCTTTCCAGGTGTCGACTGGGTGATTCAAGGTGGACAAGCTCAATACGCCGCTTGGTATGAATGGCTGCCAGAATACTCCTACAACTTCGACATCACGGTCAACCCAGGCGACGAAATCTTCATGAAAGTCGTCGCCAACTCGAAGACCAGTGGCACCGCGTAAGAACCCACCCTTCCACCCTCTCAACTCAGCTTCTGACACTCCACAGATACATCACCAACAACTCAACCGGCGAATCCGTCTCCCACACCTTCAGCGGCGAGACGGCGCTCTGCGAAGAGAACGCCGAATGGATCGTGGAAGACTTCGAGACGGTTGACAGCTCCGGCAACGCCGAGCTCATCCCCTTTGCGAAGTTCAGCACCGTGACGTTCGAGGGCGCGTCGTATGTCCATGGAGGCACGACGTCGGGGATCTCGGGGGCGAGTATTATGGATATTCAGCAGGATGGAAAGGTTCTTACGAGTTGTTCGACGTCTGGGGAGGATGAGGTCGTTTGTGAGTATGCTGGGTAGGTGCGCGTTGGGGTTTCAGCGTGGGAGGTGTTGGCGAGGGTTGCATTTGCATGTTTGGCGTTTTCTGAGAGGATTTTGGTCTTGCAACTGCATGTTGGCGTCTTGAGAGCCGCTTATCGAGTTGATAGCATGAGATACGAGGGACGGCTGAACATGAATGAACTACTTTGACCGCATACCGACCGATCTCGTTCGACAACTTCGCTCGAGTGATCCCTTCGCTTGGAGCAACCTCACCGACAAGATGAAACTGATTAACGACGGCTGCATTCGAACTGCAGGACAAGAAACGAGATAGGACAACCACTGAGGCGCCCTCTCTACTGGACCCACCCAGCTGTGCCGCATGCCCACAGAAGCGAGTCGATCAAACACAACCACCTCCAGCAACGAGCACGTCGCTTTCGGCAACCTTTTCAATCTGCTTGATCCGCTATCATCGCCCTCCGTATCTTCGGCCGTCGATAGCGGTATCCAGGATTAGCAGCCATGCCGTCCTCGACTTGTCTCAAGTTGGCGCCTGCCTTCCAGTCCGCACGCCGGGGCCATCAAGCCGGCGGTTAGGGGCTCAATTTAGAACAGGCCTCGCAGAAGATCAAACTCAGTGATGGTAGCGTTCAACTCAACACGAAACGTAGGCAGCCGCGGACGGCTCGTTTCTGCAGTGACGGCTCTTGATTTGCTCAAATTGCACACTGACTTCGCCGTGATAGGAATCGTCCTCGAGGCTCGGTCTGCCCGTTGCACCCCACGCCGCCTGTCAGGATGGTTGCAGAGGCGACTTCGAAGGCTGAGGCGATGGTGCGGGCGGCGTGGAAAAGCCAAGATGTCTGTCAGTTGGATATATTCCTCGGGGTTACTGCTCAGCCTGATGGAATGTATTGTGCAGCAAGACAAGGCGATCCCAGCTCATCACTGGATCCAACCAATTACAAATGGCAAGCTCTCGACCCTCTACGAGTTCGAGTGTTCATGACGAGACGACTTCCTTCGGCTTCGACTCTCATGATTGCAATCTGTCGACTGTCGGTGATGGCACCCACAGACTCAAGCTTCTACCACCATCGCTCCAAAGCACATCCGATGCTCACCACAGTGGTGATCCCAATCTGCAGCCTCTCGGTATTCCACATCGAAAGCCATATCTTGGTATTCCGGACATCTCTGCGCTCGCGATATCGACCGTGTGCTGCATATCCGCGATCTTCGCTGTCGAACACAACAACCTTGCCTGGCATCTCGGAACGACCAACCAACTCATCGTCTCAGGCTTCTTGCTCAGCGTGATGAACCTCTGCCTAGGAAAATGCACGACCTTCATCTTCGTCTTGGTCGAAGCGCGCTTCGGCCGATCGAAACTTCAGAACTACGACAATATTCTTCGGAATGAGGTCCTTGGGCCCAGGCTGGATTTCGTTTGGCGGACAACACTTGCGTGCTTCATGGCCTTGCCGATTGGTTTGAGCGTGGCGTATAAGACGTTCACGGGTGGTTCGAGTTCTCATCTTGTGAATACGACAGCGATAATCGGGATGCCGCCGGAGTATGGCCTTTTCAACGTTCCGAATTCGTTCCAGGGGGATATCGGTCGATATTTCAATGCCTCTCTGCCACTTCTGTCAGCTTCGAGCCTCGTAGATTCGGGCAATGGGACCCAGACTGAACCACCGTTTTCCGAAAGTTATCCGCATTACTATGGCGCGAATATGTTGCTTCTTAACGACACATCGGTCGCCTTGCTAGACCTGCCCAGGGATGGCCGCTTGACCGAGCTGCAGAACTCCCTTAAAATTGGCGAGTCACTCCTACTCGAGGCCGATGTTCATGGCAGTGTGGCTACACAACGCGAGCCCCGACCTTCTGAGGACCCAGACTTTCACGAGGCTTGTCTCGACAAGAAGATGGCTGTAGCGACCGCACCTATGAACGACGGGGACGCCGTATTCCTGCTAGCTTCATTATCCACTTCAGACAACTCGCGAGTGTGGTTCGGCTTCGCGCCCGGTGGCTTGCCAAAGTGCAGCGACTACGGGCCATACGGGAACAGGTACGACATAAGACGACATGCCTGCCACGGCGTCTGGTCGATCACAAGAGCCGGCATCGAGCTTTCCTCAGGCTCGTGCGACAGTGACGAATTGCCAAAGCTCAATCAGTACATTTTCACCTCCAACACCTTCTGGCTCGGCGATACATTCGTCCAAACGCTCATGGAGAACGTCGGCAAGTTCTCAAACTTTACGGGTCCGCGCAACGAATCTCTCTGGAAGAACCCGAGTATGACGGCAGCCATGGCTGGTATCGTCTGGTCCAAGGCAGTCGGTCTCCCGGGAATGAGGTTCAATGACACTCCCGCAACACTCAACGGCCAAGTCGGATGGGGTTGCTGTAACATCACGCTGGGTGACAACGGCTTATTGTACGAAATACCAAACGAGATCGCCATCGTGATTCGACCCACGCTCAAACGTAACTGGCTCCTGTACCTCGTCTTCGCCGTTCAGCCCATCTTGATGGCTGCACTCATGGCCGGATCAATCATCTTGCACTCAGTTCCACTTGGCCAGGGGTTTGGTATGATCTCCATCTTGGCTGGGATGTATCGCAACAGAGACCAGCTGGAGGTCTTTCGCGGTGCGTCGCTTTCAGGGGAACTTCGAGAGGATGTTCGCATAGGCTTTCTGCCCCGTCACTCGAGTGTCAAGGATCAACACTGTTCTATAGAATGCCAGATTGGCAGATCGCGCGATCAGCTTCCTGTGGGGAAGATACGGCCGGGTGTGAAGTACTCGTGAAGGAGGAGGATCGTAAAGGAGATGGCGCATGGACATGAGCGAGGGATGAGGTGGCCATCAGCAGCGCTCTCTTGATCATCGCGAGCCATTATGAGAACAAAAAAGAATGCACATAACACGCGCTAGTCCGGAGATGACACGTGCGTGGCATCTACAGGAGTGAAGAGGAGGAATACCGATGCTGACTTACAAATTTTCAAGGGTTTACACCGCCACTAGGCCGAGAGGAAAGGTCGACTTCACCTCGTCTCCTGAATATACCAAAGAGAAGACGGATATTCCGGGTGAACCCAAGCAGAGTGGTTCATGCATGTAGCAAAGACGAGTCGAGCTCTTCGAGACGAGGGAGGAGGGACACGACTCGGGAGATGGCAGAAGCGGAGAGAAGGAACAGGAGAAACACATATGACGTGAAACTCATAATGAGCTTGCAACGACGGGAGACGTGCATGTAGCGAGGAGTTAGGATTTTCGATCTATGGTTTTTGCAGAACACAGGTTCATGTAGTATACATCTCGAATTACAACAAGCAAAAGAACAGATAATCGGACAGTTCAAATCCATACTTCCTCCTTCACTTGATTGGTATCCCAAATGTCTTCTCTGGCTTCAACCCCTGAATTGCCTGCCTTAGTATCCCTTCCCCTTCGCCCACCGATTCGCCCTCGCCGAAGCTTTCGGTTGTCCAGCCAGCGCGAAAATCAGAATCCCTGCGATCATGAGACAGACCATGAGTAGAGAGTAAAGGAGCGGTTGGATGATGTCGCGTCGAGTGCGTAGGTTCATAGTGGCTGTTGGGTTGGTTGTGTAGGTGGATGCTGGAAAAGGGTTGGAGGGGGTTGAAGATGCTGGATCTTGAGGGGCGGGTGATGGGTGGTGGGTGGTGGAGAGGTGTGTGGTGGGTTATGGGTTGTGGGCTAGGGTTGTGGGCTATATTCATAAGTGATGGGTGGAAGTGAACAATGGGATTGTTCGTGAATGGTTCTTTGTTGTGCTTCCTTGTGTTCAAACAAAGAGTCATTTGACTGGGTAAGACACAACATTGCATGATCTATTCTACAACATCCAATCAATCGCCCCCTAACTCGCTCGCTCGCTCGCTAATATTATACATCGCTCACAGTAACATACACTCGTTAAGGACAGAATTCGCATTCAGTCCTGCAGTCCTCACAGTACAGCAAAAACCTCCGACCTCCTAACTTCCTCCCCACTCTCCACAGCACCCACCTGCACAAACTTCGCCCAGCAAGGCACATTGAACTGCGTCTCAAAACCTCGATAGCCAGTCGTCCCCGTCAACGTAAGACTGTCTTGTGAAGTGCCCACGTAGACATTCCAGCCCGTGACCTCTGTTGCGCCGTTCCAGCTGACGTAGCCATGATATGCGCTCTGTGCACCGCCGTGGCCCCATTCGCCGCCATAGCTGGACGAGCTGGAGCTGCTCGATTGTGTGGAGTTGGCTCGCTCGACGAACAGGCCCGGAGCATCGCTAGGCGTTGCGTGCCAGCCCTTCAGTTTGTAGGCACGATAGATCTGTGCCAAATTATCTGGCGCGATGCGGCCTTCCCAGATGGTGTTGCCTGCTGGATCAAATTCGATCATGCGCGGAAGTTGACCGTAGCAAGCGAATTGATTCCCATTCTCGAGGCGCGGGGTATATGAGCCTTGGCTGTAGGAGATGAGGTCTTCCTGCGTCTGGACTCTGCTGATCAGCTCCGCCTGTGAAGTATTTCCATCGTTCGGCTTCGGGTGGAAGGGGAGTTTGTAGACGAGGAGGGCGGTGGGGATGTTGGCCTGATCCTGGTTCGGGACGTAGTTTTCGTTATCGAACATGGAGATCTCGAGGGTGTCGTTAGTGACATTGTGAGGACGGACGAAGTGTTCCCAGCGGAAGTGGCCGTTGTCTGGGAGAGGGCCGAAGTCGCCGCCGTCGTCGCCCGAGAAGTGCCAGATGATCTCGCCAGTTTTGTCGAGGAGATAGATGGTCCAGAGGTGGCGGCTGTTGAGGAGGTAGTAATCTCCGATGTTGACGACGGAGTTGATGTGGAAGTAGTCGTAGGGAGCGCTGTAGTTCCCGTCGCCGGCGCTGACGTTGAGGGGAAGATGGGACTCGTTGATTGGAGCATGTTCGAGCGAATCCCAGCGGAAGGGAACGTCGCCGGTGGCTGGGTCGAGTTCGTAGAACTGGCTGCTCCAAGCCCAGCCATCTTTGGGGCCACCTTGCGAAGACAGGTCGGCGGGCGTGGCATTGTATGCGGACGAGAGAAGGGTGTTCCGGTCGGTCACGTACGACTCGTGGATATCCGCATCGCATTTGAATGTTCCGTCCGTGGAGTAGTTGAGGGATGGGTAGTTTGGGCAAACGACGGGGCCGACTTGGTACGTCTCGTCGACGAAGGTGACGTTGCCGTAACCGTGGCCGACGTTGGTCCCGGAGGTAGTCTCGCCGCTCCAGTACGTTAGATGGGGTTTACCTGGGAGACAGTTAGTAAAGCACACGCAGTCGCATGGCTTCTACGCACCATTGTAGTCTTGGAACTTGAGGTTAGTGCTGATGCCCCTCGGACCAGACCAGACCAGTTGACCTTTGTCTGTGAAGATCTTGGGTGACGGACGCTTGGTAGTGTTCAACGGGAGCGTGTCAGAGATCGTCAGGAAGATCAAGCCAGGTGCCAGCTCTGCACCAGTCGAATTGATCTCCCACTCTGGTGGAGTCAGAGGCGAAGACTTGAATACTTGATAAGGCCAGAGCCACCCTCCTACCTGGGTGACGTCGTGGTGCTCAACGCCTGGTCCAGGATCTGATGGTGATTGTGGGTTGCAGGTGTTGCTTCCACTACCACTGCATTGAGAGCCGTAGCATGGTGGCGATCCATGTCCTGGGGGAGAGCCAGACCAAGGTGGGGAGCCTTGCCAAGGCTGACCGTTATCAGGAGGTGAACCTTGCCATGGTGAACCTCCACCGTAGCCAGGCGGCCCGTTGGCAATAGGGCTGGCGAGTGTTCTCGATGTGAGTATGAGAGTGATAAGATACGAGAGCATCTCTTTCAAGTAGATCAGACGATAAAGTTGGATGGAATGAGAAGGCACATTACAGGGTAGCTGAAAGCTCTTATATGTAAGAAGTCTTCTGTTCCGCTGTTTCAACCTGGCAAAGTATGATGGCGTTGCTCACCTACCTATGCAGAACCTGTGCCACGAACGAATCCTGTTGCTTGACACGGTCTCATCGTTCCTGGCCGATCGATGTCAGAACGGCTCCGAAGTGTCCGTGTGCGCGTTTACAGCATCTAGTGCGAGGGAATGCGGTGTCGACAGAGACCGATCCGACAGCAGCGAGATTGGAGTTGGAACGATGTGTGGCTTCGAAGAGGCAGTGAGGATTGCAGGGCTGGGCCTCTCAGGAGCGAGTTTGAACCATGGGATTGCTTCGATATCCCGCTTCATGCGCTGGAGAAAGATAGGTATGCGTACTATGACGGAACTGCCACCAGTGACCAGGCTGCTGCGTTGCTGTTCGGGCCCAGCCATGAGCGGTCGGTCGGTGTTGATCATTGAATCGCACCTTGATTGTGTTTCGGAATAGTGGAGGTTTTGGGGCCAGAAATGGTTTGGTATGCGCCTCAAATCGAGCAGATTGGACTCGACGTCAGAGTCCCTATGCTGACGAAGCAGGAAACCCTGAGCTTTGAGGGATACAAAGAGGTAGTAGGACCTCAGCTGGCTGAATAGGCCGCGCCGGATACTGCCGAATCCTTCAAATGCGTTCGCTTAACCAGAAGAGGTTTAGTGTGCGTGATGAGTGAATGAGTCTGAGCGTCGCATTTTTAGCACTGTGCCTGGTGACGGTACGCCATCTGCAGCTGAAAGAAGAATTCCATGATGCCGGCCATTGCCCAAGTCATTGTAGACAAGCAATTTGCCGCATGAAATAGAAGGCTAGATGTCCTGTGCTCACTGATGTTCCCTCGGAGCCCGCTCAGGCATGTACTTGAAGCGCTACGAAGCAAGGCGATGTATCGCTGAAGGCCTCTGCACGAGCCTACGGTATTGAAGGTCCAGACAGCATAAGCTGCTCGCATGGAGCTGGGTAGGATTGTGAGTCCTTTCCAAAATGCTGATCCATCTGCAAAGGCATGATAAAGTGGCCTGAATATGCAGGTTTCAGATTCCACCATCATGCGTGCGGAAATGAAAGTCTTCGTTCAAGGTGTCGGATCCGGGTATACTTTCACGACATATCCCTTGCCTCCAGTCGCAGTTCTGCGGGAATTATAGGTCTGGATCTCCACGCACCAGGTAGGGCGTCGCTGACGACTGGCAGGTGGGGTGTATTGGTAATATGAGGAGGCAGGACATGTTGACACCATTGGATCATAGTCAAATGTCACCGGTTTCTGGGGATATCCGATCCCCTGCTGAGAAAGAGCAGCCGCTGATGAACAAGGCCATTTCCTTCTGGGAGTCTGAGCCAAATGGATGCAGATCCTTCATTCGACTTCACGATCCACATACGTGCTTCCATGCAAAGAGGCGTCTGGCTCCTAGGTATCGTCGCAGACAAGCCCAAGATGACCAGGCGGACCAAAACATGTCATGACCGGACCGCGTGGACACAACAAAAGGCATCACGGATGGATGGATGTATCGTCAGAAATATTTCCTCCCTCTCCACGTACGGACGAAAAGGCAGGGGTAAGCAGACGTGTTATCATCAATCTGCCCTTCCATTTCCCCTCTATTTGACCGTGGGTGCAGTAGCGGTAAGCAGAGTGAATAGGAAGGGCGTCGTTTTCATGGGGAGAAGAAGAGGGAGAATTTCGAAGCGCGACGCTGAGGTTGAAGGCGGTCATGGCACGTGCCTCACGCCAAGACGTTAAGCGGGGCGGGCAGAGCGAATGGAAGGCGAGCAGTTGACGGCCTTCACGAGCGAATAAGGGAAGCACAGTTGGTAGTGTGACTCTTTCGCGGCCCAACACTGCCCGGAATATTCACCTACAACTCGGCCTAAGAGTGGCGACTGATATATACGCGTGACTCGACCCTCGCTCAACCCCCTCCGAAAACACCGCACTTCAAAAGCCTGCCTTTCTCCTGCAACGACCCCGCCATACAAGCGCCTTGACCGTTATCGACACCCACCACCGCCAACATGTCTAGCAGAGGCCGAGGAGGCAAGTTCCAGAAGGCCAAGCGAGGAGGTACGTACATTCAAATCGCCCACCTCGACTCATGCTGATTTGTACGAGGCGGCCGCAACTTTAGCAAGAACCTCCGCCCCCTCGACGCAGATGGCGGGGAGCGCAGCATGTGGGCTGAGCCAGTCGAGGGCGACAGCGACGACAGCGAGGAGGAGTCTTCGGAAGAGGAGTCGGACGATGAGGATGGCCCAGCAAAGCCAGCGCAAGAAGACATGACCCGTGAACAGCGCCGCGCAGCAGCAAAGGCGAAGAAGGAGGCCGCGATCAAGAAGAAGCAGGGCACAGCACAACCAGGAGATCTCCCCCCAAGCGACTCCTCGGAGGAAGAAGACGACGCTGACATGCCTGCGAATCCAAACCATAGCACGGCGGCGAGGAAGCAGGCTGAGAAGCCCATCGAGCCAGCAGGTGAGCGCAAGATTGTCAAGAAGACCGACGATGTCAGCCAGCTTTCACGGCGCGAGAGGGAGGCTCTGCAGGCTCAGCAAGCCAAGGAGCGGTATCAGAAGATGCATGCTGAGGGCAAAACGGATGAGGCTCGTGCGGATTTGGAGCGTCTCAAGCTTGTGCGACAACAGAGAGAGGAGGCCGCTGCGAGGAAGGAGGCGGAGAAGGCGGAGAAGGACATGATCGAGAAGGAAAAGAAAGAGCAGATGGCGAGATTGGAGCGACAGCAGGCCTTGAAGGCTGCGAGAGGCGGACGTGGCGGAAAGAAGGGAGGCAAGGCTTGAGGTTGTTATTGCGACTTTACGGGCGTGGCCGAGGAGACTTGCATATTGCGTCGCGGAAGTCATAGATGCATGGTATGGAGTCTGCTTGAACGATATCAGGATTATGAAACAATTCAACATGAGCGAGCATGTCTTGGCAATAGTTCCACTGACTGATCTTCACTAATGGCAGCATCTACGTTCCGCAGACATCTTGGGAAACCTGACCACCAACACCAACTTCGTCAAAACCGCGAGGGGAGTGGATACGTCCATGGACTCAAGCTGGTTCCGAAATACTTCGAGTTGCTATAGTAAGCAAGACAGCTAGCCCCTGCTCTCATTGACGCACGTCGAACCTCAGCTCTTGGCGGAAGCAGTATATCAACATCTCCATCTGGCAAAAATGCGAAGAACGACACCTCGACCCGAGCAACCAAAACCACCGACCTCACACCCCACCCCACCATCATCAACGCACCCCCAAAACCACAAAAATGGACCCCACCCAAATGCCCCCCGAATGGTTCACACTCCCCTCCTTCGCCTTGCACGTCACCATTCACATCGCCCCCTCGAACGTCGAGAAATTCTTCGCCGCCATGAAACCCGCCTTCGAAGCCTGCGCCAACGAGCCCGAATGCCTGTATTTCGAGATTTTCCAGGATCCTGTAGATCCGGGGAAGATCAGTTGGGTGGAGAATTGGAGTAAGGGGTTGGAGTGGTTTGCGAAGGTGAGTCTTCCGTAGGCAGGCCAGGCAAGGGGAGGGGGGAGAGGATGGGGATTTCGTTGTTGCGAGGTGAAGGCTGACGGGTTGATTGTAGCATCAAATGACGAAGGAGTATTATAAGCCTTATTTGGAGGCCACGGAGCCGATGTTTATTAAGCCGAGGGAGTTTAAGGTGTTGAAGAGGGTGGAGGGGTTTGTTAGTTCGAAGAAGGGGAATTTTCAGGGGGCGCTTGCTGGGGAGTATAAGAACTAGGCCTTGGGGAGCGAAGAGTACTTGAGGGTACGTCTATATCTATGGCTAACAGTGACAGACATTTTTTGACTCTACTTGCGAGGTACCAGTTCCATTCCCTCTTCACAAGGTATATCTAAAGTTGACATGAAAGTCACACTCCTCCTCCAACGTCCGTTCAAGATGCGGATGGGCCTCTCCGCGCGCAGCATACTCCTCGAGGATTCGATCGCGCTTCCTGTTCAAGTGCCTGAAAGCTATCATCATAGCCACGGCGACGATGATAGCGAGGACCTGAAACGCAAGCACCGTAGAATGACCAGTGATGAACCGCGGACTCCCCTTCCCATACAACTGAATACCCATAATCGCAAAAGCCTGAGCAAACACCTCGGCCAGCGCCCACGTCGACGCACGCTTCGTAAATCCGGCATTGTTGATCCCGAGCCATGCGACTCCCAAGACGATGCTCGTATACGTCCCGCTGATGATGAGGCATGCAGCGACCATGCCGGCGAGGGCTGTGTGATCTGTGAGGAGGACGATATATCCCGTCGCCGACATTGCGAATCCGCATACCATGAACGGGCCTTTGAGGTTGAGTTTGTCGCTGATGTAGCTGATTGTGAGCATGGCGGCGAAGGCGAAGGCGTAGGGGATCACGGAGAAGAGCTGGGCGTTCACGTCGCTGTATCCTAGTTGTTTGATGAAGGTCGGGAGGAAGACGCCGGTGGTCGATAATGTTAGGCCTGTTGCGCTGTTGAGCAAGGCGAAGGAGTAGCTTTTTGGATCGGTGAGCGTGGTCCAGACTTGGCGCCAGGATGTCTTTGCTCCTTTGGTGTTCCAAGCTGTCAAACACGTGTTAGCTTTGATGACTTGCCTAAGGCTGGGAGGAAACTGTGGCCTTACCAGCTGTTCGTTCCAGCACAAGCTGGATCTCCGCCTGACTGAATAGCCAGTGCTTGGTATGCTGGAGACGATCAGGGTAGCGAGGAAGTAACGCTGCCGCAACCAACCCGAACGCAATCGCGATGACTCCTTCGATCAGGAAGAGCCACTGCCAGGGAGCACGGCCACTGTTACCAACGGTCAATGTGTCTCCAACGGCATACGCAATCAGCCCACTGAAAGCTCCGGCAAGCGTAGCGGATGAGAAGATGATAGCTAGAGATCTCTCAGTAACAAGGCTGGACGAGGCTATTCCCAAAGCCAACTTACCACCCCGAAACGCAACCTCTCGCCTCGTATACCACAAAGTCAGATACAATCCCGAGATCTGCACGAACGCCTGACCAACCCCAACGAGAAATCTCAGCGCATACAGCGTCGACAAATTCCTCGCCGCAGACATGGCACAGACGAAACTTCCAAACGCGGCGGTGGCAAACCCCAGCTGGAGGTACGCTGGCACGGCTCGCATGAAAACAGAGCCGGGGAACATGAAGACGATGCATCCAACGACTGTGCGGCATCGATGAGAAAGAAAGTCGTCTTCAATGGCTCGACGTCTACGTACAGAAGAGATATCCAGCTGTGGCGAATTGTTGATTGGAGAATTCGAGGGACTTCTAGAGGCCTAGGATTCGAGCATTTCCGAAACTGTTTCGGTCCTGTGCAATACATTATGAATTTAATCATCCGATTTATCATGGAGTTCATTTGGATGTGGCTCACCAAATAAGTCACGAAGAAGATCAAGGCCCACAGTGGCAGAATCAGCAAATCTTGCTTCAAGAGTAGTCTTCTTTCAGCGAGCGTTCGAGCTCGTTGGTTTGTGAGCGGGTTTTGGAGTGAGTAGCCTGGTGCGCTGGTGATGGTGAGGTCGAATCGTTCGTGCGATGCAATGGACTCGAAGGGCGTTTTCTTTTGATTCGGGGTGGACGACATGGTAAGTGAGAGAACTGTTCAACGATCACCTCGAATTGAAAGGAGCAAGAGATTCAATCTGTGGCATGCATCAAGAACAGACTACCTCATTACTTCCCTTCTGCCTGGCCAAGAGCGACGTATATCCCCTCCATGCTATCACGACCAATCCCTCCCTTCAGCCTCACCGTCCACCCCCCAACACGCCTAATCAAAGCAGGTAGGCCTATCCCCCTCCATCTCGCTCAGTGACGACTAGCTTTGCAGTAGCCGCATACTAGCGACACCCGTCCCTATGTTTCAAGTTTCTCCGTGGCCTGACACATCACTAGCGATGGAGCCTCGACTTACTTATCACTGCTGCATTGATGGGTTCGACTTACTCATCATCGACGGGCTGGAGTTACTTACTCATCGGTTGCACATGTCAGCGCCGAGGCTGCCGGCGCTAAGGGGCTAGTGGGGAGTTTGTTGGCTTGTATGGTATTTCGCGTGTGATGTATTTCGTGCTTGTACTGTGACTGCTGAGTTGATGTTGATGTATGTGTGTATGGTCTTCTAAGGCAACCGCTGTCCCTCTGCCCTTCTTAGAGCCTTAGGGTTGGCGCATTCGAGGAATGTGTGACTTGCCCTGATCGCAAGAGTCCAACCTCGAAATCTCGATCAACGTCTGTAAGATGCCCTGAATCCATCGTCGTAATGCAGGTGTATCTTCGCCGAATCCTAGTCTCGAGGTGCTTCGCTACGCGATGCTCGAGGCTCCACAGATCACGATCTTGCCGATACTCATCGCCGTCCTCCCAGTTTCGCTTTTTGGTGGATGTTGGAAGGTAGTGAGACCAAAAAGGGCACGATCTTGGGGCTATGCACTGACCACACGAGCATGCTGCCAAGAAGCATGTGATAGTCCGTTTTCTGCAACTCCCTTTCGTCATATCGCTGACTCCCAGCCCCATGCCTCGCCAATGCAGTCGATGACTCTCTCGTCCTCGTCATGCTTCCTTGCATGATATCCGAAGACTTTGCTATGACTTCTGTTGCTTTAATGATGATGGAGTTGAAGTGTCGTCTGTGTCTTGCCGCTTCCGCTTCTTACTTGGACACGGAGCATCCTTCTCGTGGTGATGGTAGTCGCAGTAATCGACTTTATCAATGGCTTCCGAGCCGGCCGACTGGCTTTTCAGAGCAAAATTCTCCTCGATCAAAGCTTTGGCAAGGCCAACGACGAACTGCTCGTTCTCGACTGTGCCATAATATTCGACACTGACCGGATCTTGGATCCAGACGTAGGTGTCGACAACAGCCCGCCTCAATGGCCAGTCTGGCTCGGTGATATTATAAACCCGTTCGATTTTTTCGCGACCAATTGTGCTGCCGCCATGTTCCAAGTATAGCGCCAAGATGACGCTCACGATGGCGTCCATGGCGGCAGTATCGTCCAAAACTTGGCAGAGTTCGTAGAGGTCGATCAAGCTGCCCGTGTCCGTGTTGTCGTTGTCGTCCATGCACGGAAGCTTTCCAGAGTAGATGTACTTCGTGTATGTTTCGAAAGCAGTGAATTTCACTTGTTACAAAATGTATACTCCTCCCATGCCGGGCCCACGTGTTTGGGTTTTCAGCGTGCGGAAGTAGGGTGCTCTCTGGAGAAGCAATTCCAGGTGTATGTAGAACATCTTAGGCCCTCCACCACCGACGTGGACTGCGGCCATTTTGCCCAGGGCCCTGGTTTCAATCAGCATTCGAAGACGATGAGGTGATCTAGTGGTTCGCACCATTGACCGTCTTGCTTAGGCGCTCTGATGTCTTCCATGTCTGGCATTTTGTCGAGGTCGGAGTCGGCATGTTGAATGAAGGTATGGCTGAACATCGAAGGTCGCGAGTGTCTGTTCGTCAGATGGTCAATAAAATAGCTAGATATGCCGCAACCGCACAGACCACGGCTCTCGTGCTGCCAAGAAACATGTGACAATTCTCCATGTGCAAATCTATTCCACTCTATCAGCAATCTCGAGCACATGGTTCGCTCAAAACATTATATGAACGCTCCACAATGACAACACACACATGCAAAGCCCATCTCATCCACCGCCCCCCTACAACGAACTCCTAACCTTTCCCGTCCCCTCAACCATCTTCCTCAATCCCTCCAAACAAACCCTCAACTCCCCCAAATTCCTCGCTGTAGCAAAAACATAAAAGTCTGGCCTCACAATCGCATACCGTGTGTCCTTGCCCAAACGTTGCTGGAAAGCAGCCACATCGTAGCTTCTTCGTGCTTGGCCGTGCGTGAGATCGTTCAAAGGTGTTGGGCTGATTTTTCTGATTTCAGGGGCGGCGAAGGAGCCGATGCTTTCGGGTGGACAGGGGCTTGTGCTCATTGCGATGATGGAAGTTGGGGAGAGGAGATATTCGGGGATGGAGGCGTCGGAGAGGAGGGTCTTGAGTTCGTTGATGGAGGTAGAGGGGGCTTTGGTGCCTTGCTGGAGGGATAGGAGGCGTAAAGGTGAGTCGTTCGCTTCGAAGATCGTGTCTGAAAGGGCTTTTCTCGAGGACAGGCTGTCGACGTATATCTGTGGTAGTTTGCATCCGCCCTCATGGTCGTTGAGAAAGAAACCGCCTTTTACTCCCTGGAATCCCCTCTGCTCCGCTTTTGCCTGTGCATCGTTGAAACTGTGCGTGCCAAGGAAATTCTGTGTAAACCACTCCATAGCTTGGAGTACGGGGAAGATTAGGGGCTTGCGGTTGTTGCACAGCATGCCGTTCATTTTGGTGAAGGTCGCGGCGTCCTGGATGCCTTTAGTTCGTTCTGCTGCCCAGGCGTCGAGCATTGTTTGACAGAGAATGTCCGAATGTTGTGGTTGTTTTTCGAGAGCGGCGATTCTCCAGGCTAGTTGATGAGCGTCGCGGATGCCGCTGGCGATGCCTTGGCCGCCGAAGGGTGGGAACTATTCCTGTTAGTACTACTCACACAGGTTCCAGGTAGGTTGGGAACATACCACATGAGCAGCATCCCCAATCAGGACGCTCTTCTTATGATGCCACTTATTGACAACTTTGTGCGCAAAAGTAAACGGCCTGCACCGTAAAGTTTCAATGCAATCCCTCGGAAATGTGACAGCCTGACCAAAACGCCTTCCTTGCGAATCTTGACTCCTCGTGATCATGGGTGTAAGATGCTCCCACAACAACTCATCCGCATCCATCGTCTTCTCATTCCAATCCTCCTGCCTGAATTCATGCCGCCAGAAACGTCGCTCAACCGGACCAAATCGACCAGTAGCGGTGGGCTTACCCGGGGGGCTGCAGAAGTGCCAACCAGCAGGCCAGAACAGATCGTATACTTCTTCGGGCGTCATGCCTACTTTCCACGCAGGGAAGTCGGGATGTGTCTCAGGTGTCGGTAGCGAGATGTGCAGGTTGGCAGCTACCCACGTCCCTTCATATTTGTATTCTTGTTCGACTTGTCGGATGTCTGCCACGGGCTCGAGGAATGTCTTGCGGACGACTCCTCTCTTGCCATCTGCGCCTATTAACCAGGCTGTTTGGAGTCGTCGGCTGGTCTTGTCGGGGCCGATATATTCGATCTCGACCAAATCGTCAACCTCTCGTATCTTATGCACGTCGCAAGCTGTTCGTAGGTCGCAGAGCTTGCTTGCATTGACTCTTTCTCGAAGAGCCCTCTCTGCAGCATACGATTAGTTCTGCTACGTACCAGCAGCATGCTGTATGAGAGCGCCTTACCAAGCTCCGGTTGAATCATGAACATCCCGACCGGGACAGCCTGTTGGAGAATATCTCCCGACAACTCGACGCTGTAAAATGGCACGTTCACGAAGTTCGAACTATGGAAGTTGAAAGTGTCTGGTGTATGTCCTATTTGGGGCATGTATGGGCCGAGACCTAAACTCCAGACGATGCGGATGGCATCGCCGGCTAGGTAAACGCCTCTTGGGTCTCGGTTGATTTCTGTCTCTTTTTCGAGGATGATACTCTGTGGTAGTGAATATTAGTTCGCGAATGTTCAAAGGTGCTGGACCATGAGTCTTACCGAGATGCCCTGTTGCTCGAGAGACAATGCCAGGACGAGACCCGCGGGCCCAGCTCCAATGATCGTAACTCGTGCTTGTTCCATGCTCGACTCGAAGGTTGTTAATTGTGTGTAGTGAGAAGCTCTCAGGCAAGCTGTTCAATGAAAATATATTTATCAAACATGTCAGCACTCGACATCATTGTGACTAGCCTGTCCCGCATGGCTATTATTGTAGAGCTGATGCTCCAAGGTGGAGACGATCCGTCCCACATACCACATGCCACATAGCATACCGTTCCTAGAGCTCCATATAGGCTAGATCGTCGCAGAACGGAGGACCCTGCTACACTGCCTCGACATACCGAGCCAAGTAAGAGAACGCCACATGGAGAACCCCAACTTTCCTCTTCTAGCACTCCTCGTTCCATCGTTCAAATTAACAGCCTCTTCGTTCCGTCCTCACCGAAATCCTTCGGCAGCTCAGGACCCCAAACCGACAATGGTCCCACGACGTCACGTTTAGTTGGCGTGTCTTCATTGACAACATCTCCATCTGCATAGTGCTCGATTTTGAACCCACTAGGGTCTTGCCAATAATCGAATATCTGGCTCCCGAGAACATGTCTTCCTACTCCCCAGACGCTCTTCCAGCCTTTCTTGGCCAGCCACTGATGGCCGATCAGCTGTGTGTCGAAATCCTCAACTTCGTAAGATGTGTGATGAACATATGTCTTCTGGACCTCTGGAGGCGCTCGCTGCATGAAGAAGACGTGGTGGTCTGAGAATTGTTTGCCCAAGTCGAGGTGCATGAATGTCATAACGTCAATGTTGGAGAAGTCCCAGTGGTAGAGGATGTCTGACGGTACAAAGTTGAAATTGTCCGTATACCACTTCAGCTCTTCATCGAATTGGCAGTGGACGTAGCCAAAGTGCCCCAGCTTGTGGATCAGAGCTGGGCCATCATGAAAGCGTTGAAATCGGCCTTGTCGTGGCTTCTCGAACGGCGTGTTAAGCGGTCCCAATTCTTCGTGTGTGGCTGTCGGAGGCGACGAAGCATTGACTTCTCTCTCAGCTTGTCCATAAATTACATGGAAGAAAGTGTTGTCCGCGCGACTGAATGTGATGATTTGGCCGCCGCCAGGAGAATCGCTCAAAGATTGAACTTCGGCTCCTGGAATTGCTTTGGCTTTCTCGAACTCCTTCTCTGAGTTCGCGACAAATGCGGGTCCTTTGAAGCGCGGAGTGCCATCTTTTGACTGAGAAGCGACGTAAATGTATTGATCTTTGCCGTAGCCGCGATAGTAGACCTTCGCGTCTTCCCGTTTTGCGACTACAAATCCGAAATCGACTGCGAACTTGTCGAATTGATCGAGATCTGTATGCTCGACGTATACATGGCCAAGTCTGGCGAGTTGAACCTTCGCCGGGTTGTTTGCGATCTCCGGAATTCGCATATCTGGGACTATCCGCTCGCGGATCCAACGCGGAAGTTTGCTGACAAAGTTGAGGATGATGGTGAGGATGATGCGTTTGATACCCATCTCTCGACGGGCGGAGACGTGCGTGAGACCGCTTAGGGTCCCCAAGGAGGATATGGCTGGTGTTCATCTATCCATAGTCATAGTGGGACCGTCACCAGCTGAGAGCAGGCTCGGTCCCACAGTTGTCACAGGATACTTGAGTCCGACAACTTGATGACCCGTTTCCGGTATGCTCTGCGCTCGTGTTCCTGGAAGACGACCTCAAGTGCCCGAAAATGCCGAATGTATCTTGTTACACCCTGATAGAATAGACGACCAGGAATAAACATGCTGGTCAGTCGATTGGTGAGCTGTGGGACCGTCAATTCCTCAAAATATTTGCACCTTCCACAGGATTCGTGCAGCTGCTCGTTCAACAACATGTCCGAATTTGATGCTCTCGTCAAGTTCGCTTGCGAAGAAAATGGTAGAGTGTACTTCGCTACCATCTCTACCGACCAAGATGGCAAGGCACGAATTCCAAAACCCGGAAGTAAGGTAGATGGCTACGCTTCCATCGGCGACTTGCGAGAAGGACGCGATGCAACAACTGTCACCATCAAGAATGTCAGTACTACTGTCCATCATTTTCGGTCACTCACCGACTGTTGCAGCTACTCGGGCCACTGCCCTCCATTGACGTGCCAATCTACTGCGTTGGCCTGAACTATCGTTCACACGCCAAAGAAGCAAATGTTGGTATGCCACGACCCCCGACATGCAGCAAGATGTTGACGTATGCTCAGCTTCCGTTGCCAAAGTATCCTCCTCTCTGGACCAAGCCGGCATCTTCTCTTGCCGATCCAGGGGAGTCAATTCCCATCAACAAATTCTGTGCCCTCAGCCTATTCGACTTCGAGGGAGAGCTCGTGTTTGTCACCTCCAAAGCATGCAAGGATGTGACGCCGGAGGAGGCGGAGTCGTATATCTTGGGTTACACTTCTGGAAATGACCTGTCTTGCCGATATTTCCAGCTGCCGAACAACTCGGGCGGGCAATTCTTCTACGCCAAAGCCTTCGACAGGTTCGCTCCCATGGGACCTGCCTTGATAAGCGCCGACCACTTTCGTGCAACTGGGGCGGGACGACGTCTCATCACGAGAGTCAATGGCAAGATAGTGCAAGACGTTGAGATTGCAAAAGACATGCTTTTCACCCCAGCCCAGATCCTCAGTCATATGAGCCAAGGTAAGCCTCCTGATGTGGTATTTGTCCGATCGGCTAACAAATGGTCACTAGGCACAACGATACCGGCTGGTACGGCTGTCATGACAGGCACGCCTGCCGGAGTGGGTGCTTTCCAGAGCCCCAAATCTTTCCTGAACGATGGAGATGTGATTGAAGTGGAAATCGACCAGCTCGAGACTCTTCGGAACGTGGTTAGGTTCGAGAAGTAAGTGCACCTAGCAGAGATGGCCAATTCGTATCTGGACCTGTATCAACAGTGACTTTGGCCAGTCTCGCACTGTGGCATCGCCTGTATCTCAGCGTGCTCGGTCTGGCGCTAAGGCTGTTCACATAGACGCTTTCAACGCTCGACAATGAAATCTGGCGTCTTGTGATGGGCATGTTCACCGTGGATATGTTCTTGGAGAGTAGTTGTTCTAGCTTTTGAAAGGGGTCGTGAAAATGGTCTAGCTCAAATTGCTGTGATTGGTCAACGATCGTCCCACACTTCTCCGCAGCTAGGGCCACTTTCAACCTCACTTGCCTCATCTCGTCGTTGCTCGTCCCACGGTCTTCACTCACCTGTCTCGCCAGCCTTGTACACATTATCAATGATCATGAGCTCGCGCAAAGGACAAGCGGGCGGCACATGCGAGTATTGTGGCAATACTTACAGCAAACGGGAGCATTACCAACGCCACGTGCGCACTCATACTCGTGAACGCCCGTACTCTTGCGACCTATGTTCGGCTACTTTCTCTCGCAAGGACACGCTCCATCGCCATGCTCGGGCTCGACATCCAGAGGCTGGTAGTCCATCGCAACCCGCAGATAGAGAGATAGGCCATGGCCCACCAGATAGTATGCAATCTTTACAAGATGGCCTGCAGACGCCGCCTCACACCGACCACACCTTTGACCATTCCATGAGCACCAACCCCGATTTCGGGTCGATGTCATTTTCGCTAAACTCGAGCATAGACCCCTGTTCTACCATTTTTGACTGGCCGTGGGACGACTCCATGAACTTGGATCCGTCATTCTCGTTGGAAGGCCTTGGGACATACGATCTCAACACAGCGTCGCCCAGTATTCCTTGGCTACCTTTACGTTCGGAGGCCGAGCGCCCATACGAGAACTCCCAGCAGGAGGCATTGCGACCTCCTTCGACTATGGCTCAGAGCTGGTTTACTAGCATGTCGACGTCGAAGTATCCCCTTCAGCCGTGGGCGACCCCAACCACCTCAGACGCAGCCGGGGATGAGATTTCTCGAGATGCGCTTGCCGACTCACTGCAACAGCGTGTACCGGACACAACGCTACCGCCAACTCAATTTCTCAATCGATGTCTCCACATGTTCACCACACGGCTCTGGCCATTGATACCGATTGTGCATTTGCCGACTTTTGAGCCTGCTCGCACGAATCCGTTACTATTACTGTCAGTCTGCTCGCTCGGTGCCCTTGCAATAGGGTCGGAAGAAGCCTTGTACCATGGAGAACGACTGTTCGACGGAGTCCAGAAAGCAATACTAGTCTCCTTCGCTCCCAACAGGATTGCAGATGAACATTCCTTGGCGATTCTACAAGCTGCGATGATTGGACAAACATACGCTATACTGTCTGGCTCCGCCCCTAATCTGCTCACTGCCCAGTGTTTCCACGGAACGATGGGAGTCGCAGTCCGCACTTTCTATGATCAATGGGCCAGCCCCAAAGACTCCTCTGCGATCTTAGACGATCAGCCATCTGCAGCTGATTGGGAGCCATGGATTCGTGAACAAACCGCGATACGCCTTCTCAATTCCATTTTCGTGCATAACGGTGAAGTTTTCGCAACGGTTCACCAGCCCGCACTTCTACGGGCTCATCCGTTTCAGGTTCGACTCGCTGCAGATGACAAACTTTTTCTGGCCAAGACCGCTGATGAATGGGTATCATTACGGGCTCGCCACGCGGAGCATCACCCAGAGCCCCATTCATTCTTCTCCAGCTGCGCTTCACTGGATTGCTTTGTGGCGGAGATATATCACCGGAAGACTGGTCCGTTCAGCAGAACGCATACCGAAGCTGATGACGAGATCCAATCCTCACTGATAACGTGGTTCAATGAATCAGCACAGCTGATCAATTTGGATGGTGCGAGGAGACTATCGCTTCTGATGCTCTGGCACTCATGCTTCGTACTCCTGTTGTCAGATCTGGACGTTTTCGAGCGTGTCTGTGGCAGAGATGGGCCAAACATCTCGCAGGACGATACCGCTACTCTGCAAGCATGGATCCCGACACCGCATGCAAAACGATGCGTCATTCACGCACTGTTGATATACATTCTTCTCGAGCGTTTCCGTGTCTCCGAAGTCCCTGCCATCCACGTTGCGAGGGTGTCATGGCAAGCTGGGCTGGTGCTGGCGATTTACTCATTCTTTGCCGGAAGTGAGCAAAGCATCAACCTTACAGATACTGTCTCATCGTGTCGTGCACTAAAGGCCGTTCGAAGGACATCGCTATTCACACAAGGCGATTGGGTCACCGTCGAGCAATGCGCAACACCGGAACGATGTAGGACGTCTGCATTCTCTCTGTCCGCGACTCTCCGACATCTTGGACCTTGGCAGAATGGAGCTCGATATGCGAAGACTCTTGACCAGATCCTGCACCTTTTCGAACCTCATTGATAAGACAATATCAGCCGGCCACCGGTATGAGGCAACAGGTACGTGTGTAGACATTACAAATGCTAAATACATTGAACCCTGACAGGTCTTGTAGCTTAAAGCAGAAAAGTATCTAAATTCCTGGTGGGACTTGTTCACATGCTTGGGTCATCTCCACCTTTTGAGCTTACTTCGTTTACGCGTACATTCTCTCCTCACACAGACTACTTGTACCCTCTGGTCCCCCAGGTCCCTCACTGTGCTGCTAATCCTCCTGCGACTTCTATTTGACCAGCGCTAGCCCCACGGATGATGGACGATACCCTCCAGAGCGCTTGTCGACAGTGGATCGATCGCCCTTCGCATGGCGAGCAATAGCTTCGCCCACCCGAGCGAGATCATCAGATTCTGAACATCATCCCCAGAACTTGCTACTGTACCAGGCCACTGGCAGCTTCTTCGGGGGTGCTGTTCGTGGGAATGATGATGAGAGAGGATCGAATTACTTCACCTCCTCACCTGAAACGCAGCCTGTTCTCGCGGTGAAACTGCGCCTCTCCCGCTATCTCGGCGTTGATCTGATCCTCCACCTCTTCACGCACACCGCGTGGCTCGCGCCCACGGACCGCAAACATATAGGCTCGATACCAGGCCTCACCTTGCAAGTTACCAAGGGCCCACATCAGGTCTGGATAAGGCCTCGTCGGTGAGGCTGCCTGCGGAGGGGTGAAGCGCTGGCTGCGCAAGCGATCCTCACCGCGCAACAGTGCATCCCCACCGGTCGACGACGCTCGTCGCATCCCATGGTATCCATCAGTGGCTTGGAAGGGACGAGCTCGCGCGGGGATGAATGGCGATGGGGCTTCGGCGGTGGGAAGAGTCTCGCTTTCAGGAGGCTCGGCGGTGGGAGTCCCGCTTTCAGAGGGCTCGGCTACGGTGGTGCCGCTGTCGATTCTGCGCACCTTTAAGGGGATCCCTTCTCCTTCCTCATCACGAGCGCGCTTGACTGCCGTGCTCTCCCCATGGCGATCCGAACGAACATATGCGCCAGCACTGCCGCAGGCATGGACTTGCAGAGTGCAATCGAGACAAACGCAGTACTGGTCATATGTGCACATGGGCTCACTCACATCTCTGGCGGCAGTGTGCTCGCCTTGGATGGGTTGAGGATCAGCATCACCGGCCAAAGAAGCGCTCTCATCTGAGACCTCCTCAAGGTCCGAGTCCTCCAGCTCCGTCGTATCTCCGTCAAGGTCATCCGAGCTCACTTCGCCAGCCGAGTCCGGGGTTCTCTCCTCTCCGTTGGCACGGACAGTGTCAACGATGTGGTCCTTGCGACCAAAGACAGGAGCAGAACGGTGGGGATTGCCCCCGGCGGACATCTTGCGCAGGGTGAAAGCGCCCTCATAAACCTCGGCCGACTGCAGCTTGGAGCCGCCCTCGAGGGCGCGCTGGACCTGATAATTGTACTCCTCCAGATCCTCAGGGGTCCAGTTCCTCGCGAGAATCATGCCAGAGCGCCCCTCGCGCGCAGTGGCGTGGTATGGCTTACCCATGTGGTAGACCGGGTTGTTGAGGGTGTTCTCCTTTCACTTGGATTAGCTCTATACCGCTACGGAGGCGGATGGGTCACCCACGAATATGTTAGTCCGCTGCCTGCGGTACCCAGCAACGTAAGACCTTCGAGCCGCAGCGCGGGCGCGCCTGTTCTGCTCGACCTCCGCTATGGCCGCTTCACGCTCAGCGTTCTCTTGGGCCACACGCTTGGCCTCCTCAGCGCGCTGTTGGCGGATTTCCTCCTACAATGCCACTGTTATCACGGGGACATCAACAAGATTGAAGCAAGGTACTTACCGCTTGCTTCTTCTCGCGCTTCTCCTGCAGGCGGTTGCTCCTCTTCACTGGCTCCATGGTGAGGTGAGGTATGTCAACAAAGCTGAACAGTTGGAATGTTGGATGTATCTCCGAATGAAGGTCAATGGCTATGCTGCTGATGCAACGATCGATACAACGGCTGTTCAGAGATTTCTGGGGATAGAAGGAGGAAAGAGAAAGAGGACTACGGGTGAAGTGTCTTTTGAAGGGGCTTCCAGGAGGGCCACGAGGGGATGGCACAACACCCCCCGATAACAACAACATCTGGCCGCGCACGCCAGAGGGCAAGAGGCGCACCAGAATGGACTCACGCAGATGTTGGCAACTGGAGCCTTTGGGCGCTATTGTCTGAGGTGAAATGATTACCAGCAGCCACACCCCGATCCTGAGGCCATATCTCACGCTGATGGAGCATTACATTTGCAATGAATGGCCTACACGAGGAGAAAGCTAACGAATGTGCACGATTCTAGATCTCGATCGCTGAGATCTCTTGGGAGCATGTCGACATGAGGAAATCAGTTGAGAAGCGGCTGCAAAGGCTACCTGAGGCGCACCTCGTAGCAGCATGACAGCCTCCACCTGGACGAGTGAGAAGAAGAGGAATAACGAAAGAATTCCTGCTTATCACAAGAGGACGATTCGCCAGACGCTTCGATGCATCATCGAAAGCTCGAATCCAGGCCTTGATCGCTGCGTGGTTGACGCATGAGAAGTGGAGGGTGTGGTTATGGGCACCGAAGTATGAGAGGGCGGTGAGAGATTAATGGTCGGCGTACCCTGTAGAAAGGACTCAACTCTGGGTGGGACAGGCGCCTAGGTGCTTGATTTCTTGCAGAGGCACCGATGGCATGGGGTTCTGCCTACGACATTGCCAAAAGGCGCCGAGTTGAGAACTCAATGCGGCCTTGAGCTGGTGCAGTGCTCGCGGAGTCCTGGAACGCTTTGTCGCAGCTTCGATCGCATGACCGGCGACCGAGCCGATGCTCTGGACGAGATGACTACAACCACGCGCTCAGTCATACCATACACCTCATCGCCCGTTGACTCTCGATACGACGAGCCAAATGAGCGATAAGGCGGCCGCATGCGACGCTCGACATGGCACACTCCGTCGCCTGCCCAAGAGGCTTTCACGCTGCGACGACATGAACCGCTTTCACACGCCCGAATCCAAGGTCACGATCCGCCAAAGTAGGAGCAGACTTCCATCCTATGAATCATTACCCCTCGAAAGCCGAGTGAGAGAAGCGGCAGACGTCTCGCTCGGCGCTCGCCGTAGCCCAAGTCCTCGAGCGACGGTCAAGTCTATGAACTACGGATATCAAGGTGAAGATGTTGAAGTCCTCAAAGTACAGAATCGCCAGCTAAAGACGATACGAACAACGGTATAGCTAGCTCTACCAACCTCACCTAGCTTCAAAGAATCAACTTGGCAGCCCCTTATGAGCTCTGCTCGCTCGACCCGATAGACCCCATTCAACTCGGCTCAAGACACCACCCCCTCGGCCTAAAAGATCCCACGAAATTCAAGAATTAAATCACGACCTTGGGACTCGAGAAAAGCAAGAGCTGGACCACAACCTACCAACTCCCAGAATTTCCAAGGTCTTTCTTCTTTGCTCCGACTTCTTCCCGCGCTCGACCAACCACGCCGCTTGGAATCAGCGGGTAAGCGTAAAGCCACTTACTGCGTCGATGCGATGGGGGTGATATGTGATACCGAAGATGATGGGGGTGGTGATTGCGTCTTCAACTCACTCACTCACCGCTACGCTGCTTTTGCGGATGAGGATTGTTGTGGCAGAGTAGGCAGGGTGGAAGGTGATTTTTTGAGTAGCGGGATTCTTTCCGTCATGTGATTGCCAAGAGGGAGAGATGTCACGTGACTTGTGATGGTCTGTGCGTTGGAAGAGAAGCGACAGGAAGGAGAAAGTAAGTGATAGCGAGGGAGGGAGGGAGGGAAGGGGATGTATCCTATTTCATGGGAAGACAGCAAGCCGAATATGGCGTTTTCATGGTGCTTTTGTTGAAGGCGGGACGAGTGCATCGCCGAGTTGATATCTCTCACGAAAGCCTTTCGCAGCTCGCATTTGGGCTGGCTCGGCTGGATGATACACTGCATCGAAAGGGAGTATGTGACGTTCAGGTCGTTATGTGGGACGTTGTCTCTCACCACAGGTCGCTTGTAAGGCGGGAGGCGACGGTCACTCACACAAGCATGAGATGACAATGACAAGTACAACAACAAGGGCATAGATTCCCGCTTTACAACACTGCATTTCTCATATCCTCGTATACCTCATCGATTCATTACAGGCCCCTCGCTCTAATTCGTCCCGTTCTGCGCAGCCCCCGCCACAGCATCGCGCTCTCTAAACCTCGCGGACAACTGCTCCCTCATAACCTCATACAAGAAGTTGAACTGCGATTCGCCCTGGACCATCATCATGCGCTGCTGTCGCAGACTATCCACAATCTCGGCGATGGGGTCCTTATCCGCCGCAAGGTTGTCCAATTGACTAGAATGCATCAGGCTGAGGAGGTAGTCAAGCGCGATGAAGGTTCCTGAGCGGCCCACGCCTGCTGAGCAGTGGATTATGCGGGGGTTGTCTTGATCTGTGGATGCGAGATCTGCGGCGAAGGTAGAGGCTGAGGCGCCATTGGTGTGGTTGGGGGTGTTCGTGCTGCTGGGGCGGTTGAGAAAGGCGGAAAGTCGAACAAGTTCAACGAGCGCCGCGCGATCTTCGCCTTCTGGGACGAGAAAGTCTGGCCAGCCAGAGAAGAGGAGGTGGTGGATTTCGACTTCTTTCGGGTCGCCACTCGCTGCACTCGTGCTCAGCCGTAGTCTGCGGACTTCGCTTCGGCTCTTGGGATCTTGCTCTACGCTGAGCAGCTCGACTGCGCCTTGGACCCCATCTTCAATGGCCGAGTCCTCTGGTATGATCAAAGGCGACTCCTCCTTGGAAAGGGGATAGTACTGAAAGCACTTCTCCCTGCCCGCCTCGTGCGTCTGTGTAAGCATGACGACCACCGCCGGACTCTTCAGCTCTGATGCAACCATTCGATAGAAGTGATTGACACTGGTATCCTTAGGCCCCTGCGTAGCGATGTATTTCCTCTTCCCCAATTGGATCGGCGACGCATTGATATAGTCATTTGCTCCCTCATTGACCCTCAGCTTGACTCTGTTCTGCGCATATGGTTCCACATTCAGGTATCGATTTCGTGCTGCGACGGCCTCGCCGCTGAGTCGTGACCATTGTGACGGCGGGGCGGAGGGATTCGCAGGAGCTTGCGTGCCTTGGAGGAGACGGTTACGTTGCTGCCATTCGAGATCGACGAATTTGGCGTGGAGTTCTGGAGATCTGTTAGTCTGCGTCGCGAAGCTGATCCCTGCTGATGTACCCGCCTGATCTGGACTGCTTGAGGAACTGCGGGAGAGCGGGTTGGTGACTGGCCATGTGTCGAGTGAAAGCACGTGAGCATGGACCAGTGGAGGTACTGTCTGGGAGGTGGTGTCGCTTCAGTCGGTGGTGGGCGGAAGCGATTAAGGAGCGTGGGGTTGCGCGACTCTTGGAGAGCGCCGTGATGGTTGTTTGTAAGTGTTTGCCGAATCAGAAGGAATCGCCCAATGTCGTCACCAAGATCTAGTCTGCCGTCGAGATGGTGGTAGGAGCAGAAGTAGAAGTGTCGAAGAATCCAACAAGAAAGGCGGCACTTCGGCAGTCAGGCCGTTCATTCACTTACTCCCAGGGCGTGTATGTTACAAGAGGAAAGGGACATCGAGGAGGAAGTTGACCTCACGCGCCAAAGGGCGACGTCGCTGCCGTCGAGCGAGGAGTGTAGGTCGATACTCTGGCGCCCAATCAGCCCGCCTCGAGTTCTGAAACGCCAACGTCCATCTGCGGCGCCACCCGCTCACCTGCGTCCAAAACTGCCCGACCGTGACGCCATCCACCGTCCACCTCGCCTCGCCTATCGCTGCCGGTATGCGTCTCTGACATGTAACAACCATCACTGCGGTGATAGACGTACTGGTACGGCATGGCTCCCTGGCTGCGCGTCCTCGAAGCCTACATGGTGCAAGCCCTGCTCCGCACTCCCGCCTTCCACCGCGCCGTCGAGAAGGTCGTCCGCCAGGTGCACCGCATCAGGCATGGAATCCCGCCGGAGGAACTCGGTGGCACCAAGATCGATCAGCCTGGGGAACCTGGTTTCACGAGGCATTTCGTGCAGGAGCTCAAGACGCAGTTGGGCTATGCTGAGCAGCAAGAGGCAAAGGGGGTGGTGAAGACGGGAAGGGGCGTAGACGCGAGGCAGCAGAAGAGCACGGTCGTGGAAGAGGAGGGGGCAGATGGCGCGTGGCAGACCGCGCAAAAGACTGCAAGAGAGGAGCCTAAGAAGGGGTTTACGGGGGAGTATATGGATGCTTTGAGGGAGCAGGTCAAGAATAATAAGAATGGCTGAAGTCGAGGCATGTCATACGTCCACAACAAGCTGGAGAGCGATCTCTAGGCGTAGTGCATCGACACGGCATACAGCGATTGTAGCCACAACGGGCCATGCTGCACGAGTCCCATTGCTTGAGTCCACAAGCCTTGGATGGGCCGCGGTTCAATTACCACGTCCTGGGGAAGACATCATATCCGTTCCGCTCCCCACCAGACAACATAGACAGCTCGCCGTTCGATGCTCGCACCATATCCTCGAAGCTACCACATCAAGTCAGCTGCATGATCGACAATCACAACGATTCGACTCACCAAGATTGGAACATGTTATACTCCATCTCATCCGTATACACCCTCCGCGTAAACTCGGCCTCTTCGTGCGGAATCTTGATCGTCTCAGTACCTCTCCCGGCCGCGGCCGCATCTGCCATCAACTGGGCTTCGATACATCGGTCCATGGCTCCAAATAGATACGTCGCAGCATCGACGCTCTTGCCGACAGTCAAGATGCCGTGATTCTGAAGGATGACGGCCTTCTTATTCCCCAACGCCTTGGCGATGTTACGACCCTCCTCATGCGCCAACACGATCCCGCCAAAGTTCTCATAGATGGCATGATCATTGTAAAATCGACATGCGTCCTGGTTGATCGGCTCCAACTCACACCCCAACGCCGAGAAAGCCTTGGTGGGCAAACTATGGCAATGCACCGCAGCAACGACATCCGGCCTCGCCTGATGCACAGCTGCATGAATCGCAAAACCTGCTGGATTGATCGCGTGCATGTTGCCCTCGGGCTTTACGATGCCTTCCTCATTCACGAGGCACAGGTCTTCTGGCCGTATGTATCGGAACGACTTGCAGAAGGGATTGATCCAGAAGTGGTCGGGTTTGATCGGGTCGCGGACGGTGATGTGGCCGCCTGCACCTTCATTGTTGTAGCCGTTGATGCCAAGCCAGCGGATTGCGGCGGCGTGGTGGCTGGAAGGGAGTGTCAGCATTGTTGAACACGATGTATGGTATCAATTCTGGCGTTCTCACAGCTTGCGGAATGCTCTTTCGTCAAGCGGGTTGGAGAATGTTGGAATGCGGACTTGCTTTACTGCATCCGTCTGGTTGCCGCTGATGGGATGAGGACCGTATGTGAATCTATCAAGAGGTCTATCGCCAACCGTCTTACGCAATTGAGCAGCTCTCTCATCGCCCGTAAGCTGGTCGATGGGCTGAGTGATTTGATCGATTGCTGAGGGCGCCATTTTGAGAGGACTTCTAATACAGAGACCGCGAAAATGGAGACGGCTTTCTCGAATGAATTCTTCGACTCCAAGAATTCATCAGAATTGTGTATTAAGAAGGCTCTATATACCTTACCGTCGCTCTTCCCCTTCGACATCGGACACAGCTGCATATTCCCCCGCACAGTTCGGCAAATGCTGGCCGATGTACCTTTGTATCTGGAGGCATATCGACCTATGGAACGATGCCCTCTGGATGCTCGAGTGAGGCGTTTCATCGGGACCGACTGGGCGAATTCTATGTATCACGTACGCTGATGTGGACTTTCGATCAGGCTGATCATTGTCCCTCTGGGTTGGATTATGGCCAACTCCTGGTCGCGAGGCGGAGCATAGAGATGCTCGAATACTGTCTGGATAGTGTGCAGTCTCTCCGAAAGAGCTGATTGACATAGTGATCTGATTCTGTGCGGTCTTCTGGTCTTCGCTTGCCTGCCTCGGTGACCTGGTGTGAAGGGCATGGCTGCCATTGTCAGAGACTCTCACGTTGATAATGGCATCAAACAACAGTTCTCCCCCAAACCTTGCAGGGTGTGAGACGTATCGACTATGTCATTGACGGCGTGGACAACGATATGATATCGGGGATGCCGGATCGTAGACGTTCGAGGTCGTCATATGAACAATCGGCCGCATGGGCTGTCCGACGATTGCACAAGACCAGCCCAGTTCATTCCACGTCTTCATCGTGGCTTTGAAGGCCTTGAACATGGTTGTGTTCTTGGAGTTCGACCTTGGCACAGTTCTTGATGATCGATCGTCGAGTGCTGACGCTCGAAAGGAGGACCAGCACGACGAAGCTGTTGCTGTTCAAGCAGAGGGCATCGCAGTTTCATCAACCAAGAATCCAATCTCACTGTCTCAAGGCGCAACACTGGTATATCAATGGCATGTCGTACTACTTGAGAGACCATCAAGGTTGCTCTTGGCAGTGGCTTTCCCCAAGCAGGGACAAGGGTGTAGTCCAAGGCTGGTAGCGAGACAACTTGAACGGATAAGAATCGAGGGAACGAATTGCACCACGCATGCGACTGCTCCAGACAAAACCGATAAGAACAAACAGCGGATACAGTGAGTTCGACATCACTCGTCTGCATTCATTCACCCACGCTTCAATCTTATCAGATCATCACAGAAGAAGAAATGCGCTCACGCCAGGGCTCGGCGCCGTGCACACCCCTTGGCAAGACCAAACCATTGGAACCGCTCTTTCCCTTATACAGTGTTTACACGCTTGTCGTTCTTGGTAGTCACGCGAGGAGGCCATGTCCAAGAACGCCATTGCCAGCCAGGATTGTCAGGCAACTGCAACACGAACTGGTGGATATAAACCCCAGCTCTTCACCCACGTTCTGCTCCCTAGATAGTTTCCCCAAAATCAACGTTGGGCCAAGAAACCGAACACCATGGTTAGCACACGCCTCTTCACACTCGGTGCCGTTGTCGCCTCTGTCTGTGTTGCTGTTGCGAATCCGTCTCCTTCCATCGAGCACATCAAGAAGTTGCTCGCTCGCCAGGACGATGACTCTGACGATCGTCAATGCCATGCAGATTGCGGTACGTCTTCTAAACAGCATCCACATTCGTATGAGGTACTAACCATTTACCAGGCTTCACCATAATCCAATCCTCCGAAACCACCCCAAACACATACTGCTCCAACCAAACCTGGATCGACCAACTCAACCGCTGCCTCTCCTGCACCAACCGCGAAGACGACGACGACATCTGGGAAGACTACGGCAACAGCGTCTCCTCGGCCGCTCAAGCCTGCAGCGGTCAGACTGCCACGCCTGGCGCCGTGCTCTCGACTGCTTCTGCGACTGGGACGGCTACTGGTGGTTCGCTGACGTCGATCACTGGCACGGCGACTTCAACGGGAGCTGCTACGGCGCCGACCTCTGTCGAAGAATGTCATACGCATGGCGATGATTTGTTCTGTGTGGCGGATGGCGCGGAGTGGGAGGTTACGAGCAATGTGAATGTTAACAATGCGCCTGACAATTACGAGAACTGTCGGCCGACTGGAGATGATGGAGATGATCTGTGAGTATAGGCCTTCAATCTGTTGACAGTGGCTGATGAATTCCAGTACCTGCGTCGCAGCAGATGGCTCTGAAGTCCGCCTCGAACGTGAAGGCGATGACCACACAGACGATGATGACCACAACCACGGCTCGTCAACTGCTACGGGCACTCCAACTTCGAATCCGTCGCCGTCGATCACCAGCGCTGTCGCGGGAGAGGCGTCAAATACAGCCACCACGCAGACGGCAACTCAGGATGGAGCGGCTGGGCGTTTCGAGGGCTCCTCGATCGGTGGCGTGTTCGGTCTGGTGTTGGCGATGTTCGCGCTCTAAAGGGAACGATACGGTTCACGGGCGAGTCCGGCTGTGGAGCATCAGAGTAGCCAAATGCAAAGGTACTACGCCAGCAATGTGAGAGTTTCGACGGTCCTAGCCCCTTTTCATCTCATCCTCGAGCTCGCGGGCTGTGTATCTTTCTCAATTGGAACCCTCATCCCCATTACTCCAAAGCCAACTAAACAACTCAAATCGCGAGCAGAAGCATGGTCGCTCTCGTAGTATTGGAGACACAACAGTCCCACGTGCCCAACCACGGCGAAGCCAGACGACCTGCTGTACCACGCGGCGACTGCGGTCAAAGGTTGCCATCTGCAGCCAATGAAAATGGCCAGCCTGTTAAGAAGCACAGAGAGGTTTTCAGCTCGTTACTTGGCTGTACGACGCAAGGCTGAAGACTTGAAAATAGTTCCGAGGGGAGCCCCCAACTTCGAGTCTTGAACCTCTTCTGCTCTGTCTTCTCAGTCGTCCTGCCTTATTCTTTGCTTTTCATCTACCCTACAACGCCTCCGCCATATACAATGATTTCCATACCCATCCTCCAATTGATATCATTCCTCATCCTCTGCGTCCCCTCCACCCACGCAACCTGCTACTTCATCGACGGCGTAACCGAATCCGCCGACCTCCCCTGCGACTCCGCGGCCGCCGTCTCGACCTGCTGCAGCCCCAACGACTTCTGCACCGACAACGGCCTCTGCATCGCCAACGGCTTCTACTCCCGAGGCAGCTGCACCGACCCGAACTGGAACGCGCCCTGCTCCAAAATCTGCGAGGACTTCTTCCCGCAGGGCGGCATGCCGCTGACGCCGTGCCGCGCGGATAATGTCTTCGCGTGTGATTTGCCGACGTTCGGACAGCCGAGTAAGGGGAATTGTTTGAGGAATTTTACGGTTGCTGGGGGTGCGCAGATTGTGCTTAGGGTGGGGCAGGTGGAGGGGTTGGGAATTTCGACGGCGGTGACGTTGGGGCCCACGGCGACGGTGCCGGTTGGGAGTTGTGCGGCCACGGTTTCGGCTGGGTTGAGGTTTTCTACTGTGAGTGTTGGGTGCCGGCGGTGGTGTGCTTATGCTGACAGGATTTGTTTTTTTGGTGACGGTGTCTTCCTCAACATCGTCTGCGGCGACGCCATCCGTTCAAGTTAGCGACGATGCGAGCGGATCGAACAATGTGGCAGCGATTGCAGGAGGGACTGTTGGAGGGATCGCTGGAGCGGCTTTGCTGATTGTGGCAGGTATTTTGCTGGTTCGACAACGGCGGAAGAAGAATACGAACCAAAGACAGCCAGGTTTCCAGAATAAGCCCGCAGAAGCTGATGGGGACAATGTGCAAGAAGTGTCCGCCGATATTGGTGCTGCGTACAAGCCTCAGGTCTCGCACGAGGCTGAGGATCACACAAAGCATTCGCCTTCAGAACTCGATAGCCTCAGGCAGCCTGCGGAGCTGGCTAGCTAGATACAGTGCACGTATTGGAAGGTCCACGGAGTTCTCTGCCAAAACCTGTGCTCATGGTGCAGGCCATCGTTCACGAAAAATTTTCATGAGAGATTGTGCAGACTCGGCAGCTTGGGTGATATGGCTCTGCTGTTTGAGATTTGGACGCTTCTCATATTGTTGAAAAGCAACGTCCAGGCAATAAAAGCAGGAAAGTGATAGAGCATCGATGACATCGAAATGCTCGCTGTGATCGTAAGCTGCTTCAAGGATCATGGTAGCGGCGGAGTCGAGAGCGTCTTCTGTGCTCCGGTTTTGTTCGATTTTCTCAGGCGGGAGTCGATTCAATATGGTTTGATGGCGTAGCATGAGTGATCTGTAACGTTTCAGCAATATTCACTGCCGTGAGAGGAATTTGCTGTTACCTCGTAGCGATTGTAAGCGTCTCAGAATGAGGTGCGTGTGCACTAGATCCCATGGCATCTCTGAGGAAGCCGAGAATTTGTGCATCAAGATCACTTCGAGTTTCTGGCACATCTATGCAGTCCATTGCCGTGAGGACCGCATCGAGGTAAAAACAGGCCTTGACGATGTTTGCAAAGTCGTCTTTAATGACATGGTCGTGATGACCGCCGGGTCCTTTGTCGTTTGGTGTTTTGCAGTTCATGTTGTCGTTGAGGTCTACAGGAAACTCGAAGTCGCCGCATGGGTAGCGTGTCGAGAGGCTGGGGCCTTTGGAAGGGAGTTCGAGAACGATCAGGCTGTCTGATCAGTCTGGGTGTAGCTGCTGGTCACAAGCGAGTGCTTACCGCTCCATCACAACGATACCCCACCATAGATTTCTCTGCTCGGCTCTGCTATGCTGGAGATGGGGTCCTTTGTGTAGGCTGTCCGGCATGACGCTGTGCTGAAGCTCGAGAACGTAGCCCATTCTGAGTGCGAGGCCCAGGGACACGTATGCGCCTCCAGGCTTGCCGCACACATACTCGTACTCGGCAATGAGGATGGTGGCTTGCACCAGGAGGATCCTATTCAAAGTAAGCCCGAGTTTATGAGCTAAGGTACGCTCTCTCATCGTTGGGCGTTTAGGATTCTGGCACATACGATGCACACAGCCTGGTCTGCACATGACTGAGGAACACCTTGGCTGTGTGATACAAGTCTTTCGGTTGAATGTCGTCCTTTGGCGCGACTAGAGACCCATCAATAGGTCTCAGCACGATGACATACATCGAAAGCAGGAGCATCGAAAAATCCGCAGGAGGCACCCCATGTTGGTATTTGGCGGCTGTCTCTCGGAATGTTGCCGGAGAAATGATCGGCAACCACTGATGAAAGTAGTGGAAAAATCGACTCGTAAGCTCATCGATGGATATGCCCGTGCGATGTATAGCATGGCAAACCTGAAGGTTCACGACACCGTCCAGTGCTGGTCCAGTGCTGCACGATAGGAGGTCCGCTATGCTGCCTACCGAGGCGCCCTCGGGCCGCGAGTCCGGTGTACGATCATAGCGACACTCCAGGCCTCGCTTGCTGCAGTACCCACATGTAGGCAACTGCTTGTCACAGCCTTTCTTCCGGGTCTTGCAATTATTGCATACTTGAGAAGCCCGTTGCGTGGAACCGTCGGCCGTCATATTGTAATCGTAGAGACCAGGTATCCCCAGATCTCACGCGATGTCCAGGCCCCCGCACACCGTGTTCAATGTCTTGTAGGGCTTGAAGATTCTGAGTAATCGATACGAAGCAGGCTCCTGAGAAATGGATCTTGCGGCCGCTGTCTTGAATCCTAGGAAACCGTGAGCCGATCTGACTATGTGCGTGCAGACAGTACAGCCACCTTCCACGTCCAAATTATGGCGTAAATCCCCAGGTCTTCGTTAGAGACCATGCTATGTGTTACTGTGCTGACGGTCGAGACCGGCTGGATCAGTCGGAGAACCCAATTTGCAGACTATGGCCAGTGCGAAATCGTAGCAAAAAAAGTTCCTCTTGTTGAGCGAGTGATCACGCTATCTACCGGACATGGTAGGCGGTAGTGTGCTGCATTGTTGTGAACCGTTGATGATCAGGACTTAGAACGCGTGGGCGCGTCTCTCGTCTTCGCTCAAAGTGTAGCGTGTACGAATGTCATCCCTTCAATCCAAGAATCGACTAGGGCTTAATCGTTGCTCAGATCACTCAGACAGCTCACGAGCAATGGAGATAGAGTTTTTGCTTTAATCGGAAGCACAGGAGGATGATGAACGTCTGAAGGAAGAGAGGGAACACGAGATGAGGGAAGGAGAGATGGGGTCGGCCGCCTTCCCACCCACTCTTTTTCCTTCCGGCAGGGATTGGCATGTCTAGCGTCAACCTTGTAAACACGTCGTTGCTCCTTTACCTCTCTCTCTCTGCGACCTCGCCATACCTGATTGACAACAGTCGATCATCAAGGTCTTCGAGACGATGCGTGCCACAGTGGACATGCGGCCGACAATGTTGAACAGGGTCATAAAAGAGTGGCAGCAGTGCTCCTGCAGAATGCTGCCACAGGTGACCCGTTCCCGACATGCAGCGACCCCGTGAAGATGAGAAAGCCGACCTTGAGCGACAGGCTGCGCCGCTCCAACCCTCGAAATCGCCTTCTGACACGACCAACACAGGCGAAACGAAACCTGCAAGCAATAACATCGAGCCTGAGCGAACGAGTCCATCCCAAGATGAGATGGAAAAGTTCCTTGCTCGCCTGGAGCCTTCTGACGACCCCAAACATTTCAACTCTTGGTACAAGGGTTGGATCTGTCTCCAAATGGCGCTCCTGTCACTGACCGCCTCGATCGGAAGTTCCATCATATCACCAGCAGAGACCGTGCTTTCAGCGTACCTTGGCATATCGCTGGAAGCAGCTGTACTTACAGTCTCGCTTTTCGTCCTGGGCTTCGCATTGGGACCGATCTGCTGGGGACCTATCAGCGAAGTATACGGAAGGCGATGGTCTCTCCTGCCTCCTATGTTCCTGGTCGGCGTTTTCAGCATTGCCAGTGCCGTCAGCAAAGACACGGCAAGCTTGTTGGTCACCAGATTCTTCGCTGGCGTCTTTGGCTCCTCGCCGATTGCGAACGTATCGGCAGCTTTGGGGGACTTCTATGAGCCAAAAGCGAGAGGTGTCCCGATGGCATTTCTGGCAGCTTGTGTCGTCGGCGGTGCCTTGATTGCTCCAATCATGGGTGCTGGACTTACTGTCAACAAGCACCTTGGGTGGAGGTGTAAGTACCACAGATTCGTTGTTTTCGTGAGATGCTGACATATACAGGGACTGAATTCCTGGAGGCCATCATCGCATTCTTGACCTTTGCCGTTACATTCGCCTTCATGCCTGAGACTTACCCGCCGGTGCTGCTGAAGCGCAAGGCAAAGCAACTGAGAAAGAGTACAGGAGAACAAAGATATTGGCATCCTCATGAACAACAGAAGATCAGCGTGCAGAATGTACTCACCAAGCATTTCAATCGGCCGATTCTGTAGGTATCTTTTCATCTTGTAACTAATGATATGCTAACATGTAATAGCATGTTGCTCACCGAGCCAATGGTTAGCTGCATGGCTCTGTACGCATCCTTCGTGTATGGTCTTCTATTCTTCGCTTTGGAATCCTTCCCCATCGTATTTGCTGAGCTACGGCATTGGGAACTTGTTCCATCGACTTTGCCATTCCTGGGACTCTTTGTCGGTGTGATCATCGCTATCTGCATCAACATAGGCAACCAACCTCGGTACATGCGGGCTGTCGAGAAGAACCAAGGACGAGCTGTTCCAGAGGCTCGCCTTGCACCAATGGTCATTGGTGGCTTCTGCTTCTCGGGTGGACTCTTCTGGTTCGGATGGACAGCAAGTCCGAGCATACCGTGGATAGTGCCCGTGATTGCATCTGGTAAGAATTGGAGGAGACGTTACAGTCTGAAGCCTTTACTCACCGCATTACAGCGTTCATTGGCGCCGGCTTCAATATTATTTTTCAGCAGGCGCTCAACTTCCTGGTAGACGCGTACTCTCTTTATGCGGCGAGTGCACTTTCGGCAAATGCTATTCTGCGCTCAGCAATGGCGTGTGGTCTTCCTCTTGCAGCGAGGCCTCTTTTCGAGAACCTTGGGGTTGGCCCTGGCGCTAGCGTGTTGGGAGGGATTTCTTGTCTGGCTTTGCCCATACCCTTCCTCTTCATGAAGTACACAACTGTGCTCAGAAGCAAGTCGAAGTTCGCGCCTTCCGAAGAATAACGGCAATGTTCAAAGCACGAGCTGTGAATCGCTGAAAATGGCTGCTCGAATGAATGTGTGGAGATCGAGGGCGAGACCGTTGGTCTTATTTCACTTTGATACCGCACAAGGTACTTATCAATACAGTAAGTGCAGTTCATGTGATGTTTGCTCTCTACTCACAACGCATTCGCAGATAAAAACCATTGCTTGCTATCCGACGACTTTCCCTGAGTCGGCTCGCCATCAATTCAACACCGCCGTGCAATCTGATCGACCATTGTCCTGCCTGTTTCCTGTCCAGAACATTGAGCTTTCCAGATGGCGTCAGCATTACTCTGCGAGGCAAGTTGTCGCGTAGTGCTTGAGCAACATCCTCGCCCACTCGCGTTTCACAGCAATGTGACAGCTTTCTTTGTGGTTTCAGATGGCAAGCCGGCCAAGCTAAAGATTCTTGCAGTTCCACTCGAGGCCGCAAAGCCAACAACTTTTTAGCTGTCCTGTTCTCTCTTTGTGCTGCGTCAATTCTTCGTGGTCTCTTGTAAGTGCTCACGCCAGCTAGGCACGACTTACAACTGACTGCTTGTCGACATTGTTCCACATTGGCTAGCAAGACCTCATTCTCTCCTCAACGACCGACTTCGACTCGCAATTGCAAACCATGAGCCTTTCGCGCCTTCAGGCGGCGGTTCTGGTGACACTAATTGCGTTACTGGCTTTCCCAGGCGATGTTGATGGGAAGCACTCGGGCTGCAGAGAAGAGGCGTGGTCCTACAAGTACAGACCGTCAGCGCATTGTCGACATACAGTGATCAACTTCTGGAGCCTAACCTGCCACGCACATCGCCCTCAGGACGTCCCACTTGGGTCCACGTCCACACAGTCTGGCCAAGCAGCTTTCGGTGCTGCGCCTCACGGCCAGTCTCGTACCTGTCATTACAAATCAGATGCTCAAGAAGCACCTGGAGCGGGCGCTTCCTTCTCATGGGCGACGTCCGTTGCTGGGTATATCGCGACACCGCAGCGTGGGAAATCTGGCTGAAAGAAGGAATCGCAAACCTGCCGGTTTCCTGCAAGCACGAAGCAAAGGTCCAGAAGGAAAGGAAAGCGAGCCAAGTCGAATCCCAAGGCAGGCTGATCTCTGGAGTTACCGAAGGTCCTGCACGAAAACACCTGAGCCACTGATCACGAAGCTCAATCGGGATCCAGTGTAAGATGTCCACTAAATCATGAATTGGCACAACCGGAGAGCAACTGGTCCTACTCTTCTGCGCAGAACACAATGAAGAAGATACTTTCATGTCGATGCCTCCTAGCTAGGTGTTCATCCCATACAGCCTAGTGCGCCGACCACTTGGACGAGAATCTGTACCTTGCCTCCCTCTCGTCTTCAAGGCTTTCTCATTGCTACGCAGGACCTGAGTCGTACCACGACCCAAGCCAAGGGCAAGAATACGACATTTTTAATCTCCAGGGCCACCGGGAGAGCCAATTCTGTACCTTCGATCGCGGTATTGCTCGTTGAAGGTTATGTTCCTTGGCAAGCACTGCAGGAACATTTCTGCGGCGCTCAGGAGAAGCCAACAAGAGCAGTGCCTATTGGACAAGTCCCTGGAGACAAGGAATCAAAGTTGAAATCATCTTCGAATGCATCCATTACTGTGCCATAGCTCCTGGCGAAGACATGGTATGTTTCCAAGGATGGACTTTTACGGCATCGGTCGCAGTGGACGGCAATCAATACACGGCTTTCGTTCCGCCTCTGCTTGATGAAGAACTATCCCAGAAGCGGACCAGGAACTGTTTCAGAAACTGGCCATATCCCGGCGGAAGGTATTCTTTTGATCGACAAACCTGTGGAGAAAGCTGGGGCCGCCTGTCAAGCTCTCCCTGGGACAATCTCTACTCGGCCTGGGTGGTCTCGCATGGTGCCCTCCACATCAGGTATCAATCCAGGGTATGCACCTTGCTGCCTGCAGTGTCTTGGTATTGATTCGAACTCTGATCACGGCGTGCAGGCCACGGGAAAAGTTTAACAAGTTTCAACGTTCTTCTTCAACTGGACAGCGTCTCCTTTGGGACATGAGAATCTCCGCAAACATGGGCTGGGCCTAGATCTGAGTTTTCACTGACAGCACCTTGCCGGCTCCTACAGCCTGCCATGCTAAACTTAGCCATGGTGACTGCCGGTACCTGAGATTGATTTACGTCACCGCGGGTGGTCGCCCTCACTGCGAGGCACTTCAACTTCACTTGGGAGAGGCCTCTGCACCGACCGTCGCACTGGCACCATGCCCTGCTGGAGCTCCGATATGGTCAGACAAGGAAGAAGCCATGGATACAGCCATGATATGGTCACGAGACCGGTTGATGAAAGCACCTCAGTGGTCCACGCCTGCCAAGGACCATTCATATCATCCAGGATTCACCATCTCGCCAACATTCATCATCTCCGTCTACACGGTGGAGTGTACGCACGGTGCCATATCATCGCACCGCACATTCAGAGCGCGACCCACCGCGGCCGACTCCTGCAATTCGTCGGCGAAATGAGCAGCTCCCAGGACATGCCAATCTTAACGCAAAGCGCTATCTCGTATAACCTTTTGCACGGTTGAATTGCGTCGATGGAATGGGAAGCGTGACTTCAACGCCTCCTGTGCACGTGGAGAACCAGACGAGCATGCGGGATATATAAGCTCGTCTCCTCACTAAAGCCTCTTCTCTTCCTTTCATCAGCAGCATTCGGCGCCTCTCCCTCCCACCCACAAACAGACAGAGCAGTCACTCGTTTATCGCTGTCTTACCTTTCACAGTCACTCGCTTGTCACCACTTTGTTGCTGCGATCCTCCCTTCGCCCACCATGAAGACCACAACCCTTCTTGCCCTCGTGGCCGCGGCCACTCTGGGCTACGCTTCCCCCGTCCCTGAACAGCAGGCTGAGGCAGCTGAGGCTGGCGAGGCCACTGAACAGGGCCAGCAATCTGAGGCTGGAACAGCGCAGAAGGGTATGTACCCTCCTCCCGGTGCCGCCGGCGGCTTCCCGCCTCAGGGTCCTGCTCCTCAAGCCCTCGGGGGTGATCCATCTTGGGGTGGTGGTGGTGGTGGCCCATGGTCTCAGGGTGGTCCACCTCAGGGCATTCCACCTCAGGCGGCTCAAGCCAGCTATCCGGGTGGCGGCTACCCACCACCCCCACAGCCCTACGATCCCGCTCCCATTCCACCACCACACCCAATTCCACCACCCCCTCATCCTTATGGCGCTCCCCCTCCTCCGCCGCCACTTCCATACGGTGGCCCACCTTACGATCCCGGCGTTCCACCTTACGATCCTGGCGTTCCGCCGCATGGTGAGCGCTGCGTTCGTTGTGAGTCTCGTTGACGGGCCACCTGCTGACATATCATTTCTTTTAGGTGGGTTCCCAGGTCCCCTACCACCAGCAGGTAAGAGCTGCCCTCATCCTGAACCTTGTCACCGAATCAACTACTGACATGGCATCACTCTAGGGGGTCCACCGATCGGTGGTGGATTTGGCGGCGGTGCGGGCGGTGGTGTCGTTGTTGGCGGCTCTGGCGGCGGTGCAGGTGGTGTCATTGCAGGCGGAGGCTTTGGCTTCGGTGGAGGAGTTGCACCACTACCTCGTAAGACTCACCATTGCTCCAATTGCCAGCGCAGCTGACTCTGTTCAGCCTGCCCAAGCCGTAGCAGCGGACTCCCACCGCCGCCCCGGCCCATACGACGATGATATGAACGGACGCTAACTTCTTGTCTTCAGCTTGCGGCGACCCATGGTGTGGAGGTCTCCCACCCCCACCAGTTGGCCTTCCGGCCTGGCCGATCAATGGCTTCCCTCCAGGCAGTCTTCTCAACAACGGTGGACTTCAGCAATTCGCCGGGGACTGCTCAGCCCAACAGCAGGCGCTGTCCTGCTGCAACGGCGACGACAACAGCGGCGGTCTTCTTGGTGGGATGTCCCAACCTCATGTGCAGATGCAAACTGAAGCTAACATTAGTTGCAGGACTGCTACCTTTCGGAGCTTGTGGCTTCGATCTCTGTAAGTGCAATCACTTGTCCTTGCCATACCAATTTCTAACGACCATGTACAGTCAGCGATCACTGCAACCAGCACGTGGCTTGCTGCGACACCAATGGTGGGGGTCTCTTCACGATCGGCGGGCTCTGCCAGCTCATCAGCCTTTAGGGGGATTTGGTGGCTTCTGTCAGCTACTCAGCCTCTAGCTCGCACCAGCTGGCACGCACTGCAGGGTGTAATGGATCTCATGTGGTCTTGTCAAGAGAGTCGGCCTCGCTTGTGTCAGATGGAGGCGCGACTGGTTTCTTTCTTGGTCCCGCTCACGATGTAGCTGACGAGTCTTGCTTGCGAGGCATCTACCGTCTCGCGGCAAGGCTTCCGACGCGCATCGATACACTGAGTCGGTTGTTGCAACAGGGAGGCGCATTGTAATGATGAGAATCTATCTGGTTTCATATCTACGTGAGCCGGACAGTCTTTGCACAAGTAATATATTGCTCATTCTGTCGATAACATCGTCTCTCTCCATCTTCTCTCTTAGCTGACATTACTCGTTCCCTCCGAGCGAATACCTCATCGCTCACACGAACACACTCAACGGCCGCTGTGCTGCTTGCTTCCCCCTATCTCTCCTCTTGGTGGCTTTCTCATCGACGCTCTGGATCTCCAGCCAGTTCATCGCCTCGTACATCTGCTCACCATTGGAGATCTCACAAGGGGAAACATCCGCAACCGCCGCCACGAGCAAGTACCTACCGAACAGCAACACCAAATCCGCTTGCTGAACTTCCTCATCGCGACTCTCTTATGCTTGATACATTTCAGGCTTGAGCGGGGCGACGATGAATTTGGTTGGAATCCATGCAAGCTCGATCTCTGCTTGTGTGCCATTTGCGTTCCAAGTCAGGGTTTTGACAAAGTCGCGTTGTGCGTTGATGAGGAGGTGGTTGTGTTCGAACCTTGAGTAGTACTCATACCAGAGTCTCGGGCGAATGCCGAACGTGTCGTCGTTGTGATGGACTGATCTGCGAATCGGGTTGTCAGGAGCCGCGGGCGTCAATTTTTGTTGAGCAATGACAGCCTCGTGTTTGCTGATCAGATCGAGAACCTGCCGGTACTGGTCATCGTGTGGGCCAAACTGTCTGTGGGTAATCCTCTCGAACCATCGAACGACAGCATTGATCCTCCGGACGGGACGACTCAAGCACTGCAACATGTACATCCTCGAGATTGGTCGACCATCGCACTTCCAAGCAACCGACAAGGCTTGCGTGGTACCTTCTAACCAGGCTTCGTGACGAGTGATAGCATTAGCTTTTGGTAACTCCTGATTGATAATTGTTTGTGTCGAATGCCGTCCGCGAATGGAGAACCTCTTCGCAATTGCGTTTGAGGAGGACTTTGGCCCATGGGCGTTCATGCGAGCGATGACTTTGTTGATCAAGCTGATAGCAGCATTGGCGTAGTCGTTGAGAGATTGCGATTTGATCACAAGTTCGCATTCTCGTGCTTCTTCAGTGACTTCTCGCATCATGAAACTTCCCTCGTCGAGACAGCGGATTTGCTCAAAGTCCCGTGCATAGATCACGTATGGGTGCTCGATGTGGTGGAGGTAGACCGCAGTCTCTGTCAGGTCCGGTCCGGTGCCGATGTTCACCGGAACGAGTTCGTTAAAGCCTTCGAGCGAGCGAGGCGCCATGGTATTGCAGTCGACCGAAGATCTTGCTTGAAGAGAAGCCTCTGTTTTTTGGCCATTGAATAGTCCAGCTATGTTGACTCGAACGTAAGTCGTCGATCGTGCCTGGTAGCAAGTATCCCTTCGAAGCGAGATGTTTGATGAGCTCTTGCCAGCAATAGTTTTGATTCTTGACAGTCTCGGGATGCACTTCCCGACCAGTAACAGTGGGTATCAGTGCCGAGAGGAAGACTTGTGAGTTGATCGAAGACAACGGGATGACTTTGAGGATTAGAAGTTCGAGATCTGGCCGATCCGCTTTGATCCCGTATGTAGTCTGCAAGAAGTCGGCCATCTTCGTCAGATCAGCGCCTGCTAGCATCGAGAGCAAGAGTACCAGCATCTGCAAGAAACGTGGTCGAACAGCATCTTGGGCCGACTCTTCAGCACTGACGCTGATGAGCTGTCGAATGCCTTTGCTCGTAAAGATATTGCGGAACCCATATTCATCATCAAGACCATATCGAATATGAGCGGACTCAATGATCCTGAGACGGGTGGACATCCTGAAGAGTATGGGACTCCTCACACAAAAGAACCTCGCATCCTCCATCATATTCTCCAATTGGTATTTGTCATCGGCTGCATTCATCTGGGCAGACTTCCGCGCCACGAGATGGTGGAAATGCCCAATCAACCGAACGAGAGACCCTTCGTCGACCTCGACTAGTGTGACACTCAAGTCGTATTTCATCTGCCCATCACGCCAGCGCAGCTCGTTGACGATCTTGACCTTCTTGCTATCGATTGTCACGGTATCTTTGTTGTTGCCTGGAAAGCCTTGCAACCAACCACTTCCTTGGCAAGCATCGATTACTTTCCAGGTCATGTCCTCGTTGATGAAAGAGGTCGCGGTTGATGCTTCGGGCGATGAGGAGCGAGTCAGCGGCGTTGACTCTCCAGTTGGAGTCCCTCCGTTCGGGCTCAAGTTCTACCATGTTGCTCTCCTCTAAACGTGCCACGGTCGGTTTGTCTGCGCCTGGGAGATAGACTAGTCCGACTGATGGGATTGGAGCCTCGTTGTCAAGGAAAGTCGGCTTGCCCCTTTTGAACGTCATGCGAACTTCCTCGTCAACGCCCCTTTCGAGTCGACTCAACCATTGCGATGTGTTCTCTGGGTAGAGGCCTCTGAGTGCGACGTCGTCCCAGAACTCAGAAGGCATTTCTCGTTTCTCTGAATCGCTGTTCAATACATCGAGGTTTGGATCCATGCCCTCATCGTCGGCCAGGGTCATTCTCTCGAAAGAGTCGGTCTCGTCGTCGACCCTGCCACTTCCAGCGTCTGATCGGATCCAGCTAGTTACTCGATCGCTTGGCCGCCGGGCTAGCATTTTATTTTGTGTGTTCTTTCTCTGTAGTTTTGCCATGGGTTTGAGCGAAGAACTTCAGATGCAATAGAGGTAAGACGGAGGTCTGTGAAGAGAATGCTCTAACCAGGCTCAAATGTCGTGAGCATAGCAACCTCAGCGCACAACTTTGTGAAGGGTATCTCAGGCAAGCATGCGGCTCGATTCAGTATGGGCGGCCTCTGGCGGTCTGGATGGCCTGTACCTACAAGGCTGGAGCTTAATGCCATGGGGCGACAGCGTTCCGCATTTGCCTAGCCTTGCTGCATGCACTTCGCGATGAGGTTCCCAATAGGAATGAAAGCCATCAGAGACGGCAGACAGAACAGGGCGAAGAGCCAGGTGATTAGAGGCGGGCGCCCAATGTTTGCAAATGTTAAATAGCAGTCCACTTACTGCGCGTTCATGCCTGCAACGCTGCCCGACTTGTGCCTTCGCCTCGCCCAAGTACTTCACCGACCGATGATGGATCGTTGCTGATGTTTTGGCTTGGTGAAGGGCGGTACCCTCATTACATGGGCGGTGCTTGCGCGGGTCGCCGTAGAGTTACTCTCCATCATTCGAGCTTCCTGGGTGCCTGAGTGTTCCAGTACTCTCTCACCATGTAGAAGCGGTTGACTTGACACGTTCCGGAAAGTCATGCACCCTTCACTGCAACCTATTCGTCTACTCTCGTCGTCAAGTCTATCCCGTCCTCAGAAGGGCGCCCAAAGATCTGCACCGAAGACTGAGGCTTGAAGGCAACAAAGGGCCGCCCAAAGCTACGCATGAACAACTCATCTCCATGAACTCTGTTAGCCGAGGAGACGAGTGGTGGCAAACAGTATCGTGAAGCAAGTGCCCTTGAGCCCTTCTCTGCGGATGGAGTCGTGAAGTCGAAGACTTCCGTCGTTTCATCTTTCCATGCTCCTTTTCTGTATCGTTCGACACCGAAAATGCTCACCGCTGCGATCTACCAAGACGTCGTCCAGCGGCAGAATGGCTGCACCCAATGCGGCGCATACTGTTGCACAGAGAATGAAGTGTGCTACAAGGACACATACTACTTCCTGTACATGTGTTCTGCAACAGCCACTGCAACCGTGATCTCGGCTTCGACAGAGACGGCCACGGCGACAGCGACATTTACTGTGACCACGGAGCCGACCTACTCAACATCGTCAACGAGTGCTAGCACGAGTAGTTCTTCCACATCTCGAACATCAAGCTCGTCATCACTCACCTCGCCCACGTCTTCAACAATCACGACAAGCTCAACGCCTTCGACGTGGACAACATCCTCAAGCTCCCCTCTCCCTCCAACAACACCATCTCCATCCCCCACACCCACCTCACAACCCACCGGCCTCTCCACCGGCGCCCAAACCGGAATCGGCATCTCAGCCGCAGGGATAGGAACAGCCCTCCTTGCCGCCCTCCTCTACTTCTGCATCCGCCGCCGCCGCCAATCCCGACACCAACAAAACGCCCTTTCCCCGAAGCACCAAGAAGACAACGAACTAGTCGACATTTCCGGCGGCGGCGGGTTTGCCCAGATGCGCGAGAGGGAGCTCACACAGGATGAACTGGACCATCGACGCCGGGAGGCGGAGGAGGAAAGGGAGCCGGCGAGGTATTCGCGATCGGGGCCGAATCCTTGGGCGCTGAGTACGAGTGATGTTGAGGGGAGGCGGGAGGGTATGTCTCGTTTGAGTGAGACTCGCTTTTGAGGATACGTGCTGACGGGCGTAGGTGATTTCGACGAAGGTCCCGTCGGATCGCCTTTCTCGCCAGAAGCTGTTGGTAGTCGACAGAATGTTGGAGGTCAAGACCCTCGTGCGCTGCATGGGAACATTCCCCCTGTGCCACCTCTGCCGACGCAGTATTATCGAAGGTAGTACCAATGTTCTCATACTTCGGTGCCGTTTCCGAGGGTGTTAGCGATTGAGGCCTCGTACACGAATTTTTCTTTCGAAGTTTCATCAAATTTCGGTGCACACATGTGTGCTGGTATCACTATTTGTACAAGATCAGTTGCTCCAGGCTAACTATACTTGTTCTCTATCCCAAGATCCTTCTCATTCGCATGGAATTATGTGGCAAGCCAACTGTACATTGTTAGTGTCGCTCAGAGCGGATCTTCAGCATCGACTTACTAGAACATGCTGCACGTCCCAATCAGCACGACGACGGTCAACACACTGGCACCGGCTTTGTCTCCAGTCGTAATAGGATCTGTCGGCGCCGCGGCATCCGTAGTGTCGCCACTTGTCCCTGCACTGGGGTCTCCTTTCGAGGTGCCACCATTGTCGGCTGATACTGGCGCTGTCGTTTGCTTGATTGTTGTTGCCTGTATTACCTCCAAGGCGCACATCTGCTGGCCCACCCCGTAGCTACCGTCCCAAGTTGAGTTCTGCGTCCATTTCATGCCGCATGTGACTCCATCGGAGCCACCGCCGCATTGCTGGGCTGCTGCTGTTGCTGACTTGTAGATGTAGGGCATCATCTGGTCGTAAAGCCAAGGCGCCACTTTTGTCGACGCGGCCATGAAACGTGCCAAATACGCTTTGAAACTAGGCTCGAAGTGTCAGTCCTTGTCCTGATCATTCCAAAGCCACCCGCTCTGCTCTCACCTCAATTGATCAGTATTGCAGTTTGTCGTTGGCTCGCAAACCTCCCTCATGATCATTTCCTCTGTGAAAAAGACGCTGGAAGCGTTCCAAAGACCTTGTGTCCGTTCTCGCCATTCCGTGGTGTTGGTCTGGTTCCACATCGTGGCCGCTCCGTTGAGTATCATGCCTTGGTAAGGTTAGTCCTATTCAGTATAAAGTAGCAGATATCCATCATACCTTGATTGTATGTCCATCTCGTGTGATCCAGAGAAGTGCAATTATCGTCTATGCTGGTGCCGTCAAAGACTTGGTAGTCGTCTCCAATCAAGGCCACATCGTCATGCATCCACTCCCATAACTTATTTGCCCAATCGAAGTAGGTCTGATTTCCAGTATAAGCACCGAGTCGAGTCGCTAGGTTGAACAGGCCGCCGTTGGAAGCCGAGTTCTTGTAGTCGTAGCCGTTGTTCCACGTAAATATCTGCCACCTCAAACCACCAGCACAGTACTGTGAGTCCCAGCGGGCGGCTTGGCTGTTAAACACGCCTTGGGCTAAGGCGACCCATTGAGGTTCATCGGCGGAAGGATTAGGAAAGTTCAATTCGGCAGCGCCTAGAAAGTAAAAGTTAGTTCTAGTTTTGATTATGCGAGCAGGTCAATCACGAACTCATTGCCGCGAACGCCCAAAAAATTTGGTCGTCGTTTCCTTCTGCTTTCGTTTGATTTGGTGGCTGAGTGGGGTGGTGTCAGTAATTGGTATGTGACAAGCAACGCCTGGCTACGCACCATGTAGTCATTATCCGGTCCGACCTGCCATAACATGCCTTGCTTTACAATATCATTGTACGTGGTATCACCAGTATAATACCAGTAGTTGATGAGCGAGTTGAACATGGCGCCGCACTCCCACCAGTAGTATGGGTCTCCAAGCTCTCCAGGAATCATCCCACTCTCATTTCCATGGTAGTATTTGACCATTCCATAAGCAATCGTGCTCAATCCGCTGTCGATGGATTTCGTATCGTTGATCATGATATCCAAGCCGTACGCGACATGCGTAGCAGCTAACGTGCTTGCCGCTACATGTCGGAGGAAGCGCATTCTTCAAGAGCCAGTAAACGAGTGTCGATGGCGGGCGGTAGGTGCCTCCAGGTCCAAGATTCGTATGCGCAAGGCGAAAGTCCCGAATGGTTGATTCAACAGAGAAGCATGTTGAAAGGTGTTGGAGAGAGCGCGTGAGCTGCGACGACGAAGACGCGGGCTGTGGATCATGGCGGTTGACGTCGTGTTGTCCCTGCCTTCCCACGCGCGGTCGGTGGAGTTACTTCGTAATGCCAGCCTCAGCCCTCGTCCTATGAAAGCCGACAGAAGCAGCGGGCTTGTCCGATGTCAAAGACAAGCCTTTTCGGCCCGTTCAAAATCTCTTGTTGACCCATGCTTGGTATGCATCCGAGATTCCACCGTCTCCTTATGCGCTTGCTTGGTGTGCTTGTGGTACGCAAACAAATGGAAGCAGGACCGACTCTCCGATTTCCCAAAATAGTGCTTATCTGCGATTGATTCTAAAATGATGATAATGAATTGATGAGAGTTCGAAGAGATGATAACGAACTGTTAGAAGACACCAGACATGTTGTTGCTTGGCCTACTGTCATTGCCTCTGATCAGTAGTATCGGTGTCGTGCTTTCCCGAAGTCTTTCAGTGTCTTTTATTCTCGCAATTGCACATGTGAAGCTGACGAGCATTTGATCATTTTGATGAGGCCTCAATCGTCCTGATGTGCATCAAGGAGTGAGGTTCAAAAAGTAAGCTCGCAAGGTTTGCACCCGCCGGACGCCAAGGATCGATCACGTGAAGTCAAAGTAGACATCACCTTTCAAACGCCGCGAACACATTCAAGACATCTCCATTCGTGCTACCGCATCGGCCAATTTGAACGCTCCATCCAGCGCTCCCTGCCCAACTAGCCACATCTGCACTGCCATGAGCACTGGAAATGGACATCGATACAGCCTTTCTCCGCCGAGGATTTCTGTTGTGATGAGACAGTTGGTTTGCAAGCAGCGTATGGCGTCGTCTGAGCCGATGACTTGCTGGATCTTGGCTGTGAGCTTGCCGTCGATCTCGCATTTGCCCAGTGCAGCCCAAACTCCGAGTAGCATCATGGCCAACGGAGAGGTCCGGTCGATTTCAGCAAACACATTCAGCCATGAGCGGCGCACGCAGTGAACAAGGATTGTGAAGAAAGCGGCAGCGTCTTTGCCAAGATTTGGTCTGCTCTTGCCTTGTGTCAGCGAGACAAATCCACACGCTACCTGCAGTGCCAATTTATATGAAGGGTTGTCTTTACGGCTTGGATCCGACAGTAACTGGTGAAGATAAGCAGTGAGTTCGTCAGGCCGTATGCTTGTCTTTCGCATCAGCTTTGCAACGCCCACGATCGCAGATGGATGGTACGACAGTTACTTTGCAATACGATTGCCAGGATTTGCCTCGATGCCGGAGAGGAGGTAGGTTAGCATCCAGGAGCTAAGCGTGGTAACAGTGAACATTAAAGAATTGTCTCCACTGACGAATGATCTTGCGATGTCCAACCTGCGGGTAGTAATGACGACGCAGTAGTTTGACGCGAAAAAGCGCTGGCACCAATGTTGAATGATCTCGGTATCTAGAGGTCTGTTCAAACCTTCGATCACAACGAGTGACCACGGTAGAGACGATTTGTCCAGGGATTGCAGCACAGCCGTGACATCTTCCATGCGATCGCATACATGTACGCCAGGCTGGAGCTGATGTTTGAGTTGTATACCTCCAGGATGGGAGAGGTCCATCTCCAGTATACCCATTGTAGGCGCTCGCGTCCGCACTCGAGTTAACAAGAGTCGCAAGCAGTGAGTCTTCCTGTTCATGTCAGTACTGTCATTGGCGACGGGGCTACGGCTAAGCTTACCCGCTGCCAGAGAGTCCTGCGAGCGCGATCCGTGAGTATGGTATGCGGTTCTCGTCTATGTCATACGCAACCGCGAGCAATTCGTAGTTTGATCCCGCGACATTAGCTGACATAGAGTCTGGCATCTCCGAAAGTAAGCCATCTCCGTCATTCTCAAATTGATTCCTGGCATGATAACGAAGGCGACCCATCGACTCGAGCAAATCCTCGGGGACGACATTCACGCTCTTTGGCTGTTCTTGTAACTCGAAGACTTCTTGCGCGATGCTTTGAACTTTTGCCGCATTTGCAGTGTCTGGCTGAAGACCGATTGCCCCATTATGTTGCGTTTCGGTCTGACGCATCAGTGCCTGTGATCCTTGGGTAGGCAATGCCACACCAGCTAGCTGCAACATGCGGGCGCCTTCAATCAAGTCTTGGGGCACATGGCTTCGTGCCACTGGCTGTGAAGGACCGATATTCGGATACTCGTACCGCCTTGTCGTTCCTTGGCGGCTGTCAAAACGCTGCAATTGCAGCTGTAATGGCCTTCTCCTCCCGTGTCGTTGGTCTTGGATGTATTGGATCAAGTCGTTTCCTCTATCGCGCTTTGGCATCGCCACCAGACCTTTAGAATCATTTGAATCATTGCGAAACGATCGGTCCGAAGACCCAGGGAAGGCTGGTGTCGCGAAGCCACTGAGTAGTGAGCCGAGTCTTTGAGTAGGGGTCACCTCTTTGCGGGCTGTGTCTGGGAGAGTCTGTCGATATTGCCGCCATAGCATGCTTTGGGACGTATTTGCTGAAGCCGGCTTGCGTAGATCGTCGAAGTAACCCTGGCTTGACTCCCAGGGACGATGCTCTTGTACTGGCTGTAAGTGCGGCTTGCTTCGTTTTTGATGATTCTGGTACGCTGCAGAGGCGGCTGAAGCTGATACTGGATTCATAATGGAGTCTGGGTGATTTTTTGAAGCTTCATTTCATCGCTTGAGCTGTACGGAGTCCTCTCAAACTGGCAAGCAGGAAAAGTATCCAAAAGTGCTTGATGATTACCCGTCAAGGGCGATTGGTCATGATGAATTTGGTCACATTGTCGCCACGACAAGACTAAGGCAGCAGGAGGCCGCAATGTCGGTCCCGCACGCAGCTATCGAAGCCAGATCAACAGCAAGGCTACGCTAAGATCGACCTGCATGTAGCTGTGAGCTGGAGCTGTCGTGCTCCGTAAGTCGCCAACAGCATGGAATACGCACGCTGGAGTCTGCCCGCCCTCAAAATGCAACCTCAGTCTCGAGGGCTCAGCACGTGTAGCTTTGCCTTGCCAAGCCTAGGGTGTAAAGAGGGCGGCTTAAGTCGGATTTGAGATGAAGGCAGCATCTCCACTCAGAAGAAAGGCTTCTTGCAGGATATCATCGCGGCCTTGCTGTCTGCTTGGGCATCATGGCACGGGATGAAATCAAGTTTCTGTTGGTGGCAATGCTTGGAAACATGCAGTTCTGCCTGTCTTCGGAGCCGAAGTTTGGGCCAAGGCTGAGGCATACCATGACTCCTCTGTGCACCTCAATTGTTCTTGTGATGATTTGCTGACAGCATTAATGGAATGCTCTGTCAATCGTATAGCCTGCTCAAGAAGATGGTTTGCACGGTTTGCACATGCTGGCAAGGCCGTTGCAGGAGTGAGGAATGCGGGTCGGAATGTAGTATTCGTGGCATCTTGACGCACTGCAGCAGTCTCGCAGCAATCAAGCCCGGGAGTCTCAATGATCTTTGTCTGCGGTGTTGTTGTTTGGACCATCAGTTTTTGTCCTTGGTGTGGACAGTGACCCAAGTCTACGATTGGCCAGTGACTGCCGTCCGTGCTTTGCGGCGGCGGGAAGGACCCTTCTTCGCGACTTCCCTGCCCTGCTCCAAAAAGTTTCCACCGCCCGCTTCGCGTCGACCAAGTCATTCACTCGCACACACTGCACGGCAATAGCGCGATTCTGGACACGTGATCGCGCAGAAACGAGACGAGAGGAGCAATATCGATACCCCACCGCGAGCGTGCTGCGTATGGGCACGTGAACTGGAGCCATTTCGTTGCTGAGGACAGCCCTTCCCCACACGACTTCAAAACAATTCACCAACAATGTCTGTCCTTCCCGACGAGGTCCACCAGGCCCTCAATCAGCTCCTACAAGGACTTCAGGCCACCGACAACACCGTCCGATCAAGTGCCGAAGAGCAGCTTAACACAGAATGGGTGACGCAGCGACCCGATGTGCTCCTGATGGGCTTGGCGGAGCAAATGGCCGGCTCTCAAGATGAAGGCGTGAGTACATGAAGCATTACAGGTAGTACCAGGTGAGCTAACAATCGAAGACGCGATCCTTCTCCGCCGTCATCTTCCGCCGAATAGCCACGCGAACCACGAAAGAAGCCTCGACAGGCGAAAACAAAGAGGTCTTCCTCCAGCTGAACCACCCCTCCAAGACCCAGATAAGAGGCAAGTTATTGGAGTGCTACGCGCGCGAACCGGCAAAGTCGGTTCGGCACAAGATAGCGGATGCCGTTGCAGAGGTCGCGAGGCAGTACACAGACGAGCAGATCCTCAACCCAGACGGCTCGAGAGATACCTGGCCCGAGCTGCTCAGCGCGCTCTACCAAGCCAGCCAGTCGGGAGATGCTTCTCTCCGCGAATCGGCCTTCCGTATCTTCGAGACCACGCCAGGCATTATCGAGAAGCAGCATGAAGATGTCATTACAACTGTGTTCCAGAAGGGCATCAAGGATGAGGACATCTCAGTGAGGATCGCCACCATGACAGCCTTCTCCTCTTTCTTCCAGTCTCTCAACAAGAAGGCACAGCCGAAGTACCACGGCCTGATTCCGGAAATACTTGGCACGCTTGTGCCATTGAAAGAGGCGCACGAGTCTGAACTCCTCACCAAGGCTCTCATGGCTGTGATTGAAGTGGCTGAAGTTGCGTCCAAGGCCTTTAGGGTAGTCTTTGGACCACTTGTGCAGATCTGCATAGAAATGATCCGGGATAAGGAGCTGGACGATCAGGCACGGCAGAATGCTTTGGAACTGATGGCCACGTTTGCCGACTACAACCCCAAGATGTGCAAGAGCGATAAGAACTACATCAATGATATGGTGACACAGTGTCTGGCTATGATGGCGGATGTTGGCATTGATGACGATGATGCCGAGGAATGGTGCGCTCAGGAGGATATCGACTTTGACGAGAGCGACTCGAACCACGTTGCAGGTGAACAGACCATGGACCGTCTGGCCAACAAGATCGGTGGGAAAGACTTGCTTCCGCCGACTTTCACCTGGCTGCCAAGGATGTTGCAGTCAAGCGCCTGGAGAGACAAGCACGCATCTCTGATGTGTATATCAGCCATATCAGAGGGATGTGCCGAGATTATGGAGGGAGAGCTCACCCAAGTTCTCCAACTGCTCATGCCCACGCTATCCGACGCACACCCTCGAGTGAGATGGGCTGCATGCAACGCACTGGGACAGATGAGCACGGACTTCAAGGGCACGATGCAAACCAAGTTCCACAGTGTCGTGTTGCCAGCACTCATCGAGACGTTGACCGCCCCAGAGCCACGAGTGCAGTCGCATGCTGCAGCTGCCCTTGTGAACTTCTGTGAGGAGGCTGAGAAAGAGATCCTCGAGCCATACCTGGACAGCCTTCTCACGAACCTGATGCAGCTCCTCCGCAGCCCCAAGAGATTTGTTCAGGAGCAGGCTTTGTCGACCATTGCCACTGTCGCCGACTCCGCTGAGAGCACATTTGGCAAATGGTATCCAGAGCTCATGCCAGCGCTCTTCGGCGTGCTGCAGGAGCCTAATGAGCGCGACAAGCGACTTCTCAGAGCCAAGGCCATGGAATGCGCTACGTTGATCGCTTTGGCGGTTGGTAAGGAGCGCATGGGCCAGGACGCTCTGAACCTTGTCCAGATTCTTGCGAATGTCCAGGCCAACATCGTCGACGACGATGATCCTCAAGAGAGCTATCTTCTGCACTGCTGGGGCCGCATGTGCCGTGTGCTGGGTCAGGATTTTGTTCCATACCTTCAGACCGTCATGCCGCCTCTCATGAAGCTTGCACAAGCCAAGGCCGATATTCAACTTCTGGACGATGAGGAGAACGTGGCCCAGATAGAACAAGAGGAAGGCTGGGAGCTTGTGCCCCTCAAGGGCAAGTATATTGGCATCAAGACCAGCACTCTTGACGACAAGTTCATGGCTATTGAGCTCATCACCATCTACGCCCAAAACCTCGAGTCCGGCTTCTCCCCCTACGTCCTCGAGATTATGGAGAAAGTCGCAATTCCCGGCCTGGCTTTCTTCTTCCACGACCCTGTGCGAGTGGCATCTGCCAAAGCTGTGCCGCAGTTGCTGAACTCGTTCAAGCTGGCATATAACGTCAACTCGCCCGACTATCTCAACCTGTGGAAGTCCACCATTGAGAAAGTGCTTGAAGTACTCGAGACTGAGCCGGCCATCGAGACGCTCGCAGAGATGTATCAATGCTTCTACGAGTCTGTTGAAGTTTCTGGGAAGGACTGCCTGTCCAACGACCACATGAGCGTTTTCATCACCTCTGCTGAGAGCGTACTCAAGGACTATCAGCAGCGTGTCCAGGAACGTGCTGAAGAAGCCGGAGAACGCGAAGATGGCGAGGAGCCTGGTGAGGACTACGAGTTTGCGGTTGAGGACGACCAGACCCTGCTGTCAGACATGAACAAGGCCTTCCACACGATCTTCAAGAATCAAGGACAGAGCTTCTTGCCTCACTGGGAGCGACTCATCAACTACTACGACACGTTTGTCCATAACCAAGATCCAACCCAGCGACAGTGGGCCTTGTGTATCTTTGATGACGTCCTCGAATTCTGCGGCCCAGCTTCGTGGAACTACTACACCCACATCGCTCAACCGCTCGTCGACGGCATGCGGGATGACCAGGCCGCAAACCGACAAGCTGCTTGCTACGGTGTTGGTGTCGCCGCTCACAAGGGTGGCGAAGCATGGGCCGATTTTGCCGCTGGCAGTCTTCAAATGCTCTTTGACGTTACTAGGAGACCGAATGCACGAAGCGACGACGATGCCTTCGCAACAGAGAATGCCTGCGCTAGCATCGCCAAGGTGCTCCACTTCAACAGCTCGAAGGTGCCAAACGCTAATGATGTTGCTGCTGCTTGGGTCGACACGTTGCCTGTGGTCAACGACGAGGAGGCCGCGCCGTATGCGTACTCTTTCCTCGCCCAGCTCATTGACCAGTAAGTTTCTGGTCGTACATGCAAATGATGAAATGGTCCACTAATACAACACTTCAGACAAAATCCCGCAGTCTTATCCAAAGCAGCACAATGCTTCGGATTCATTGCACAGGCCCTAGAAGCGGAAACCCTTCAAGGCCAAATGGCACAGCGCATCGTCGAGGCAGGCAAGAAGCTCATCGCCACCGCCGGGCTAGATGCCAATCAGGTCCTGGCGAATCTGCCCCCCGAGACGCAGAACACGGTGCGGGCGTTCTTTGGCTAGTCGCTCGAACGCCCCAAGGGATTCAACATGTTACATCGGCAGTCTGCCGTTTTTCCTTATATGACATGTACGTGGATTGAGCCCTGAACAGCATAGCATGGCGTGGAATACACGTGGCAGAGCGAAGGCGAGGTAGATTCAGTCTTAATGAGATATCCTGATGTGTTCGTTCTTCGAACGCAGAGAAACTGAACAATGTGGCTTCATTATCCGTGAATCATGTAGCAGCTCTAGACCAGACAGCTCGTGGCCAGTGGATCTGTTTTGGCGCGTTGCAGGTACATTAGAAGGCTGGAGGATTGAGGCAACCTGTGTGTTCTTTTGGCCAAGACGGAGCTCTGGGCTGTTATGGGTGCGAATAGCAGTGCGAGAAACGCTTCATTGGGATTCAACCATCTTTCTGCAGACTTCTATCGGGCGAACTGACTACTAGGGCGTAAAGGTATATGTAATCTTCCTGCTGCGACTATGTCAGTGCAGGAGGACGGGCATGGACTGATTACCGTAGGTTACGTCTCTCTGTCGCCAGGTCACACAAGGACTATCGTCGACATGGAGTCCCATCATTCCCTGGGCCAGCGGAAGCTGTCGTGGCATGGAACGGGTATCTTCAGAGGATCGTCTGCTATCCCCAGTTTTTCGACATAAGTGCACAGAATGGGTAGTACCCTCGAACAAGCACCAATCGCATATGTTGACCGTAGAACGTCTTGCAAATCCAGCTGGACCTCGAGATCAGCATGACAGTCGTATCAAGCGCTCACGGCGTCCAGCCACAGGGAGATGACCATCTTCCAGTTAGCTGCTCATCGCCGCGGGGCGTCTCAGATATGGAACGCATGGTAGCAACTCTCGTCTGTGATGTTCCATCTGAGTTACCACGTGGCCGCCGCTGGCTTGAGATGGAGGGATGGGAGAGGATAGGGAAGTGAGGTGGCTGAAATCGGAGAAACTCGAGAAGAAGGAGCGGCCGGCGCAATTTGCGTCAAATACGCATTCTGATCTCGAACGGGACATGGCTTTGCCTGGTTTGATTAAAATTTCCATCAAAGTCTCGTGAAACGGAAGCCCTTTGGGTTAATGGGTTCTGCTCGACCCGGTCTCCGATCGTCGTTCCCCGCTGGCCAGTGGCGGGACATTCACGACAAAGTCAACTGAAAATCTTATAGCTCCGGGAGCTCTCGCTGTGCGAATTTCTGACCGTGATGACTCTTTGATCTTTCATCTCCCTCACTTGTTTGCCTTTGCTTTGCGAAACACACCTCGAAACACCCTCGCCACCACCACACCTCACACTTTCAACCACACCGCCCGCAATGGCCACCAACGGCGTCAATGGCACCAGTGCCTACGCACTCCCCAAGTCCCACCAGGACTTGATGGAGAAGTCCCTCGTCGAGACGGACCCTGCCATCGCCGAGATCATGGAGAAGGAGATCAAGCGTCAGCGAGAGTCCATCCTGCTCATCGCCTCCGAGAACGTCACCTCGCGTGCCGTTTTCGACGCTCTCGGCTCGCCCATGAGCAACAAGTACTCTGAGGGCTACCCCGGTGCCCGTTACTACGGTGGCAACGAGCACATTGACGAGATTGAGCTTCTGTGCCAGAAGCGTGCTCTCGAGACCTTCCGCCTCGACTCGGAGAAGTGGGGTGTCAACGTCCAGTGTCTGTCCGGCTCCCCAGCAAACCTCCAGGTCTATCAGGCCATCATGAGGCCACACGACCGACTGATGGGTCTCGACCTGCCACACGGTGGCCATTTGAGCCACGGCTACCAGACTCCCACCAGGAAGATCTCTGCTGTGTCCACCTACTTCGAGACCTTCCCCTACCGCGTCAACCTCGAAACCGGCATCATCGACTACGACCGACTTGAGGAGAATGCCCTCATGTACAGGCCAAAGGTGCTGGTGGCTGGTACTTCAGCATACTGCCGTGAAATTGACTACAAGAGAATGAAGGAGATTGCGGATAAGGTTGGCGCCTACTTGGTGATGGACATGGCACACATCTCTGGTCTGGTCGCCGCTGGCGTTAACAAGTCACCTTTCGAGTACGCAGACATTGTCACCACCACCACCCACAAGAGCTTGCGTGGCCCACGAGGAGCCATGATCTTCTTCCGCAAGGGCGTGAGAAAGACCGAGGTGAAGGCTGGCAAGGAGGTGCAGGTTCTGTACGACCTTGAGGGCCCGATCAACTTCTCCGTCTTCCCAGGTCACCAGGGTGGCCCACACAACCACACGATTACTGCTCTCGCCGTCGCTCTCAAGCAGGCGCAATCGCCCGATTTCTTGAAGTACCAGGAGCAGGTCATCAAGAACGCGAAGCAGCTCGAGGTCTCGTTCAAGAACAAGGGCTACAGGCTGGTGACCGATGGTACCGACAACCACATGGTTCTCCTCGACCTCAAGCCCAAGGGTCTCGACGGTGCTCGTGTTGAGGCTGTCCTTGACCAAGTCAACATTGCCTGCAACAAGAACACCACTCCAGGTGACAAGTCTGCCCTCACTCCACAAGGTATCCGCATTGGCGCTCCAGCCATGACCAGCCGTGGCATGGGCGAGAAGGACTTTGACAGAATCGCCGACTACATTGACCAGTGCATTCAGCTCGCCACCAAGATCCAGTCTGAGCTGCCAAAGGAGGCCAACAAGCAGAAGGACTTCAAGGCCAAGGTCGCCGAGGGCGTCAAGATCCCAGAGATTGCGGCGCTCAAGCAGGAGATCGCAGGGTGGGCCAGCACCTTCCCTCTGCCAGTCTAGAGAGTTGAAACGTGAGGCGAAACACGAGTGTGTGCATTTACAGGGCGTACTGGCGTGAATTGCTTCGTCTGAAAAGGGTGGGGGCTAACCAAAAAATTTCAACACGACAAGCGCTGGTGTTCCGGGAATAATGGGGATGAACACCGCGGCGCTTTCAACCTGCTGCGTGGGAAAATGGTGTGCTGTTTGCGAAGATACTCAAATCCGGCAATGTGTTATGAAATGAAGAGAGTTCTCTCTGCTGGCTGCTGTTCACATGTGTCTACTCCACTCTCTGTGAGACCCTGAAATTCCTTCCCCACATCACGTTTCTCGCCAAAACTCGCCGGGGTACGTCACCGGGTAACGAAGCGCAACAAAGGCGGGCGGATCACTCGTGCATGCAGACGAGCCTCCTTTTCTTTGACCTTTGACCAGCAAATCACGCCCAAATCCGACGCAGCCTCTCTACAAGCCACAACCCAGCTCACACGGCGCAAACTACCACAACACCATCGCATCACCCCGTGTCCGCCCGAGACGTGTACGGCGCCCGTCACAAGAGCGGGAACAGCAAGCGCAAGCAAGCAAGCAAGCAAGCAAGAAACTTTGTCTGCAGCTTCACTTCGCAGACACAACCTTCTTTTGACGACGCTCCTTTTCGCTCACTCATTACAAAGACCAACACCGCCGCCATGTCCAATCCGACTCTGATCAACCTGCCGCCGCCGCCCTCTGACCCCGTCACGCCGTCCGATGTGCCGTACGCCTTCTCTCCAAGAATGCGCTTTACTAGACCTTTAGACTGACTTATGCATGCAGATCTCGAAGCGGCACTCCCAACTCCACCACGACATCCATGTCCGAACTCTCCACCGTCGCCATCAAAGACGGCCACCGCGGCCACCTCCCCCACCACGGCCACGGCGCCCAACACCAGTCCTCGGGCCTGAGCAATCAACTCGATGCAGAACGCGCCGACCGCATCTCCCGTCTCGCAGGCCTTGAGCGCGTCACCACCGCCCGCAACCCCCAGACCCCGACCAACCTCACCCCTGGCGCAACCGCCCCTCCCCCACCAGGTACCACCTACTTCGACGCCTCGGGTAACCCCGCCGCCGCCCGCGAACGCAGCACCGTCGGCAGCGCTTCCGCGACGGGTAGTGTCGGCGCGCGAACCACGTGGGCCGGCAGCGAAGCAGGTGGAGATTTTGACAAGATGAGCGAGTCGCAAGACATGGACATGGACACCTCTTCGGTCGGCGGCATGTCCGAGGAAGGCACGGCCAGCCTGGTCGGTTTCGGCGAGGGAGCACGCACACCAGCCCGACAGAGCACGATCTCCAGTCCCGGCGTTGGAGGCAAGAGCGCGACCACGCCCAGAGACGCCCGCATGATCGACGGCATGACGTACGACGAGAACGTGGTGGACACCACGAGCGATTTGCGGCGGAGCGCGCAGAGTCCCACGGGATCGGAACAGGCGGAGCGAATCGTGCGGGAGAACATGAACACGACGAGCGCGGATCGCATGCGCCGCGGCCAGAACTCGGCCGATCATCTGGGACGGTTCGGGTTTGAGAAGTAGCCATTCTCAACCATGCATGACCGTCGTTGAGATTCTGCTGCTGCTGCTGCTGGACAGCCCTATTCTCCTTCTCCGTGTTCTTGGTAGTATGCGTATGATACGATATGCGTAGCGATGGGCGTTTTGTTTTGTTTTTACAAGGGACACAAAAAGAACCGGCCCGTTATGGGCTTGGTCGTTGATGCTGCAGCATGTGAAAGCAGCGACTGGGAGCCTCTTCTATCGAGAACGAAGAGTGCATGACTGGAATGATGAAGATTCGAAAACCGAGATACCTCTGCAAATGATTCAACCAACGTCTTTGATGACGTTGTTCATGCTTCTATCATTCTACTTCACTCGTAGGCTCACGATTCCCTCTCATCGCTACATTTGATGCTTTACCGCCCCTTCCTCAAATCCACCACCTCGAAATTCAACGTCGGCGCCTCCATAACATGGCCCGGCTTCAGAGCATTCGTGTACAAATTCCCCTCTGAATGAGGATGAAATAATCCCTGCTGTGTGCATCCCAGCACATGCTCCAGACCCGGTGGACTCGTCAGTCGGAAGCAGCCCCAGTCAGGCGAATGTCTGGGCGCGCAAACGATGGCGATGGCTTCGGGTAACATAACCTGGTATCCACTACTCGTGTGCAAGTCTCTCGAAGAGAGGAAGCAGGATTGCGACGGGTGCGTGTGGATCCATCCCGCGACGAGGAGGTCGTGGGAGTCGCAATAGTCGAACAAGGCGTTGTCGCCTTCTTCGGTCGTGTCACAGGTGTCTGAGGTGGCGGTTTGGTCTGGGATGATGAGGGTGTTGATGAAGAGGGCGTTGGCGAAGGGGGTTGCGCAGAGGATTCCGCAGGTTTCGAGGTTGCGGGCTGTGTTTGAGTGGGCGAGGTTGAGGAAGGCGGTGCGGAGGGTTGGCGGGAGGAGGATTGTGCGGAGGGGCGTGCCGCGTTCGGTGGAGGCGACGGATTGGAAGGTGTATTTTGAGGGTTGGGTGGTGGGTGCTGCTCCGAGAGGTGGTGAGGGGGTTGCCGTGGAGGGAGTGGCAATTTGGTCTTTTGGTGGGAGGGTCGGTGCGGCCAGTTCGGTTGCCGAGTAGTCGTAGAGGGGCGCCTTTGCTGGAAGTGCTGGTGGAAGAGTGTATCGTGTGGACTGTGAGGGCGGCTGCATAGGTGGAGTGTCCCAGTTCATGCTGCTCTCCTTTTGTGGAACAGTGGGGTACCGGTAAGATGATGGCTGCTGCCTTGAAGGTCGACCCTCATCGCTAGCCTGATACGTATGGCGGTAAAGGTGACGGCCAGCATCTCTCACCCCGTCACTGACTCTATCGTACTCTGCCTCAGTATCATGTGCGACAATGCCTCTTCGGCGTGATGCGACTGTGGCAGGAGAGATGCCGGCTTGCGTGGTTGATTGCCTGGTCGCATCTCGTCTTCGAATCTCCCGGTGAGCTAGATCCACCGCAAAGTCTCGGTTGTCGAAAGCGTTAATGGTCTGAGTTGGACTGACTGGAGATGCACTCCCTATGGAAGCCCTTGATCCTCGGCGTGAACCATCATACGACGGCTGTCTTCCTGCAAGATTGAACTGTTCTTGCGCTCGCTGCCTCTCAGCGATCCGTCTTTCCTTATTCTTGAGATGTCGTTCATAGTTTTGATTGATTAATGGCTTCCATTGCTCCAGCTTGACCAGGTTCCTCTGAATAGCTTTCCGTTCCAAAACAAGATCCTGCTTGAACCGTGGATCCCGGTAGTCGGGATGCTCCGGTAGCTTCGACAGTACAAGATGGCAATGTCGATATACGTAAAGGTAAGCCATCTGAAGGTTTCCCTCATGCTCCCAGTTCGCGGCTTCCGTCAGCAGCATTCGGGCAGAGCGCAGCCAGTGTTTCAGAGGCAGGTTGGGACTGAAGTCGAAATTCTGTGCTCGACTGACGATATCCTCGACGCTGTGCGGCCTTGTTGAAAAGTCATCTTGATGCCGTGAGAGAGCCATACTGGATCAGGAAGCCGAAGCTTTAGCGCCTTCACATGCAAGCGCCTCCTGTGGGATGTAGTCGGGCAGTCCGGACTTGAAGGTCAACTGGAATCCGACGGTATGTGGAGCGGATTTTCTGGTGGACGGCCCGTGAATCTCAGCCGTGTTGTGTTTGCTATTTCGTCGAGATGTGGTGTTTGTTGAGGAAGGAGAGTGATTGCCGTTGCCTGTCGTCAGAACAAGGTCGGCGCCAAGATTGCTTGAGCCGCCAGGTGATCCCTGCAGCATGTGACGATCCTTCCCGCTCGGTGAAGTCTGCACCTGCATCCGCTTCCCTCGACCACATCTTCATCAAAATTTTGATGCTTCATCTAGATTCGGTCTTTACCATTTGGAGCTGATTTCGTTCATGAGCAAAAGCATTCCGAGATCAATAACGTCTTTGATCGACACCAAACACCCCGTCATCAACACTCTTGGCCAAACTTTTGGTGGGTATCTACCCGGAAAGAGAAGCCCCATCAAGGGCATCAAATCCAAGAGTGGCAATGATGCTGTCAAAGCTGGTATAAATCAACGTGTTGACATTGTCGATGCAAAGCTCTGCGGTAAGTATATGAAACTCGACTCCCTCAATTCATGACTAATCTCCTTCTCAGATGATGTTCTCTCCTATCTCGCGCCCACTCTGGAGCCGTACAAAGGATGCACAATCATCGACGCCCAACCTGGCGCTTGCATCTGGTCGAAGAAGCTCAATGAGTTTCTTCGACCAAAGAGCCATCTGTTGATGGAGCCTGAGGAAAGATATGTGAAGCCTTTCATCCAGCCACTACTGGATCAGCCCGGGTCCACCTTTAAGCACACATTCCATGCTGCAGCAGGTGAGCGTGGCATCTTGGATGCGTTCAAAACCGCGCTCGCCGATACAAAACTCCTGCCGTCGCAACCGCAAGTCGTTGATGATGATCCTCGACTTCGCCAGCTGGACACCTCGGTCTTGGTGACTGGAAATTTCGCTCGTACCTTTCCTTGGCTGACTAGTACCACGTTGTCACACCCGGCTCCTTTGCCCTTGTTGTCCTTGCAGCAGCTGACCAAATGGAGCGGACTCTCTCCAGAGACCTTCAACAGTCAGGGCCTTGTTAGGATGTTGTGGTGGCTTCCTGATCAGCACATACCCAGCATTATTCCTCACAATGGCCTTCAGCTTTCTTCTCTCAGCCTCGGCATGCAAATTGGGGCGCAGATGACAGAGGTCGTGGGCGTGGAACCTGCGGAGAGTTATGTGTATAACAATCACGCTCGCGAAAAAGCCGTCAATGTCCATGAACGCCTGCCACTGTACGAAACTGAGATTTCTAAATTGGTCCGTCGAAAGATGGATGAGGCTGGTATGACGATTCCTCAGGGTCGTACTGTGCTTGGACGACAACATTCAACATCGGAGACCGACCCAGTCATGCGGTCGCCCGTCGAGATACGCTACCTCACCAGCCTGAAACTCAAAAGAGAGATCGACGAACTAGGCACACGAATCGAAGCGGTCCTTTCTGCGCTTGAAGAAGCTGGAGCTGTCAGATTGATATCGAAAGCTCAAAAGAGCATTAAACCATGGATCGAGACCATTGAGTATCCTCAATGCTCCGCACTTGCGCAAGACTACTACAGACTGTACCCCATCCGGCGAAGTGCGTCAAGAACTGTTGCAAATCAAAGAAAAGATGGCAGAGCAATCATCGACCACTCAGACATGACAGCAGTACAAGCCAGGATCATGCTCCTTCTCGACCTCGAATTCCGCATCATCAGCCTCGAAGCTCACTACAAAGCGCTCGAGGACCAAGGCCAACACGTCGCAGACCTCAAACCGCGCATCCTCCAACTGGGTACCGACCTCCATTCCCACCCGCTCGCCAATCGCGTCCCGATCGGGGATTTCATCAACCGCGTCCTCCCGGACCAACTCGCCTTCTTCTCCACTCCTCCCCTCCTCCCCTTCGATCGCCGCTCCTACGAACCGCTCCAAACCCGCGTTGCATCCTTCTGGCCCCGTCATCCGCTCGCCCTCGTCGACATCCTCCCAACCACCCGCGATCTCACCGTCCCGGGCATTGCCAACCGCTACGAAGCCACGCGCACAGCCTCGGAACTCCTCAAGTACCTTTTCACCTACAAGACACATCCCCTTCCGTCTGTCCTTGAAAAGATCGCACCCAACGCTGCCAAGGACTTAATTCCGCAGGTCAGCGCCCTGGCGGATCCGAGGAAAGGTGGGAGGTTGAATCCGGAGATGGTGAAGGTGAGGATGTTGACTGAGGAGATGGTGGAGGGGTTGGTGAGGGCTTGGTTTGAGTGGCCGTTTAAGCCTAGATTGATTGATCTGGCCTTGGCGGTGGATTCTTCGAGCGAGGGTGAGGGTGAGGGAGATGTTGAGGGGGTTGCTATTGAGGAATGATGAAGAGGAGAGCGGGAAGTAGCTGGGATCGTAGAAGTAGAGTATTGATTCGTCGTATCATATCATCGTCGTCGTATCGTCATCCCCATACCTCGCTTTGGCTTCCTGTCGCTGTCGTGTGTCTCTATGTAAATAAGTTCATCATCCATACATTTCCTCTCCCATTCCCCCACCCCATCCATCGCCACATCACGCATCAAGAAACCTCACAACCCTCTTGCCCCCTTGCTCCTCCCCAAACCCACCACCACCACTCATCTCCCTCCTCCGCCTCGACTCAATCCTTCTCTGCCTCGCCTCCCTCGCCTCCCGACTCTTCCACTCCTCCACCTGCTTCTTTCGCTTGAGACTCCTCGCGGCCGCCATCGCGGGCGTGGGCTTAAACCCAATCCCGTTGATCCCCTCGCCGTCGTCGTCGGGGTTTGAGGCGTCGATGTCGTGGCCGGTGATCTCGGACCAGGACCAGGTTAGGGAGGTGGAGGTCGTTGAGTCGTGGGTGAGGGGTGTTGGGTCCAGGGCCATAGTTTCTAGGGAGGGGGCTGGTGGGGAGGAGAGGCGGCGTTTTTGGGGTGGGCTGCTCGTCGGCTGGGTTTGTTGTTGTTGGGTTTGGCTTGAAGGTGGGGAGGCGCGGGTGGAGAGGTAGCTGCTCTCTTTCCTCAGACTCGGGACTTTGCTTAATGTCCTTCGCGTGTGAGGCGGTAGTGGCGCGGGCGTGGGTGTCGGCGAGCCTATCTCCATCTCCATTTCCTCCCTCCCGAGCAGACTCCGCCCTTCACTATCCGGAATCTCCAACTCCAACGCCTCCACCTCCCTCCCCTCCACCGACGGCGTCGCCTCAACCCCACCATGATCCGCCACCTTCACTTTCTTCCTTGGACTCCCTCCACTGACCTCCAACCCCCTCAACTTCTCCGCAACCTTCGTCCTCGGGCTATTCGCTCCACTCTCAACAGGATCCTCATAGCTGATAGCCGTCGCCGTCGCGGTGGCGAGACTCAACATCGCAGGTGCAGATGACGATGATGAAGACGAGGGTTCTTCCCGTTTGCGTTTTGGAGATAAGCTCCTCTGATCCAGAGATTGCTTTTGGGGCGGAGGGCTCAGCGAAGAGGCCTTTGGTGGATTGTTGTTATTATTGCTGTTGTTTGCCCTCGGCGTCGGCGACCGATATGGAGGGTTGCGGTAAGCGGCTAGGATCATGTTTGTTTTCTCTGTTCTTTCTCCCTTCGTGGGTTTGCGTCTGGTCAAGCAAGCAGTTCAGTTTTCCTAGTACTCGGATGTCCAAGGGCTCCGGCGTCGCTGTGTCGTGGGTGTTTGCGTGAATTTAATGGTGTGAGGTGATGTGGGCTAGAGATGATGTGGCCAGGCAAGCTGAGGCTTGGTGGGGAAGCACTTGCTGGCGTAGGCGGCAGGTCGAACCGCCTGACTCTAACTAACCAATCATTGACATTTGATTGACGCGGCGGACGAGCGACTTCACTATCACCTGACGCTGACGAGCCGGAAGAGAAGAAGATTCAGTCACAAAAGAGAGAGAAGTTGTGCCAGTTCAAAGCCCTACAGAAATGGAGATCTCGCAACCTCCCTCATCTACTCCAACATAACGCCACGCTACGCAAGTGAACAATCCATCCGACCAGTGATCGAAGCCGGTGCTGATACTCGTACAAAAAGACGCTCATCTCATCTCCTCGTAACCCATTCATCGCTCGCTTCAAGAATCAAATCTAGACGAGCAGAAGAAGCCACAATCGAACCTGAAAGCTGTCGTGATAATACAAGAAAAGCCCTTCGGATTACCCAGACGTATGGATCCCTCTCGGCGTCACATCCCCCATCATCATGTTCATGTTGCTCACAATCGCCGGAAGCTCGTGTACATCGTCATCGTCGCGCTTAGCGACCGGGCTGAGGCGCCCTTCGGCCTTTTTGGCGTAGTATGTCTCCTTGGCCTTCTGAGCCGCTGTGAGACTGTCGATGTAGGTGCGGAATTTGACAATCTCGCGGAGGAGGTAGTCGGACTTGCGTTGCCAGTTTGCCATGGATTTATTGAAGTTGGGGTGGCGGGGCGAGTACTGCAGGAAGGTCAGTATTGAAAGTTTGGGCGCTGTTAGTGAGTTCACTTACAGCAAGTTCAATCGCATGTTTCAGCTCGTTGTGCCTCTCCAGCTCATCCTCCTGAGTTTGAACGTAAGCTGTCAATTGCTTGAGCTGGTCAACCTCCATCAGCTGGCTCGCCATCATAGACTGGCTTGGAGGCTGCCATTCGTGGATCGTGGTCTTATCGCCTGGCAATTTCGATCTCACACTACCCCCGAAGCCAGCGTCGAAGCTCCCTCGAATTGATGAGTGCAGACTCGACCGTTGACCTCGATCAGTGGACATGCTGTGAGCGTGTCCCATTGGTCGACTCTGCATAGAAGAAGGCGGATGTTGGAAGCTCTCGGTTCGATCCAGTAGTGCTGGGTTAATGATCTGGTCAGACCAGCCGTACTCGATGTTGGAGACACCACCAGCCAGTGGCTCTTTGCTCAATCTGGCAGACCAGTAATTCGCGGTAGTCATGAACTCTACTGCGATTTCCGGAGTACCAACATGGAACAGGTGCACGGCACCAGACGGTAGACTCAACGCCCACACATGCGGCCTGGCCTTACTATAGCCGGGTGTGGGCAGTGTCGAGGCGATCGTCTGTCGCAGGATAAAGGTATCCAGCTGCTCTGCGTTCTCCATCCAGTCACCACCACCAACCTGTTTGGCAGTGACACTAGCAGCTTTGCCTGGTTTGTTGAATGGACCTTTGCGACCCATCGACTGGTTCTTCGAGGTTTTGTTGAAATCGAAGAGTGTCAGCTTGCCCTTGCTAATGACAGCAAAACACTCCGTCCAATTTCTATCTTTCGCTTTGCGATCTGTCGTTTCCATGTGATGTTTGTGCTTGACCATGCCTTCCTTCGCCCATGGTGCTCCCTGTAGTGCAAGAGCATCATCCTCGAGAAGACCATCGAGCATTGAGAAGCTTTCACTGTCCCCACCAGCAGTCTCCTCCCGAATGATAGCCTGTGAGAGCGCATTCGCAAAGCCAATGGAATGCTTGAACGAGTCGATCGAGGGGAAATGATGGTTGAAGCTGCCGACCGAGGCTGATGTGAGGGTCTTGCTGAAGGAATATTTGCTGCTTTGTGCTGGTGACCAGAATCCACTTCCTTCATCAAAGCTTGTTCGTGACGAGCCTGCAGTACTAGCTGGGTAGAGCTTCGGTCTCGAGCGGTTCGATCGGCCTTGCCACCTCATGGTCATCGACCTGAAGTCTTGCTTCGAGCGGAAGGACATGTTGTCCGAAGGCGTCCTGCTGACAACAGATCCAGTCCTCTTGAGGTTGCCGTTCAAGTCCACGACAGACAGATTGCGGTTGCCAGAAGGTAGATCACCCGCCATAGCACCGTGAAGTGGGAGTGGGTCCGCCCTAATCGAGGTGTAGAACGATTTGAGAATGGCCTCAACCTCGACCTCCCATCCTCGCATAGAGCCTGTCCACGTCCTTTCTACCAGAGCATTCGAAGTACCAGCTTGAGCGGAATCGGGAGTGGCGCTGTCAGAATCGTTCCTCATCATGCCGGGTCTAATGGACATGCGCTTGATTCCAGCACCGGCCGAATGCAACTGCTCGGCAGTGTACCCATTGCTGGGACTGTCCACATCTGGCCTAGGTGAGCTGGGGACTGATGCAGGTACGTTCGCGGGTGATGGTGGAGGAAGAGACGTCGTCTGTAAAGATGGACTGGAGTCGCTCCATGGAAGTGTCGGACGAGATGACAGGGTACCAGGACGGAGCGTATCGTCAAAGGCGTTTGGCGCGGCGTCAGCGACAACACGCCTGATCGTTGGTAAAGTGTTCTTGACGTAGGCGCTGCGCGACATCTTCTCGCCGATGTCTGCAAGATGCAGATCTGTGTTGAGGAGAATCAATGAGTAAATGATGGTATGCACCACGTCCTGAGCCTTGAATCCATGGCTTGGGTTGCATTCGCACCATCGAGATGAGATCGCTGTAATGATTCGATCAAACTGCTGGGTCTCACCTCGCAGCACCAACTTCGTGCACAACACTCGAAGCGCCCCAAGGATGTTCAGTCCAGAAAAGTCGAACAGCTGCATGTACGCTTGCAGAGTCCTCGTACTAAGAGTGTTGCGCTCACCCAACCAGGCAGCAGCATCAGCCTTGAGAACATCTTCCTCGTCACCTTCAAAGATTCTCCTCGCCCGCTCACGATACTCTGCACCCTCGTCAATGATCTCAGGTGGCACTTGAATGATAGTGGGCTCGCTGGAGTTTCGAGAAACGCTCCTCTCGATCTGCAGTGTTGGCAGGGACAGTCCCACTTCGGACTGTGACCGTATCGGCTCATCATTCTCATCAGACGAGACTTTGGTAGCAGGAGGAGTAGCGGCTTTCTCATCTGGCGAAGTAGTTGTAAACGTGTTCAACTGCTCTTCGGATGCAGTCGGTTGAAGCCTGAGGTGTGTCGATCTCTTTGACTGTGGTCTTTCGACTGGTGCGTGCTTCGTCACAATCCATCCATCATCATTCATGTCGAAAGTAAGGCCAGTTCCAGCGCTAAAGTCGCGCATGTCATCGCCGGGAGGAGACTCAATGGGACTGTTCTCATGCGAGATGATACGCTCGCCAGTGCTAGGCCTGCTACTCGGAGTCTTCGGTCGAGAGATGTTGGAGGCTACCTCAGAGAGTGGTGAAAGCTTGGGCTGATCATTAGAGTCGTCGTGAATAGAAACAGTTGACGTCTGCCTGCCGGGTTCCTGCAAGTAAGTTTCATCGCCAAGACCCTGGGCGTTGGATGTTACCAGGGTCTCAGGCCGACGCTTCTTGATCTTCGTCTTCTGGTTTGGACTCTCCTCTGGCTCTGGCGTTGGTCTTCTCGAGTGCTCTCTCGAGACAGGGTGGCGAGCGCCAAGCGAAGCATCTGGCGGTGGCGTGTATCCGCTGTGGAAGATATCGGGATCCTCAGAGTCCTCAGTTTTGGAACTGACGGTGGGTGGTCGCGATGGTTCTTGCTTTGGTAATGGTGGTGCATTTGTGTCTGTGGTCAAGAACGGGTCCATTACTTTGCGCAGACTACTAATAGAAGGACTGGGCTCAGCAGTCTTGACAGCCAAGTTTGTATTGACCGGCAACGGTGGCGGCTGGATGGCCTCTGAAGTGGACTTCTTGCGCCGGCGGAAGAAAGATGAAGGCTTTTTACTTAAAGTGGGTGGCTGTGGCGTGGTGACCATGTTTGCTGTTGACTTTGATTCAGTCTTTGGTTGGGCACCGGCAGACGTTTGAGATATGGAACGGCTTTGTGCGCTGGGTCGTTCGTTGCCGTCCTGTCGAACCTGATTCGAGCTGGGCCGCTCCACTGGGCTGGAGACAGTGCGAGAAGAACTGCCAAACACACGCTTGAAGAAGCCAGGCCGCTCTCGAGGTGGAGAAGGGTCGCGTCTCCTGGGAGCGATTCCAGGGCTTGGCGCAGAACCCATGGTTTGCGCGGAAGGCGGAGGCAAATTGCCGCGCATACTGCTGGTTCTGACAAAGTCTGCCGCTTGGTCCCTGATGTCCTGGGGGATAGGTGGGCTCGGGGCATGAGCCGCAGAGCGGAGATCTTGCTGGGTGGTAGTCTTGCGTAACGCTGCCGGTTTCGTCTTTGACTGCGCATTGACGAATACTGGGCCTGTTGCTGTCGGATTCTGCATCTTGCGTGGACCCGCCGCAATGATTGGTTCCGGAGCTGCATCGGCATCTCCATTCGCCTCGTACTTGCTGTGTACAGATGGGACTGGACGCCCGCGATCAAGAACGGAAGGGCCGTCTGCGCTGTCAGTCTGGATTTGATCCATGCTGACTGAGCGTCCAGCACCCAAGCCCAATCTGTTCGACTCGAGAACTGTGCCATAGCCATAATCCACACTGCCCGCCTCGCTGCTCTGCTTGCGAGCAACAAAAGAATGTCCCGTCACATATTTAGGTCTGTTGTCCGAGCTGCTACTGCGACCCATGGCATTGGCTCTCGCCATCCTCCCTGCCAGGTTGTTTTGGATGGTGAAGTTGGAGCTGCTGTTGCTGCGACGCCCCTTTGTCGATTCGGACGTTTTGCTCTGAGGCGAATCAGGAATCTGGCGGTCGTAGTCGGAGGTAGACGAAGAATGGGCGTGGCCTCGTGGGGGGTTGGAGGGCTCGAACTGCGATGCGAGGGAGGAGAGGTATCGCTGCTTCTCGTCGTCGTCTCTCGATCCCTCCATCTCTTCTGAGACGTCCTGGCGCGAGAGATTGTCTAGGGAGAAGAGCAGGTTGTCGACCACGGAATCGCGCGTGGTGGAGTTCCAGGACAAGCCGTGCGAATGCCTCGCTGCTGCTGCGATGCCCGCGCTGGCAGACTCGTCGGGCTGCTGGGCGTCGATTTCGTCGGTCCAGTCGCGATTGAGGCGCGGACGCAGCGGCTGCTTCCCTTTGCCTTTTGAACGGCGGGCCTTGTTGGGAGGAGTCACGGGCGGGCTGGAGGCATTCTGGAATCCCCTGGAGCTGGTTCGGGTGCCTGGCAGAATGGAGGGAGAGCTCGGGGGCGAGTGGTAGCGTGCATTAGGCGTGGAGGCAGACGCATGAAGGTCGTCGTCGTCTTCCATGGCGGGCGCGGGCAGCAGGTGAGCAGCAGGTGGATGGGTCGCACGGGCGGCCGGCGCTGGTGCAGCAATGTGTTTGGGACTGGGCAAACTCAATTCGACGGAGCCGTCTGGCGCATGCAGCGGGCGGGCGGGTGCAGACCGACGTGAAGAGAGCGTGAGGGCGATGCCAGCGGCCGGCGACGTTCTGCAGCGCCTACGCGACCCTCCGCTGGCCCAAACTACGCAGCATGGGGGTCGAGTGGTGACGATGGGAGAATCAGGGGGTCTTTGTACAGAAATGCGCGTCGCCTGCCAATGGGCGAGCTAGTCTGAGTCGGCAGCGTTGCCTCTGACGTGCGAGACGGCGATCGCCAGGTGAGATTGTGAGATGGTTGTGCCGGATCGGCGAGAGAGGGAAGAAGTTGGAATCGCTACAAGTCTCGAGTTCTACGCGTTGAAACCGTGCTTCACGACGCAATCTCTCGTCGCAAAACTCCAAGTTGAATCGGCCAGGCCTTGCTCGCCCCGGAGACGCGGCGTCCAATCGCAGGCCGCTGCGCGCCAGTTCCTGACAGCTCGCCTCCACCGCACCCAGAATCCCCAAAACTCTCCCGGCCGAACATCAACCTCACCTGCACATCTCCGGCTCAGAATTGGCCTTTTCCAGCCGGGATCCGGCTTCAATGCCGACCACACCTCGCTCGCCTGCTTCGTCCCCATCCAGCGCCCCAATGCAGGAGAAGGCGCATTAGCCACATGCCTCTTCCAATTCTGCTGCTCATTTTTGCTCGCTGTGTGCGACGGCAATGAAACACGGCGGAAGCTCTCGTGCGCTAGCGTCAAGCAATCCTCTGCGCCTTTGCTGCAAGGTACTCACCATGCCCCTGCCGCGCGCATCGTGCAGTAGCGACCAGACACGGTCTTCTTCGAAGACACATCGCTCTGCTGCTCTGCTCACACCGACTGTTGTGTTGCCGTATCAGGGCGTGTCAAACATGCCAGACTTTCGACGTTGCGACGGATGCGCCTCCAGATCGGGCATGCGCGAGTCGCTTGTCTCAGGATGTTGGCGGTCCGGATCCTGCGAAGGATTTCAGAATTCCGTGGGATGTGCGTGAGAGCTTTGTTGGAAACTCCAGCGTGACGGCATGCACGTGGCCACAGAACGTGAACAATGTCCCCAGTCATGTGAGGCGCTGTGCTGTTGTAGCCAGTCCGTGCTACATTATAGCAATGGATATGGAAGTGATACATGTACGAACGCTGCTGATACGAGCGCAGTACGAGAGATGTGAGTTTGCTCTTTGCATCTGTCACAGCTGATCATCAGACATAGAAAGTGTATCGAACAGAATGCCGCGGAACAGACAGCAACTCATAACGTCAAATCACAGTGTTATTCTGCATCTTAGATACCGACGTCGCCAACATCAACTGCATGACTTTAGAGGAAATCGGCTCAAATGGCCATATACTCTCAAGCCTCGGACCCGATATCGAATAGCTGTGTCACTCCCACCTTTCTCGGAGTCAGTAGCAGATGCTCACTTTGTACCTTCTCTGATCGTACTACTAGGCACCCAGCATCGAGACCCAACTCGCAAAGATGCAAGCAGAAAGAGTCGGAAACATTTCCATCTTGCTCAACGAACGAGCATCGCATACCTAACCCACACTTTGTTAGCTTCATAGGTCGTCTCAAACGTAGTCTCTCCAAGACATCACACTCACACTTTCGCAGTAGTTGCCGCGAGCGATTGTCGCAATGCTTGCCCTCTTGCTTGTTGCCCTGGATCAATGATCGATTCCATCAGGAAGAAATGTCAAGTGTAGGATGTGTTCTTCTATGTCACACATCACACTAACTGCACATCGCGCCCAGCGAAGTCACAGAAGAACATGGTCGTTTCTGCTACAGTGACTGCCATAGGCTGAACCTACGTTACAACAATTCGGTTGCTTGCAACCTGTGAAGTTCGCAGAAACGACATCTTTTCCATCCACAGTGCTTCAATGAACCGTCATCGCCATTCGGATATATAAACATTTTGTGATCGGACGTCAGCCATGTTCAACTTCCAAACATTCAATCGCCAAACCGTCTCACCTACCACCAACGAAAAATGCTCGCCACCACCCTCCTCACCCTCCCCCTCGTCCTCTCCACCGCCCTAGCCAACGCCCCCATCCCCGCCCCCTCCGGCCCCAACAACAACATACCCACCCCCGCCACTAACGCCGCCGACGCCGTAGCCACCCTCAGCTTCACAATCGAGGGCTTAAGATACTGGATGATCCTCAACAGCGTCGTCCAACCGGGCCCCACCGGCATCGAAAACATCCTCCTCTCCGCCCTCAACCTCGCCTACGACGGCGTCGTCCAAGGGCCTCAGGAAGTCGCTCTCGACACGCAGTGTTCGTCGCAGCAGACGGTCGGCGGAGTGGGGATTACCATGGTAAGTCATCACCTAAAAGTCTCGTCAAAACCCACCTTTCCTTCCTTACATCCACCATCAATCGCTAACGCTGCTCCAGGTGGCCGGCTTCAACTTCGCCCACTTCGACAGCGCCGACTGGCACGACATTCTGGAGTTTTTCTGCGGGCTCGTCTCGAATCAGTATAATTTCCCTTCGACGCTCGTGGGTACTGTGACGAATCCCGCTGTGGGCAGTATTGCGTATGCGACGCTTGGTAGGAGCGCGCAGAATAGGGGTCCCATGAGGAGGGGGAGGAAGCGGCAGAGTGGTAGTGCGACGTGCTCGGGGAATTTCTTGTCGTGAGTGTGCAGACTTTAGAGTCTTAGAGTATGCAGGTGTGATTACGGTTGATGTATACCGCGAACGCCGTTCTTCTGGTGCAGTTATCAGCATCATGCGCTTCCCATCGTCTCTTGCGTATACCAACGAGATGATACTTCACCAAAGCAACGCACAGTATTCGCAACCTTCTAAGCACGAGCCTCGATCCCAGCGTCATTGCACATCCACGAGTCAGTACCATTGCCTCGAAGTAAAGATAGCCAAGACCCTGGAGCAGTTGACGAAGCATCTACGCAAGGAACCCATCGCAAGCCTGACACAACCCAAATCCCACAGTCTCGGTCACAGCACAGATGATCGCCGCACGGTGGTGGCGGTGGTGGTGGTACATTCGCAACCCCACAAATCGAGCGGAATGGTTCTGCTGTTCGATACACTACTCATACAAACTTTACTGTACAGTGCATATACGTTTCTTCTGCACGTTCGTTCGTCATCATCTATCCGCCTTGCGCGGCACCTGCGGCGGCCAAGCATTCGGTCTGTGGAGAAAATCAAGAATTAGCTTTCACGTTCAACTGCACCCACTCGCGCATCGCTAACCGTCTGAAGAGCATCGTGAAGATGGCATTGCCTTTCCCGCGGTCCTCGTGCTGTCTCGCGAGCCACCAGGTAAGGTCGTTGCGGAGGACTTCTTCTCGCTTGCCGAGGACGTCGAGACCGCGTTGTTCGCACGCGATGATCATTTCTTCGGAGCTGAGTCTGGGGGCGCCGCCGTCGCGGGTGAGGAGTTTGTCGTCTTTGGTGAGGTATGCGAGGCGTTTGGAGAGGCCGCGGCGGAGGAGCCAGGAGGGAGGGGGGAGTTGGACGCGGTCCCACATGCGGTTGTGGAGGTCCAGAGCGCAGGAGAGGTGGTAGAGCTGGTCGTCGCGGAGACCTTTGAGCTTGGAAGCTGCGTAGTCTTTGCCGGTCATCGGCCAGTCCGCTGCCACAGTGGCATCGGATATCTCAGAGATCTGCTCTTTCGACGGCTCACTTATACCTTGCCTGAAACTCCTTCTCCTCCTCTCCTCGGCCTTCTTCCTCATCCCCTCAAGCTGCTTAGGAAAGCAACAAGTCCCAGGCACCACACCTGGCATGAAAGGCACCAACAGCGGTAACCACTCTCCCAACAGCGCAACAAGCACACCAAACAACGGCAACTTGCCAATATCATGACTATTCCTCTCCAGCAGCTGAAACTCCGACCTCTTCACCAACCTCAACCACTCCTCGCCCGTCTTCTTCTCCTCCCCCTCAGCATCCTTCTTAATCCTCTCCTTCAACAACCTCGTTGCCTGAAAATTGAACCACACAGCTTTAATCCCCACCCAATAGAAACTCCCATACGCCCTCCCCACCCGGAAATAATACAGCGCGACATTCTCCTCCCCCCTCTTCGGCAGCGCAAGATCCGGCGGGCGCGTCGAGCGCGGAGGATTGACGGGGTCGAGCGGTCGCAGGCCTTTAATCGCAACGAGCGCGGACTTCTCAGGGCGGTCGAGGTCTTCTGGGGGCGTCGCTGGCGGCGTGTAGAATCTGCGATTGCTGGGGATGCGGAGGAGGATTATGGCGTTGAGTTGTGGTTGTCGTTGGAGAATGCCTGCATTCTTGTGGAGGTGGAAGTTGTGTATGCGCGAGACAGCTGCGTACGCAGTGCTCGGGCCTCTTGTGGTCATTGCATCGGGAGGAGATGGCTATAGTAGAGATTCGCGATGGTGGTAGAAAAGAGATATATATTTTGTTAAAAGTCACGCAGGAGCTTGGGCCGTGTCGTCGTCGAGTGAAGTCATCATCAACTCGCGCTGGCTCGGGTCGCGCGCGTAAGGGCTGCTGGAAGAGGGACGATTTGACTTCACTTTCTCGACCAATGTCCATTTCATTTCTTTGCACAGCGTAACGGTGGTGCTAGGGTTCTCAGCATTTTCACTTTGGCTCAGACTACGGCGCTCGCTATCCGTGTGTACGATTTCCCAGGCCGCTCGTGGATAGAAAGCACGTGCTTGCCTCCATGGCCCATTACGGCAGACCACAAAGAGTCTTCGCCTCGTCGCTGACCAGGCGGACCACTGTATGCAAGAGGTGCCACCTCGACACCGATTGATCAGGCCACCCACCGCATTATCCAAGTCGAAGAGCTGAGCTTCATGCAGGTCACGCAAGCACACAGCTACTTCTCACCTGGAAGCTGAAGAACATACTCCCTCTCGCTATCGCCAAAGTGCAGCACATCTTGATCCAGGAGCTCCATGTATCGGCTTGGCTCGATTTTCTTGCCGTTCAGCTGAGAAACCTTAGCACAAGCTGGTCACATGTGAGAAGTCGTAATCATACCTTCGTTCCATTGGCGCTGTCAAGATCAATGACATACGGTTTCACTTTGTTGAATTTGTCGCCAAACTCGTTCGTCGATGTGGTGTGGCGGAATTGAATGACGGCGTGCTGTTTGGAAACACTGGGATGCTCTAACAACAGATCTGTGACTTTCTGATCTCTCCCCATCAGCCAAGCACTGCGCTGGTACAGATGTACAGTGTCGACCAGCTCATTCTTCTTGAAGATGTACAATCGCCATTGGTCTTTAGACGAGGGTTTCCTCGCTTCTGGTGGTTCGTGGTACTTGAGTATGATGTTGCTGCCTGCCACGGTATTGGCTTCCTTGGCCAGGAGCCCGGTTGGTTTGAAGTTCGGTTTCTGCTTCTCTGGCGGCTTCTCGCCGTCTTCCCCACGAAAAGATTCGTCTTGAGATGGTAGGGGAGCTCTTGATTTCACCGGTGGAAGAGAGCTGCGTCTTCGCTTTGTAGCAGGTGATCTGGATCTTCGCAAGTGGTGTGAGCGGCCTCCTCGATCTCGCGACCTCGAGCGACGTCTGTAGCTGCGGTCTGGAGAGTCGCCTGGTGACCGGTCTTTTCGTCGCTCGCGTCGCCTTTCATTGCCCCGTGTATTGCTATCAGATCGACGGTCTCCACGATCCGACCGGTCAACAGAGTCATACTTGTCGTCACGTCGGCGGCCAGAGTGATCTTTGGAAGAAGATTTGCGCCGATCGTCGTGGTGTCTGCGGTCTGCTGAGGGAGACCTGGAACGATCCTTCTTGCGGCTTTGCTTGCTCCGATAAGAGGTGGACTCCACGTCAGAGCGGTCACTGTCGTCGTGCTCCCGAGAACTTGGTGCCATGATACTTGAGTGCAGATGTGGCGGTGATGGGCTCAAAGACGCATGTCAATGCCACATGCAGGGTTGCCGTAAGACGGAAGAACACGATCTTGCTTGCTGTGGTGGCGCCAAACTTTTTTCACCGCCCATGCAGAAGTGTGCTTGTGTTTCTGGGTGTTCGAATGGCTATCTTCGGATGGTAATTTCTTGTCGTATTGGATGCAATGTTGTTGTGACGTCCCTTGGTGCGGAAGAAAGAGCAAGCGGAAAAAGCGGTGGCAGGATTCTCCGACTTCACTTCGTCACCCCCGTTCTCCATCACAACATCTTCAGCCTCATCAATAGCTAGCAGGTCAAAGTTAGGCCAAAGCTGCGAGGCGTGACATGTTTCTGTACTTCTCGACACGACCATCGCGCCGTTGTTATGACCTTGGACTCCAACGAACTCCGCCAGGACTTTTGCCGCGCAGCATTCCTGTGCAGTCTCCAACTCAGCGCCTAACAGAACCATCGCCATTGGGTCTCACATCCATCTGCCACCCTCGAACAAGCGACCTCGCGTGTTTCACCCAGCTATTCGGGGACCTGCTACCCATTCAGTCTGCTAGGTGCAGAAGCTGGCGTATGAGCCACAGCGGACCGTCAACTCCTGATGCAACCCAATTCCTCTCCCAAGCACTATTACTGCTCAGTACAACGCCCAAGCCGATGCAGCGTAAGATTTGACCAGCACCCTGGCGTCTAAAAGCGGTCGTCGTTATGCGGCCAAGCCGTGGTGAGAGCTCTGCAATATGGGCGTAAGCACTCAGCCCGCCGGGCTGGACTCTCTGTCTTTCGGTTTGCCCTTCTATTACGTCTTCTTCTAGATCATGGCTTGCAGAGCTCACCGTATCTATCTCAGGTCTGGCTGAAGCATTGTTCGAGGTTGGATATTGGAGGATGTAAATTCAGTCATGTCTTCAAAATTCTTCACTTGGGGTCACAAAGGAGACAAGAAGCCGTCGGCGTACGGCGTGGTCCCGATACCTGCGGAGTGTATAACCATACATGGAATCGAGAACAAGGTATGCATCCTCGACTGGAGATTCTGATATCTGCTGATCGCAACAGGGAACGCACAAGAGTCGTCGAAAGCCATTACCGTTGGATCTTTATCACACGCCAGATCCAAGTGCGATCGAGCGCAACAGAGCTGATGACTCTATCGCCTTCCATGATGCAGCTGTACAATCCGCAACTAGCCTGCTTGCCGTGATCAATGACTGCCTCAAGAGCCCTCCGTTGAGCGCACACTTCCAACCGAGCCAACAACCACCCGGCCTGCAGCCAATGTACGGCCGACCAAGATCACGCACGGCACCGTCGACACCCATGGCTGAAGCTCCGCCTGGAAGACAGATGAGCCCCGTCGAGCTTCCTGGCTCGATGCCGGTCGTAAAAAGGTCCCATGCATCGCACCAGTCCATGGACAGCCGAGCCTTGCGGACTATCATGACGTCCCCGAACAACGCCTCTTCCCTCGGTCACTCCATCGAAAGGCCTCATAGCAGTCCACAAGAGACTACCTATCAACTTCCGTCTTATCCCAGGCAGTCTAGCGACAGTTTTGCGCGCAGCGTCACCAGTCTTCAACCTCCAACAGACCCCGTGCCACGCTCCAAAACGAGTAGCCCTCACAAACGATCCCGATCAACAAAGCCAAGCCTCTTCAACACAAGTGACGATACGCTTGTTGGCTCTGAGAGCGATGCTCCCCTACTTCCACCGAAATGCCCAGCTTCTAGAGCATTATCCACACATCCAAACGAACCACTTAATGTTCAGTCAGCTGGAACAATGCCACGACTGAGGAGCGCTCGCCCTGCGGGCTGGACACCGTCTTCTACGCTTACTGAGCCTGTGTACAAGCGAGACAAGCAACCAACGTGGGATACTGAAGGTATGAATGCATGCTTTACCCGTCTTGTTTCTCCGTTTGGTGACATTTCGTCGCTGACTTGTGCAGCATTTCTAGTAGACCAAATCTCAGCAATGCGGGTTGCACACGATGCTCACTTGAAATCTCTCAAGGAAACCCATGAGAAGGAGATCGCTTCGCACCGCTCATACGTGTCGTTCTTGGAGAGACGGCTCACGGTACAAAGTGTGTCCCAACAGGTTGTCAAGCAGCACTTGACTATCGACACATCGCATCTTCCAAACAAGGATCCCTCCTTACTCAGCTCCGAAGGCAGTGCCACAACTTCTATGCAGTCATTCGAAATGACGCTCGAGGGTCAGAAGCGAGCGTCGACAGAAGCCATGGCAGAGGCGCAAAAGCTGCGAAAAGAGCGAGATCACTTCAAAGAATCAGCCGAACGCCACGAGCGTAAAGTCACTCAGCTACGAGGAATCACACGCAAGGCGACAGACAACGAAACTGCACTCAAGAATGCCATCTCGGGTCTCGAGGCGTCGTTGCAAGCTGCCAACATTGAGCGTTTGGACGTGCTTGAGGGTTTCCATGAGGCTTGCGAGCAGGTACGAGTACTTGGCAAGGCGCGTGATGAGTTTCGGGACCGCCTGTATTACGTCGACCCCATTTGGAAAGAAACTGCTTCAGTTGATGTCCACCTTAAAGATCTTGGCCAGCTCGAGGAGCTCGTCCAGCGGCATAAGTCACTAAGGCAAGATGAACTGCTCCAGCAACTGGACGACGTCCGCCAGCAGCTTTCCGAACGAAGCCTGCAGATACGAGCGCTAGAGCAGCAGCTCGCAGGCAGTCAGCCAGTGGACAGAACTCCTTTGAAAGGCACCGATCACACCAACGAAAAAGAGTTGGAACGTTGCCGCCAGCAGCTCGCTGCCACAAAGGCTGACCGAGACCGTTACAACGACCTGCTGCATACGGAGCTTCGACGTCAGTCTCGTCTTGCAGCTCAACGGACCAGAACAGTCACGCCGCAGCTGGAGACTGAAGCTCTCACCGCAATGCGGGAGAGACTGAAGGCCTTAAAAGACACATCTGATGCGAGTGATGCAAATGTGGAAGATCTACCATCGTCGACACTGGAACGAGAGCTGGAGCATTGCTTTCAGGAAATCATCATGTACAAGCTGGACATCAAGGGTTACAAGAAGGATCTTAAAACGGTCAACGCTGAGCTTGAGAAGCTACGCGTTCCACCTGGACGAGACAGACCGTCGAATGGTGCGATGGTCTCGACACCACAAAGAAACGCAGCTCTTCCAAGTACGAGCGAAGTGGGAGCCGGCAGCACTCATGACCCATCACCTGGCCTAGGCATAACAATGCCGCCTCCTCTGACTACCCCCCAACGCAACACTGGCGCTGCGACAGCTCCAGCATTTCTATCAACAAACACAACACCACAGCATCAGCCACATGTACTAAGCCCTGCCCATCGACCCAAAACCCCTTTGGGAGTCCACAAGAAACTCCCCAAACCTCCACCACAATCCCGCACCCCAAGCCCCTACCTACCTTTCCCGCCTCCGCGGGCAGAAGTGCAACGACAAGAGACGCTGCGCTCGCTTTCCGAAAGCATCATCTCTTCGTACGCGAAACGTTCCACACCTGAGCAGAAAGGCCTGGATACGACTCCACCTCCGAGGGGCAGGAGTTCGGATCCGCCGAGGGTGATGGGTAGGTCTGAGAAGAGTGATGAGGGGAGTAATGCGAAGGCTGTGCCGATGGCGAAGTTTACGCCGAGAATGTTGAGGACGCCTGTCAAGGGTGTTGGGGCGGGTGCTGTTTGATGTAATTGTTGGCAGAGGGGTTTGGTTTGTTGAGAGCGATGCTGCGGACGAGGCACCTGACAGGTTCTCGAAAACTGGACAGGTTTTGTCGCCCAAAAAGGTGGATTCAGCAACAAAATGGACAGTTTCCCAATACCTGACCGATTGACCCTACGAATAAGAGATCGCTACGTCAGAATGGTCACAATGGATAACGACACCGCCACGAGCTGCAAAATTCAAGAGTCAAAATGGAAAAGTTGAGAACGTCAGGTAACGATAAAGTCATTATTCATTCCAATTTTGTGCATAGCAGAGAGAGGAGGTCAGTCTGGTTTGTGAAAGCAATCCATCCCGAAGCGCCCTCGATTCCCAGCTTAGCCGTACTTGTTTTTATTAGATCTGTTGCCTTTAGAATATGTAGTGGGCAAGCCCATCTTGCTTTTAAGATATAGTCATTAAGGATATTGTTGCCCCGGAAAGAGTTGAGAAAGCTGGCAGTCTGATCGCCATCACCATGGGCAGCTCGCCATGCCACGTTTCCTCTCCCCTCGTCACGAACGAGCGTCTAGTCGTCAAGCACCATGGGCACAGACGAGTCCGCACCAAGCACCTCCGGCGTACGTCCCTGTAATTCCTGCACGAGCAACAGTTTCTGCTCATACGACTCTTGGTACAGCTGGAACAGCGCTTCGCTATTCAGCTTTGACAGCTCTCGGTTTAGCGGCACGAGATTGTTGTTGCCTGACCGACGTCTCGCCATCTCGCGCTCAACCTGCGACCATTGGGCTATGCTGTTGCGGTAGGCCTTCTCGAGCGTGTCGATGTCCAGCTTGAAGAGCTCCGCGACGGCGTAGACTTTGCGTGGTTGATTGAGGCGTGGAGACTTGGGGCTGAATGGGGCTTCGTCGGACTCTTGTTTGACTTGTGGTGAGGACGATGCTCCGGCCACGGTCTGGCGTGCTGGGGAGATGTTTGCGCTTGTTGAACCACTGGTGCGACGAGCGGAACCACGACTTGGTGTTTCGTGGTCGAGAGTCGCAGTGGAAGATGCAGAAGCTCGGAGGACGTCTCCAAGCGTCGCATTCTCAAGTGGTGGTGAAGGCGGTGGTGCTCTTCCAACCTGTGGATCGTTCTGGGCCACAAGCTGCTTTGCAACTTCAACGTCTTCGACCCGCTCCAATCGTCGAGATCCCTGACCAGTCGAGGTGCGTCTAGCAATAGCCTCTTTGAGAGCCGAAGCAGCTCTACCGGGCGCCTTGGGGGTCAGAGCTGATAGTTGAATGATCCTCTCAAGCGCTGGGTTTCCCCAGTTCTTGGGGTTCTGGGGCCTCTTGGTCTTCGAATCGATCAGCCATAGGTCTTGAGAGAGCTCTGCCTCCCAGCGTGGTCCCCAATTCTTGCGGATCGTGTAGAGCAGTGCATCTCTTTGAATTTTGCCCTCAGGCTTGAGTCGATCGTAGGCTCTGGTGCGAAAGTCTGTGGAGAACGTCTTCTGCTTCTTGGCTCCATCAGAGACTTCGGGTTCTGGAGACGGCCGCTTTCTGGCGGGAGTTGTCTTGTTGGCAACGACCGGGCTTGGTGGGGTCGACTCAGGCTCGTCCTCATCGTCGGCAATGTCTTGGTCCGAAAAATGGTCTTCTGTGGTTCCTCTCACGAAGAGCGAATCCTCCTGGGAACGGCGAGCTTCGATTTCGTAGACCTTCTTGAAATACTCGGCCTCCGTCTGCGAGAGAGGCCGGTTGAGAGAAGCTTCGAGCTCCTCGATTTGCTGACCAGCTTTAACAGCAGCAGCACGTCGAGTTCTCTCGCCCAAGTCAATCGACGGTACAGCAGAGGGCTGGGTGGAAGGCACAGCAGGTTGAACAGATTGCGGAAGCGGCTGTTGAGGCAGCGACTCCTGAATCTCTGCTACCTCACCAGGCTCTGACGATGAGGCTTCACTGTCGCTCACCACGGCAGGCGTCAGGCTGCTTGGGAGATTCTACACGGTACAGTCAGCATGTGATTCCTTCAACCCCGACGCTAGTATAACCTAAAAGAGAACCGCATACTTTAAGCTGTTGGCTAAGAGTAGCTACTTCGGCATCACGTGCCTCGTCACCGGGCGCGGTCATCTGAGCAACAGGCGCAGGCGCAGGCCCATGATACCCAGGCCCTGGACCGAGAAACGGCTCAGGTGGCGGTTGGCCATTTACATTATTATGACTAGTATATTTATCTTTATTGATAGAGGTAGACTGCTGGACGCCTCCAGTGGAAGTGCGACCAGGTGGGAGAGGCCTCGTCACGGGCCTTTTGGCAGGTCCGTGGGCTGACCGCCTCCTGTTGCCAGCGGCGCCAGGCTTCGGCATGAAAACGTTTGAATTCTCGTGCTGTTTGCGCGCATTGGCTGTCGCCATCATGCTATCTATGCGTGGCCAGTTCATTTATAGGCGTCAGCCATTTATAGTTCTAGTCGTTGTTATGTGCGGCCTTACTTGGTGAGTAAGGTCACGGTAGTGAAGGAGTAGGATGTAGAGGGAAAGGTCGAGGGAGCAAATTTCAAAAGCTACGGAAATCGACGGGCTTATACCCAGCTGGATGACTCATCCATATGCAGGCAAATTACAGACTAGGCACCAAACAGTAGATAACTATAGCTTTACGAAACGCTAGCTTATCTATAGCGAATTAAATCTATACTTCTATTTTATAATATAATAGAAATATAAATCTTATACTATATTATATTTAATTCTACTATTCTTTAAAGATTAACTATAGTACTTAGTATAGCTTTTAAGTAATAACTATTCTATATAGTATATAATTAGATAGCTACTACTGTTATACAAATTAGTTACTTCTACTTGTCTAGATCCTATTGTTATTTAGTAATCTAAATTAGTATCTTCGCCAAGCTGTACGACGCTGCCTGCGTCCGACTTCACTTGTAGGGGTAGGAAGGAGACACTCCTCAACGGAAGACGAAACAAAATGGTTGCGACGCTTTCCTTGGACGCCTTTTGCATAATCATCTTCGCCCACCCAACGCTCCAACCGAACGGCTACTTTTTGATTCCGATACCAAAGTCCTCAAGTGTCAATGGTTTCGAAACATGAAGCGACAATTCTCAAGTACGACAGTTCGACATTGCAAAAGTGCGACAATGCAAGAATGTTCCACTGCAGTATGACATAAAAGGATGCCCGTGTGACCGACAGGTCTCCTGAATGCTGGCCAACTGAACACTCGAATGTGCCGACTCGTCGGCGATCCATATATGCGAACAGCGGGATGTGGGCGCTGGTGGGATAATAGGATCTTCGATTTCCATCACGATCACAGCCTACCTGTCAAGCTGGTATGTGTTTACAGATACGAGTAAGCATGGAAATCATCAAACTGGCCTCGACGACAAGTCGCTATACACATCATGATCGATTATCTAGATTCTCTACGCGCTCTCCTCGTTCAGTCTGCTTTTCGATGACGGAAAGAAGAAGAAAACCTGCTTGTAGATCGTAACAGCACGATGCTAAGATCGCCAAAGAAGAGAGCCAATGATCAATGTTCGGTCTATGGCCGCGGGCGTATGGTTCGGGGTTTGAAGAAGATCGTCCGACCCGGAAGTAAGAATGACACTGCCTCATCTTCGAACGGGACCCGATGGACATCACGGCTCGGCCATAGCACCTTTGCCGTCTTCTCTCTTGGAGACTTACTCCCCTGGGACAGCATATACACGTGAGTATCACGGTGCAAGGTTGGCCTAGCATCCGCTAATCTTGAACACTCGAACACAGTGTGACCTCGGAGCGACGTGACGGGAGAGCGTAGCAGTGGCATAGACAAAAAGATTCGGGGAAATAACGATGGTGGGCCTCGAAATAGGCACGAGCCTGCCGGACAATTGTGAAACGCATCGGTGCGGTAGAAGCACAGCTTGACGTAAAGCGTATGTGACAACAGACTGTCTCGGTAAGTACAACCAACACGTGCTACACTAGATACCACGTGCGGCAGCAACGTGCAGTGGCGGCTAACGTAGTGGAGAGTTTGGTGTCGAGATCCACTCAAGCGTGCATCCCACGAGGAGGCTGAGGTGGCTACTTCCGTCCATCAAATCCTTTGACATGGAGACTAGACAACCAACATGGCAATGATGCGACATACTATCACCATACCATAACTCGTTGCTTGCCGCTCGACGTCACTTGCACGCCCTTGATCGCCCATGTCTTGGGTAGGAGACCGGGAGAATGGCCGACAGTCGTCGAGCTGAGGATATAAAAGTGAGTAGAATACACAACATTGGATCCGCACCCATTCGATCTATCTGACATTCGATTTGAAATCCCTTGACACCTTCGTCCAACACCGAACATGTCCGTCCCTGCCATCGTCTTGTTGACGCTGGCCGTCGGCGGTCTGGCAAAGTAAGTACTGAAGCACGAGACGCGTGGCGTTTCGCACAACGAGACCATTATACTGACAACATGTTTGACATGTAGCCCCGTAGCTCCCTCGCCAGGCTCAGCCTCATCAGCACCACCAGCATACATCACTCCATCCCCGGACCTCTCGAAGCGTCAAGACCCTCTGACCACGATCACCTTCTCCACATGTACGCAGACTGAGGATCCAGACCAGGGCATCGACGGATGTGTGTGCCCCGGTCTCACAGAGATCTTCTCGGCAAGCGATTGCACTCTCGGAACGTTGGTGACGGACCTAGCAACGTCCACCAACCCCTGGATCTTCACCACTACGTTGCCCAACAATGCCATTGTTGCGTACGAGACGACAACACACTGGGCAGGAATTACAGAAGGATCTGCCGATGGTGCTGGAGCTAGCACAACGATTCAGGCCGGCACGCAGCTCACGGTGCAAATGGATCCAACCTCGAGCGTCAACGTGGGCTGGCGGACTGCAGCTTCAGAGCAAAGCGCCTTATTTGTGAGTGAATCAACATCCATACATAGACGAATGTAACGAACACCGTTCACATTGGACGCCGCTAATGCAAGGTTTGCTGTACTCCAGACGGCCGTGTCCAGCGCTCTTACGGTTGCCTGTCCGTCTCCCACTGGAGACACGATCACCCAATGTACCGACGCGCCTGCCGTGGGAGGTATTCAATATCTTTCCCACGGTGGCCTGGAAACAGACGGAGAGCTTGATATTGTGAGTGCGCAGGAGGGAAACACGTAGGTCGCACGACCGGCTGACTTTCGAAAATCATAGAAAGTGGAACTCGTCTCCTACAAAGATGAATGGGTTTGGCAGGCCTTGATCCAGGCGATTGCTCGTGGCATTGCCGGCCAGTCGGCTGCGGCCAATAACACCTGGAGCACCGACTATGAAGTTCCTGGCGATGATCCAGAGTATTCATACAATTGGCCAACGGTAAGACTAAGATCCGTACTCGTATGAGGAAGGCTGAAAGTGAACATATCACTAACGCTTAACTAGTCCTCCTGGGCCACCGTCCCCGGCGTCTGGGGATCGACCGTGTCCATCCAGTCAGAAGACACCAACGGCGCGGTCGTGATCCAAGATATGGTTGTGGCACTGCATTTCGACCCCGTTGGCGAGGCGTTCGAATGTGGTCTCTACTCGGCCGTGTTGGCAGGCATAGCGGCTTTGTCGATCATTCCCGAACTGAGCTTCATTGGTGGTGGTGGTGCTGGTTCTCTTGGCCGATTTGGAGTTACTTTGGCTTGTGATGCCCCGTCGTGGTAGCTCGGGGGTTTACGGAGAAGACAGTATCATACTGACTCTTTGGAATAGAGGGGATGTCATAGAGTGCTCGGTAGGATAGCCTATAGACACAGTCTACGTTCGTTATTGCATACATCGATTCACTATTTCAATCCAAAGCCAGGGCATTCGATACTTTTCAAGAGGCAAGGAATACTGTACCACAGTGGAAGGATAGTGAATGAGCTTCGCATTTATACTAAAGCTCTACGAATGCCAGAACGACCAAGGTTCGCGGAGATTTATTTCCTGCAATCTTGGCAAAGAGGTTCGTAGAGAGAAACCAATGAACCGGGAATCAACCCCTCCCCTGAGACATTTTAGAGCTTGATTCGAACGAAGACGACCATTTCTCTGCTATCATGCTCAGTTCTTCTCATCTTTCCCAAGACCAGACTCGAAGTTCGTCTCCTGCGTAGTACGTCAATCAGGCTGTGCCACAGAAGACAAGGCTCGCTTAGCACTTACAACGACGCTCAGGGGCTATCAAGTCGGCCTCGAAGTTTGGAGTCTGCGATCCTTCAATCAGCTCATCTCATCTCATCTGAAATTGAATCTTCAGGGCCATCCACGGACTTTTCCGTATGCCTGTTGCGAGCGCTTCTCAGGGGAGGCGAAAGCGGCTTCGAAATTTGGGTTCTGCAATCACTCCATAAGTGCATATCCATGCTACGAGATCTCGTGGGACTGGATACCTTGCCGTATGCCTGTTGGGATCGCTCCTCGAGCGAAGTGAAATCAGCCTCGAAATTCGGCTCCTGAGGCGCAGGTCAGTCAGACGTTTGTATTGCAAGCGATTCTTGGGCGAAACTTTACGACGCTGTATGCTTGGGCCCTCTTCGTGGGCGCCGCTGCTGCTAATGCAGATAAGGCTGCGAGGAAGAGCGAGATTTGGGTGAGTTGCATGGTTGAAGAATTCGCAATGCTGGCGTTCTAGTCGGCGGAGAAAGGTCCCTCTGGAAGATTGAGCGAAGACGTCAGTATAAGTAGCTGCAATCCTGTCGATGGAACGTGTGCTTGTGGTTGGTATGGGCATATCAACCATTGGACCTGCCTCACTGGAGAAGATTTGCGGGTGACAGAGGAGCTGAGCGTTGAATCCGTCTTGCGACATGCACTTGTTGGCCCATCAAGGCTTAGGCTATGCATAGTCCGACGAACTTGTGGCAGAGTCAGTTAGGCCCATGGCGGGCTACTGTAACGTAGCTTGTCGAAGGATTTCGGATGCATGTGGTGATGTGACTATCCTGCTGAGCGATGTCCCCGTCCAAGGCGATTCCGAACTTCGCAGCTGGAGTAGTGATTGTAGTCAAGCTTTAAGGGGTCATCGCTCCATTCACTTGGTTGAACAAGTCTTAGTCAGATTGAAGCTTCAGCGCCACATGCTACGTCTTGATTGTAGAGCCTCTGAAGCTTGGCCGCCTTCTTAATTCGTCGTTGATCAATGGCTATCATAGGATGTAGCTTGCATTGGCCTGCTACTCCATAGCAAGCGCTACTGCACTTGGACAGCTTCTGAGGAAGCTGAACCCCGAAGCCAACAGTCTTTGTAAGGCCCCCGGTGGCCCCAATGGCATGGAGATTCGAGAATGCGGTAGTGGTTGCTAAATCGTTGGAGTTGCCTTTGTTTCGCGCACTTCCACACTTCTGCCTGCCTTCTCTTCAGCGGCCCGGCGTACAAGAGTACCGCCAATGTCTAGAGAGGTCTTGTTGTCGGGCCTTCACTCGGAAGAAAAGGACCGCGAAAGTGTCGATGACTGGGATCAAGAACTCTCGAACGATCGCGGGCTCCGACTTGAAAACAGACAGTTGTCTTCTAGGACGAAATGGTTGACGGCATTCAATGTCTGTTGCTTGGTACTGTCATGCTCTCTCTTCGTTTCGAGCTTTCTCCTCAACGAGAGGAGTCCAGACTGGGCCTTGCGGCAGACTTCGTTCTATTGTAAGTCCAGCTCAGTCCAGAAATTCGGTGCCGTTGTACTTACTGACAGGCCCATTAGCTCCCATGTTCGACAGATTCAAAATCGAAACAGAGACAAAGGTTGTGGCTGGTACACTGTTCAACGAGGAGACACTGAGCGAACAAGACGCGCTTCTTCGCACATACCCAAATGCTGCCGTCGACCAGGCATGGAAAGAGGTGACAGATGTTGGCATCCTCGCCATTACGTCGGATGCGGTCAAAAAACTGGGCAAAGATCCAAGCAAGACTGTGAGGATACCGTCGGAATGGGGTTCGTGGTCTCGCTCATCGTTGTAAGCACGTGCAGCTGATAAAGGGGGCAGGCTTTGGCAATGACGCCCATCTTGCACAGATCGACGGCCAACATGCCCTCCACTGCCTGAATGCGGTTCGACGGTATGCGTATCGAGAGGTTTACTATCCATATGTCAACGAATCGAGCATATCACACGGACAAAGCGCTCTCAAACCTTTCGACCAGGCTCACCTTTCGCATTGCCTCCACGTTCTTCTGCAGACACTTACCTGCACTCCGAGCCTGGATATGATTACCTATAATGTAAGATGACAGGTACCGAAAATGCAGTGGTTTTGATCTGATTCTGACTGAGAGTGGCAGTGGGTCGAGCCCCAGGATTATCCATTTCCGGACTTCGCTATCAACAAGAAGTGTATGAAACACGACGAGTTGCTGCGTTGGCAATCAGAGAATCAGCTCTCGCAAGAACAATGGGTAGACATGTCCCTCCGAGGGCCAGGGCCAGAAGACACTGTCCTGCCTATGCCCGAAGAGCTTCGAAAGTGGCCAGAGGCGGAATAGCGTTCGAAGTCCGAGACTCTCTGAAATCGCGTATTGCAGGAACGCTTCTCGCGCTGCGAAGTATCGTCGACGAAGCGAGACACACCGATTATTTCTGCGTTCGATTGTCGCCCAACACGCCGCTAGCCGTCGCAGCAGACACAGTATCAGGGGCGGTGAAGCTTCCGGCTCGAATCGTCTCCTTTTCGTGCTCGCCTCCTTGACCCATTTCGATCCGATTCTGAGTGCCGGTCTTGCCCGGGTCTGGCACGATATTATCAGCAACCTTGCCACCATAAGAGGCCATAGTGGATGCTTAGCATACTGTGGCCGCTATTCACATCTTCAACCCCAGACGAAGGCTGGATGTTGGGGTCGTTATTGACATTGGGATGATCGCCGAGCTTGGCCTCGACCTTCTTGCCGATGTCTTTGAGCTTGTCCATGATGAATGTGAGGCTTGTGTAGTCTGGAGGACTGGTAGTTCGAATTTGTCGATGACAAAAGTGGCAAGCTATGTATATGTATTTATTGGTCCGCCTGAGCCGCGATGACGACACTGTTGAGCTCCTTCATACCTGCATATCTGATAATCAGCATAAAGGCTCGCACGTGTGGACGTATCTTGACATGATAAGTAGGATTGATATGCAGGGAACCATCCAGATGACGAGGACGCCGTATGATGCGTACTCCATGAAGAAGCATCTGTGCATTGGGTAGCTGGTCATGCCGTAAGGCTGCCTCAAGGCCAGTCGTCACATTATCCCGCGAGGTGTGATGCCGAAATACGCCCAACTGAGATAACAGGAGCCGAGCCACACAGCAGCAGCGCTGTATTCAATACGACGACCCACGTGATCAAAGACCGGCTGCCTCCTGCTGTGGTGACACAACATCTGTAACGAATGTTGAAGTGCTGTCAACGTGGTTTCGATAGATTTGTACAGACCCTTCATCGTGGAGGAGATTTCTGAGCCAGGTGTTCTATTTTGACGAAGCCAAGACCTTCAGATCAATGTCATGTTCCCCGACAGAAGCGCGTTTTCGTTTGCAGAGTGCTGGAGTTGATTCTGCTCTCGATTTGGTTCACTGCGATGCAATTTTTGCCCTTGATGACGATCATCAGGTAGACCCTAGAAATCCCACGTGCCGTCCCCATTTCGCGCCGTGATAGCCACGTCCCAAGATCATTCATTGTCTAAGGTCGCAGATTTCTCCTCAGAGTCGCGCCGAAATGGAAAGTCTTTCTTCACCAAGACCACCAACTCATTTCTTCAAAAGTTCCTTTGCCTCAAGAACTTCTCAATCTGCGGCTTGTAGTGGCCTTTGATCATGATGTGCCCTGTCACGCTGTTGATGATCGCATCCTTATCATCCACCCCCAACAGCCCTCGCAACTCATCTCGCAGGGCTACTTTGTCCCCATCAATTCTTTTCACCCTCGTCATCTTCAGGTTACCTCCACTCTTTCGCAATGTGTAGATCGGGAGCTCGTTGTTCGCGGATCGTGTGACGAAGTATGGAAGGTTTGGTGCACATTGCTCGGTCGGCAATGGCTCAACGGGCTCCGGTATTAATCTGACCTTCTCCGGTTGATGATGTGAGGGATGTCGCGTAGGATAGTGTCTCTCCTTGCGTGGATGGGAACTTCTTCGCGAGGCTTTAGATTCTTTCGGTCGCGGCTTCGATTTCATCCACGGCGGCGGGTATGCTTCCGGAGCAGTTCGAGAGGCGGTCAAATTGGGGTCTATTCGTCACATTAGGTCTGTTACACTCGAAGCGACTGAACCATTGTACCTTCTTTCTGCTCCGATGCTCTGCATGGGACGCTGGTGGAGAAACGCAGGAAGTGTCTGACTGTCGATGGTCGTGGTAGCCCCAATGGCCTGAGAAAGGGCAACAGCGGTGTCGCAGCTGCCATTGTGGTTAACTTGTAAGTGAATGACCAAGATCGGTCTTGCGAAGTTCAGGAGTGTCGTCTCGTTCGGAGGTGGCTGCGGCGAGATTCCAGGCCTGAGGCACCAACGCCAAGCCGCATCAAAAACATCCCACCAAAAGCCGCCGCCAGCGACACCAGCACCACTCGCAAGGAACCGACACCACCGCAACCATGGCCGACCAGCAACCCACCAGCGCCGGCGACATCAACGGTGCCACTGCCAGCGCGCAGCCCAGCAGCGAAATCGCAAAGGAACAGAGCCTTCTGCCGAAACTCGTGCCTCACCTCGACCGACACCTGGTTTTCCCGCTTCTCAATTTCGTGGAGGAGCAGACTCCTGAAGACGAGGATATCACCGAGATCACACAGCTCAAATATGGCCTTCTTCAAAGCACCAACATGTCAGACTTCATCGGCGACCTTTACGCGCAGCTGCACGATCTGCCAGAGAGACCGCAAGAGTATGCCAAGAAGCGCGATGAGGTGCTGGAGAGACGGCGGATATTCGAGGAGGAGACGGAGAAGATTCAGAATCTGCTGGCAGACGCAGATGTTATCAACAACTTGCGTAGTGACAAGGTCAGCAACATGAATTACCTCAAAGAGAACCACGGCGTCACGCAGCAGATGGTCGATCAGCTCTACGAGTTTGGACAATTTCAGTACTCATGCGGCGACTATGCGAGTGCATCAGAATTGCTGTACCAGTTCCGCATTCTTTCCACGGACAACGATAAGGTCAACTCTGCGACATGGGGGAAGCTGGCGTGTGACATCTTGACCGTCAACTGGGAGAGCGCGATGGAGGAGGTCACGAAGCTGAAGGAGAGCATCGATACCCGACTTTTCAACAACCCGCTCGCCCAACTTCAACACCGATCCGCGCTCATTCACTGGTCGCTCTTCCCCTTCTTCAACCACGATCCAGCACGCGAGGCTTTGACCGAACTCTTCTTCTCCCCGACCTACATCAACACCATCCAGACCTCTTGCCCATGGATTCTGAGATATCTTGCTGCTGCTGTCATCACCAACCGAGCACGCCCTGGCACCAAGGGTAACTTCATCTACGGCAACTACCAGAAGCAGCTGAAGGATCTTGTCCGTATCGTACGCCAGGAGCAGTACGAGTACAATGACCCCGTGACCAGCTTTGTCAAGGCGCTGTACGTGGACTTCGACTTTGAAGAGGCCCAGAAGAGGCTCACCGAGGCCGACGAGATTCTGCGCGCCGATTTCTTCCTTGTTGCAGCCTCTGAGTCTTTCCTTGATGCAGCTCGCCATCTCATCTCAGAGTCCTACTGCAAGATTCACCAACGGATCGATATCAAGTGAGTTATACTATCGGCTAGATGTGGGACTAATTACTAACATGGATGCAGGGACCTTTCAACCCGTCTAGGTCTGTCCCATTCCGAAGGAGAGAAGTGGATCGTCAACTTGATCCGCGACACTCGCGTTGATGCAAAGATCGACTACAAAGCCGGCACCGTCATCATGAACCACCCACCCGTCAGCGTCTACCAGCAGGTCATCGAGCGCACAAAGGGTGGTTTCTTCAGAACACAAGTTCTCTCAGCTGCCGTTGCCAGGTAACGATGTCCACAAAGCGGCACTTCCAGATGACATGGACGTCACATCACCGACCCTCCAACACCGGCGAGTGGTAGCAGTGGACGAAAAGCGAAAGGGATTGAGGCGTTCATGTGGTATGCATAGCATTGGCGTTCTCGGCGTCAAGAAAGAAAGGGAATTGCATGAATGATAGGAGCAGCAGCGACATGAGGTTGCTTGGTATCTGCTACGGTTGAGAGTCTCAGGCTGCACAGTTGAGCGCATGCCTAGACTGAACGACAAACCACACGGTGCGGATGAGACCACGGCGCGTCGTACGAATTTGACAAATTTTTTGAAGCTGCCTGACGTCCACCCGTCTTGGACCGCTACACTTTTCTTTGTTGTGAACGGCGTGCCCGACTTGGCTCCCATCGACACTGGTCATCCTGACATGATCATCCGGCTTGTCGCTGGACTTTGATGTTTCGAAGTGTCACCCATCGATCGATATCCAGCATCTGCCGCTTTGATCGCAGGACCAACAAATTCCCCATCCTGCACAACGACCCTCCATCCTGCACAACAACAACCCTTCCTCCCTCCCTCGCTCTCCGACCACCCATGATTCACTCACCGACCCACCCAACCCTCCACAGCCCTCGCAACAACCTTCCTTATCTTCACATCCCTCTCAGCAAAGCCCACCGGTCTCAAACTTGCAGAAGAGACCGGTGTTCGTCGTTCTGGTCGCGCCGCGGCCCTCTTAGCGTGCCGTAAAACTTTCGTCGTATTGTCGATGAGGTCTTGGAGTTTGTAGTGTTGCGTGACGCGGTAGCCCGTGAGGATGTAGAGGGTGAGGATTGTGAGGAGGGAGAGTGGTGTTGTTGAGATCCAGGGGGTGGGCATCGTCGATGGGCGTAGATGTTGTAGAGTGGAGGGAGGTTTTCATAGAATATGGATGGGTCGGGTTAGGGATGCGAGAGTTGGATTGTGGTGATGTTTGTTTGTATCCCTTCTTTGCGTCGGCGCTTATATCAAAGAATCAACAGCAATTTTTCTTCTCGCATCCGTTGTGCTTTTTGTTTAAACACCGAACAAGAGAAAAATCCTTATTAGCATTCGAACACCGAGAAACGACACAGCCCCGACAAAACCACAACCACAATCACAAAAACTCCAAGATCGGTGAAAGAACCGTCTGTATGTACAGCACATCAATTCTTATCGGCCATCGAACAAACGTCTTCCGTCCACTCACCAACTCCTCTCGGTCTTCCAAGCCCACGACTCGTCAGTGCACCCTCTTGGCTGAAGCACGCGAAACCATGGAAGCGTACAACCTTCCAGATGTGCAGATTACTGTTGGGAACCACAGTATATGGTAGCCTGCTTGGAAGGAGTGGACCTGCAACGCAAAGCATAACGTACATACTTACTTCATCAATCCTTGCCAGCTCTGCATCTCTGTAATGCAGTAGGGGTATATCAATCCTGCTGACTATTTGAGGCTGCGTATGCCAATGCCAATTTTCGATCTACAATGCATCTCGATGTGGGACCTCGCCCAGAAGTATGAGGCGTCGTCATGGTGTTTCATGTTTGCATGTTTTGCAAGTTGGTATGTGTTGTGGTACGTGTCGCTTTTTGGATTCTGCCCCGAGATCTTTTTATGTTGTGTTACCCTTTTCTTGCAGACTGGCCATCCCGCGCCCAGAGGCTCGGCGGATATGCAGTGAATTGTGGTGGCTGCAGGGGGCATGTTGCATGTAGGATTTTTTGGGTGTGAGGTAGGTGTGCAGATGGCGGGTGATTAATCTGGATGAAGGTTTGTGTAGAGTGAAGAAGGGGAATTGATGGCATACCTTACCTTCGACTTGAACTCACATTGAAAATCTTGGCATTCAAAGTATCCGATTGAAGTAGTCTGTAGCCATTCTGCATTCAGGACTGTTGTGAGAATGTTTGGATGCTGATGTTTCCGTGATCATGGCTCAGTGTCAGCATGTGAAATGGCTTGTGCTTTCGCGCAAGTGAATGAATCTTTGCACATTGCCGAATTGCCGTTCAGTGGACCTGTAAAGTGTCAGTATCGCCACAACTCACCTGACATTCCAACGTTTGTACATGCCAAGACGACTTTGTGCAACCTTCGCTTTCGTAACGAGGCCGGATCGTCGTGTGTGTGGTATTGTGATGTGTTGACTTATATAAAAGAGAGACATTGCCTCTGGAGGTTCACCTTCGAGAGCATGGCTCTCATGTCAGACATGGACCAGGACACATGGAGCATCTCAATGCGGAAACCTAACTGTCGGACCGCCATCACCCTACGAAAACACGTTAGCTTGCCGATGAGTTGACCGAAAGTCGATTGTGTTTGAAGCACGTTTCAACACACGTGGCATCGTCCCATGCACGCCAATCAGCGCACCCTACTAGACTTGTCACTCGATTGGCATGGCCGCCATGTCGAAGTCGTGGAGAAGAGCCTTGCAGAAGTACGAGTTCGGGCCAACTTTACAACTCACGACACGTGCCGACGGAGTCTTGGAGTTCCACCATACTCGACTGAAGAACGAGATGGGGTTTACGATGCCACCGTAATACTGTTCGATCGAGGTTGACGGTATCAAGTGTCGTCATCTGCTTCTGAAAGGACCTCGGCCGCAATGTCCTGGATACGCAATTGGAGACGAATGGCCAACAGTCACATTTCCGGGCCTTAGCTGTCGTCAATGGCTGCGGCGTGTAATCCCCGGCGTGGCGGTAGCGACTGCGGCAGCCGAACGATGCATGTGCTTGAAGGCGTGCTGGCCTGCAGGGCTTCCGGAAACTGAGCGGTATGCCTTTCAAAGTGCCATCCAAACGCCGCATCCCATCTTTCCAGGATGCGGAGGAATAAGACTCGCCTACTCTTTAGTCGGGAATGTAAGCATGAGACTTCCATGGTTCCGAGGCATCGTCGAGTTGCCTATGTCCGGCGTGGGACAGGGCCGCGAAATGCCCAGACGCTGACAAGGAGCAAGGTATCGCCAGAAGCAGCAGGTCAGCATCTCAAGAAATCCCTTTTCCTGGCCATCGTGCACGTCCGGCATCACGATGGGCCGAATGCAGGCAGGCGTGTAGCAGGAAAAAGGAAAGGAGCAGAGATAACGTGCTGGGCAGAGCATCAAGCTCCACTGCGTCGTCGCTGCAGGGTGAGAGAAGCCCAGACTGGGCGGAGTTGGCAGCGGCGTGGCTTGGCTTTAAGGAGCCAGGTAAAGGAGCGCGCGTATCTCTGGATCGGACGCCTCCTGCGGGAGATCTCCACGCCCGAAGCTTGCCAGCTCATTGCCGACGACACCTGCTGCTGCGGCGAGCGGGCGGTCGGTGAGCGGCGTGGAGAGCGACGACAGGCGATATAGCTCGCGGTCGCACAGAGATGGCCGCACGAGGGTGGATGTCGGGTCTGGACTCTGGAGGGGCGGTTGGGCGCTGTGTGTGCATTCCAGACGACGCGTTGTGCGAGCCCAACTCGAAGCAGTGAGGTGCCGGGTGGAGGGTGATGATTTCTGGGATGGCGGAGCGGCAAGGGTGGCTTGGTTCGGGGGAGGAGGCCAAGGCTTGGCGAGCTTTGGGAGGATTGTCAAGGTTTGTGCGACGGGTGCATCCCACTCGCTCAACGTCTCACCTTTGTCCGCGAGGGCTGGGCGTGGAACTCGAGCGGTATCAAACACCCCCCATCCACAGGCACAGCGGGCGCCGGAGACGGATCGTACCTGGACAGAAGAATGGTCGACGCACCTCATCAGCAGCACTGCCTCCCGCCTGATTGGGGCCTGCGTACGACCGGCCAGTCCATGACGCCCGCCAGGTCAGCAGCGCCATCCGCAACGGTCACCACGACGCCAACCACCGCAATCACCCTCTCTGCCCAAGGCCCTTGGCGATATGACATCGCGGTGGCTCAACGCACCTCTGCGTCCTGCGCACCTTGGCTGCGGAAGATCGCCATCTCCCTCACGCTCAATCAGACCTACGCAGCCCTGACACAGCACCGAATGCTTCTTACGACGTCTCACCTCGCGCTTGGCGACCCACTGCCACCGCAGGCACATGCTAGCACGGTCTCCGGGCCCTAGCGCCAGCTCCCCCAAGTGCCCCAACTCTGGGCTCGTCACAGGCTTCGAATCCACCATCTGTGCTTCCCGCTGCTTCGGTCGTAGTGCAACCGTCGCTATCAGATTAGGTCGCTGACTAGCTGGCCTACGATTCTTTCTCCAGACCTGATGTGGGTCAACGCTCTCGCGGAGAGGTCGATCGAGCATGGCGCTGCCGGCGCGGAGCAGTCTCTTGGCCCCCCGGGTCCTATATGAGACTCTCCCTACCCTCGCCCAGTTGGAGTAGGTTGGTTTTAGTTGTCAAAAGTGCCTCCCTGCATCTCTACCTCTTCATTTTACTCACCTTTCACGTGCCGGTGACTACGACATCAACATGGCAGGCCACTCACTTCAGCCGGGCTCCCAGAGCCAATCCTCACTGTCAGACTCACGGTCCACCTCTGAGAAATCTTACAGCGGCAACGACGTATCCCGGTCGCCCAGCAAGGTTCGCGGTGTCGACGAACTGCAACAACCTGAACGAAGCATCTCCTTCGATTCACGTTTCACCCAGGACGACAAAAAGGACGACTCATCACCCTCAAACTCACCTCACGCACGCAGGATGCCGCACGAAATCGAGACGCCCACCGGGCCCGTTCGAAGAGATACCCTTCAGTCCCTCTCAGCACTTTCCACCCACACTGAACCTGCAGACCGGCCGTCGAACATGGAGAGCAAGTGGCCCAAGGACTATCGCGCATGGCTCTGTCTGCTGGGAGGATTTCTTCTCATGTTCAATTCATGGGGCATCGTCAACGCGTATGGCACGTATGCATCGTACTACACGCAGGAGCTCTTCCAAGGTCAAGACATTTTGAGGATGAATTTGCTCGGTTCGACGGAATGCTTCATGATCTTGACCCTCTCCGCACCGGTAGGCCGCTTCCTCGACGCTGGCCACAGCAGAATGCTCATCATCATCGGGACCGTGCTCGTCTCACTGGGCTCTTTCCTTCTGGCCGCAGTGAACTCTGGGAACGTTGGACGATATGGCCTCACTTGGTTCACTCAAGGATTCGTCACCGGTCTGGGAATGGCGTGCTTCTTCGTCACTTCCTCGCAAGGTATGTTCGAGATCCATTGAAAGGTGAAAGAATGCTGACGAGAGCCGCTTTAGTCGTCGCGACGTGGTTCAAGGCGAAGAAGGGCCTCGCCATCGGAATCGTAGCATCGGGCGCCAGTATCTCTGGTCTTGTCTACCCCATTATGCTCAGGTTCCTCATCAACCAGCATGGCTTCACTCTTGCCGTCATCTACGAAGCCATCGTCATTTGCGGCACATCAGCCATCGCGATCATCATTGCACGACCAAATCCGGAGCACGTTATCCGCAAGCCAGAGAAGTGGATGAACTTGAGAGTTTTCTGGGATACCCACGCTTTCCGCAACCGCTCCTTCACTTTTATGGTGGCTTCGATCTCCTTCCTGTTCTTCGGCTTCTACTGCGTCTTCTTCAACCTCGAAGAGTGGGCTGTAGCAGAAGGATTTGGATACCGACCGACCGCAGCAGACGGTGCAAACTCTGGCCTCCCTCATCCTGCAGCGCAAGGCAAGGTGCGAACGATGTACTTGCTGGCCACCATGAACGGTGCCTCGACTCTTGGCCGTGTCTCGTCAGCCTATCTCTGCGATCACTTCGGTGCATTAAACGTTCACTGCGTCGTCACCTTCATCGCATCGCTCCTGACCTTGATCTTGTGGTCTCTCACAAACAACTTGTCGGCCACTTGGGCTTTTGTGATCGTCTTCGGAGCCTTTTCTGGAGCAGTCATCGGCCTTCCTCCGGCATCAGTCGCCTACATTCTGGGACCAGATCCAAAGGAACAAGCGAAACTCGGACAGTGGACGGGCATGATGTACACGGCCGCTGGCATTCCTTCCCTCATCGGACCGGTCATTGCCGGCCATCTCATCTCCGAATACGGCACGTTCTTGACCGTCCAGCTCTGGTCGGGTGCGTGCATTCTTCTGAGCTCGTTATGCATGGCTTGCGCCATCTACTGCAGACAGAAGGCGAAAAAGACGCCCGCTCTGAGCCGCGAAAGCACGAAAAGCGTCGGCTCCAACCACGAGGAGAAGCAGGATGTCTGAAGACAACATCCCTTTTACGATTCTTACGATGAATATTATTTTTGGAATGATTTACTGGCGTTTGGGAAACGATAAAGAGGCGGGGCGGAATAGATTGATACCAGCTTCTTGGGAGTGACAACAAGGCCCGTCCTGTGGGAAGCAGGTACTGGAGTCAAAGCTATGGGAGTTCGAAATGGCGTTTCTGGTGTTTGACATTTCACGAGATCATGACTTGGGTTGAACGATTTTCACTTTTTTGGACGGGAAATATAGAGCAGCGAGCTTCTGTGAAATGGCAGACGACAGATGAGAACTTATTTGTAACATATAGCTGGAGCTCGAGCGACTGATATGGACACGAATTTTGTGAACTTCCCAAATTGATTCTTCCAGCAACGTTGACAACCCCTAAACTCGTGGTTGATATGAGACATGCGCACTGACCACTCTCGAACGTTACAGCAAAGAATGAGCAAACCCTTGGCTACCAGCCATATGTAACCCAAGAGTTTTGAACATGTCGGACGAAACACGTAATCTATCCACCACATGGCGGAAAAAACGGATCTGGCCTTTTCCCGTCTGTCTCTCCACGGGGAATTCTCCATACTGTCCCACTTGCCGGACGTACAGTAGTCTCATGTGTATGTATGTATAGCACATCACGAACGGAGCCGAGAACTTTCTTTCTCATCGAGCGAATATTGTACACCGCTCGCACGACTCAGCAAGAAACTCTACCTTTGAGTTCCTTCGGCAAGTAGTAAGGCTTGCGAATAAGCAAGACTGACGACATCTAACATCCTACACCTCAACCTTCCTTCCATCCTTCCTGTCTGATCCTCCTCGAATCCTCCAAGCTTCCATCATCATCGCACGACCAAAACGCCCAATTTACCTCCTATGGATAACGTCGAATCAAGCTCTCGAATCCCTCCAGCGACTCCTACGCCTGGCGGCACTGGGCGATGCGTGCCAAGGGCGACGGGCTGACTTGGGCTTGGGAGGGGGAGATGCTACTGTTGTGGCTGTGTAGTAGTAGCTTGAGGATGTCGTTATCGCTGTGAGAGGAGGGGGAGGAGCTCCGCGGTTGCATCTGAGGATTGAGATGAGGTCTTGGTGATGTTGTGAAGGTTGTTTTGTGGACGTGAGGTGAAGCTGGGCGTGGGGGTTGGAGGAGGAGGAGGATGCCGGGTTTGTCCGATGGTGGCTTCGGAGTTGTACGGGGCAGGAGGATCTTCCTACTTCACCTCCTTAGACTTCCAAGTTGGCATCGAAGTCGTCAGCTTGCATCTGAGACAACATTCTCGCCATCAACTGCTTGCGTACAACAGATCCATCTGCAACGCGTTTCCGCATCGACAAGCACTCAGCAATTCTACAGCCTGCTTGGTCTACACACACAGCCCTCCCATTGCTACCCATCCATCCCGTTTCTCAACGAAACACCTCTTCTGCAACGACGACCCGTCGCAACGGTACGAAATGACGAGTGCAATGTATCATTGAGGACTTGGCAGATTCCCATTCAACAGCAGAATAGGGCAGCTATCGGGATCCGCGCGGCTCTTAGGCAGATACATAGACAGGCGTTCCTTGTCGGGGCCATGCAGTGCTGGCAGGGAAGGTTCTTGCTATCTACCACTTTGAGACTGCTGACTTTCTGGATTGAGCACGGCAGAACGTGCCCGGTCGATGACGAGTTTTAGGGGCGATACTTGATACTTGCCATATGCTCATTTGGACGCCGTCAAAATCTGGTGCTGTTGCATGGCCGACTCGTCTCGAGGTATATTCTTGAAAGAAGTGCAACGTTTGGGAGGAGCTATCGCCGTGAAAGTCCAGCCGAATCCGAAGTATTCTCTCTATCTTCCAAGATTCGTCCTGATCAGGACAGTATCCGCGTTTCCTACTCTTTCCCACTAGTCTCACAGCCCAATCCTCCTTCCTCTCTCCACCTCCGTCTCCTAATCCCACGATTACTACATCCCATATCCATTCGATTCGATTCACTTTCTCACCCCCGTCGGCTTATCAGGGCACACAGCCCAAAAGAACCAGAAAATCGAGACCATCACGATGCCCTGAAACTAGTGCAAGAACCTCCCAAGACGCCAAAGAGCCAGGAACTACACACAAGACTTTCAGGACACGGACGGACGGGTCCATCAGCCTCTCTGTCAAGCTCGCCTGATCTTGAGTCCCAAGACGGACGGAGGGGCTTGGGAGGTTTCGATGTATTCGGTGAGAATAGCCGTGCTTGTCGAGGAAGTCTCTTCGTTGAAGGCTAGAGATGACATGCGTCAGCTATCGAAGTGTCGATGCAAAGAAACAGATAATGCCTCGTTGCACGGATTCGAAGAACGCATCATCGCTATAGAAAACCGTCGCAGCAACAAGACCGAAAAGCGCCAGAATACCACCCACGACTTCCTCGCCCAACAAGCACAAAAGCCCTCCTCTCCCGGTCCTCACAAAACCAAACCCACCACCACACACAAAATCCACAAGCCGCCATGCCCGCCACCCGGGACAAGACTATCTCAGACCTCCAGGACGTCCCCGGTAACCCATCTCTCCCAAGATCTCAGCCTACAAGGACCCCTGCGGGTGATCGGATGTAAGCTGTGAGAAATGTCTTGCCCTACCGATAGGTACCCAGACAGGAATAATGGGCTTGTTAACTTTATTGTAGGATGATTGGGAAGCATGAGAGGTGAGTAGGGTATTGTGAGGGCTTCGGATGGGGGAGGTTTCCGCTTCCGGTGCTTGGGGCGTTGTGGATTGGTTGATGGCCTTTGGGAGGTGACGACTGCTGCTGCTAGGGATGTTGTCCTGCGTAGCTGGTCTTGGTCAACGTTCGTCATGGTCGTTAATCATATCACCGAGTGAATGTATGAGGACCTGGAGCAGCTCGCAAGGCTGAAGCTCGTAGTCTATACGAAGTGGTAAGGGAAAAATCTTTCTTCTGCCCAAGTTATCCAGCACGTTGTGGCATTCCGTCCCCTTCACGTCTTGCGACACGAATTATTCCGATTTCGATCAAGGAGACACCTACAAGAACGAGTACACGCTCTGTGCTACGCTGGATGTCGACAAAATATGGGGGCCAGAAGCAAGGACGTTACGATTGGGATTCGGCATGTGAATACCCAGGATCACCAAGCCCGATAGGAAAAAAATTGGCAGCAGAAGAAGAACGATGGGATGCGACCTGGGATTCCTTTCCTCCCAGTAAGAGGACACGAGACGCTTCAGACTCTGTCAAGAGCTCCCTGCCAGCGTTGACTTCTCTTCAGACAGAAAATATCAGTTTCATCGACCCGCTCAAAAAGAAAATCTTACAATGAAGATAGTTCGCTGATATACTCCTCTACTCCCTCCCTCACTCTCTAAACAATTTAGTCGCTATAATTTGGTGGTAGCTTATCACACTCGCGAGATCGCAAAGCCCAACACAAATTCGAAAGAACAAGAACAAAAACCACAGTCGTGTTGGAGCAGCTCGGGAACGATCCGAGGACCTTCCGCAAATACATGTATTTCAACCACATCGACGACATGGTTGAACTTGCAAAGCGGACGCGCTACCACTGCGCCACAACCCCTTTTTGAGTAGACTCGACTTTGTGGTCGAGCATGAAGAGGTAGAAAGCAATTTTGCAATATGAAGCTCATTTTGAAAGATCTGGCGCTAACGCGTGGGTCTAAGGACGTATCTCGGTGTTGAGAGAGAAAGACAGGGGTAATGGCCAGGACGGCGAGGGTGGGTAATTTATATGTCTGGATGTCGCTGCTTTGCTTCGAGATGGAGGAGAGAGTGGGAGTTGGTCAATGGCTCGGGGTGGTGATGTCTTTGATCGAGGGCTTGGCGTTCTCGTTGGAGTGTTCGTGATGAGTTGAACCAAGTTGTAGGGACGAAATAAACGGTGAGCATGAGCATAGCCAAGGAAAGAGGTAAGAAAGAGATCGAGAGCATAGAGAACATCCACATCGTCATGTTAAACGTAGACCTCATACCCATCCGCATCTCTATAACCCAGCGCCAAACATACCCGTTCAATCGAACGTCATGTGAAACCGCCCGCCCACAAACCTCATCACATCACACTACAACTCTTCCCCATCTGCCAATAAGCATCCAAATAACTATCCTCACTGGCATCATTCTCACTGCTCCCCACATGCCCCCTCTTCCTCTTAACCCCCTTAACCGTAACCTTCTGCTCGCCCTCCCCATGCCACCACTTCAGAACCTGCTGCGTCGCGCCTTCGACCTCCTCCACCACGCGGATCTCCCATTTGCCACCAGACACCTCCACGCTGGTGAGGTCTTTCATTTGCGGGAAATGATATTCGGGCAGGAAGATTTCCGTCGGGGCGTCTTGGGCTGTTGGGGAGGTGGCGGTGAGGGCGAGGGTGAAGGTGCAGTTTTTGAGGTCGAAGCCGTAGCTGTCGATTTTGCCGTGGACGTTGATGGGGACGGGGCGGACGTAGGCTTCGGCGGCGCGGTAGCCTGGTTGGTTTTCGGCTGAGGTGATGCGTGGTGTGGAGCGGGACATGTCGTCTACGCTGAGGGTCTTTTGGATGCTGCCGGGGGTGACTGGGGCGTTGGACTCGGACTGGCTTTCGCTGTAGCTGGGGTTGGAGGGATCGAGGGAGAGTTTGGAGGAGTTGGAGAGGGCGTATGAGGGTGGTGGGAGGGGTTTGTCTTCGGTGCAGTAGAGCGAGAGGTCTTCGCCGTTCCAGTGGTCGCCCCAGTAGTGGCTGTTGCTGGCGGTGTATACCCACCAGGTCATGCCTTGTGCACCAGAGCCTTCTACCGCGTAGAAGTTCGCATCGATGGCAGCGGCTTGAGAGCTGTAGTCTCCTGTCTGGTAGGCGTGCTTGTCGTCCATGTCGTAGGGAATGCCGATCTCAGTATATAAACAAGGATGCACTCCCATATTGTCGATGCCCTCCCTCCGCACTTCAGCAAGTTGATCCTTGAAGCAGTTCCGAATCGCAGTCTCGCCTATCCGTATCGCGAATGCGGGCGAGCTATATCTGCCACGAAGGACACCCAGCACATCGATATTCCATAGCTTGTTCCACTTCTTCGTGATCAGCGTTATGCCGTCGTAGAAATGTGACGCAAATATCATGTTCTTATCGTCACCCTCCGGCGTGCCTTTGATGACAGGTGGGATCTCAAACGGAGAGGGTTGCATCAAGAGGAAAGCCTCAGACCATACTTCCCGCAAGGCCGTCTTGTACTTCCGGTAGAACTCCATGTAGTTGTCGTTGGTCCATGTCTCTTGATCCAATTTCTCGCCTGTCTTGGGGTGCTTTGCGAAGTACTGCGGTAGGAGAAGCTCGTCTTTTGAAGGATCCCAAATGCCGTGCTGCGCCCAAATACACTCTCCTAGCTTCCACTCTGGACTTCGTTTCCAGCCGTACTTGGTATCATCCCATGATGCCGGATCAAGCCATGCCGTAGTACCTTTGGGGTCTACCAGCTGTGTCGTCTTCTTGTACGGCCCGAAGCCCCCAAAGTCCCACACATCCACTTCAATCGCTCTACCCGATCCCGTCAGCATTGCCTGGAATGCTGTGGGTGTTGTCCATTTCCGAAGTTTCTGATCTTCAGGTATGCTGGCCAGATCTGGATGGCCGTAGTATCCCTTGTTTGGCTCGTTCATCGTCTCATGCCCAATCACACACTTGCCCTGCAGATCTCCTGCATCGTGTATCTTTTGTGCCAAATGTTTGCAAGCGTTCACAAAGTGCTCTTGTAGGTAGTCCTGGATATTCTTCCCATCGATGATGCACTTCGGTGCAAACTCCTTGCCGGCGTAGAAGAAGGTGAAAATGGTCTGCGCGGCTAGCCGTGTGTAGTTCGTTGCCCATATCATTTTTGGGTACTCGACTGGGTTGGGCCAGGTGTTTTGCACCAAGCTCGCCTCCGTCACCGCAAACTTGGTTGGATCAAGACCACAGGCATATATTGTCCACATGGGTGCTCCGCTGCCTCCCGTAAACCGACTCCAGACGTCCTGGTGAGGATCCATGAAGACGTAAAAGCCATACTCCTTCGCTATCCGTAGGACCTTGATCGTGAAATCTATGAAGTCGTTGTCGTATTTGCCTGGTCCGGCATGTTCCAGCGCCTCCCACGTATAGATATAGCGTATCGTGTTGTATCCCCATCTTCGTAAGCGGGAGAAATGGGTATGTGCTTGGTCAAGTGCGAACGGTCTGCCAACAAACGATACGCTGTCGCCCTCGAAGAAGTGTTCCTTGACGTGGGAGGACACGTCAGGCGTGGCGGGAAACTTGGTATCACCCGCTACATTGATGCCATGTATCGTTACCTGGCGGTTGTTCGAATCTCGGAATGTGTCGCCGTCGATTCGGAGGCGATGGGTCGCCATGTTGGGAGTCTGCGCAGGCTCTCAGGTGTTGGAAGGGTGTATCCCAGCTCAGTATTAGGTAGCAGTGAGATCACAAGGCCATATGTATCTGATCGGCCTGGTCGTGTCGTACGAGCAGCTCTCACGGATTCGCGGCCCGAAGCTCCAGCTGCGCCTCGTCTTCAATGCCTCAGTCGATGTGATCGTGTGGGAGATGGGCAGTCCGGCACTTTAGAAGAGTAATAATTTGCAGGTAGGTGAAGACGTCCTCAGCATGTGGTTGTCGTCGTATGGGTCGTATGGGTAGTTCGGTTCATGCACGTCATCGTCACCGGCGTCGTGTGGGAGATCCACCACGGTGCATGGCTGGCTGGTCCCTGGAATCTGGACAACTGGCAGCTCCCTCGACATTTACTTGTCCCTTGCCCTGAACAACCACCGCTCCTCGACCACACACCACATCGCCAGCGACCATGCGGATCAGTCTGTCGTCGCTGGCTCTCGGCGCCTTGTGCCTCTCCTCCGTGCCCGCCGCGCTCGCATTGGCTCCTGGAGACATCCCTTCCGACACGCCTGTCTCGCAACTCATCGAACGCGCGAACGAGAACCTGAACAAAGGCAAGGCTCAGGATGCGCTCACCTACTTCGACCTCGCGATTCAAAAGGACCCGAGCAACTACTTGACCATATTCAAGCGAGGCGCAACATACTTGTCGCTAGGCAAGAACCAGCAGGCGAGCCGCGATTTCGATCAGGTGCTCACTTTGAAACCGGGGTTTGAGGGCGCATTGACGCAAAGGGCGAGGATAAAGAGCAGAAATGCGGATTGGAAAGGCGCAAAGGAGGACTACCTCGCTGCCGGGAAGCAGGGTGGCCAGGAGCTGGAGGAACTCGAGGAAGCTGAAGGGGCCGAGAAGCTGTCGCAAGACGCAGAGAAGAAGGGCGATTGGGAAGCATGTGTCACTCATGCTGGTACTGCCATTCTTGTCGCGGGAACCACAATGGACTTGAGACAGCGAAGAGCAAGATGTAGATTCGAGAAAGGCGAGATCATGGAGGGCCTGGCCGATTTGAACCATGTTGTTCAGATCAATCCATCTTTGACCGACCCGTACCTCCAGATATCTGCCATGGCTTATTACTCTCTGGGCGAGACAGACAAAGGCATCACTGCGATATCGAAGTGTCTACACAACGACCAGGACAACAAGGCGTGTTCCAAGCTACGGAAGTCGGAAAAAGCTATTGACCGGACATTGAAGAAATTTAAGCAGTTGGTAGAGAAACGGCAGTTCGCGTCTGCGGTCAAGCTCCTCCTGCCACAAGGCGATGACGAGCCGGGTCTTCTACAAGAGGTTCAGGACGACACCAAGACCTACCGAGAGGCAGGCTACATCCACCCCAAAGCATCGAACGGCCTGTACGAGCAGTTGGTCGAGGAGACGTGTAACGCATATACTGAGATGAACAACCTCAAGAAAGCAACTACGTTTTGCGACGAAACGCTCAAGTACAATCCGACATCCCTACCTGCCCTTCTATCGAAAGCTCAACGACAACTTGACGCAGACGACTTCGAACCCGCTATTGGCACTCTCAATACCGCCAAGGAGGAACATGGCAACAACCAAAAGGTACAAGAACTTCTCCAGAAAGCACACACCGTTCTCAAGAGAAGCAAGACCAAGGACTACTACAAAGTTCTTGGAGTCAGCCGAGATGCAGACGAGCGAGAGATCAAGAGGGCTTTCCGCAAGCTCACCGTGCAGCACCATCCCGACAAAGCTGCGAAAAACGGCGTCACCCAGGAGGAAGCGCAGAAGAAGATGTCTGCCATCAATGAGGCGTATGAAGTTCTATCGGACCCCGAGTTGAAGGCTCGCTTTGACCGAGGGGACGATCCAAACGATCCACAATCAGGACAGCAGCCGTTCCAGGGCAGCCCATTTGGATTCAATCCAAACGGCCAACCGGTCTTCTTCCAGCAACGAGGCGGCGGTGGAGGCGGAGGTTTCAAGTTCGGCGGACAGCAGATGCCATTTTCAGGTATGTTCTGGTGAAGGGTCGACAAGTTGTCAAGCATGTGCTAACGTCCAAGCAGGGGGCTTCCCGCAAGGATTCCCATTTGGTTGATTTGCTTTTATCTTTACTGGCGTTTGGGTGGAAAAGGCACAGCACGCCGCTGCGGGTTAGATCTACGATGATACCATGGCTGGCGTTTGGTCGAGCAGTGTAGAGAGATAGAATGAAGCATTGGCACGATCATGAGCACGTGAAGACCATCAAATCCTTAATCAAATGTTTCGACGCGAATTGAAGACGCGAATAGGCTCGTGACGGCGCATCACTTTCCCGACCCCACCCCCGCCCCAGAGCGCGTTTTATCTGTCGTCGACCTCGCTGCAGACGTCTGGGGTTCTCGTTGGGTACCTGCAGCCTAGACACCGCCGACCACCACCCAAAATTCCAGCTAGAGCTCTGAGCTGGACGTCATCTGGCCATTTGATTCATCTTTTCCACCGAACACCCACCGACTTTCAGCCCACCTGACACTCACTTCAGCTCGACTCAACAGAGGAGTTCGATCGAAGACAGCATCACGGGCCGACATCCAAACCTCGATATGCACGTCTGATCACCAAGCGTACACCGCTCTCTGGAAGGTAAAGTAAGGAGGGTACATAATAGGCGGGCACGATGGAAGAAGCGGCGGGCAATGGGGCCTTCAACACTTACTGGCAGGCACCGCAAGCCTCCAACACGCAACTCGAACACATCTCCCATGCGCTCAACGCGACCCTCAATCCACGAATCGAAAACTCCGTCCGACAGCAAGCACTACAACATCTCGAAGCTGTGAAGTCACAACCAGACGCACCACATTACGGTTTCACTCTCGCCGACGATTGGAAGCAGAACGATGCGGTGCGGTATTATGGCTTGCAGCTGCTGGAGTTCGCGGTGCGATATCGATGGAACGAGTACAACGACGATCAAACACTCCAGCTTCGCACGTGGGTCAAGTGTCTTGCGGGCAGCTTGCGGGATCAAGACGCCATGTTCATTCGAAACAAGATCGCACAGCTGTGGGTAGAGGTGGCTAAGAGATGCTGGGGTGGAGACGAATGGTGCTGGGTGGACATGGACGCTCTGCTTGTCAATCTGTGGGACAAGCCAATCGAAGAGAAAGGTCTGGTGAACAAAGTTCTGGTGCTGGGAATTCTGGAGACGTTGAGTGAGGACATCGTTGGCAACGAGGATACTATTGCAGGCCTGAGGACGGACGTGCTAGGCAACTCGTTGAACGAGATCATCATTCCCAAGGGACTATACGAGCAGCACGCCATTTCGAGAGGAGGCAGGCAGGAAGTACGATCTGGCGATAGCGGATGGTTGGATCGGGTGTGCAGCTTCTTCGCCACATGTGTGAAGGAGGCGCGGTTGGGTGGAAATCCAGAGTGGACGCGCAGTATGGAGACTTGTGCGACCAAGGCTCTGAATGCGCTTCGACCGACGATGGGATGGATCAGCTTGAAGGCAGCGGAGGAGGTCAATTGCATTGACTGTCTGTTCCTGCCTTTCCACACGAGCAATGTCCTTCTCCAGACAGCAGCTGTTGAAGTGCTGTATGCCCTGCTCAGCCGATCCTACAACCCACATTTCCAAGACGTCTGGACGGCTCTTCTACGACAAGCATTACGACCCGACCGAGTAGGATTGATACGGCAGACGTTCGAGCAGACATCAACCGGGCCTGGAGAGGACGAGGAGAAGTACACATTGCAGAAGAAGATGTCAGAATTGCTTTCAGTTCTCGCAGAAGCAGTAGGCCAACATCCTGCTGTTGCTGACGATTCAGTGGATTTGGCATCGTTGTTTGATGTACTCTTACTGGTCCTGCAACACAAGAGCTTGACAGTATCAATACCGGTTCTGCACAGCTGGACGAGACTGCTGTCTGTGCAGGAAGACAAGATTGTCGACCTTGTTCTTGCTGCCTTGCCGACGCTCCTACAGGTCTGCAGCGAGCGGCTACTACGATATGAGGCATTATCTGACGAAGTCGACGACGAGGTGCTACAATTCCTCGGCGAAGACTTCGACACGATACCGGAGAGACACGCATTCCTGGGCAATTATCGCCGGTATTGCACCACCATCATTCAATCCATTGCACGATCTCGTCCGATCGACGCACTCTCTATAGTGCTGCAGGAGATGCAGTCGATGCTCGAGAATGGACCGTACACTGGCGCGCGTGGCTTCAACAGCGCCAACTATTCGAAGACATCGCTCCCTGTCCTGAAGTTCGACGCTCAGTACAACGTTGTCACTGGCGCGTTGAAGGGCTACTCGGCCTGGATGAGCGATGTGGCCGACATTGCCCCCGACCAACCACTCTACATGAAGGTACAAAAAGACCAACATCAAGCGGCAGAATCGTTGCAGCAGTGGTGCTTCGGCCTAGCAAATATCCACACAGATGATCCTGGTGTCGCCGAGGAAGTATTGCAGACGGTCGTTCAAGTACTGCGAACTCTCAAGCAGCCTGCGGCGAGCTTCGTCCTTAACATGGTCCAGCATCTGCTTACAATGAGGCTGTACGACCAACCTGCACACACAACTTTCTCAGACGCTGTAAAGGCCTTCGAGGCTTTGCGAGTGGTTGAACTTCAGAAGCTCGCCCTGGCCTTTCCTAATGACTTCCTCGAAGTGTACAACGAGCTGGAACCGCGGATTGGTGTACTTGCGCAGAAGCATGTCGATGACCCAAGATTACTTTGGGGATACAAAGCTTTCCTGTTCATGATTCTGCATCGTGCGACTGGAATCGACAACGAGATGAGGATAAGCAAGTTGCAGCAAATGCTCAAGCCTACCTACGATGCCTGGTCAGACCCCGGTATGAATGCTTCGATCAACAATCTGCAGACCTTCTGTGAGGCGATTGGACTGAACGATCTTCCGGACTTCTACAAAGTACATGGCTTCGATCGCATTCAGGACTGGTCAGCTCAGCAACTGGACGAAGCGGGCCAGAGACGCCAGGCTGAGATCAAGGAGAAGAGCGATCGACTGCCCCTGCGCATGACCAAGTCTATGCTTTCGGCAACAACAGAAAAGCTGAAGAGCGGAACGGACGAATACGACAACGCGTGTGCGCTATGGGGTGACTTGATTCCGGTCATTCTCCCCAGCCTACTCCAGATGCTCCGCCATGCAGTATCTTTTCACAACATGGCGAATTGGTCCCAGCTCCCCGATGAAATCCAAATGGTGGTCAAGCGTACTCTGCAGGATCGCTTCTGGCAATCTGGCATATCGAATGAGAGCAAGGAAGAGTTCTACGCCAGGATATCAGGCTCTAAGACTTCATACGAAGGGTTTGCCAGTACTGTTCGAGGCACGATGCGGAACGTGCGCGAGCAGAGCTATCACATCCTCTACCTCATGACCAAGTTCGACGAGCAATTCTACGGCCTGACAGATCTGGCTGAGCCTTTGGCTGGTGCGCTATTTGATGAGGCTGGGAGTCTGAGTGCAAATCACCTACACCCCATCATCAACCTCACCACTGGCCTAGTACAACGCTGTCCACCACATCATCGTGTACAATTCCTACCTCCCATTTTGCGCCGCCTGTTCGTCACTCTGGATGGAAAGATCTCATCAGAATGGGAAGCGATCACCCGAGCGGCGGAAGAGAACAAACACGAGATGGACGAACTGTCCGACGAGATGCGTACCGAGAGCGTCCTCCGACAACTGACCTACAGCATGGTCAGCTTCGTACCCTTCCTCCTCGAATACGACCGTCAAGTCGGCCTCACCATGGCCAACGGCAACGGCCACATCCGCCAGAACCTCTCCGAACTGGTCCTCTCCGACGCCTCCGTCCTGGAACCACTCATCCTCTTCTGCACGCACGCCCTCCGCATGCGCGACACCCGCTGCTGCAGCACCATCTGCAAAGTCTTCCGCGGCATCGTCCCCATCTTCGCCTCCTCATCCTCCACCTCGCCCACCAGCGCCATCACCCCGGAAACCGCTGCCCAAGTCCGCGAGTTCATCTCCACCGAAGTCCTCAAAGCCTGCATCACCTCCCTCCACGAACCCTACTTCGCCGACCTGCAAAAGGACCTCGCCGCCCTCATCGCCCAAATCCTCCTCCTCTACTCCCCCAAGACCCACACGCCCCGCGACATCTTGCTCTCCCTCCCGGACATGAGCGAGGGTCGCGTCAACCGCGCGATCGCCAAGGTCGTCAAGTCGAGCAATGAGCGGCAGCAGCGTGCCGTCGTGCTGGATCTGCTGGAGAGTGTCCGGGGCGTGAGCATCTACGAGCAAGGCAAGATCGAGAAGAAGAAGGGGAAGAGTTCGAGGGCGGCGCCGGTGGCGGCGCAGTATATGGAGGTGGTGGAGACGAGGCCGCAGGTTGTGAGGGGCGATGAGGAGGGGCTGGATGGGGTTGCTGGGTTGTTTGGGGATTCTTGAGATGGATCAATCAGGCATGGTTGTGAGTGAGTGCGGTGTGGTGATTGATGAGGATGGGTAAGCGTGCATGGTGGGAGGTTCTGTGTGCTTTTTTGGGTTTTGGTTTTTGTGTATCACTTATATACCCCCACAGAAGTGCATGCATGCTGTTGCTCCTTTTTAGGCGTCCGTCGGTAGAAAGCGAGAGAAGAAGGGAGCTGAAATGAAGACCACGTCGTTGGACGCACGAAAATGTCCAGCTTCTGCTGCCATACTTCGATCATTCGACAGTCACAATGACTGAGATGAAGATGAAACGCGCACAATCAATTGAACTTTGCAATCTTTCTCATTACGCTCTCCTTTCTGCCTCGTACCTCTCCTCTCACCCTCACCACACCTTCCCCTCCCCTCCCCAACCCAAGCAGGCCAGCTCCACCCTCTCACCCACGAAATCCTCTCAGCAAAAACAAGCCAGCCCCTCGAAAAAACCTTCCTCGACGAAGCATGCGCTCCCTGAGCACACCACCCATCGACCCAGTCCGCGGTCCGCACTCGTTCTGTGTCATGTACAACAAAAAATTTCAACGCCATCCCCCCCCTTGTCCATTCACCCACCCCATCCATCCATCGTTTGTGCTTTGTCGCCGTTGGTCCCAAATGCATGTCGATTTTCTCTTTCTCTCTCGCGCGCTTTCTGCAGACTGGTTTGGGGTATTCGAGAAAAAAGAGAATAACAAAACTCCACTCCGTCCTTTTTCCGTTGCCGTGGGGAATAAAATGTTTGCAAAAAGTGGGTGGTTTCTTGGTTGCCCTCTTACGCACTTCAGACACCCGCTCGTTGTGGTCCCTCAATAGCCGGACTGTGCTTGAGATTACCGGCTTGGTATTCTTGAGTCGACTCGGGGTGTCCGTGGTGGGGAGAGCCAAGGTGAAAGCAATTAATAACACGAAAAGAAACAATAACGCCAGTCCGTCCTTCCTTTTCGCCCAAAAACGACCCGGGGTATATGCAAGTGTGCCTCCAGCCAAGTCCAGGTAAAGAAGAGTTGAAAGTCGTAAAAGCAATAGAAAGTAATGTTGGCCTCCCGTATGCATTCGCATCGTGGTTTGTGAATCATCGACATTAGCCGAGTCGCTCAGTTGCCAATGCTCTCCGGACTCATCGGCGCATTAGCTTCGGCATCTTTCTCCGGGTCGACGCCATTCTCCTGAGCGTCCGGCATCTGTAGATGCAGTGGCTTGAGCGTCTTGGTCTTCTCTTCACTCTCTTCCAGCTTGCGCTTCTTCTTCGCTGCTTGCTGCTGCTCCTTAAGCGGCCGCTTGCGCGGGGAAGAAATTTTGCCGGTAGGTGGTAAACGTGGCTTGGGGAAGCGTTGCTTCTGCGGTAGATCCTCATCCTCGACCAGTGGCTCGTCGCGATTGGCACGTAGCTTGTTGCGGAAGAAGTCTTGCACCAAGCCAATTTGGTTGCCAATACTCTCGGTAGTGATCGGTTCGTACGGTTCCGGTGGCGTGAAAATGAGGCCGCTTGTCGGCACAGGTCCTTGGTTTTGTGCCTGGTAGGCGCTGTGCATGCGGTTCTGCAGCAGGTGCAACGGCACACTGAGTGATTCCAGGCCCAACTCGTCTGCCAGACCAAGTTCCTTGAAGCCGAAGAAGTCCTCGTCAAGATCCTCCGCAAAATCGCCACCGACAAATTGTTCGCTACCATCGTTGAAAGCTCCAACGCCATCGGCGCCTGCGTGATCACCCAGAGCAGGACGCTAACATATGTTAGTATGTCGTTGTTGAGGAAGTAGGCAGTACTTACTAGTAGATCTGCTAGATGCGACTTCATGCGTTCGTGCATAACGCCCAGCTTGTTGCTCAGTCTCTCGACATCATCCTTGATGTAGGTCTCCAGAGATTCAATGTCCATGCCGTTCTCGTCCAGTGTGTGGAGTACTTGCTCCTCGAAAGTAAAGCGAGGCGCTTCGGCTTCCTTCTTGGGCTGCTCGTGGTAGAGCATGAGGCCTTGGCCGAGCTTTGCTAAGAACTCGCTCGCGACATCTGTGACGACATCCAGCGCAGATGGTTGGAAGTCCTCGAAGCCAGCGTGGTAGAAGATCTTGCCAACTGAGCGCTGAAAAGCAGCCCGGTTGACCCAGGGTGCCATGAGCGGCCCTTCTTCAGATACCACGACTGGTCCCACATCTTGTTCGAGGAAAGGCTGGGGTTCGTATTTTTGGAACTGATTCTGGTAGGTCTGCAACATGTCAACACTCCGAAACACACACTGTTCTCCATCGATTCACTCACCTGCGCTTGTATTTGCATCTGCTTGACAATGCCAATCTTCGCGCAAATCTTCCTGGTCTCCTGCATTTGATGCATGTTCGTCTCCATCTTGTTGGCCAGGCTGCCTTGCGGGGTCTTATACCGATCCTTGGGAAACATGCGCATCCCCTCTTCGTTCTGAGACACAACATATCCTTCAGAGTCTGTCGTCCATTTCCATCGCTCATCCAAGTCAGGGATGGCGGAAAGGGGGTTGTAGTAGTCGGGTAAGGTTGAATCTTCGTCTTTCTCGATGCCCTCTGCAAGCGATTCACCAGCTGGTTGCTCAGTGCTTTCTGCACCTTCTTGCGTATCGCCTTCGACGTTCGGTTTCTCGGTGAGCATCTTCTGTTGCCGGATCCATTTTCGCATCATTGCCTTGCTACGAAGAAGAGCAGGCTCATCTTCGTTCAAATATGGATGACGGCTGCCATTGAAAAGTCGATTACGCTCAGCCGCTGCTTGCGCGCGATCCTTTTTCGTGACTTGCTTCCAGGTCTTGAACTCGGTATCATCTTCGTCGGGATCTTCTGCCATCGCACTGGCTGCAGATTGGCCAAAACCATCCACTTCCATGACATCAGCTTGACTTCCAGGAGCACCACTTCCATGAACACCGTTGACACCCAGTGGTGTAGCAAGGCCGGGTGGGGGAGTATTTAGTCCTGTCGAGTTCGCATCGTGCGCTTCAGAGTCTGCTCGTAGAAAGTCGTTGCGCAGGTTCGACGCTGAGGGATGCATGGCAGGTTTTCGGTCCTCTGGCACTGGTGTGGTCGTGTCTTCAACCGCGACTGGAGGAGCTTTCCTCGCCGAAGAAGTTGTCCCCTTCTTTGGCGCTTTACGCCCCCTGGAGGCCATCAATGGAGCGTCGTCGTCATCACTGTCATCAGCGTCAACGGAATGCAGCCTGCGTTCTTCTGCTTCCACTTCCGCCCGATCTCGAACCACGATATCCGGGATCAAAGGCGTAAGCTTGTCTGTCTCCTTGCGCATGTACAGTGCTTTCTTACGCAGTGGATGCGCCGGATCCTGGTTGTACTTCAAGCAATTTGCCCAGATCAGATTCAGGTCGTCGACGAAGTCTTTCTTGCTCTTGTAGTTGAATTGCTTGAGCTTTTTGATCATTGTCCCGATGTCCATTGGCGTTTTGATGATTTGGAAGTAGTCTGGTGCTTCCCTTTTGCTCACACGTTGCAGAAAAGGCTGTGCATATTCCGTCATGGCTTTCAACTCCATGAGCACCTTCTCAGCAGCTTCGTACAGCTCTTCTTGTCCCACGCGGTCTTCGCTTGCCCACTTGCTGCGGCCCTTCCGAACTTCCGAAATGAGTGTCCTGAGTTGATTGTCCGAGGCCTTGACCATGTCGCGCTTCATATCTATCCGCGAAATCAGATGCTTGAGAGTCAAACTAGAAGCACCAAGATCAGCACTGCCCAAAGATCCCTGCGTGGTATTCTGTCCGGCGGCGGCTCCAGCGGTGGCAGACGTGGCATTGGCGTTTCCATTCTGGCCAGTCGACAATTCATTCTCCACTTCTCGGTCGAGCTCGTCCAGCTTCTGTTGCTCAAGCATCGCGTCGCGGTCATTCTCGTACGTGTAGAACATGCTTTGGAAGCTCAACTTTGCCGCCTCCGCTGCCGCCTTCTTGTCCTCTTCCAACTGTTTGCGCACATCTTCCGAGCTCTTGGCAGGATCAGAGACCGCAGAGGAAGTTGTTCGGATAGCTGCAGGCGGCTTCACTGCGGGGGCGGGGGCGCGGAGGTGGTTTGGTGACAAGCCATTCGGTAGCGCAGCCTGGCCCTTTGATTTCAGCGGGCTCTGCTTGTCTAGGTCTTCCTCTTCATCCTCGTCATCCTCATCATCCCCATAGTCATCGTCAATCTGGCGAGCGGCCTTCTTGGGCGGCGCGGAGGTGGTCTTGGCATCCGCTGGCGCGCCGGTTTCGGTGGGGGCGGCATCAGCGGGTTTCGAGGATGCGCGACGCGGTTGGCCATCGCCCCCGAACAGAGCGGCGATGCTGGCCTCGGTGTGCTGCCAGCGCTGCTGGAGGGCGGCGTATATGGGGTCGTCCTCGTGATCATCATCTTTGGCCTCGCTTTCGGCGCCAAGGCCCGAAGCCACTCTGGTCATGCTCGAGGCACGGTGGGGACCGCCATTGACACCATTGGGGATGCGCGGATGACCGTTGATCGCGAATCGGTTGGGGGTCGAACTCATTGCTGAGCGGACGGGGTGGATGGTCGAGCGGTCCCCTCCTCCAGCGAATCTGCCGTCGCTGGAGCCAGTCTCGCGGGGAAGGATGGCGATATGGGAATCATAGGAATCCTCGCGACGGTGAGAATCCGGGGGCGCGATGTCCGAGGCGAAATCGATGGATGGTGGTGCTGCTTGATGGAAAATGTGCCGGCAACGCTGAAGGTGACGTGAGGTGTCGCGCTGCTAGGTCAACTGAACGCACGGGGTTGGCCGAATGTCCGCTTCAGGTCTCGACACGCATCGGCGCCGTCACGGGTCGCAATGGATGGCAGTCACGGGCAACGAGTGACGATGGATTAGCTGAGATGAAGCCGCAATTGAATAATCGTCTTGTGATAATGGAGAAAGCGCGCCGTGTTGCGGTCGTCGCGACCAGCATTACCATTCACTACTATTGACCGTCGGCTCGCTTGCGAAGTCGTCCCACTGCTTTCACTGTCGCTGGTCTCTCATCGGAGCCAGGCAGCTCAGACGCCGACGTCCAAGCAGGTGAAGCTGTCAAGTATCTCTGGCATTTGTCGTCCTTCAAACTCCTCAATCCCCGCTGCACAACACCAACTGAATGCGCTGACTCGTTGATGCCTTCGATACGTATTCGCCAACCCTTTGCGGGTACATAAATCCCTCGTCCTCCCAAGATATAGCATGAGTGCTAACGGTCAAGCTCTTTAGCCGCGTTCGCCGTACTCTTCCTGGTCTCGGCATATCTGGGCCTCTCGACTCAGAAGCTCCCTCAATATGGCCAGAGTGACAAGGGTCTACATTTCGTGACCTTCTTTCTGCTCACGGTACGTTAAATCTGCCTCTACAATGCTTGCGACAGGTTCAATCCCTTGGCTCAAGCCAGGCTTCCACCATTCGAGCTATACCTACCACAAAACAAGGAACAATCGCAAGCGAAGATCACCACACTGACTAAACTGCGTATCAAATAGCTCTCCTTCTACTGGATCCTCGAAGCGCCCCGCCGCCGCGTAATCCACATCACCCTCCTAGTATGCACCGCCGCTCTTGCCATAGGCAGCGAAGTAGCCCAAGCTCTACTCCCCAATGGCCGGGACTTCGATCCCTTCGATATCCTCGCCAATGTCGTAGGCTCAACCCTCGCTTTACTCCTCTGCAGCTGGTACCACAAGCGTATGCTCGAACGACGGAGAAAGAACAAGCACTACGATCTTGTTGCTGGAGAGGAGGTTGATGACGAGGAAGGCGGTGTGCCTGGAGAGAGCGAGAGGGATGTAGAGCTTGGGGAGGGTGTTGGCCTTGGGAGCCAGGAGACGGGCTCTGTGCCTGTGGATGCGAACGGACAGGCGAGCGCAGGGGCCAAGACGACGAATGTCACGGAGGAGTTGGACAACTGGGATGAGAACGACGAGGATTGGGAAGAGGAAGGGGCAGAGGCTGCGAAAGTCACTGCGGGAGTGAATGAAGATGGAGAGCCCCCGAAGAAACGGACGGATTGATTCATGTGTTACGTAGAAATGAGCGATCTAGCCGAATGAACGAAACTTCACTAGTACTGATACTGCTGATGCACATGTGCTGACAGCAAAGTATGATGTTCCACGACGGAGGCGAGCGAAGTCACAAGCATGAATGCACAGCCTATGCGCTGCAGAGACTCAACTCACGTCACATGCACGCAACATTGACGGACGACCCTGACATGCGTGCAGAAAAGCACAGTGATGTCCAGTGGCAAAGCTGCCACACAGTCGAGGAGGATACACGAAGCATCGCCCCTCGACCGGGGTCTGAAAGCACAGGTTCATCAGCACGCTTAAGGCACCGGTACATCTGGCTTGGTTGAAACAAAGTTCATTTCGAAGCTATTCGTAACTTCAGACGTGTGGTATGGTATCCTCTGCTGCAGCAGATTTCATGCTTCCGTCCTCTTGGACCTTTTCATAGAACGCCACCCGTTGTGTCTGAATGCCCCCATAAATTCCCTAGCTCATGCTTGCCAACCGTCTATGCCTGGGCACCGAGAGGCTTGTTGACCTGGGCTGGGTTGACCTTCTTGCCGTCCTTGTTGTATCGCACACGTGGTGGGGGAGCGCGGTTGCGGCGGCCCTCGCGGGAGCGGACACTGTGTGGCAATCAGTCATGTTCATGTTGAAGCCTTTGCTGCTCTACATACCGAACGATCTTGCCGTGAATGGCGCAAGAAACGCAGTACTGCAGCTTCAGGTACATCTTGGGCACGGAGTACTCGCTGAAGACAGAGGCGTCCGAGATATCACCTGAATGGATGTCAGTGAAGTCCGTCGCAATTGGAGGGCGGGCCCGTCGTACGAATGGCAGCAGACTCGACCATGTTGCGGATGGTGAATCTCTTGATGGCCTTGTCCTTGGGCGTGCATCGCGAGCAGTTGGAGCAGCGGATGGGCTTGACGTGGCCGCGGCCCTTCTTGTTACGACCGCTGCAGTGATTGTTAATATTTCAAAATCTGCCTCGTTCGCACAGGAATTTCATACTTGGATGCTCGCTTCTTGACCATTTTGACGGATGTGCGGCGGTGTTTGCTGTGTGGTTAGTGGGCGATCAGAGGTCGAAGACGCCAGTTGCCTCCGCCCAAATTGAAGTGGTAAAGTCTTGGCAAAGCTGGCTTCCGGCCGGCAGAACTCCGGGGAGTGACGGCAGGCCGCACCTAACAATATCTCAACCTACATGACCTAGGCAGGTGCTCGATTAACTCTTAATCCTTATTATTAGATAGACCTTACTTCACTTCTCGCTTTACTTAAACCTCTCCTTTACTAAAAATAATACTATTTAAACGCCTATTATCGCTCTAGTATAACTTTATACGCCGCTACTTTCGTACTCGTTTTAAACTACTCGTACTACTCGTAATCTAAAGATAATAGCGATAATAGCGAGTATAGCGACTTAAATACGGTATATACTCGCCTAAAGTATTCGTAAAGCCGTTACTAATAATCTATATAGATACCGCTACTCTACGACTAAAGGCGAGTACTACTCGATTACTAAAAACGACTTTAATATCCTCGTCGTATAGTACTCGTAGGCGGCCGCCTAAGTAAAGCGTAACCTTAATTAGAGGCTTAAGAAGTA